TCGGCTCTCAGACTGAAGCAGACAAAGGCGAGGGGAGAGACGGCGTGCCGCTATCCTGCAGCATCGACTCACACATTCACATACACTCCCCCTCACACACGCACTCCCTTCACTCCGCAAGCAGCGACGCAGGTGAGTCTGCCTCTAGGTGGGATTATCCACACACTTTACTGATTAAAGGAGGATTTAAATGAGCGTGGATTTATTTTTTGAGTGGGCAAGAAGAGGTGACATTTTAGTTTTTACTGTTAGGATGAGATTGTTTTAGGTTTTCGTTTTTTTTGGGCAGGTGGAGTGTGAGGAGGTGTGCGCACACCAAGCCCTCTTTTCTTTCTCAAGACAAACTTGAATTTTCTGTCGCTGCTCTCTGCCATGTGGCTGCACTCATTCATCATAGATGAGATGTGTTGCTTCATGAAACTTTTTTTTAATACATTTTGAGAGTGTGTTAAAACTGTCTCCACAAGCAATGGCTGATTTTTTTCAGGGTGTAGATGAGCTTTCATGGTGATGCCTGGTGGTCAGAATGTGGTGTTGGTTAGTAAGGAGTGTGTAGTCACCGGTCTGTTGTGTGGGTGGCTCAGACAGGAACACAGAACCAGCTTGAAATATCAGTGATAATGAAAAATGTTACTGCAGTGCTGCTTCATGGTCAGATCAGGCTTTTATTTTGGAGAATGGCTGCGTTTGTCTCAGGTAGTGCTTGAATTCAGGTACATTTGAAAGTCTGCAATGAATTGGTACACCTTTAAAGAGGTCTTATCATGATGTGAAGACAGAGGAAACCACAAAATGCTCTCTTAGGTTGTGAAAAGAAAGGACTATCTTTGAGGGGATCTACTTTCTGGGGCTGCAGCAGCAGAATCAGGAGCAGAAAAACGGTGATGTCACTCTAAAGGCAGGCCCCCTGTTTGAGACAATGGACTGTCCTAGATGAAGCTCCTCTGGGGAAGGGTCACCGTTAGCTCTGCCCATTAGTGCGGCAGATGGGCCTGAAACCTGGCCTTTGTCAGCTGAGGAGCATGCATCCCACTCAAGTCCCACCCCTAGCAGTGTGTGTGTTGGTGCCTGTCATAAAACCCCTGTCAGCAGCAGAGCCAGGGGTTAGCAGGGGATTGGAGGGCCTCACCACATGGATGGGTGGCGGCAGCATGAATCTTTCTGTTCTCTTTTAATGGCATCTGTTTGTCAATGTGGCCCGCCTACTGTACTGTGTATGTGCACCATGCGGACCTTTAAACATGGAGCATAATGAAGGATAACAAAGTGGCTGAGACTCTGATCAAATGAGCATTGAGATGTTGTTCATTTATTGCTTACATATACAGGATGTCCTTGATGAAGGAAGCACTTAAGGTTTCTGTGGAGATAGTTTTAGTCACCTTATGTTCATTTAAAATTAAACTGTGTGGTACGTTAGAGTATATTAATACAATTATCTTTGTATATTCAAATAGATTTTTTCCCATCAATCAATGAACCTCAATTCATTCATGGATAATGTCCAACAAGTAAAGTGACTCCAATTTGGTTTGTTAATGTAGGTTTTAAAGTATCACTTATTTTTAACTGGAAGCCCGTCTCATAGAGGGTTTGGTTAAAAGTTTGAACAGATAGGAACAATTCGCCATTTTTAGTGACAAGAAATGTCAAAAAGTGGTTTTCAAAGAGCCTTGAAAGTGAGCGAAAGAAATATAGATGTTACTGGGCCACGCTGATATGAGATGTGTTGAAAGACGAGTGACCTCACAGTCAAGAGCTGTAAAGGCCCATAAACTAAGTTGATGTGTCATCAGTTTTAAAGGCTTTACTTTTTATTGGCAAACTATTTTACAAGTTACAGTACCACATTTAGAGGTCAAGAATATGATCGCTGTTTGCGCAGTGGCAGTATATTGAAATGTGATTATTTCAGTGGTACGGGGCTTTAAACAGGACACAGATAGCTTCCTCTTTTGTGTGGGTGGGTGTGTGTGTTTTTATGGGTGTGTACTAGTGTTCAGTGTGAAAGATGTGGTTCAATGAGTTTTTGTGACTCTTTCAGTCTGAGTTGTGGTCAGGAGGTAGGAGGTGAAGAGGAAGAGACCAGTCTTCGGACGGAAAGGCCTCTCCAGCCTTTTTTGCAGAACATCCATGTAGTATAAGTGCTTTATTGTTTAGGAGCTGAACAGATGCATCGTTTGCATAATTTCTAAGAAGCAGGAAGGACTAGATCCCCTATGAAATTCAAGTCATGGCTGTTTTGGAAAAGAAATTGGGAAAACAGCTACCCATTGTTTGACCCTATGATAAATGTACTGTAGATGCTCTGACATCTGACATCACATACTGCAGCGCCAAAATATTGTATTTTTAACCTGTAGCCCATTCGGAATTGTTGATTTCCATGTTAAAATTACCAAGTCTTGACAGCTGATCTCACCTCTGTTTACTTCAAATTCAAAATAATATACACAGGAAATTATCTAACTTTTTTTATCTTTATCTTTAACTGAGTTTATGTCAAACATCTCAGAGTATTTTTAGGTTTTACAGTGTTTATGGTTCCCCAACAGAATCTCCACCTTCCAAAGTCTAGACCCTTGGTTCCCAACTGGGACATGTTCCAAAGTCTAGACCCTTGGTTCCTATGTGGTGGGTTGGGACCCTAAAAGGGATCCAGGAGCCATTTTCAATGGGTTGTGGATGATTTGTGGCTTAAAGTCTTTGGCTTACTTTTATTGATAAGGATGTGAGTCTTATGACCTTGAGCACTTGCAGTAGGAGGGGAGTTTCTTCACACTTCAACTTAGTAGGTGACAGTAATACACACAATCAGTGCTGATAGTCAACCACCATTAAATGACAAATTTCTAAAATCTGGGTTGTGACTTTCATGAGGGAAGTGATGGTGAATCCTGAGATGAGACCACTCTTCCAGACCAACAGTCAACCAGTTACCAAGTAGTCTATCAAATGATCATTAAGGTCTGATTCTTCTGTATTTAACAGCTGTCCAAGTACCTCATACTGATTCATCTGGGCAAGTGAGACAATTACACACAGGTGTATGTAGGCGGAATACAGAGGAAGAGTCAGAGACCTATCGTATGTGCTCTGTGATAAAACCAGCCTTTGCAGATGAGACGCTGGATTATAAAATTACTCCTAGAAATCATATTGCTTTGATTCATAAATTAATGTGTTCCACAGCTGTATGGGGCTAATGTATCCTGGCATTAGTGTTAATTAGAAAAACCCAATTAACACCCAATTAATCTCATATTTAGCTCTGTTGTTCTCATCCCTGTGTGCATGTCTTATTTAAAATGCCCTGACTAGGGCAGCCATTATGGCCACCAGGCTTGCCCTGACTCTATAGTAATTGTTGTTAAAATGACATTGAAAAGTTTGTATTGTTGGATATTGTTATAGATGTTATAGATGTCATATCTGCAGGAGGCCTATTGGATCACCACTAATATAAATATCCAGTTTACTTTGTAACTCCTTTAATACAAACAGGGTTGAGATACAATAATGTTCAACACAAAAACAGTACAGGCATCACACACTGATTTGTATACTCACATATGCTCATACAAATGTCCTTTGAAGTGGTTATAATTTGTTTGAGTAATGACTAACAAAACCAGGTTATTTTTCTTTGCAAGACAATTAGTGGTTTCCTTTGCTGTTTCCTTGTATGCAGACGATACCGTTACATCACTAAGGACTACACAAGTCAGTTCCCATGACCAAATCATAATGACTTCAATACAACTGAGGTCTCTTTTGTGTACCAAATACTAATGGCGATGAGTGACAAGAGAATTTGATACTAAATTCAGAGTAGTACACGGATGGGAGAGGAATTTTGCCGCCCGCTTGCTTCTCTAGTTACACCAACTTCAGCATAGACTGCGTAATAGCAATACACAGCGGTCAACGCCTCCACGCGCAAACTTCAATCAAAAAGCTACTCGTAGCCACAAATAATTCTCAGAACAGCACTTAACTTCATTAACAGTACATATACTAGCCATCGTTGTACTAGCCATCAAACATCTTTTTAGCTTTGCCTGGTTTCAATGGCAAAGAGATTAAACACAACTCACCCACTCTCCTCCAGTTGCTACTTGTTTGTGGGGGAGCACTGACGAGTCAATCGAGTAAGAAAATTTATGATTATTACTTTATGGAAATGTAATCAGACTGAGACGCTAAGGCAGAAGAGCTACCGCATCTGCAGTGCACATAAAAGATACACAAGAACTCTGGTTGCAGGGAAGTTTAGATCACTTTTGTTGCAGTGAAGACAAACAGGATGATAAAGGATTTCGGAAACCTGCCATTCATCAGTATCATGGTACTGATAGCTACAATGATCCTAACTTGCCCCAGATTCAATACTGCTAGCAGATTTTATATTTTAGCCAACTGGTTACTTTATTTTGGTCTTTCTTTTTGATTGTTCTGCTTTTTGGACCTGTATTTGAGAGGAGTGGACTGTGGATAGACAGAAAACGAGGAGAAAGGAAAAAGTGTAAAGTCACTAATTCAGAAACCTGGGCTACCTGCTTGAGGCATAATATTTTAATATGGTGTGTGCACTTGGACTACTATACCAGAGAGCCCCTTTTAAAAGCTTTATTTCCCAGTTTCTACGTCAATCTTCTGTCATTTGTGCTTTACAAAAAACTGTTTGCTGCATGTCCTTCCTGCATCTAAACTGGCTCAAATTAATCTAAGAGAAGCTGATGGCAGCAAGCGTAGATTGCTGTTATTGGAAAGTTTTCTCATTTGTTAAACTAAAATTAGAGTTTTGCATAGCATTTATTGCAGATGCTCATATTGTGGTAACAGTTACTTTATGAATTGTTGTGCAGCTCTACAAGCCAAAATGGCAAAAAAGCGTTTGACTTTATCATGGCTTACCTTTTGTTTTCCTTTTGTTCCTAGACTCTTCGGAGCTGGTCACCACCTCACATCTGTCACAACCATCACAGCTGTCAGTCGTCATGGAGCTAGACTTTGGACATTTTGACGAGCGGGACAAGACATCCCGTACCCCACGAGGCGGGCGGATGAATGGACTCCCCAGCCCTACCCACAGCGCCCACTGCAGCTTCTACCGCACGCGCACTCTGCAGGCCCTAACCAACGAGAAGAAGGCCAAAAAGGTGCGCTTCTACCGCAACGGGGACCGCTACTTCAAAGGCATCGTGTATGCTGTGGCCAGCGACCGGTTTCGCACTTTTGACGCGCTCCTGGCTGACCTCACACGCTCACTCTCTGACCACATTAACCTGCCACAGGGGGTCCGCTTCATCTTCACCGTGGATGGGACTCGCAAAATTTGCGCATTGGATGAGCTAGAGGAAGGTAAGTTGATTTAGCACTAAGAAGCACCAAGCCCTTCTTTCAGGTTGAAAATGTTAAAGTAAATATTGATTAGCCTTGATTAGAGTTTTTGGATGTTTATAGAATCGACTGAAATTCATATTGATGTCATCTTATAGTAAACAAAAGCAAACAAGACCATCGGCAGCTAGATTGATTTTACTCTTTGATTTTGAACACCTGAAACATGCCTAAACATAAACAATCAATGATGCACTTGGCAGTCTAAAGTCATCAGGATAAGATTTTGGTCAAAAGTTTCATCTTCAGTATGTAGAAGACAAGATAAGCAAATTTGATTTGTCCACAGGGGGCGCCAAAGGTGACACAAATCAAAAGTTCCTAACAGGAACTTTAAGTCACTACAGAAAGAACCAATATGTCAAAGGCAAAATAAATCAAAGTTTTTTGACAGGACCGATTTTGAAAATAACAACCTGACTGAAGTGTTCATTATTAGTCTGGATTGAGGGTTTCTTGGAGCTTCTTTTGACTGATTGCAGGTTTTTTATCTTGCTCTTAAAGACACTAGTAAGTTTAAGTCCCTCAGTTTTAGCTTCAGACTCCCACGGGGGTTTACACTGAGCTGTGAAGTCAGTTTGCTGCAGCTTGGCAGGATAAATGGTCTTTTAATAGACAACAATAGCATCTAATCCTTATAGAAATCTACAGCCATTTAGTAGCCATTCAACTGACTAACATCTCCATCAGCATCTGCTGATACAGCAGGTGGAAACCCTTTTTAGCGTTTTCCCTTTTTGTATAATTTTGGCCAATTATTCAGAAATCAGTGTATTTCACATCACTTTGTGTGTTACTGGTCAGTTTGTCCTCCTGTCTGAGACGGAGTAGTACAAATGATGGACAGCTTCATGAGCAGCTGCCACCATGCCTGTTGTGTCTGCTGCAGTCTGTATTTGGCATCAGAGTGCTGATGAGAAGTGGTTTATGAGCTTACAGATCCATGTAGTAATCCCAGCCAAAGATGATTTGGAATCTTTTTTGGTAAATGAATGAAGTCCTTCTTTGGCAAAAGATGAAATGAGCCATGTGTTTGTCTCACCGGGGAATGTCATATTTCAATGAATCCTCATCGAAGATGCAGTATTTGAACCTTTTATCAAGTAGAGGGTTGGAGTATTAAGACAAAACAAGGGGTAAAAGAAAATGAAAAGATGTTGATGCTGACCTTTGAGTCCCGTTTCACCTCCTGACCCACATAAGTTCATGAGGCTCCTTTCCAGAACCCGGGATGAGTTAAAGAGGGTGAGCTTGGGATGAAGCCAGGAGATAAACGGCAGCTTAATTTTAGTCAAAACGAGATCTCCAACTCTGCTCTTTGAGCTGCTTAGGCAAGATAGGAGAGTGCGTATGCCTCTCTTTGTGCTGTTCTACATGTGTGTGCTTACTGTAAAGAAGGGGCAGCGCAGTCAGCACTGTGGGTGGGTGGGGGGCACTTCATTGTGCTTCCTCTTGCGGGATATAATTAATTGCTCCATCTCCTCTGCACTGTGTAATCCCATTTTGTGCCTTTGTCTTTGCAGTAATTTCTCCACATTTGGCCTAATTGTTGCCTTCTGGATTCCCCCTTTTGTCAAAATTTCACTTTCTCTCTCCCTATCCCTCCTTCCCTCCCCCCTGCTGCATTTAGTCCTTACTTTAAATCATCCCCCAGACTGAGCCAGAGCAGCACAATCTGCTGTACAGACTGGAGGTCGATTATGACGATGAACATGGAAGATTGATTCGAGGTTAGGTGGGAAGATGAGCCAATTTAGGAAAGTACATCTGCATGGAGGCTGTTGAATATTTTAATACTCTGACATATTTGAGTAATGGTGAGAGACGGTCCCTAAAGCTTTCCATTAATGTCCAACAGAGATCCCCGACAGTTTTTTTTTTTTATGTCTCCCTGAGGGAAAGTTGATATAATGCAAGTCAAACTTAACCAAGACATACATGCTTTAAACTCGAAACATAATCAATCTTCAATCAGAGAAGATGTGTCTATATAGCACTGCACTTAACCTTAATGTGTGCTCCAACATGGGTACATATAGTAGTATTAATGTTTTTATTTACACCAAAACATTGTCCGTCTGCAGCGTGTGGTAGAGTGAACAAAGAAAGAAATGTTTTTTGTGAATTGATGTCTGTTGTCGGTGAAATCTAAGATGTTTCCTATTTGAGCTGTTTAGGTTCAAATGTTTCCTCCTGGGCACCTCTGGGACTCTCAGGTGTCAAAGCTAAGTGTGTTACAGCACACTAACCCAATTCTTTCTTTGCGCTCTCAGGGGAAAGTTACGTTTGTGCATCGGAGAACTTCTACAAGAAGGTCGACTACACAAAGAACGTCAACCCCAACTGGTCCGTGAATGTAAAGGCCTCGGCTAGCCAGAAGAACATGCAGTCCTTAGCTGCCAAGGCTGCCGGTGAGCCCAGAGAGAGCAAGGACTTTGTCCGACCCAAGCTGGTGACGGTGATGCGCAGCGGTGTGAAGCCACGCAAGGCTGTGCGTGTCCTGCTCAATAAGAAAACAGCGCACTCCTTTGAACAGGTGCTCACCGACATCACAGAGGCCATTAAACTGGAAAGCGGCGTGGTAAAGAGGATCTACACACTGGACGGCAAACAAGTAAGTCCAGAATTTTGCATAAAAAAACTCCCCAACCCCCTGAAACTGCTGTCTGTATTTGTTTAGTGGACATGGTTCTGCAAAATACAGGAGGTACAGTTCTGTGTGTAAGCATAGCAACACAATAGGAAAATTTGTGGTCAAGTTTGAAGGAAGTTTGCTATTCATTTACCAACCCACGTCCAGGCAGATATCAGGATCAAAGCAAGGCAGGAAACCGGATTATTCATTCAGAGATGAAACAAATCTACAAATATATCATTGTCAGTCACCACTCTCGCTTCAAGATGACACAGCAGATCCATGAGAACCTCCAGTGTCCATGAGAATGACCTATGTGCACAATGACTTTCATTGTATACTGTCTTTATCTGACTTTTACTGTGAGGAAACGTACCCTCCTGTCTTGTGGTTTAGGTCATTAGGATCCTGCCCACCAGTGTTTGTTGTGAGGTTAGTTTTTAGGCCAGTGGCATTTTTTCAGTTCACCAGTCACTGAAAAGCTTAAAAGTCCTGGGATGTTCTGTCTTTATGTTTAGTGTACAAAAGGCCAAGCCCCGTATTGTTCTGTTTGATCACTTTGTCCTCTTTGGAGCTGTTCCGGATGGTTCTTTTTTGGAGTTTAATGGAGCAGAGAGAAAACCAGTCCAGAAAAGCCTTTAGATTAACACCTTCAGGAACTTAAAACAACTTGGAAACTGAAGTTTGTGAACTTAATCTGCTCTTTAAAGCAATAGTCCTCACAATTTACTGAACTTTTCACTAATACAGCTGTTTCCTTGGTGATGTAATGGTATCATCTGCATACAAGGAAACAGCACTATTAAATACTGCTACTAGATAATGTTACTGATAATCTGTGTATGAATATCGGGCTCTATCAAATACAAAGTATGGTATTGTACAACTCTTTACATATTTTGGTCAGACAAACTTTAGCTTCTCCTCAACAGACACACTCTTAGGCATTCACTGTATAAATGTCAATCACAGATGAGGATGAAGTCCTTTTTTTGAGAAATTGCTGAAGTTGCATTTTTAAATTGAAAATTGTTGACATGACTTGGTCCATAGATCAGAAGACGTAGATTAAAAGAGAAAGTGTCGTAAGCCATCTTAACCATTCTCAGGTGTGGAGAGGGGACCCCACCAGCTCTTGCAGATAAGCTGAATTAAAAACGGATGCATGAGAGGAAAATTGGATTTGTATCGACTGTCTGCAGGTAGTAAAAACCTGACATGACACTGGATTTTTATTCTATTCCCTCATGTAAGCGTGAGACATCAGGTCGAATAATGGGTGTTAAATTTCCAAGAATCAAAACAAAGCTCTTAATTTTCATGATGAACCAACATTTCAAGTGTAACTAGTGTTTCCCCTATAGTGTATTTGGCAGGGGGCCCCGCCCTGCCAATAATACCCCCGCCATGCCAGCAAGATTCTATCCCAGAAATGAAGTTATTTTGATCAAAATGGTCTACAAAATATGGTTTGCACAATTTCAGACTCTAAAGCTTGCAACTGTTTGATTACTTCTCAGACATGACATAAACATACGTCATACGGGATGACGTATGTCCACCTCCTACCACCACAACCTCAAAAAAGCTAGAGGAAACACTGGTAACTTATTACTTATTGGCAATGATTGACATCATTTTCCTCTAGCTGGTTTGTAAAGCTGCCTATTAAGCCAATCTGCTGGATTCAGTGACGAGGTTTTCCCCTTGTGAGGAACTTTCAGTTTGTGTTGATTTTGGTGCCACCTGTGGACAAACATTATAATACCTTATAATCTTTTTCTGATTTTTTCGGTTAATGTCAGTATTATTTTTAACAACAACAAAAAACACTCATTATTAATTGGGGAAAATTTCTGTGTAAAGTGTAGAAGAAAAAGTTAAAAATGGACCTATAGAAGTGTGTGCAGTTGATCACTTGGATTACCAGCAGTGTCAGACATGTAAAATAGTCTCCATGTTGATTGTTTTGTTTGCATTTGTTTGGTGTCAGTTTAAGTTTGTTTCATAAGAAGCTAAAACTCATCACAGAAATTTAAGTTGATTTTTAGATTGTAAAGAAACTTTTATTATTCCCAGAACTCTGTCCAGTATTTAAGGAAGGTTTTCCTAAATTAACAGTGAAAGTGTCCAACTGCAGCCACAGACCTTTGAAATGAACATATTCACTTTCATGCTTAAAAGGAACATTGCACTATTTTTCATGTTCGATTGTATGAGTTACACATCACTAGTAAGGGTATTAGCCGCCGGTCAGCTTGGTCCCTTTACTGAGAAACTACCAGTAAAAACAGGACGCCAGGTATGCTGCCATTTTCAGCGGACAGGGCTGACTCTGCTTCATAATTTAGTTAATTTTGAAATACCGGCTCAAGCTTTCATCCTGGTAGAAGTGTATGCTCTACTCAGAATTTGTCAGCACTTGACTTTGCCATCACAAAGTCCATTTGTTTTTGCACTATATGCAAGCCATGCACTGGCCGGCTGTTCAGGTTAGCAGGCTTTCAGAGTCAGAATTTAACTGAACCACATGTTGAGTGATCCTTTCAGCACCAACTGTGGACACACAAGGTCAACTTTACAGACAGGAATTGGAAGAAGCACTTTCTGGTTTTCTGATTTAACTTGAATGTTGAAGAAAGTCTGCAACAAACGGCAGTGCTCAGTATGACAGTGTACTCCTGTAGGTGAATATTGCAGACTGCAGCCTTGTATGATCCGTGAGTTTATTTTTGATTATTTGAAGATCTAGACGTACTCCGGCCTTCCAGTTAGCACAGAAGTCTCTCCATTATCCTTCAGCGTGCTTAAAATGTACATGTAAACCAAGATGAGTGCTTGAGCCTACCAGAGTAGGCCTTGCCTGCAGAAAAAGAAAATGTGCCTTGCACCTTGTTTCTGCCAGCAGTTTCTCATTGCTGACCGGAAGGTTTTACATTGTGGCTAATACGCTCACTACTGACACTGTTTTACTTCAAATTTCAGATTTGATTTTCCATTACAAAGATGACAATCAAGTATGAGTTTTACTTCAGACCATTCATAATTTCATACCTGTACCTCCTCTCAGTGCACACTATATCGACAACTATACTTTACAGGTGCATTTTGGTCACAGCTGTTTATTCAGCCAATGAAAAAGTAATAAAAGGCGGCAGCTCTGGTGATCCATATCAAAGTTCATCATATGCTTGATCTTTGCCTAAGAGCCACTCCCGAAAAAGACCTTTACTGTGTCAGCATCTGTTCATGGTCAGGCTTTACTGAAGCAGTATTGAGGGATAACCATGACCACCATGCAGGGCCACCTTTTTGGAGGGCTGTAAAAAAGGAGGATGAGGTGTTCTAATGCTCAAAAGTGCAAATAAGACTCGAGTGAGTGGTGTGGTCAAAGACAAGCTAGAATATGTATAGGGTGGTTTATTTTATATAGCAATTTCCTGTGCCGTAGAGGTGACTTCTTTGACTAAAATCTCAAAAAGGTGCTGTAAATGATCTTCAAAATAAACACAAGCACTGATGAATCATTGTTGCTGACATGGTTATTGAAAATTGCACACCTGTAACTATGTGCCTAGATCAAATACCTGTGTCTCCTCGCTCATGTGAATCACAGTTTAATTAGCAGAGGTGGGGACATGAAGCAGGCGTGAAAGCATATGCGAGTATGAGCATGGACATCTGTTCGTCACTCCTCTCTTTGATATGCTTAAATTTTTGCTGATTCTCCTTCGGGGACTTTTTCTGTATTTTTCATCACAAATGGGCCAGGGATTGTGCCCTGCTGAGCTCCTTTTTATGTGTTCATCTGTGTTTATTTCAGCTTTATTAATAAGCCCTAGCTGAGTCTAACATGTCTTAGAGTGGAGGAGGAGGAGGAGGAGGAGGAGGAGGAGGAGCGCTGAGATGATTGATGGTGAATTTGATTTTTAATGCTATGCCCCGGCGTGGTGCAGTCTGGCTGCCCCAGGTCTTAGACTAGTGTTCCTCCAGAAGCACTTGCTGAATGCTGTGATCTCTTTAAGAATTAAATGCACCTTTTATATTGTGGTCCTCTTAATCAAGTTTCCTTTTCCCCCTGTCTTTACTATTACCCTTTTTGCTATCCATCATTGTTAACGTTGTAAACCACAAATTAAGTTTATCTTTCACCTTGTGCTGACCTTCTTAATTGGAGTCTGTTGATTATACCGTCACCACTGTGGATATAGATGAATTGTTTCATGATTAGTGTCTGCGGTTTCCAAACTCCTGGGACTCCCAGTATGCATTGCACTGCACAAAGTAGTGGTAATTGCTGCACACATTATTGCAGTGTCTTTGTGTGCAGGCACACTGCAGCTGCTGCGTGGTGGAGGTGATATGGTAGAGGCAGTATTGATGCAGTGCCCGCCCCTCCCTCCCTGACTCTGCGCCGATCCTCCTCTTCCCATTCCTTTGCGATAGATAGCTGCTGGGACTGGTTGCTAGGAGACCACATCCTAGGCACAAAGAGAGCCCAGCTGGTGTGGACCAGTCTGTCAGAAACCACATCCTGTATGTAGTGGGTGTGAGAGTTTACTATCAATGCAAGGCTTTGGTCTGAAAATCTCACGTCAGGATATTCATTACCTGTGTTATCTCTCTTGGTTCAAAATCACACAGAAAATTACAGAATTACAATCTCAAAGTCTCAGTTTCGGCAGAAAATATGATTCAGGTTGTCCTTTTTTAGCGTTTTTGCTCTGTCTGATTGATCTCAATTGTCCTTTTTGTCTGTAGCTCTGTGTAGACTGTAAAGGCTGCCTGCTCTCCCCTCTTTGTCAGCGTTGTGAACAAAATCACTCCCATTTTCTCCTCAAATGCTGCTGCTTTTCACTTCAATCGGAAAGGGTGGGGCCAGTTGATTCAGGAATCATTTTCCATTCTAGGAGCAAATTAGGATCATTTTGTTTTTAGCAGATGGGTAATAATTACTCCCTGTGTGTTAAAAAAAATCTTGATTTGCCTTGACTGCTCCTAATGTCTACATTAAACCAGAGGGAGTTTATTTAATTGCTGGCAGCCATTTTGTAGTCATTCTTTCTGCTGAAGGTGTCTGCAGAGGAGAATTGTCCTGATTTGCATTGGAGATCCAGTGCTTGTTTATCCGAATTGCACTCTTTCGAGATTTTACGCCTAATAGATGCCTAATCCAAATGCCATTTGTGGAACACGTTGAAGGTGGTGGTTCTGTAGTTTATCCGCATGAATTGTCATGAGAAGTCTGCAGTATTTCAGTGGGAGGATTAACAGGTTTGAGTGCCCACTATTCTGCCCTGAGGTTGCCATAAGTGTTTTTTTATTACCTGGAAAGAGCCACAAAAGCAAAAGAGTGGATGCTTCATGCACAAGGTCACACACTGTTGTTGTCGAGGAACAAAAGGTTCCAGTTTCCCGTTAAAGTTGATAACTCATTGTCAGGGATGATTTGCTGAAAAGGATACGGATGCAGACATTGGTCTAGGGCTTCATAAGGACTAAAATACACCCATAATGGGGAAGAAAATCCTGCTTTTTCCTGCGTTATCAGTGCTCTCGCAGTCCGCCTGCTCTTAGCCATGCTGCAGAAGCAGTTGTCATGGCAATAAGCTCTGCCGTGATGGAGCCTGTGTGTGACAATGGTTGTAATACGCTGAGTGTGCTCTTTACACAGGGTCTTACCTGCTTGCTCTCTGCTCCTTACCCTTCAACACAGCTCACTGCAGCCACATTTCACCCACACACACACACCCCTCCACCCACCCACAGTGTGAAACGGAGGCAGACAATCAGGCTGACAGAGGGGCGTGGTCCCTCGTCATGAAGCATCTTGAGGAAACATGGTAGTCTGTGTGTATCGTCTGTGCTTAAATCCCCTCACAACCCCCTGTCTGTGCCACATCAACAAGTGAGCATGACCTGAGGGGGTAGAAAAAAGGAGGAAGCACAGTTTAATAATGCTAGGGCCACATCAGTCAGCCAAATGGAAACGCTGCTTCCCTCAAGGTTGAGGAGGGGTGGGGTTAAAACAACATCATGCACCAGCTGCTCCCCATGACTGTGCAGATATATTCCTGCCTAAGTGGCTCATCTGTGCTACAAATGCATCCAGAGCACCTCGAGAACAGACACTGTGCCAGAGCACAGAGGTCACACATGGGTCAAAAAGGCAACTTGCAGTACCAGACTTAACTGTCCTGGGAGAATTACTGAAAAACGTTCACTGGTACTCGCATGGTGTCTCTATGTTTTAATTCAATAAATTTGATTGATATGTTCTGTGATTATGCCCTTCATGGGTTATGATGCTTTTGGCTTTATATGGACAGAGGGTACATTTTAAAAATATTTCTTTATCTGCCTATTTTGTCTCGTCCAGAGGAAAGACAAAGTCTGGCATCACAAATGGATTTTAATCTGTTCAATTAATTTCCTTTTTCCAGGAGGGCATTAGCAAGGTCTGCATGTGGAAGTGCCTCTCAGAGCAACGCACACAGTAACAGAAAATGAACACAGACAGCAAAGGAAAAAAAAGAAAAGCATTTTTTCTTCGATCGATGCTGTATGTGCAGTTTTGATGGAAACACAACACACCATTTGTTAAAACGTGGCAGTAGATTCCCAGATGTTGGAAACTGCTATCTTAGTTGTTAATAAAAAGGCAGAAGCAGCGCCCCTGTGTTGTTGAAGGACCTGCCGCATTTTTAAACAAAGGACTATAATAGGTCCGGTATATCAGAGAACTCGGGGAAATTGCTTGACAGTGATTCCAGACTACTTGTAGGCAAGAATGGACATGAGCTGGCTGATGGGTCTGGCAACAACAGCCGAGGAAAGTTGTGCTTTTTATCAAACAAAATATCACTTCAGTCTTTGCTTTACCTCTGCCTGTTGACACTGTGGCAAAAGATTTGTTTTTTCTCATTAGTTAAAGTTAATCAACATGGAAGATGGTTTGCTCTTGTTAAGAAAGGGCAAAAATTGGAGTAGGAAGGGATGTAAGTCAGTACGTTCACGTGTTTAAAAAAACAAACAAAAAAAAAAAAAAACGATTTATTGCCCTAAACTGGACTTTTAAAAACATAAACATCTCAGTCTGACCGTAGCGGTACTAAATTGAATATCTCATAGTCAGAATAACATACCTGGATAATACATTTGGGGATCAATTTTCTGTCTGCTCAATCAAACTGAAACTGTTCAAAGTGTTATTCGCCTGCTACAGTGTTTGTACGCCAGGCTCTGAGTCTGCGGATGAACAGCGTGGATGTGTTGCTAGGAAACCAGGTTGCCAAACAGAATCTTGACAGACAGTAATGATACAGAAAAGGACATTTAAGGATGAAACTCTCCTATCATACAAACTGAACTGTGCATGTTGCACATATAGATAAACTAAAGCACAATGATCACAGTCATAAATGGATCAAGCAGAACCTGTACAACCAGGTGTGTGTGTACCTCAAAAGTATCCAGTAAGACCAGGTCCTTAGGTTTCAGATCTTTTTGTACCAACACCCATCAAAGGGTCCCAGTTTAGAGCTGAATTTGTGTTACCCTCTTCAAGGACTATCACCTCTGTACATGTGGCAAGTGACTAACTTAGTGAACCTTGTCAGGGTATTTTTAATATTACTTTTACTTTATTTAAATTATGGCCATCTTTGAGCATGGGTGGAAGGAGAAGTCAACATTGATAGAGTTTGTGGAGAAGACCTTAACTGGGTGCTGTGGTCTTTTTTTTTATATATCAGTTCAGAAAAAAGGATTTCACTATGAATGAAAATGTAAGGTACAGAGTTAATACGACCCCGTGAGAATCCTGACTAGAATATACCGTTAGGCCATCAAACACGGTATTGGAGGGACAATTATTCAGCCGTAAAATAAATAATCTATAGATCAATTCAATGATCTTTAAATCAATAAGCAGTTTTGCGTTCAACCTGTTCACCTTGTCAGGGTTTTAAACCATATAACCACCTGCTCACTTTACATCAGCTCTTATGTGACCAAACTTGTTGCTTGTGCTTTTTTTCTCCTGCTTTTGTTGGTCATAATGAGGCTTTAGTTTTTTAATAGTTGGTTTCTTCTTAAGCTTTTTTGTCCTGGACTGTTGCCTCAGATGCAGACACCCTGACACCAGCTTTTAGCTGTGACATTTTTTTCTTCTCTTTTGTATTGTCTGCGAAACCCTCAGTTGAAATGGACAAAATGGAGACTGTGTATATTTTGAAGGAATCTTCCTCTCGGTGCAGAGGAGCAGATATTGATCAGGTCTGTTTGCCTGTGAAGGAAACCGTGTAGGAGTGTCCCTATGGGCTGCCTAGCAATGGCTTACCAGCTCTTTCTCAGCTTTTTTAAATCTGTTTTATGCCTCTCATATACGTAATTTTAAAGGAATAATATATTTGATGCAATCTTATCAAATGTAATAATAATCATCTTTATTTATAGATCTTTACTTGAATGTGCTCTTCTAAATCCTAAAAACATTTGCTAAAATGTGGTGATATTACAGTAGAAATGGAAGCAGTGATTTTCTTCAAGCAGAAGGCACCTCCCACAAACTCACGGCAGACTCTCACATCAGATAAGTGGAATTGGTTGTACTTGATTCTACTGATTTGGGCCATGTGCTGACTCATTATCATCAGTGGTAATCCGTTGAGCCAATCAGATCACAGCAGAGAGTGAAAACAGCAACATCATGAAACAGCTTTGCCTCTGCACTGGGATCAATTAACATGGCTGTGCAGAGTCACAGATGAGACGGATAGCAGAGAGTCATCAGTCGCTCATTCATTGTTACTCTGACTGTGCTGCTGAAAGGATGAGCTGCAGACCAGCAGCTGCTTGAAGGAAACAATAGAAGTGTGGGCTCTGGTTCCTGCTAGCTCAAAAACAGGATCTTGGATATTGATTTTGTTATGCAAATAAAATTGAAAACAGACTTCATTTAGCTGCTATCATCAGATTGAGTTATGGATGAAGGAAACAGGAATGATTGCCCCCACCCAAATCTCTGAAATTCACTTTTGTTGACTGAAAACTTGAAGTGCTGCTTGGCCAAAATAATCATCTGTGCCCATTTTCTTAATTATTTTTCACAATTTGTTGCAAAATATAAGAGAGAGAGGATGATGATGCCATTATTTATAACATACTTTTGTTAACACTTTACAATAACCATCATTTATTCATGGTAAATAGTTTATTAATGTGTAATCATCATTTAAAAACAGCAAATAGACCAATTATAAATGGCAAAAAGTTTATTAATGTAAGTTAATAGTTACTTTACCATTAACAAGTGGTTTTTAAACCATCTATAAACATTACTTAGATGGTTATTGTAAAGTTGCAACTGATGTTTGTACTACTTTGTAAATGATTAATAAGTGGTTTATAAACCACCAATAAACATTTCTTAGATGGTTATTGTAAATTTAGGGTTAGATTTTAAAATTGTAAAATGTACAATTTATTAATGGTCTATATGCTATTTATAAATGATGATTAAACATGATAAAATTAATAAAAATAATAAATACAATAATAATATAATAATAAAATTTCTGCTTTCCATTTATAAATGGCCTATTACCCTCTATAAGTTATGGTTATTGTAAAGTGTTACCTATAATTTATTATGTTACAACTTTTTTTCTGCCAAAAGAGATATAATTGTGTGTCTTTGTGTTTGGGTCAATTCTTCCTAAGCAAATTAAACAAAGTTGTCTGTTTTTATGAGCAGATCTTGAATTGGAATCATTGAGCGAAGATGCATAAATTGCACTGACATGTTTGCTTCTGCGTCTCAGCAGGGAGCTCAGAGTTACAAAACACTCAATTTCTATATTTACCACTTTACTGTCATGACCTAATGACAGCCTGGGCATAATTGGCCAGAGTTAGACTAAAGGAGCTCTAAATAATTTAGTCACTATAGTTGGTGGATCCCTGTGTGGCTGCTGGTGGTGTTGGTGGTTTTTTAGGGGGTCACATGGTCCTGACAGCTGGTGAGGCAGAGATTAGGGATGGGCTTGGTGGGACAGAGTGGTGGGCACCTGGAGTCTGAAAGGAGCCAGTTTTTTTCTTGAAACCCCGCCCACTTTTCTGCAAATAAACAATTATGTGTAACCAATCCGACAAGGTTTTGATCATATTGAAGTTGAATGTCATGTTGCCAGGCGGATCTGGATGACGCAGCTGACTGCCCTTTAAAACCTGCATCCTGATGGCTCACTGCAGCCTGGTTTCAAAGAGTCTCTGACATTTCACATGCAATCTGATCAAACTCTATCAGCGTGGTATTCAGCAACATTTCAAATAACTGCAGAATAATGTAAAAGAAATCATTCACAGCAGCTTTAAATCATTGTTAAAGGAAAGGAATTACTGATGGTGTCAATCAGAGGTTTGCACATGCAGATTTAAGTGACTTTAGTCAATCTGTTGAACATTTGACACACAATCAACATGATATATTTGTACATGCAAAGAAGAGTCTGCAAAGATCTGTACAGTAACTTTAATTATGTGGATCCTAAGTGACCCCTGTTGGGGATAGGATTAGAAGGACTGCTTGGAAGGACTCAGTGTTTGGAGGATAGTGCTTTCCAAAACAGTCCCGGATCATGGCAAAATTAGATTATTGTGTTCCTGTTGTGGAGTCGGAGAAACCCAACTTGCGGTGTTTATTTTTACCGTGTGAGGTATATCAATAATGCATCCTCTTTCAGGTAGATGAGTGGCAGACTGTGTGGCAAGACGGAGCTACTGTTGTCTGTTAGACGCCTGTAGAGAGGGCAGAGTCTTCGTCTCAAATGGTGGTTTTGTGAGGAGAGATTAAAGTCGCAGTCCGTGGGATAAACACTTTATCCCTTTAATCAGCTCTGTTCTTAAACCTATTAAAACATGGACCAGTCTTTAAACTCCCATCCCTATCCAGTCCATTTTCCATTTCCTCCTCCTCTGCACTGCTCTTAGGGGAACAAGACTTCTCCTAATGCCTCCATCTTATGATTAACTGTCAGGTGCCCTTGTTGCACACAATGGTTTGAACTACTAAGAGCAACATGTGTCTAATCTCTTGATAATGGACTCTGAAAATATAAAGAATTCGCTGTGAGTGTTAGTCCCAGCTGAAAAACCAATTATTTCCTGATCCCTGGAGTCAAAGCACCATCTCTATACCCCAGCAGAGATCTGCCAGGCCAGGGAATCTCATGGTTCTCAGAGAGAGGGTACAGCTGTTGGATGCCTCGCCAGCGAGTCACCACCGCACACTTTTAGCTTGTCTAGCAGGATGGAGAACCAACATGGCAGCTGCTGGGGTGCGGTGTTCCCAAATTATCTGCAGCTCATAGTTTGGATGTGTATCACAAAGGAGGCCATGATGCATCTTGACTATTCTGGCAAACTTCCCAACATGGGGTAAACTTTAGAGCCATGGACCTCTCAGGACTCACAGCATGCAGAGTCTCGAATCGGTAAAGGTCTGCACTTTGCCATTATTATCGTCTAGTCCTGCTATTTTAGTAAACTTTGCTTTATTTGACACAATACAAGTCTTGACTCAACTTGAATCTTTAGTTTAATCCGTTCATGAGTCTAAATCCAATAATTCAAGTGAGAAAGAATACATTTCAATTGGTGTTGACAGATAAACTGGAGATGAGTCTGAGGTAATTTTTCACATCAGAAGTCATCACATCTGCTCTGGAAAAGAAATAACAACAAGGGGAGTAGTGCTTTTAATTTGAAAAGCTTTAATAGGCGTGTCTGAGCCCGTAACAAGGTCTGTATAATGGAGCGCAAAAGAGAAGGTGTGTCCCGCGGACATCTGTCCACTGAGGCCATATTGTGTCAACAGCTGCTATAATGTGAAAAGACCCCGAGGAAGGAAGTTGATTCACTTAAACATTACGGCAAAGATGTAACATGATACCTCTTTGTTTGGTCTTTCTGTGCCTTTTGTGTTTGTGTGTTTTGTTACATGCAGCTACTGTAGCTAAAGGCATGTTAACATGACAAGTGAAACACAAAGACGGCCTACTAGCACCTCAGGCTGGCAAAATCCTTTGGCTGGCTGACAGAAAGAGGAAAAAAAAAAACCTTACATTCATTCAGTTAACAAACGAGCTTAAGTGAAATTATTTACTGAGCTCATCCTCTTTTAGGAAATTAAATTTGATTTGTCTTCAAATGTGAGCGTGTCCTCTGCACACTTTATCAGTAACATTTCCTCATGCTGGTGTGCCCGTGTGGATAACACTTCAATTCCCTTTAATGGGTTATGAATTATAACAGCACAAACATCTTCTTACTGTTACATGTAATCCTCTTAATGCATTGAATGCATCAGTTAGCATTAAAAACTAATATGTTCAGCATGCTAGCTGCTTGGCTGTGAGCATGGAAATCTAGATCTGTCAATCATCCCACCACTTCATCCCTGTTTGACATATCGAAGCTGATGTTGTATTTATATCACATTTACAAAAGTTATAATCCTAATCATACACTGGATATAAAAATATAAACACAACACTTTTGTTTTTGCTCCCATTTTGTTTTGCAGTTTATGCCACCATTTATTCTCTGAACAGGAACAAAATAGTTACTAGTCAGTCATTCAGAGTTGGCTCGTTACGGCAGCTCATGCCGCACACTACGAAGGATGGCTAGCTATATTAGCACCGGCGCTAGCTAGCTCGCTAATGAATGTACAGTGTTGTTTGTAGCGCTACTAAATGACGATAACCCAGTCAGGACTTCTCTTATCAACAGTAACAAAGTATTCAGAGCCCATAAGATAAGAATACAGACATTAATTCAGGGTTTTTGTAGCCCTTTACTGTAGATGACTACTTTATCTTCTGAACTCCACTGTAAAATTTCTGTCATATCCAGAGCTAGCCATTCTCTTTCGATTGAATGTTACAGAATCACCCTTTTCTGTCTTCGCTTTTTGCAATTCAACAATAGATGTCCAACTGTTTCCTGGTAACTATGATTCTCATGCTTTCCTGTTCCTTATTTGTTTATAATTTTAAGTGAACTGTTTAAATCTGTGTGTCCAAATGCCATTCTTGAAAAGACAAATAAAGTCAAATTGTTATTTCTTTTTCAGGTTACCTGCCTTCAGGATTTCTTTGGCGATGATGACGTCTTCATCGCTTGTGGACCTGAGAAATTCCGCTACGCCCAGGATGACTTCTCACTGGATGATAACGGTAACCCTGACACTGTATTTCTTATCATCATAATGCATTTACAAAGTACTATGCTGTACTTATACACAGAGTATTTTATCAAATATGACAGGAAAGAGCTGATAAGCTTTTTGAAATACATTTGATAAATAAAACCATGGGATAAATAAAACATTGGGAATACAGTATGAGCATCTAATATTTATGTAGAAGCATCAGCTAAAAACGTTAAACTATTATAGGTCCACAAAGATAAATGAACTATTTATCAGAAAATTCCAGCCAAAAATTTTGTCTTTACATATTGAGACGTACTTGTCAGAGTTTTCGTGCTGTTTATTTCCACAGTTTGGTTGAATAAAGTCTTATTGAATTGTACAATGTTGGCAGTTGATGTAAGGTGTGCTGTCAGTTCATGTTTTGCACTTAGTGTAATGAATTTGGCTGATGCCTTGGACTGAATCATTGAAAACACAGCAATTAAACATTTGTGTTTGTATGAGTCATGAGATTAAAAATAGGAGAGGAGTTTTTATAACACACTCGCTACATTAATGAGTCTCCTTTACTTTCAAGTCCCATCCAGTCATTTTATCAAAAACAAAAAGAGGTTTTTACAATCTGAATCAGAGAGTTATTTCAAAAGATACAGCTGCAAATTGAGTGAGACCCTCTTCATTTAATAAGTGGGGATAAGTCTTTATTGGTTCATAAATGTATTATGTGCTATGTGAATATAACATAGAAAAGGCCACAAAGTGAAAAATAGGAGTCTGTTATCAGCAGCTGGCAGCAGGGATAGAAAAAGGTAGAGGAAAAGAAGAGTCATTAATCTGTTTGGTGACTGGTCTAGGCCAGCTGATCTGTTCGTGCTGATACTGCTCAGAAGTGGGGGAGAGAAAAATGTACAAAACCAGTCCTCTCACATGGTCTCTGCTCCCCACAGACCTGAGAACCCTATCTTTAATGACCCACTTCCACCTTATGCCCCTTCCTTGAGTCATTCAGGATCTAATAGATGTCCTTTAACTGAAGTACAGCACTGATACAGGCTTGAAATATCTTTATGTTTTCCTCCTTTCTTCTCTCTCCCCTCGATTCCTTATTGAATTTTGGTTGGATGAAAATGCCTGTTCATTTATACTGATCTGGATTTTTGTTTTAACATGACCCCCCCTCTGAAACTATAAGTTAACTGCTTGATTTAGTCTATAATAAGCCTGGAGCAATTAAAGTGAAATGGCAATGAGACACAAGTGAGTTTGCGTCAGTGAGGGAGAGGACTTTATCTTCAATATGAAGTTACAGTATGATGCCACATGTGGATGACTGATGGCGAAATTCTGTTGCTTTTAAGGCCATATACTATATGGTTACTTTGACGAAGTTGGAAACCGTCTAAGACACACTTGATCAAATGTTTTGTCTATGCCGGAGATGTTTTTCCTTCTTACCCTCCACAACTGTCGTCTCTTTTAAGCTTGGTTTGGCAGACCTACCAAAATAGAATAAAACCCCTTGTGGTTATTTTTCCCACTCCTTATGTTAAACACAAGTTTCTGCTGATGGATGTGCAGGCAGAGGAACACACACATACCTGCGGTTCTTGTTTATGCTGCAACAGCATCAGAAGAAGAAGAAGAATCCATGAGCAGAGACTGAAGGCTATTCCGAGCCCTCTAAGTAGACTCGACAAGCTGCCAGTCTGCAGCTTTGTCAAAGACATAGTGGCACACCTTGCAAACAATGGTGTGCGAATGTGCGTCCGTATCCACCAGTGTGTGAAGGTTACGAGAGAGAAGACAGACATGGTGTGATCCCAGGAGACGGAGGGAGGACAGATAGTATAATTAGCATCAAAAGTAGAAGAAAGGAAGGATAGAGGGGGAGAGAGGAGAGACTGTGCAAACAGAGGGTGGAGATGCAGAGGGAGGAGTAGTGATGTCTGGAGTCTGTCTAGCCTGATTAATACAGTGACCCAGAATATAATATGCATCCCTATTAGATCTATACACATTACTGTGCATTTACATGAATTCACAAACAACAGTGAAAAAAGGAAAGTAAACTGGGGACAATGAAAATAGAAGTCAGCCTATCTGTATTCAGAGTACGACATACAAACAAGACAAAGAACATTTTTACCCTTTTTTTTTCTTTTTCTTTTTACAAAAGCAACACATTTCTCAAAGAAGATGTGGCCAGAACAAAAACAGTAAATGAAAACTAGTTGGATTTAAATTTGAATAAGGTAATACCTTATTAGAGAATCAGTAAAGCACATATAGATCTGACAAGAAATTCAATGCAGGCTGAAAAAAGAAGTCGCATATTCTGGTGAGCCTCACTGACCAGCTGTTGTGTCTTTTGGATGAATATTGATCTGCTTAACAAACCGAAGTGAATCAACAAAATCAATTCTGTGTGATTATCTCCACACAAGAAACTTGATGATATTCTGCAGGGGACAATCCAGTGTAGGTAGGTGGTACATTTCATGTCAAAGACATGTACATGGTTTCAGTGACATTATTTCACATTTTGGTTGCTGGAGAGGCGTTTCAAAGCCCAGTGATGGCAGCTGTCACTCTGGAAATGCTGACTCAACCCAACCCTCTAAACTAGAAACAAACGGATTAAGCGAGGGCGGGCTCTTATCCTTTTTACAAACAGCTACAATGCAACCCCCCAGTCAGTCAAATCAGCCACACCCCTATTTATGCAAAACTCATGGCCTTAACGTCCAGTAGATAGATGAGTTATAACCACCCTACTCCTCCTCTGCCCTTTCTTTGTACCTTATTTATTTAGACACACACACAAATACGAAAAAGCAAATGAGCTGTGCAGTTTTAAACGGTTTCTATCAGGTTGTTAACATGTTCAATCCTTCTGTAAAAATGGGCATTTTATTATGGATGTTCAGTGGGTGTCTTCATCCAGCCCCAAATGGACACACAAGGACACTCACACTTTAAATGCAAAAATGTCTCAGGGTGCAAAAGCTATTTAGGCAAGCCAAAACGCTATAGACGCTATAGGACAATCAGATCCAGAACGAACAGACTTAAAAACAGTTTTTTTCCGTCAGCAATAACTACCCTCAATGCCTAAAGGAAGTGACTGAATACCTATTTACTCATTTACTTTATTTATTCGGAACTTATTTATTTATTTAGAACTGCTATTTATTACTGTATTTGTTTTTAATGATGCACTGACTGTCTGGCACTTTTTTAATTTCGTTGTACTGGTTACAATGACAATAAAGGACTATTCTATTCTATTCAAAACAATACGAATTAGAGAGAGGCATTTGAATGAGATCAAATCAGACGTATTAATTGAAAAACTTCCACATGAAAACAAAAAATACCTCTCAGAGTTTTTTGAGTGATATTGTATGAGTGTTTTGAATAGATGTATAACAAATGACTGGAGAGAATAGACATATTGTATAATGTAGTCTCAGTATTATCAAGCCTGTAACATCTATTTAGAGATTAAACCTATTCTCTAATTTTATTGTCACATTTTTGAATACCTTGAAAGTTTTTCAGTGAATAACTCTGATGTCTCTGCTCTTGTCTCCACAGAGTGCAGGGTGATGAAGGGGGCCAAAGCTCAACGTGGTTCAGCAAAGAGTCCCGGACAAATCAAGCGCAGCAAGTCTCCTGCAGAGTCGAGTGAGCAACATTAACATTTCACCTACACTGTAACACTTTTTTTTGAGAGTACAGTCGGGGAAACTGACCTCAACTTGTTCAATAATTATAAACACAGCTGCTGTTCAACAATAGGGTTATTTCAGACCTGGAAATAATGAACTCAGATACAACTTTGAAAATGACAGCAGGGTGAAAGTGTTAGTAACAAGAAATATGAATGCAGCTCACCTTACTTTGACTTTACTTTTAAGTGAAAGGTAAGAAAATCCTCAATCCTCTGTGATAGAAGAGGATTTCAAATACATACACCAATGCATCTTCTATTTCATGATTATTTTCAACATTAATTAACATTTTTTAGATCTGAAATCTGAAAAAAAAGACTGAAAGAGTTAATATACCAGTTGTTCTTGTTGTGGTCATGTTTTGTTTGAAAAGCTCAAATGATCAGCTTCTTAATCTCTCTTTAACATTAGATAGAAACACTCAAAGTACAGCTTTTGTTTATCATAATACACCATCCATTTTTTTTGTCCTAAAACTGTGTGGGTTTGATTTAACATTGCCCATGCAGAGTCTTTAAAAGAAGGATATGAATAAAACATGAAACCTAAACAAAGAGAGTGTAAACAGCTCCGAGCTATTTGTTTGACAATCAGGGATTTTAACATTTAATAATATCCAGGAGGCAAAAAAAAAAAAAGCATCATAGTGTGGTGCTTACTTAAAAAGTTGCTTTCCTTTTTTATGAAATGCAAGTTCATAAAGCTGCACCATTAGCTGAACAGTTTGAGCCATGAAATCAAATCAGGTGCAGGCATGACAGAGAGAGCATTTAAGAGACTTCAACTCTTAACACTGGAGGGGAAAAGCATTCAAAGGAATATGTTCCACATAACAGCCTCAAACTGCATTATGTCAGGATTATATATTTAGCTAAAGTGTATTGTGTCTGAGCTTTTAATACATTACAAGATGATGGTATGTTTGTATTCTTCTATCTTCTTCGAGTCTGCCTGAACAGAAGAAGGTGACAGAGTTCAATCCCGGTGGGACAGATGCAGACATTCAGTGTTCTCAGAGGACGCAGCAGGACATCACAGTTTATCTTTCATGCTGTTTTACACCGTTGGGGGGGGGGTGACTCTAGGGTCTACAGCCCTCCAGGTTCTCTGGGTCCATCAGTGCTTTTGAATAATTTATTGATCATTAAACAAGGACGCCTGGCCTGAAGACAGCAGATGTTTGGCTGACAAGCTAAAAGGCAGTAAAGTGTTGAGTATGAAATAAGGCTGTTATACCTGAGCGGTCAAAGAGGTGAGAGTAGAGGTAAAGCAGTGATCGGTTAATAAAGACATGGATCATTATCAGGCTCCCAACTTCTAGAAGATGCTGAAAGTTTTGATTTCATAAAAACAAGTAGCAGTATAGGGCTTTCAAGAGAAGGATTTCCCCCAATTCTCACCTGATTTCCCCTTTTTTTTCCAGGGATGAAGGATTAATTTTCATATTTATGCTTTCCTATTGAGTCTTAAAACCCATTGTCACGAGTCTGTGCAAGGCTCAACTTAATCTTCTGGGCTTGACTTACCATAAATTAAAAGCTACAAAACAACCATATACATAGAAAAGCCTAATATTTTCATCCATTTACTATGTGAATCCTTTTCTCAAAATGTAAAGGATTATCCATGAACGTGATGATTTTATCACTCATCAGATTTATGGACCGGTAACTGGCATCGAAAACTATAAACTGCTGTGTCCTACCATCTGTCTTTTAAAGCTTGTCTTGCTTCTGCCTGGTTATCAGCTGTTTTAGAGACGTCTCATTGGCCAACAGCTCAATAATAGATATATGCAAATAATAAATAATGTATAAATATACATTTTCTGTATATTTCGCAGAGTCGGCTCAACAAACATCCTGACTTTGTCTTTTAGGGTTCACTGGGTTTACTGAAATGAGTTCAAAGTGTGTTTGGCACGGTCCTAGGACTGAAAATGCAGTGATCTCTGATTCAAAAGTCACTTTGAGATGGACTTTTAACACAAAGGAAGGATAAATCTTTCAAGTGTAGAAATGGAGAGGCTGTATCAGAGAGAAAAGGGTTACTCTGCCTCTGCTGCAGCTGAATGTTTGCTCTCTAAATAACCAGCTGCACTCTCTGCTCAGTATGTGTGGGGGGAGCTGCTCATGTTTAGATTTTCAGATTTTAGGACCTGAGATTGTGATTTCAGGTCCTCTTTAAAGTCTTCAAAAAGCTTGTTAAATGTGCATGTGTATATCCGTTAATCTGGCTGAGTGGTTAAATGAAGCGAGCAGCATAAAGCTGGCTAACAACAGCTCTTTATCCACATAGCGTTTTTAACACCCATTGGCTCAAATTTACACCGACCATCTGGTTCATAGTCTTAAGAATTCTTTTCATCTCTATACACAAAAACTCTTTGAAACCACTTTTACATACAACTACATCACTTTGCTCCTCTCTTAGATATAAACACAATCTACTACACAGAGGGAATCCTAGCAACATGGCAGGACGCAGAGAGAGTGAATAAAATGTCACCTAACAAACAGAAACCGTGAGCGTTGCTCTGAGCTGCAGCCAAACAAGGCCACAGTTCAGGATGACTTTTTAGCAGAGCCAAAGAAAGACATTCAGGCTTTTCTTACACACTTTCTAATCCACACTACTGTTTACCTCTTTCTCTCCTTTTGCCCTCCTCCTCCTCCTCCATTATCCCTCCCTCTCTCCTCTCCCCTCTCAGCCAACGGGACAGGCTCCAGCAGCCAGCTCTCCACCCCGATTTCTAAGCATTCCCCCACCTCCACCCCCAACAGTCCAGGCCTCAACAACAAGCAGAAGGTACCCGAACCGCTCTCCCTCTTCTGACCTCTCAGCTTTCATTGAGTCTGTTTTTTTTTATCAGTGCCAAATCACAGTGATGTTATCACTTTTTCATTTCATTCATCTGGACATCTAAACCTTTAACTTTGAGCTGAGTGCTTGCTGTAAATCTGATCAAAAAAGAAAGTTTTGAGCCTATTCTTGAAATTAGTGAGGGTGTCTGCCTCCCAGAGGACTGATAAATGACTCTAAAGGAGAGGAAGAAAGCTTGACTTCCTACACTACTCCTGGGAACTTTTAGCAAGCTGGTATTCAGGGAGTGCAACTTCAGGTAATGGAGTAGTGTAGGCTCTTGAAGATTTGATGGTGCCTGACCATTGAGAGCATAGATAGATGGATGGATGGATGGATGGATGGATGGATGGATGGATGGATAGATAAATAGATAGATAGATAGATAGATAGATAGATAGATAGATAGATAGATAGATAGATAGATAGATAGATAGATAGATAGATAGATAGATAGATAGATAGATAGATAGATAGATAGATAGATAGATAGATGGATGGATGGATGGATGGATGGATAGACTGTTTAAGGTGCTCAGTAATGTGTTGGGGTAGGAGTTTAAAAATGGACTATACAGCAGACAGGTGTGAGTCCCTGTCTGACATATGTGAGTTATTGAACAGTGCAATAGCTTGTGGCAGGAAATATTTCCTGTATCTGTCCCTTCGACAGCAGAGCTGCAACAGTCTGTTGGAGAAGGAGCTCCACTGTCTGTCCAGAGTGAGGTGGAGAGGGTTGTGAGGGTTATCCATGATGGATAACAGTTTGTTCAGTGTCCTCCTCTCCACCACAGCCTCCAAAGTGTCCTGTTTGCATTGTAAGTGAGGAGAAGAGATTTTTTTTACCATTACTTTAAAAACAGTGGTTCTCAAGTCCAGTCCTCGAGCCCCCCCGTCCTGCATGTTTTGGATATTTCCCTGCTCCAACACACCTGATTCAAATGATCAGCTCGTTATCAAGCTCTGGAATGGAATGGCTTAATAACGAGCTAATCATTTGAATCAGGTGTGGCTTGATAACGAGCTGATCATTTGAATCAGGTGTGTTGGAGCAGGGAAACATCCAAAACATGCAGGACAGTGGGGGGCTCGAGGACTGGACTTGAGAACCATTGCTTTAAAAGAAGCAAGAGTAGACAAGCTGATATGGGAGAAATCTCTTTTTGAAGCATCTTTAAACTCTTACGACCTGACAGTGGGGCACTGCAGAAATCGTTTTAAGGCAGACTGTACATAATCTTCTACATTTTTCTCTGTAGGTGGGAGAATCTTTCCTTGAATTGTCTCGCTGTCCCCTCTTGTCTTGAAATGCAACAAAGCAGACCCCTGAATTTACAGATGTGATTTTGCCGCTGTGTTCGCAGGAACTCTACTTGCCCTTATCTCTGGATGATGATGATTCAATCGGCGAATCGATGTAGACCCTCCTCCTGCAGCCTGCCTCCCCCTTTGGCCTGAAACACAGAAGTTTTTATACATCTGCTGCTTTCCACCTCCACTCACAGTGCCAGCCGTTGTCGAGGAGAACTGTTCTTCGTTTCCATTTTTTTTAAAGCCTTAGCCCGCAGAGCTATGAGACCATTTGCTGCTTGAGAATAACACAAACCACTTTTTTGAAACCAGTTTCAACCACATTGCCAAAAATCAGCTCACTATTGTTCAGGAATATGTTTCCATGTAAAGGTTAGCCACAACTACTCAAAAAGGTTCACAGTTCACTAACCAGCAGATTTCACGGGGTAAAAAAGTTCACTTTGGTCTCCAACATTTTTTTAAAGGATGCACTATGACTTCAATGTTTCAGTCACTAAATTCCAAGCAGCAAATGGCTCTTTTTAGGGGTGTTAGTCAGATCTGACTCAACTTTTGTATCACTTGTACTCGTGGTGTTTCTCCATGTCCTTCTGTCCTCCTGCCCCTTTGGTTAAAAGTGTGAAAGCTAATGGTCCCCTTTCAGAGGAAGTCTGCAAAGCCAGATAAAGTCCTTCTAACCTGCTGTAAATACTGTGTATAGCTTTCCATCGAAGCATCTCAGCCCAACGTCGATTAATGTGCTTCCATAACGTCCATACGGTGTCTGTCTAACATTTGCTCAACATAAAACAGGGTTTGGCCAAAGTAGAAGAAGAACCAAAATGAAGTCTCACTGCAGAGGGTGAGGATGAGTGGGCTGCAGCTCCTGACTGAAGAGGATGATTGGTCAGGAGCAAAACGCCCCCACAAAGCGAATTCATAATCCCAACTGAATATATGAAGTCTATAGATGAGACTATATAAAACCATCTATGAAAAGAAACTTTTAGTCCACATCAGCTGTGGAGGTTATAAAATCCTTAGATTGGTATTGATTGAAAAAGTTCCTGTCCAATCAGAGACCAGGAAACAACAGTACAAGAAAAAAAAACATCCCACATGACCCTCAGTGAATCCGTCATCTTGGTGTTTCCTCTATTTTGACCCTCTACATTCGTAGGCAGTAGACTACACACGGTTAATACCCTCTGTGTTTTAGATTTTCAGAATTTGCAGTGCATGATAATGAATGATTGATCATGAAGCTTTGGGCGAGTAAAACGTTGAATTGAAGGACCTAAATGTGCATAAAATAAGCGGGTAAGAATTAAGTTCCTTACCTACTCATAAAAACAACCAAAGGACAAAAAAAATTCAGGCCCTTTTTTTAAAATGAAAACATCAGTATACAGTTTTTATTCATCGAGTCTCGATAATTCCCTTTAGGTGATGTTTTATAGTGTGAAATTTAAAGATTAATAAATAAAGGTTTCAAAGCCAAAGTATGATTTTAGATCAAGAATTATAGTGAGGTGTAAATTTATCAGTTGTAAAATTCTTTAGAAGCACACCTGGAGATTTATGCATGTTACTTTCAACACATCCAAATACCATGACAATGAAATCATGCTCATCTGAGGCCATTAGAGTTTATCAGGGCACTCAATAGTAGTGGGATCTCTCCTCTATTTTGCATGGCTCAGCATAGTTCTCAGATACAGAGGAGATTAAAACACAATGGCTGTCTAAATCTATGTGTGGGTTTAAAAATTTTTATAAAGTCTATTAATTTATATCAATCGAAGGTACTTGTCTAGAATTCCTTTTCTAGTTTTAACCTGCTCTCACGAGCTCTAAACACATTTTTCCCAAGCCTCTGCGTGAAACTTTTTTACGGCAGCGTTTCTTTTTTTTTTCTATCATAACAACTTGTGTAGTGTGTCCAGGAAATCTACTGAAACAGGTTTTTACAGAATTGTGCAGTGAATCCAGCCTGAGAGTCACAAAATCAGACGTCAGCAAAGCACAAAGCAGGGAAACGATTGTTCATCACAGCAACTGACACTTTACTCTCGACTCGCCAGCATTTCGATGCGTGACCACAATTGATTTTTTGATAAATTAGAAAATATGCTGCACATGTAGCAACCTGCAGATTGGAATCTATGCATTTGGATCTAAAATTAGCCTTTTTTTTATTTAGGATTTGACATGATGTAGTTAACCGAAGACAGAGAAATGAACAAACTGAAGTTTACATGCAGTTTTTCTCTTGCAATGATGTGACAGAAGTCTGGGAGCTGTATGTCTAACTATTCATCTAGCTGAGCTGTTTTTAATACATGCTTGTTGCTCAAGACAAAAAAAAATCATCTAACTACCCGGTGCTGTAAGCTCCATCTTTCTCCTGCAGGGAGTGCTGTCACACCAGCACAAACACAGCTAATAATATCAGCCAATCCAACAGCAGGGACACTTCGCTTTACTGCCCATTTTGTACAAAAACCCTCTTTGTTGTCTCGGTTCTGTATAACCTTTCATGATAATAATAATCTTGTTTCCTTGATTTTTCTACAAGTTACTACAACATATAAACCATGAACAGAAACTGTTGGTTGTCTTGTGTTAACCGGCCCACCACCATGTAAGATGGTTGGTGTGAATTCATCACCTACAGTGGTGCCTTTTTTTTAAAGATTACAGTCTTTTGATAAAAAATGAAACGGGGAATGGAAGGCTTGTTCTTTGTTAACGGCTGTTTGTAAAACGTTTTTAATCGTCTTGAATGAGGAGGGCTCCGACACGCTTTGTTTTTGTAGAGTAACAGGACACTTAATCACGGTGTAAATATGCTCCCCTCCTGTTCTCTTTCATATGTATGCCTTTCCAGTCGAATGAATGACTTTTTCTGTTCTTGGGAATTTACAATGTCCTTTTTAGTGGTACTTTGCAATGTCACAGTGGCTTGTTTCAGTGCTTCATTCAATGTATTAACCGGTATCCTTTTGCAATTAAAACAGTTGTATTACATCTCTCTGGTTGTGAGTTTATTACACATGCAGATGTGGGTGAATTTAAGGGTCTGATCTGTCTCTGAAATCCTAAAAATGCTTTTGATTCAGGCTTGTTATCCACTGAAATCTTTTTTTACTATTTCTAGTAGAGATAGGAAAGTGAATAGATATAGTAAGAGAGCAATGGTCGGCTTTTGATATGTGCCAAAACTCTGCTGAGTGATCTATAAAAAGATAAAAGATAGGTGAGTTTAAAAATAGGATCATGTTCATTCAGAAATCAGTTGTACTCTTGTTCATCACCATGGGAACAGGAAATCTACCTCACAGCTTAATCAAATGTCAGTAGCCTATAAAAACATTTTATTAACCATTTTAAATTATTATACCATCATGTGGCATAATGATGTTACATACGTGTCATGCTATATTGCATTTATGATACCAAGATTTAACAGATGGCTGATTCATGTCATGATTTACTACTTTTAACATTTTTCAATAGCTTAATACTTCAGTGGGATATGAGGGAAGATGCTGCAAGGGAATTTCAATATGTTATTATTTTCGCACTCTTGCCTGTCATGGGCCCTTACAATTCTCCTAACTTTTCTCCAGCACCCCTGGATATGTCACACAGTCTTGAGAGGGATTTGTTTTATCAAAGAAGCTCTACATACATAGGATACAATAGAAGAAATGTATCCCCAAAGATGAAAAATGTTCTCCAGGACAGTTAAGAAACTGTCTAAATCTAGTCAGGTGAGAGGAGGTTGAAGTCTCCTGGTATTATTACAAGCACCCCAGGATGTTGAGTCTGTATCCTAGCAACGGTATCATGGAAAATACATGTATACAAGTATTTTTTATGATACAACTGAACTCCCTTAGAACATAATATGGCCGAAGAGCAAATGTCAAAAGTTCAACATCTGGGCAACATGACTTTTCTTGACAGTTATGTGTGAAGAGTTAAACCATCTCTGGTTAACAAATAAAGCCAGACTCCCTCCTTACTTCTTGATACTAGCTTTAGCATCTCTGTCTGACCTTTATGAGAGTGAAGTCAGGTAGATCTACACTGGAGAGTGAGTTGTTTTGATTCAACCAGGTTTCAGTAAAACACAGGAGACTGCACTCACAGTATGCTTTCTCAGTCTTTGCCAAGATGGCTGCCTGCAGTGTAGAGGTTGAGGCTGCTGCCTCACCAAGAACAGCTCCTAGGTTGAAAAACTCTGGATTCCAGTTCACTGTCAAATCCAAGCAGCTACTAGCTAATGCTGAATCAGAGGACAGACAAGATTTTCACAGCTCCTGTGAGGAACCTGCGTCACTTTGGCGCTCCCTTGTGGACGAAGTGGTAGGCTACTTGTAATAACTCAGCTTACCCTGCCTTGCACATGTGTGAACCCCGTTTATGAGCATTTGCTGTTGAAAAGTAAATGGAGGATGTTCTGCTTCGTCAAGTAGCAACCTCTAGTGTTTGAAAATGGACCAATGCAGAGGGGCAAGACATTGTAGTTCTTCTAGTCACCACTAGGGATAATTATAACAGTATTTCCCAATAAGGTACATGTAAAAAAAAAAAACAACACTTTTAACAGTAAAGGATCAAAGTGACATCCTGAAACAAACAAAAAAACAAACAAACAAAAAAAAAAAGGACATTTGAACAGCTTTTTCTTATTTGTTCAGACTGTACAGGGGAAGATTTTAACCAATCAATCAACCTTTATTTAAAGCAATTTTCTGAAGTCAAATGCAATTCAAAGTGTTTTACAGCGATTGAACTGAGTGAGTAAATACTAAAATGAAAATAGTCGAGGATGAACCAAACAACATTTAAATCTACATTAACCATCAAATAACAAACAGCTTTTTAGTCTCTACATAAAACCCAGACTAAACAGAAAGGTCTTTATTAGGTTTAAAAAATTGATGAATGAATTATATTTAACTTGTATAAAAGTCTGTGTCTTTTCATGAGCTTTGGGAGAGAAAAAAAAAGCTCCTCTTCTCCATCACTGCTGTTTTTAATGCCACAGATTCAGAGAAGTCAGCTCTGGGGCCTCTTGTGCAGGGCTCTGGTGTAGTCGCATGCTGTTTTAGCTGAACCTACATGGACACAGTTTCATCTTCATGGGTTTCCTGTCATCTGCTGGTTTTGTGCCTGTACTGCAGCGTAACGCTTCTCTCTTTGTGTGGCACTCATATCTAAGGAATGAGTAGAGGCCTCACCAAAGTTATCCCACGGATTCCAATAAAATCGACTTTTTGATTAAAATTGAGGAATGATAAACAGAAAACAGAACGGTACTGATCGCTATCTCGAAATGTAAATGCACTGCAATGAACTCTGTAAATGTTTAACAGTGGCACTGTGTGATGAATGCCTGTCTTTGTTACTGACCCTATCCGGTCATGAACCTGTTTTCAGATGTTATGATCTTAAAAAATTCCTGCATCAAAAAGTCATTTTTCCAGAACTATTCTTGAAATGTCCTCAGAAGTGAGACTGCAGGATGTCTGAGGATTTTCTGCCAAATGTCCAATAAATCAAGCAAAGCATCTTTCTTGTCTTCTTGTCTTTCAATTGCTAGTTCAACTATAAAAACAGCTTATTTAGGGTTGAAACAAATTCTGAATATTACTTAAAGCTAGAAGGAGCATCGCTTATTAGCCTTTCTGCCAGGATCAAGATTCATACAATACTTTTGACATAGTTGCTCTTTATCTTAAACAGAATTGGTTGCTATTATAAACATGCTTATCAGAAATATTTAATCTAGGCATGAATAACTCCTAATGTCTGATAATGTAAAGTACTATCAACATTTGTGAACATTCCTGCATGGCCTTGTTGACTCCTCATCTGTTCATTTTGTGTCAAAGAATGAACCCTCTGAATCAAACTCTTTTCCTGTCACAGTCGATCCTCATCTCAGTCTCAAAATTGGCCTCAGATTTCACATCTTGATGACATTATTGGTTTAAGTTCCTTTCCTTCTCGCCCTTGGAAATCATTTCCTATCACAGATATTGTCTGGATTTTTTTTCTATGGCCTCTTTTGCTCTGATCAAATAAAACTAAATCAAGGTTAGTTAGAGACAGGACAGTAGTGTAATTATGAAGCATAACAACCTGGGACGATTCAAATTTCTGCGTATGCTCTTGGGCACTTTTCAAAAATGTTTTTTTCTTTCCCAAAAATCATTAGACAAAGTTTAAAAGTGATTTGAGGGTAAAAATGCAGAGTTTGTCCTCAGGGTGGCACTAGAGGACAGCTGTCTAATAAACTGAATTATTTTGTTTCATAGTATTTGAGTCCATCAGATGTTACTGTTATGGAGATATCTTTGGCCTGAGTAAAATCTAATGGGGTATCCAGAGATCAAAATCTCAGGGTAATTGTCCTCAAAGGAGGATGAATGTAGTCGATAAATCTCATGATAGCCTGTGGACCTAAAGGAATGCACTGAGTGTGTTTGTAGAGGAGATGAGGGGAAAATGTCAGATGTTCTCACAGGAATTTATCATTCAGTGATGTATCATTTTTATTTTTGTTAAATTTAGAATTCATCTGTAAGATTGTCTACAAGATATTTTTTATCTAGACCAAATCATTGGCAAAAAAGATAATCAGGAAAAGTTACAGGTTGACTGGACCATTTAAAGTTTGCAAAATATTTTAAAAAATTATCAAAATATGGTGCCCTAAAGGATTGTGTATAATGCCAAAACAACACCAGAGAAAAATATTATATATGCAAAATGTAAAAGCATCTATCATTCAGTATTTTCATCAATTTTCATGATTTCACTGTTATTTTATTTCTTTATTTTCTAGTTTAAGATTCAAACAGGAGAACTTGCATTGAGTTCCCTGACCAAGACTTCATAACCAAAAAAACAAGACAACATTTACCTGTTTGTGTAACAGAGTGTGATTGTTTCAGAGGTATTTAGTGTAACTCAGCTGAAGTCCAGAAAAAAATAAATAAATACATTTGCAGTTTATTTTTGGTTTTGCAGTGCAGAAGAAACAGGGGTTGAAACACATGATTTAAAGCTGCAACACTCTCTTCTTTTCTTACACATCCAGCTGCTGTTGAGTAAATACACAGACGCTTATTTCTGACCTTCTGTCAAACTAAAAGTTTTCTTTTTAAACTCTGTGTAGGGTCTCCAACAACTGTTATGGGAAACATTGGTCTCTTAGGCTCTTAAATGCTCTGTTACAACCACCAAGTGCCACTAGCGTTGTTCAGGGCTGACCTGGGATTTACTGCTTCCTTGCACAACATGATGCATGAGAGCTGTAAGAGCTGACCAAAACAGTGAAACAGCAAAAATCGCCTCAAGCTTGAGTGACTCTTGCAGTGGAGGAACGAGGAAAAAATGACTTCTGTACTTCATCACTGACAGAGGCCTCTTTAATTTCTCTTATTATTGCATTCAAACATTGTTGTTTTGATATATACACCAGTACGAGTCTTTTTATTTTATAGATATGAGTTGAGTTTTCACCATTTCTTCTAATGTCCTATAACTTCTACACAGAACTCTCAGCCTTGTTGATTTTGGCTCCCTGAGAAGTGAAAGCGTTTAACAATGTTTTGTAACAGAAAATTTCATCCTGCAGCTTTTTAATGGTGATTACTTCATGAAAACATTCAGTCTGTGTTGAGAATGTAAATGGAGGCTATTTATGCAGCATGAAATAGCCAGGAAGTGACCGCTCTCTGGTTATCTATCTTTAACTATTGATGATTATTTTTTAACTCTAACTAGACTTAACCATTCTGACAGCAAATTTGACTTTTTCTTTATAATGAATGAGACTTTTTGGCACTAACCTTCCCATAAGGAGACTTTTTCAATAACTACTTAAGTCTGCAGTGCTGGGTGTAAATGCAGCATCTTTAAGCCACACTGAGAATGAAGCATCAATTTTTAAAAACACTCCTAACTCTGTTTCTAGATATTTTTCTTAGTTTTGCTCGAACATTTTCTCATGAACTTGTGGTCATATCTGAAGCTTCTCATCACTGCTAATCCAAATGATTTTCTCTAATATCAGGATTTTCGTCAGTCTGTCGACTTAGCTCCTGCATGGATTTACCTTATTACTGTTGGCTCTTTTTTAACATTCCTCATCAGCTTCATCTTTTGCCCTCTGTTTAAAAAAAGCTAAAATAATCCAGATGAGGTTAGTCTGTGTGAGGGGAGTCAAAGAGCTCCTTCAAAATAAAGGCAGGAGCATTGAAAGGATACAAGATCATTCTAGGCTTATTTTGAATAACCAGTTTGATTGACCTTTACGAATAGGTGTGAGAAAAAGCCCAGCACTGTGACACGGTTGTTGCATTAAAAGGGATTTTTCTGTTGTCATTAGAGCACAAAACACTGAAAGGGGACAAGTTTTTACTTGTTTCACCACTAAGAAGCCGGGCAGAGGGAGTGAAGGTGTTTTATTTCAGTCTCCCCTCTCCTCCCATGCAGTCTATATTAACCATATCAGTCTTTGCACAACACCTCAGGCTGCAGAGAGGTGCTCGTCAGACCAGTTCGACTCACTGTGTCTGTGTGTGTGCAGACTGAAGATCAAATTTGAGGAACTGGGATTGGTCCGGACCATCTGTTTTTAGTAAAACAGATCTTCAAAAAGAAACGTGGGACTGATTTAAGCTCAAACTACAGGAGCTCGACTGAACTTTGAAGGTGTTTTAATTCATCACAGTGAGGATCTGACAGCCCACAGGTGAGTGCTGCTTTCTACCTCCTCAGACTACGAGCTCATTCTTAGTTTCTTTTTCTCTTTTCAACAACTGTCAAAGCATTTCTCTACACTCAATAACACTATGTTATTGATTGTGTTTCATTTGAATCTTAAATCATAAATATTTCACTGTGAGAATTTTCTGTCCTGCTAGGAACCATTACACCTTTCTTTCTCTCTTTGTTTCTTTCTTTGCTGAATGACATGTGCTGACTTGTGTTCAGAGTCTTCAAAGTGATGTGGGTCATATTATGCTTTACAAACAAGCTCTCTTTGGTAAAAGTTGGTTGAAATTCCTCTTTAAAATGTGAAGTATTCACACATGGCAGCGGCTTGAAGACATACAGCATCTTACATAAGTATTAAGTAAGAACCTCTGTGAACATTTTAATATTTTAACATGATAAAACTCAATAGTTTGGCACATTTACTGTCAAGTGAATTGATTTCTCTTACAAATATCTGCCTTTTGTTGCTTAATTATATGTTAAAAAGCCTCAGTAAGTCAATTTGAAGTCCGGATAGTAACACTATGCTGTGAGGTAAAGTTCAAGGCAGGTGAATACTTCTGAGTACTACAAGGACTTTCCTTATCTGAGCTTAAGTGCTAATTTCCTTACTGTAAACAGCATTGGATACCACTTAATTCTACACAATGTCTGTACGTCACCATTGTTTATCGACATGTATGGCGGAAGCACCTGGAATTTTGAACCTAAGTTACCTTAACATATGCTGTTTAGATCAATCAAAGGATATGAGACAGATTACTAGAAACCTGCGTTTGCTTTTTAAGAAAAACACTTTTCACAGATGTTGTCTATCGCTATGATAGACGACTATCATCTGTGATCCGCTAAGGAGGACTAAAAATAGCCTGTCTGAACACAGTAGCTACAAACTCTCAGACAGAGACCGCACACACACATGGGGCAGATTTAGGGCCTTGTTTACCCCCTGACTCAAAACCCTCAGTGTGATTTATTCTCACAATTACAAAATGTGTTGCTGGAAGTGCTTAACTTCTTCTTCCTAATGCCAAATTCGAAACTTAAACAATTCAGGGAGGTAATAAAATCCCGAGTGATCTCAGGCTGGGTGTGGCTCTAGCTTTGCACATGCACATGTAGGCCAATGGTGAAGGGGAGGGTGACACAGCCAGGTAACACACCTGGAAACTTCCTTATTGTGGAGCAGGAAGGAATGAGCGTCAGACTGCTATCTGAGAGGTACGGAAGGATTCTACTCTTTGCTTACCTATTATTTTCTCCTTTTAGAGTTAATTTCCACGCTTTTCTTTGAGATGTACTCAAGATAAGTCCACATACTTTAAAGTTGTTGTTGTTTCAGCTTCAGACATGCCTTTTATCAAACCTGGTTTTGCTTTCTACTTCCCATGTATCTGCCACTTAAGTTCAATCTTTTTACCAATTTTTTGCTTCGAAATCCTCTCACTTCTACTAAAACGGTAGTATTTTTGAGCTCCTTGAGAAAAAACAACTTCCTGTCATGTTGGAGCTTCTTGCCTTGAGTAAATTAGATTTGATGGTCTGTAGTGTGTTCTTTTTGGCAGGAAGAAAATATCAAGATTCATCCAATATAATTATTTTGGCTCATATTGTCCAAACAAGGCAGTGACAGGTCAGTTTAAGAGGACCACAAGATCAAGAGTTAAAATATCCACAGTCCCCCGAGGACACAGCTGTGTTTTTCATCACTTTAACTTCCATAAATACAGTTTTATTTTCTTCAGAGAGAAACTGTTTTAAGATGTGTCGTCTGTCTAGTTGTGTGTAATGTATGTGACACAGCTTTTAAAGTTCCTAATGTTAGAGTAAATAAAGTTATTTGACCAAAATACTTGACAATTTCCATGAAATGTGACACTTGAGGCTACAATCAAACACAGTGAAGCCTTAAGAAATGTAGTTTGTCATCATTAAAGAGACCCAAGCTGTAGTCACTACCTCTGTGTAATGAAAAAGCTACTGTTTTGACTTGAAAATACTATTTATAACATTTCACATCTTACCATAAAAGCATTTACTTGTATTACTGTCTGGAGGGACTCTTGGTCACAGGCCAGTCTGCTGATCTAGGAATGAAGTAGTAGATTTACAACACACAGTTTTATCCAAGAAACTGCTCAGGGTCAGAAGTCAGAAGTCAGGGAGGGATGAGAGCCTGCCCACGTAAAGCCTCAACAAATACTTTATAAAGTCATAAACTGTCTGTTGTCTGTCATCACTCTGCAGCTGTGAGAGTTCAGCGTGTGCATCATGTTCTCCTCCACTAAAGCCTACAAAAACCAACACTATTCGGAGCTGAGGAGGGACTGTATCAGGGACAAGACGCTGTTTGAGGACCCAGAGTTCCCAGCCAACAATTCATCGCTGTTTTTTAAGAAACCACTTCCTGGATATGTGGAGTGGAAACGACCTGGGGTGAGTGGCACAGGGTCCAGCAGGGAAAGCAATTATGGGCTCTCTGCTATGCCCATGAACTTTGTCACAATTTACTAAACAAGGGAGCTTAGTTTACCCACACAAAGTTAATAAGATAAACAAGCAAGATTAAAAAAATAATAAATCTCACAGCTATAACTCTAGATCAGATAAAACAAACTTGCACTTACATCAAGTTTTCTGTATTTTTCTCAAATCTGTCTGGCTATTTTCATTCTGTTACAGGAGATTAGCAACGAGCCACGCCTGTTTGTGGAGGGTATCAGCGCCCACGATCTAAACCAGGGACAGGTGGGGAACTGCTGGTTTGTTGCTGCCTGTTCCTGCCTGGCTTTAAAGCCCGACCTGTGGAAGAAGGTCAGTGAACTCTATACTAATATTGTGGATAAGAGAGATGAGGGGCTTCTGTAATTTATGCTGAAAAAATAAAGAGTGAATACGGTTTCTCTTAATGAGGCAGAGCTGGTTGTTCAAACATGTGAGTAACTTCACAGCACTGTTCAAATCAGGACAACAGGAATTTACCTGAGGGGTTGACTCATGATTTACGGCAAACAAAATTCCTGTGGGAAAATTACTTCACAGTAGGATACTGTTGCGTTCTGTTTGCTTGAATACATAATAATTAACATTTCATAATCTTAACACACTGTTTTAAGACTCTTACACTGACAATTACAGGAGCAAGATTCTTTTTTTTAACCCAAAACTAAAAACTCTAAAGCAACTGAGAAACTCTTGGGTTTAAAATAAAGTTTCAATATCAAGTTTCTATCAATTTTTTCTTGCTAAAGGATGCAATTTAATTTTAAAACAACCTTAAAACTGTATCTGAACAGAAAAACAAGATAAAATGACAACAGTGTCTGCAAAATTTTAAAAAGTGCCAGATGATTAACCTTGCGAAGAAAGATTTGAGGGGAAAGTGTAAAGTCCTTTGTTCAGAGAGATGTCTAATAAAAATGCAAGAGATGGAGCCAATGTGAGTCTTTCAAAGCTGACCAGTTTTATCTCTTAACAACTTCCCTCTGGTTTGAAGATAAGACGAAGTGCCCTATCGGAGACTAAATAAATAGGATGTGTAAATACCAGATCCCCTTTACTGTGCAAACATCCTAACTCTGGATGTCGTATTAGGTCAGTGTCAGTGATGTATAACTTTGAGGTTTTTTTTTTCTGCCAATCACTTTACATTTGAGGCCATTTTCAGGGGCATGTTCAGGTGGGTGGCCAGGGGTGGCATGGGCCCTTGAAAATGTGATTGGCCATCACCAAAACCACCAAGACCGGCTGTGTTACCCAGTGTTGATGGCCCAAAATACCCTTTTTGGTTGTGTTGCAAGGCTTTGTGTAGCTTTATTGACTTGATTGATTGATTAATTGATTGATTAATGGATGTGCAGACACACAACACTTTATCTCACCTCTGCGCAAGTTAGAACAAGGGGTTTGGAAACCCCTGTCTACAAAGTCTGTACACACCACTGAACATTATTGACATTCTGCAAAGCTGCAATATTCAGTGGTTGGTTTGTCCCGCTGATATGGTTGATGTTGCTCAACTGTTTGTTTGTTTGTTGTGTGTCTTTAGGTAATTCCTGACCATAAGGATCAGGAGTGGGATCCCAATCACCCGGAGAGCTATGCAGGGATCTTCCACTTCCAGTTCTGGGTCTTTGGGGAGTGGGTGGATGTGGTGGTGGATGATCGACTGCCTACGATTAGCGGAGAACTCATCTACTGTCATTCCAAAGACAACAATGAGTTCTGGAGCGCTCTGCTGGAAAAAGCTTACGCCAAGTACGTCAACGTCAAATTTCAACTGCAGTTCAATGGGTCACCTAACGAAGACTAGTCATGTTATCTTCTCAGTGACTTTAAATGTTATAATGCTTGAGGGTGTTTTGCAGGAACATCATTGCAATCTTGAACTAGGGGGATAAAAAGTACTACTTGTTTTCTTGTTATCGATTTGGGAAAAAAGGAACAAAAATAACAAATAAATAAAAATTAATACAACTTTTAGTGAAGGCTTCACTTTTAATACAGGGCTAGAAACTGTTAGACAATGCGTCCAAGAGAAAGTTAACTTTTTAATCACACATCTCACTTTCAATTGGCACATAATCCTTGGACTTTTTCTTTGCAAAATCTCAACCTTTCAACTCCATCCTCTGTGCCCAGGCTGGCTGGCTGCTATGAGTCCCTGGAGGGAGGAAATACTGGAGATGCTGTGGTGGACTTCAGCGGGGCCGTGGCTGAGGCCATCAACCTAGAGACAGAAGCTTACTATAAGGACCAGAAAAAACAAGACCAGCTGTTTGAGGATCTACTAAAAGTTTACGATCGTGGAGGAATCATAAGCTGCTCCATTAAGGTCCGAACTCACTCTGGACGTCTGTCTCTTTGTCTCTGCACTGGGGCGATAGAGTTATTGTTTTCATGATTTCTTCTCCCTCAGGCACAGCCTCATGAGATTGAGGCCAGGATGGCTAACGGGTTGGTGAAAGGCCATGCTTACTCGATAACTGCAGTGAAGAAGGTGCGTTTGGGTCACGGGCTGCTGGCCTACTTCAAGAATGAAACCATTCCTCTGATCCGAATGAGGAACCCCTGGGGCAAGACAGAGTGGAAAGGAGCCTGGAGCGACAGGTAAGAAGAGGTTTAAGGTCAAACCATCTACAGGCGAAGGCTCGAAGGTGTTCCAATTTTTCGAAGTTAGGAATCTATTGATTTAGACTTTGATGATCACTCATATTAATGGATGATTTTTCTCAATGAGAGAAAGCGAGGCCATCTTATACCTATTCAAGAATAACGTGTGGTGATAATCAGTATCTACAGTCAACTCTGTGGAGTCAAGGCATGTGCAGAGGTGATCTGAGAGTGAAGATGCAGGATTAACATCACATCTCCCGTGCTGACCTAAAAATGCACATTTAACTTACAGAGACAGGGTCAAAAATTCCTCAGTTCCATACTATCAGCAGCAGAACAGACTCTACATCCACAGTTATAGAAAGTTCAATAACTCTTGTGTCTGTTTTTGTAATTCACTTTTCATTAGTTTCAACTTTTTCAAATATACATGAACATTTTAATTACACGTATCATATTACACAGGACAAGCAGCCGCTTGGTCTACCCCTCACAAAGAGACCAGGTTCATGTCCAGACCAATACAGTGATAAAAATAGGGCTAATATCAAACCGTGCAGTAACTTGTTCTGTGTTTTGTAATGGAGGAGGCAGTTTTTTGATCTACAGCGCAGCCAGTCTGAGGAGGGAACACTAAGAATTTTGTCTGTAATATTGTAAGCTTTTTGGAATTTCCCCCTGTGGGACTATTAAAGGAACATCTTATCTTATCTTATCTTATCTTGTCCATCTTCTCACATAGTTTATGGTGCAAACAAACATCTCGATCCTACTGTGTAATAACATGCTCCAAAGCTCAGTGGGGTTATGTACAATCGTGGAGATGAAAGTTGCAAACCAAATTGTGTCTAAAACAAAAACTTGAAGTGGTGTATCAAAAGTGATGGAAGTTAGCTCATACTCAATGTTGTTGAAGGATTGCTTTCTGCTATAAACCACTTTAATTAAAAAATCAAATGTAAGTTCAGTAGAGTTTAAGTTTAAAAGATATTCATTTCATTTTTGTATCTTCAACCAAATTAAAACGATCTTGTTGGTTTTGTGATTCGTCAGCTCTGAAGAATGGTCAAAGGTTGGTGACATGGAGAGGGGAAACCTTGGCATCGTTGTCGAAGACGATGGAGAGTTCTGGTGAGTGATCATTTCTCTCTGCTCACAAAAGCCTACACCTGCGAAGTTGAATTGCTGTTTTAAGAGTAAAGATAAAGTTGATTTTTTTCTTCTACACATCAACAGGATGTCTTTCGAAGACTGGTGCAAGTTCTTCACAGATGCAGACGTCTGCCGCCTCATCAACACGTCTCTGATCAGCATCCATAAGACGTGGCACGAGGTGGTTCACAGTGGGAGCTGGACCAAAAATGCAGAGCCGCTTTTAAACCGATGTGGTGGGTGTTATAACCACAAACAGACATTCCTGCAGAACCCACAGGTAATACAAGCTCTGAGCAAACCCTCCTCACTTTCTGTCTTCTTCCACATTTTTCATATATATTAACTTGATTTTTACCTCCTCCACAGTATTTGTTTGATGTTACAAAGGAAGAGGATGAGGTCTTAATCTCCCTGCAGCAGAAAGACATACGGATGAAGAGAAAAGTTGGTCAAGGGGAAAATCTAAGCATCGGCTTTGCTGTTTTTAAGGTAAATACATTAATCTCATCTTGATTTTTAAGTGAGCCTTTTGCAAAAAAAAAACCACATAAGCCCGGGGTTAATAAGTGTAAAATATTTGAAGAGTTAGTTACACATTACAAAAGGGTCACACTGAGACTAACAAGCTATGAGGTCATTTCAGAGGAAATCGTTTTCGTCTGGGACTAAGTGTTCATCAAAGGTCAGTTTATCTTAAGGGAGAACGGGGTCATTTCATCGTATTTTAACTTTCATTCTCCTCTAAAATTTTGGCTCTGTTTTTGACGCCTCATTTGTTGAGGAAACAGTTGTTGGGTGTTTGTAATGACAGGCAGACATGACCTGATACGTTTATCAGAAGAAATACAAACCATTTTAACAACCATCTAAATCAAACACGATTTAAACAAGATAAAAAAAGCACATAGTTTAGCTGATTGTTTCAAGATGAAAAAATACAACTCATCTAAACTTCCAGTAAGAGTTCAGTTTCCTGTGCTCTGGTAAGTAGCTCCTCTACTGAAATCTCGTGCATTAGGGGCAAATTTAGTGGTTGTAGGAGTTTGAAAAAATCATGCCATTACATTCTTTCCAAGTTACACACTGTGGATTTGTGGAACCACAACCTCACAAAAGTAGAAAAAATCCATTTCATCTGGTTTGGAGAGTTTTTCATGAGACATAATTACGTCAAACACAAAGAAAACTTGAGTCTGGTCAGTTTAGTAATGCGTTTTAAGCAGAAGTCCTGTTTGTAAAACTATGCAGTCCTCTTTAGCAGCAGTAAAACTTGCCAAACCAGACTTTATCCCATCGCTGAGATTAGATTGTCACATTATAATGAGGCTTTGTAACCTTTGCAGCAATCTGACATCGCATTTCCTGTAATGTGATTTACTTGCCAGAGATCTGGCAAAGTTCAAACACACACTACACACACTTATCATGCCGATACGAGTGCTGCCAAAGGGGACAAAAAGCTGCTGCTATAAGGAGCATGTGATTAAAAAAAGCCACAGCTGTGAGCTTCAACCTGGATTTAACCACCCTCATGTATGGTCACCACGTGAGAGATGAATCCCCCTACTTCATCAGACAGGCTCCAGACAGTCTGTTTATATTATCATTTATCTACAGAATGTTGTCATCTGCTTCACTTTGAATTTCCTCTTTTTGAGACGCTAATCTGTGAAAGAGGGGGACATTCAGGCATTAGTGACTTGATCAAAATATCAAAAGATGTGTCATTAAAAGTATGTGGAAATTTCATGACATATTTTATTATTAGACCAAAATATCAGGGACATCTGAGTGAACATCTGGTACATCAATCAACACCCTGAATTCAAGAATTATGGTCATCATGTTATATTTCATTATTAGCTATCTAAACCTGAGGATTAGGCAATTACTTCCTTTTGTTACACTGGAATAAAGTAAAATAGTAAAAACTCATGAAGACTGTTCATTTGCTGATCTGCCACCAGGGGGCAGGAAAATATATGTATGCAATGGAGAAGAAAAAAAATCCTCCTGGACACTGCTCAGATCCTAGAATATGGAATTTAACTCTCATCTGTTACCTTTGTATTGTACTGCATGTAAATTATTGGGATATTTGAGCTTACCATGCACACATTGAGATGAACATGAATTTAAGAAGTGATATTTCAAGTGACTATACTGTGTAAAAAGTCCAAAAACAAGCCTTTGTATTTTTGCATTGTAGAAACATTCATCAAACCTAAAGTAGATTAGAAAGTAGGGCATCTTTTTAGTGTTTTCTTAATCAATACTTATATTCTTGTTGAGAATCGGATTTTTGATATGACATTTACATAGAGTCTTTTGAACCTGGTGTCAGTTTAGATGCTCTTTTTGCTTGAAATGGTCCCAAACTGAGTGATAAGAGCTTTTTGAAATCTCTCAGTTATAATGAAAAGAAGCTTCATCACTCCTTTACTATTTCTTCAAGCAAAGGATACACCTTTAAAAGAGGAGGGAAGATAAAATATAAGATAATAATATATGTAATAAATTGCACTTATTTTATGTGCACTGCTTTGTGATTTTTATCTGTGAAAAGTGCTGTATAAATAAACTTGACTTACTTTATTAAAGTGCCCCTTAACAGTTTAAGCCAACTAATTTCAGAGTGTCACACCACTTAACCACGTGTAAAAACAAGAAATCACCTTGACCGCTATTTAGCTACATAACCAGGATGTGACAAAACCCAAGTCTACACCTTTTGGTAACACACTCATCGCAGAATTGCCCCTAACTGAGAATCTATTAAATATTCTCTTCACCTCTACACCAAATCAATCCCCACTGTTCTTCTCTTCCAGGTGGAGCTGAACAGGAAGTATAGGTTACACGACATCCTGACGCAGCAGTGTGTGTCCACGTCCACCTACATCAACGCTCGCACAGTGTTCATGAGAATCATGCTCCCGCAGGGACGCTACATCATCATCCCCACAACCTTCCAACCTCTGACTTTAGGAGACTACATGATCCGGGTTTTCACTGATGTGGACTCAGGATGCAGGTATGGACAGCTGTGATGGAGGTGTGAGGTCAAACCAGAGGGAGGCTGGGTTTTATTTTCTCAGACAGAAACTGTAACATTCACATATTTTATGATTATCGGGTCTTAAGAGACTCTAAAGGGAGAGTGGGAACACTGCAGCATGGAAAACTTCCAAGAAAAGCACTTGAATGAGTGTTTTGAGCAATGGGAACTAAAAGTCTTATTCCTTTCAAAATTAATTTAATGTTACAAATCCCTTCTACTGCTATTCTTGGACATGAAATTGTTTGGTGTCTGACTTTTGCTTTGGCAGACTTTAACACAAACCCAAATCATGTTTGCTCACAAAAAGGTCATCCAAGCCGGCTCCTCCTCAAACAAGAATTGTGTCTAAAAACCCTAAGCATGATGTCACTTCCTTTGTTTTCTAATTAACTCAGAGGAACATCAAGGTCAGAGTATCAAGTTACAGGATATTTACTCTTAACCCAGCACTAAAAGTCTGCTCTGCTCTCACAGAGAGCTGACAGACGATAAGCCAAAGGTGAGATGTTGGAGTTCGTTCCTGGGGTATCCACAAGTAGTGTCTCATATCTATGTCCATGGAGCAGAAGGGTTGCAGAACCAGGAGAGTCCAGGAGGTAAGGGGACTTGATGCAAACCAGATTTTGCCCAAAGCCAGTAACCCTCTATTTTAGTTTGCTAAAGTGGATCTGTGCATTTTTTAATGCAGGTGCAGACCCCTATGTGATCATATCCTGCGAAGGCCGTTCAGTGAGGTCCACCATCAAGAAGGACACCTTACAACCTGAGTTTACAACCAGTGCCATTTTCTACAGGAAGAAGCCCAGAAAACCCATAACTGTTGAGGTATGAGGCCATCTTATGATCTTAATGACCTGCAGCATTATTGACCATATTCCTCCTGAAACCAAGTGAGTTAGAAACAACAACTTTGAAGACCTAAAGAAACAGTTTAGTTGTAAGCCGAAAGACTCTGACTGAAATGTGTAAATATGGAGCATAGAACACAAAATTTTACACAAAACATAATACAGATACTGTCTATTATGAAGTACCTTAAAGGAATAGTTTGTATTTTTTTTTAAAGCATTGCCACCTTGATTCATATGAGGTAAAAGGGACCTTGTATGAAATAAGGTGGAGGGACACAGTGGGCCGACTGGTGGCAAACTAAAGGACTAAAGCTGTTCTAAATGAAGCATACATATTCACTGACATACATGTTTGGGTTGGAGTTTCTTAATATTACCTCATACAACTCCACAAAAATGAAACAAAACCAAAAACTGAACTATCCCTTTAATAAGCGGTCCCTTACACAGTATACTCAGCTTTCAGCCAGCGTGAAGACTTACAGACTAAAACTTTCACATGCAAAAAAAGGTCGATGTACAGTCACTCATGAGCAAAAATCTTCAGGACAAGTCCTCGTGTATAAAATCAAATAAGATATATTTTTATATAGTGTGTATTTCTTGTATATTCTTATAACAATAATTTTATTTATCCTTTTTTTACCTTTTGGACTCAAGATAAACAGCACAAATTACCTGTGTGTCTGTGCTGTGGTGTCTGTGCATGTTTTTTGGTGTCAGTAAAGTTGCAGTGAATAAATACAGCGACTTACTGATCTTGATGTTTACCATTTAAACTTTTTTATTCCATCTCTCAGGAATAAAAAGTAATATGTACAAACAAATGGCAGTTTATAAATGTGTGTAACTGAGGGCAAAGGAGAATATTTTCACTTTCTAGCATCATTACATTGACTCCATCAAATCAGGGTCACAAGCCCTCTAACTCTTGCTAAAAATCCCCACTTCCTGTTCCTCCTCAGGTGTGGAACAGTAACACTGTGAAGGACGAGTTCATGGGTCAGGTGGTGTTGTCAGGGTCAGTGAAGGACTCGACCGACCCTCAGAGGCTCCAGCTGAGGAAACGAGGGCGGCAGATGGCTGATGAGATGCCCGGGAACATCAGTCTGAGGGTCATCTCAGCTACGCAACTCACTGCCATGTGACCCTTATCAGTGACCTCAGAGTGGGCGACCCATGACACAGAGCAAGATTTAAAACATTCAACTGTACATCGGTGTTTTTTCTTATTTTAATTCTATGCTGTGCACAACTGGACAAACTGTGTGACAGTTTGTTTTTACCACTTAAGTCAGTCTTTAATTGGCTTGTCTTATCTTTTTAATCATTTGTGTATAACTTATAAATATTTTGTGTTGACATTTTGCAAAATACTTGTGAAGATTTCATTCCGTTTTAGAGACCTGATACTGTGAGAGAGAGAAAAAAACAGCAGTAATTTGTGACTGTCTTAAAAATCTTTGTGATTTCCTCATTTAGAGTCAGAAAAACTTGCCACATGTATAATCCATAAATGGTGAATCATGTATTTTTCTAAAGAACATGCAGTCATGTTTTTAAAGTTATTAAAAAAAGCATAATGAAAAAATAATACAAGGCAACAATCATTGCCACGACTCTGGTTTTCTTCCTCTTTTTATTTCAGTCCAGTTCCCAAACTGCAATATTTTTTTACACTCAAGACACAGCCATGCACAATTCAAAGTTCAAAAAGTCTATTGCTTCAACCACAATTAAAAATAGTTTATCCAAAACCTCATTTCCCCGTCGCTCATTTGTCCTTTTTCAAAGGTTGGGAAAGGCCTGCTGAGGTATGCCCGATGGATCAGCAGTTTTTTACAAAGCTAGACAATAAGAGTAATAATAATAATAATAATGATAATAATTTAAAAAGCAACATTTTTTGTCTTTGTTCCATTCTCTTGATACACATTAATAGAGGAATTTTCACACCACGTGTACAGGTTTACACATTCAGAAGAGAGGAATGTACAGGAGCAACCACAGAAAAAGGGGCACAGCAGCGGTGTCTCTCATCCCAAAAATTCACCTTTGTGCTCATAGTTCAGACCTGTACATGGGGTCAAAAACGTCCCAGGGGGGCCGGCGGAGCTTCCTGACAGGCCACGCACACCTACCTACACACACACGCACACACATGAACAAACACTCAGAGTGCTGCATTCGTGGGCTCTCTGTCCAGATGAAGGAGCGTCTGATAAAAAGCCCAAACCGGAGATCCAGGAGTGCAGAGACGGTGTGTGTGTGTGTGTTTGATTTTCTTTTTACCCAGGGTGCAAAACATTTATTGATACATACCATAGAGCAACCTGAATATTGTCATTTTAAGTTACATAATTCTGAAAAAAGGGGATGTTTTCCCATCATATTTACATACATACATACATATCCTAACAATCTTAACCTATTTGAAGATGAGATACAGTGTACAGTTTTTGTTTTACATGCATGAATTCTGTTGCATCCTCCTGTCTACACATCACTCCTTCATCTTCTGTACAAATGGAGGTACAATAGGACTAAAGCAGCTACCCTGCACTTCAGAGTCAAGGTGGAAATACAAGTGAGGCATCTTCTAGTGCAGATTGAGGTAGCCCCCTAACACACACATACACACAAACAAACACACACACAGAGGGATGCTACATGGGAAAGGCTGACAAAGCTACCAAATACCCACACAAAGCAGATGACCCCTGTACAGAAGTTAAGTTTAAAACACGAACAAGGTATGGGAGGAATGCTATAGCAAACAATCAGAGCCTCTATGACAGTTTTAGCACTCAGCAAAACAACATACAATCATGAGATGGCACTCAGTACTCGCTTCAAAAGATCATTTCCATTCTCTAGTCTGCCAAGAAATCAAATTTCACTACAGAAAGGTTGAATTCACTTTAAAAAGAAGCCACAAAAGACAGCAGAAAAGAGGACAAAAGACGACTGAAGCATGAGTGAGCAGCATGTTAAACACCAGAGGAGAAGACAGGGAGGACAGGCCACTACCTCTTTCAACATGACGGTGCTGTGCAATCAGGAAGGCCGGAGTATCATTGACATATAGTCACAGTCATGTATTTATATTCTGCAGCAAGATGATAATCAGTGATCAAGTACAAATTCAGCTTCCTATATGTCTGCTTTGTTATTATTGTGATATAATTATATATCTTTTTGACAAAGGGAAATTCTCCCCACTTCAAATTTAAGGTCACAGTGATGCATGGGTGTTAAGAGAGTCTGTGACGAAAGACTAAGTGTTTACAGACCTTCAACTCACTACAGGTTCGAGACAAGAAGCTGTCTGTTTTCCTTACTAATCCACAATCCATCACTAACAACAGGTATTTCAATTGAACCCCTATATTAGCCAAAATGATACTGATTAACTTTAACATCACAAAAGCAAAAAGAAAGGCGCTTGTACCAAGTTTCTATTGATATCCTCATTTGTGGTCCTCGTACACAATAAAAGCTTTAATCTATTGTGTATGGGGTTATGGATTTGCCTCTAAATCTGACTCTAAGCGATGCTGGCTCTATTTAAAGCTCCTGTGAGGGATTTTAAGCAGATAATGAAACATACAGATGTTAACGCTGATGCCTTTCTATGGTTATTTCATGCCTGTAACAAGCCATTATCAGCACACAGTCTTTTTTAGACATTTTCCACAAAACAAAGATTCATTGACAAGCAGCACATCAGACTTTGAAAATTAGGCAGGATGAGATTTTAGTTCAGGAGGAAGATCAGCTCAACCATAAGCGCCACACTTTGATCACATGGGGCATCTACTACCATCACAGGAGCTTTCATAACCATTTTAGTTGTTCCCCTCACCTGGAAAAGAGCTGTTTTCAGTACCAAATGTGAAGTGCAAACATTTTCTCCTGAAGTTGGCAAGAAAGTATGTCATACGGAGACCTAAAGTCCAGTGATCTTCTATGATATTTTCAAGTGTCATTTACAGATGTGTGTAGTACGCCCTGTTGTTAAAATCAGGGCTTTATACAGGCAAAATGTTCAACAACAGTGTTTTCGGTATCTTAAATAATCCGAGAGAAAATCAGCAGATTAACAGCAGCTAACCTGAACTCCAGTGACTCTGTTGGAGACACTGTCTGACAAAGAAGAAGAAGAAGAGACCTGCATCTCTTCACTGATATGAAGCAGATTAATGACAGATGTTTAAAGCTGGTATAGGTTATGTTGAAACCGCACTTGACTGTTTCCCCTGTAGCTGCACCCCTACACACATTCACCCACAAATACTCACACACACACACACATACACACCAAAATATACCCCCTTGACACACGAGGAGTAGCGATGTTTCTCCGTACAGCCATAGTCATGCAGGCAGAGGTGGGGTCCAGAGTCCCAGAGTCACTCTCTCGCATCAGTGCAGATGCAAGTGTGGCCTGATTGTGCTCCGTGGAGGGTCCAGAGGAGAGAAAAGTGACCCACGAACTGGGCAGGGTAAGAATCACAGGCCCCTCTTCACTTTCTCCTCTTCACGCTTTGAGTTCCATCTTGAAAACGAGCACATTTCCTGTTTGATTTTTCATCGTGTTTGTTGTTTTTATGAGAGACTTTTGCCGAACTGGACATATGACACAAAGGGATGTGCACAGTTTTTGTTCACACACGCATACACACACACACACGCTTGCACACGCGCACACACTTGTGATGGACTGCTCTACATGTACAGAGTGCTGGAGAAGTAAACGAGGAGGCAAAGTCTGTTCAGCAGCATGGGGCCAAGAGGCTGCAAGGCCAGATGTCCATCCTTCATGAGAGGCCTGGGGGTCTTTTGTCCTTGTGCTGTCACTGTATGTCACACAATCACCCCCCCACGCCCTCCTTGTGCTGTCACTGTCGCGTCACCCACCATGCACACACCCAAGCCCCTGCCCCCATGAACGCACGCATCCCAGGCAGGGCTCCAGCCTTGGGTGGGGACAGAGAGCGCACCCTAGCGACTGCTGTTCTTTATGGCTTCCTTTGCAGCTACAATCAGAGGTGTCAGGCTGGAGAGAGGCTTCGCCAGCTTCAGGAAGGAATGCTGCGGAGGCCAGAGGAGGGAAATGTTAAAAAAAAACAAGCCTGAAAAGATGCTTGCAGATTTAGATATTTATTCATTTCTAGATCTCTTGAACTGCTCTTCTAATTAAAGTCAAATACTAACGCTTTAGTGCAGCTATCGACTTAGATCACAGACTGTTAAAAAAGATGAACAACATGACATCTCTCCAAAAGTGAAGCAAAAATTATTGACTGCTTAAAAACATGGATGAAGTCCTCGTGACATCCCTTATTTGTTCCTAAAGAGGATTTATGAATCTGATAACTGAAGCTGTCACAATCGAAATCCTGTCTCAGTCTAACTTTAAGTTTATTTAGAAACAGGCAAAGAGGTGGAGCAGAAAGGCATGTTACTGTGACATTACAAAGACAGCTGACAGGAATTGTGTTGTAGCATCAGCAGCAGCTCCTTTCTCAATTCTCCTTCATATGGACTCTTGCTGTTGCCATTGTTGTTGAAAACAAAACTCCTGCACCGTCTTGATTTTGGTGGAGAGCCAAAAAAGTTCAAGAAGTTCAACTTTTATCAGCTGTGGGTGTTCAGGGGGCATTAATAAAAAACAGCTGACATTTAGGGCCTTTTGTGTTCAGGTGGCTTAACGATGAACTCTTATTGGTTTTGAATAAAAAATAGGTAATGCGAGGACAAAGCACAGCACCAATAGATACAGGCCCTAGTTCTACCTCACTGTTAGCCTCAATTAGGGCTGGGCGATAAAACGATAATGATATATTCCCTCAATATCGATATGAAACATGGTCAATGTGCTTTTTGATAGCCGGCATTCTGCCATGTTTTGGTAGACTATACGAATAGCCAATGAAAAGGGGACTTGCTTCGGGTCGCTAAAGCAACCATTCAGTCCGCTTTCTCTAGTGCAGATGCAGTAGCGTAGCGTGTTGCAAAAGACATGCTACCAATAAGCACTGTTAAATTACATTTAAGAGTAACAGCGAACATTAAAGATTGACTAGTGATTTTTTTTATATCGTGATTTATATTGATGTCGACACAAATAAAAAATATATATATATTGTGATAAACTTTTTCCCATACCGCCCAGCCCTAGCCTCAATATAGTCATGTTTTTTCTTTTTTATTTTGTGGGTTCGACTCATGGTTGAAAACAATCCTGAGGTATTTTTTCATCCTGTTTAGGCATGCAAAACGAAAATGGAGTGTCACAATGTGAATCTGAAAAAGATGCAGCAGAGCTACCCCGTGTCTCCTATTTGAGATGCCAAAGGTGTGGTGGTAGGACAGAGGATCTGCAATGGTCTGAACAATCTTTGTTTTAGGACAAACTTGCAGTGAATGCTCCAAAGATGCAAAGTTGAAAACACACGATAAAGATAAAAAAATAATGCGCTGCATAAAGTCCAAAACAGGTGCAGCAAATGCACAGCAAACAAACGCAAAGCCAAGAACACCAAAAGCAGATCAACACTGCACTTCCATACATTTTAATGGAAGGCTCTAGGCCTGTAATGGTGCGATGTGAAACAGCATTCTTGTGCGATCCATTTACCATCCGCTTAGGTCTCCTGAGGTGATGAAAAATTATACCCACACCCCCCTCACACTTCTCCTACCCCCATCCTCTCTTTATTATTACCAGACTCAGAGACTGGGGCAGATTCTCCTGTCCACAGTCATTTTAATGTTACTCACTGACATAAGTCTTTCATTTGCAGTGCATTTCCAGTGTTGGAATCATCTGCCCTATTCAGTTACTACAAAAAGGTCTATGATATCAGACAACTTGGAATATGAACGTTTGGAGCTTTTCTTTATGTAAATACAATAATACAGCTGTGTGTGTGTGTGTGTGTGTGTGTGTGTGTGTGTGTGTGCTTTATTCGACCTGTAGCAGCTCCTTTGCAGAGCCTCTGCGGTCCACATCCATCTCAAGACAGCGGTTTAGGAAGTCTCTGAACACTGACGACAGCCTCTCTGGGTTCTGCAGCTCTGGAGTCCCGTTGGTAGCTATCAGGTACAATGCCTGGAAACACAGGAGAACTTAGTCATCGATTTAAACCTTTATTTGAGTCTTTAAAATCACTGAGGTCTCCCTTATTCAAACTAAAGCAGACATACAGGATCATAACAAAAGTGACAAAACCCAGTGAAAACAAATGGTTTGTGTTATTGTCTCAGAAATGTGAGTGTTGATTTTGAAAATGTGCTGTTGCATAATAAACAAAGAGCTGTTTTCATGTTTGGACAAAAACCCACAGAGCAAGTTTGGTGGAAAAGATTAATCAGGATGAAACATGAGGATCATAGAAACGTCGGGTCTTGTGTTGTAGCTGTAAAATGTCTCTCACCCTGAGTGGATTTTCATTCAGATACGGCGGTTCTCCCTCCACCATCTCTATTGCCATGATTCCCAGAGACCAGATATCCACCTTAGGGCCATAAGCCTTCCGAGTCACCACCTCTGGTGCCATCCAATAGGGCGTTCCCACCATCGTGCTGCGCTTGTTCTGCTCAGGAGTGATCTGAGCGCAGAAGCCGAAGTCAGCTGCAGAGGGAGACAGAAAGAGAGAAATGCTTGAGTGTGTTTTACATTCATACATTTTGAATTTTTTTTTATCCCATAAAACATACAGCTTCATTTCTTCTTTTACATTTACTGTAATCATCATGACCATTATTTAACAAATCTTGAGTTTTAGACACTTCTCTTTGGTGCTTCTCATTTTAATTCTATCATAGTAAATTCAAGGCAAATTTAGAAAATTTCAAAAAAAGAAACTTACTGAGCTTGACAGATCCATCCATGCCCAGGAGAATATTATCACTTTTTATATCTCTGTGGATCACCTGGTTAGAGTGTAGGAAGTCCAGCGCTTGGAGACACTGAAGAGAGAGAGGAGAAAAACTCACAAAATAAATCAAACAGACACCCACTCTTACGAGACGCCTGAACTTAACACATATTTATACTGTTTTATCCTCAGCCAGGGGATTTGTTAAACTTTTATTCAAATCTTTGCATCTGTTGACCTGAACATGAAGGTGAGGCGGTCATAGGGGTAGAAACAGTGTGTGGTATTGCTGATGTCTTAATTTGGCTTCTTACCTCTCTGCAGACTGCAGCGATCTGGCCTTCATCCATGCAGGTCTCGGTCACTACATCTGTCAGCGAGCCCCCTGCCAAATACTCCATCACCACCCATAGCTCATCTCCTACCAAGTAACTGAAAAATAAAGAAAAAAATATAGTCTCAGTTAGGATGGAAACATGATCAGGGCCTCCTTTTAGTCGCTGCACCCTGGTTGACACTTGAAAAATGGGGACATTAAGTAGCCTGTTTACAGTTTATGATGTACTTTGTGCACCATGATGCAGAGTCAGTTACAACACACAGTGGGTGCTCGAGCATGTAGGTGGCAGCTGTGAAAAACGGCAGCAAGATCAAAGTAATTAAATCAGAGTTGATTGAAACAGATGCTGAAAACTGTACCCAAACTGATTCTTATGTGGTTTCTACTGAGCTTTCAACCAACAGGGGGCAGTGATGTTCCTTTTGAGGTTCGCTGCCTGCTGTTAAAAGGCGAAAGGGGGAAGAAGAAAAAGATGAAGAGGAAGAAAAAAAAAAAAGGATCTGCAAAGCAGGCTTAGAGGATCCCTCAATGTCACTATGGTAACAGCATGAATTGACCTTGAACTCTAAGTTCTGATCACAAATCAGCCGCTTCAGGCAAACCTACATCAGCTATGTTCACATTTCTGTGTCGATGTATTTGTAGTCAAAACTCTGTCTTAGGAAAACATCAATAAGATATATTAGTTCAAACAGGACAAAGACTACAATAAATATCAATTTATAAATCGACTTACAGCCCAACATTTTTATCACCATTTGAAATCTTGCAGATTTTATAAAAATACTCACATTCAAAAACATCTGCTTTCCAGATGATTCAGTGGTCTGATGGTCTGCTTTCAATTTTCTATAACTTGATTTTAATGGCTTTTGATTTTGGACCACAGTATGATAAATTCATTTTTTAGATTGCTATCTTAAATAGCAGAAAAGATTTGGCCTTAAACCTTTTTTTTGAAAAACCACCACACTCTCATACAGTACAGCCATCAGTAAACATCCGTTCTATGATTTTTCATCATTTTTGTGAAATGTAACCCAACAAGAGAAAACCGACCTGTCCAGGTAGTTGACTATGTTTGAGTTTTTGTTTTCCCTCATGACAAGGATCTCGTTGATGATCAGCTCTTTCTTGGGCTGCTGCTGCAGGTTCATCTGCTTGATGGCCACCTGAGAAAACAGACGAGGAATGTGTTGCTCGGTGAACGAGTGAGCCCGCTGGCTTAGCAGGGAGAGAGAGAAAACATACAGCATGTGAAAGTTTTTCAGTCTAAGAAAGGATCTCACTCACCTCTTGGCCGGTTGCTATGTCGATGGCTGTGTACACAGTGCCGGACGCTCTGGTGAAACACAAGTCAAATAACTTCAATTATAAAACATGTGTGTACTTTCCATGAAACAGAAAAGTGTAATTATTTCTCAGAAAATGGTCAAATGTATTCTTCTACTTTTCTTGCTACAGGCCCTGTAATTCTTTTTTGAAAAGTTATAAAAAACTTAAACACCGGCTTATCAAAAGTTCATATTTAATCATTGCAAACAGGATTGAAACACAGCTTCAGGATTATGCTTTTATTCCTCAAACAGGCTTAACACTAAACAGTGCCACCAATCCAACTGTGTTTCCACAGAGATCGGCTGAAGAAGAAATTTAAACATGCAAAAATCAGATGTTTTTGAATTTTACTTCGACTCACTAAGAAAAACACCTTCGGCTGAAAAATACCAGACGACCTACACTTGTCTTTTAGTGCTAACTTCAGTGCAAGTATCTGTTTGAATATGTTTAAGTAACTATCATAAGCTTGGTTGTAAATGTGTGATAAAATGATAAACTACTACTACACTCAGATTACAATCTTATCAATCCCTTATTGTAAAAGAAAGTCTTTTGCAACTTATGCAACAGAAACTCATCTGCTATGAAATAACTCAAGCATGAATAGTTAGTCAAAGGAATGGTATGTAGCCGTTCTCTCCTTATTTGGAGATGACAGTGAGGGAGTTAAAAAATCCTTCAGCTGAGGATTTAAACCGAGTGGTAATTCTCTCTTTCTCTTGTTGTCAGCTTCACCTGTGTGCTGTCAGAGACTGCGAAGAATGGAGCACAGTTACCGGCACTAATAAGCAGACAGTGATCTACTGTTTCAGATAGGAGCTTCCTGATCAAATATAGAAACAGAGAGCGTGAGCAGATAAGAACCGCACAGTTTTTATCTATGCGGATGTGAGGTGAACAGGCAGAGTGAGAGGAAAGCAGCAGCCACTAAAAACTGAAAGACAAGACAAGGGAGAGAGAGTGAGAGAGAGAGAGAGAGAGAGAGTGAAAGAGAGGGAAATGGCTGAGCTAATCTGGCCCTTGGCCATTTCAGGATACAGTTCTCATTTCCTCTCTTCTTACTTTCTCCTAGTCATTCAACCTAACCCTCCCAGTTCACCACCGCTCCATCTCCCCTGCAGAGACTGACTGCTCTTCAAATCGCCCCATTTCAATAACTATGACAACCGGCTCCTGATCACGGATGAACTTACCCTTGTCCTATTTTCTCGAAGCGTGTGTACTTCTTTTTGGGATCCCCCACGCTCACAATACTCCCTGAGTCAGAGAGAAAAAAGAAAAAGATAAATAATGATTGAGGCTGAGCCTGTGTGGGCGCACAGCCATGACTGCCTTCACACAAATACACAAAATGTAACAGTGCAAACTCTTTCCGCTCTTTTATTCAAGACATGTGCTGCCTGTTTAACGCAACTGCTCTGAGTACATCTTTACTTCTTTGTGCAGAATCAATGAATAGAAAAAAAAATAGTTTTTTTTTTGCCTGAATTTATGAAATGTATGCTCCCGAAAACAAAGTTGTTGCGCTATAAGTTATATCTGAAAAACAGACAATTTAAACTAAATATTTAATCTTTCTACTGTGGTTTAAAGCTTAATTCTGATTCAGTTGAACTTGAATAATAAGATCAATGCCGCAGATAAACAGCTAATACATATCATATCAACTCGAACCGGCAAAAGGAGTATGGCACATTTATTACTATAGGGTTTCAACTCTTCCCATTGGTAGAGCTGCAAAAACAAGAATTTAAAATTATATCGATTAACAACTAGTAAGATGTTTTTAGGGTTATTTGAAGACTACAAAACTCTAGACAGGTGGTCAATGGCTGAACCGTCACCACATCGTGCATAACAATATGCACCTTATACATAATCCTTGACTTCACATCTGTGTCCAAATGCTGTCACTGTCTACGATTACAGATGGTTTATATGTATTTTTAAAAATTTGACTGAATTAGATTCAATGATATGACTTCATATGATATCATATAACAGTGTGTAAAAATAGTCCTGAACACTACCTGGAAGAAGGTGAGAAAACCGCAGCATTCATATTCCAAAGACCAAATTGCAAAACTGTTTCATAATTAAAATAAATGGATACTTGAGAAAATGTCATAATGTCTTAAATTCACATACTGAGCCTCTCCAGAATCTCCTCATCCGTCATTTTGGACTTCTTCCTCTGGCGGTCAGTGTTTCGGTACATGGTGTTGGACGTGTTCTCCGGCTGGACCTGCGACTCCGGAGGGGTCAGGACTTCTTTCACAGGGGTGGGGGGCTTTGGTGGGTCCATGACAGAGCGTGTGTAGATCTGCCGAGAGAGGAAAGTGTCAAAGAAATGCAGAGAGGTTTGCATATGAGGTCGATTGGTGTCATTGACCGGGTGAACTTACAGATTTGGTATGCTCGGGCCGAGGTGCAATGACAGGGGGCAGCTCGTCATCATCGTCCTCCTCTTCCTCCTCCTCCTCCTCTTCCTCCTCCTCTTCATCCTCCTCTTCTGACACAGGCGGAGCGATTGGCGGCTCTGACGATGATGTTTTGGCTCCCTGGAGGGTAGAGATGTAAGTCAGGGCGATGTATGTGTGATGTAGCAACAAGGGATGAAAAATGTGTGAAGATCCTTAGATGTGTCCCAAAACTCAAAAGTTTTCTTCAATCTTTGATCAGTTATCGCAGATAAAATCCCAAACAAGCCATGTGTAAGGTTTTGATTCTCGCTACTGAGTTTAAACGGTAAGTGAAGGTCAACTACTCTCTAAAGTGCTTCAGTTACATAAAAAATAAACCACAATGTGTGTTTCTAATGTGGTAAAAATATGATATGTACAGTGGGTCTGCATAGACTTCATCATTTTGTGATACTTTACCCTGCGAAAGTACAACAAAAGCAGAAATGAGTGGGGTTAGAGTATCAGGAACATCTGAGTTAGTAGTCAAAGGAAGTGTTATGAGTCTAAGAGCTACAGAGACAAGCATTAAAAGAGAAAAAGGTTTCATTCAGTGCAGTTTAGCAGTTTTTTTTAGTAACTAACAGCTTTACATAAATGTAACTTTGCTAAAGGAGAAAACATGCAGCCACATTGCAGCAATGTGCAATATGGTGATGGGCTTCCTCTGCATGTGGAAGATACCTTGCAACAAGTCTTATTAAAAAGCCTCAGGCATATTTATAATGCCCAGTGCTCAGCCTTTATTTCCCCCATCCAAAACTCTGCTAGCCTTGGATCATCTTCCTCTTTAGGAATGGAAACATTTCATCCATTTCCAGTCCCGTCATGCATAAATGAAGCAGTGCAGCTTAGTTCTAGTGATTAAAGGGAAAAGGGTCTGGCTAAAGGAAAGTCCCAGTCCCAGTCCTTCGTTCAGATGTACTGGGCCTCTGACCTGCTCCAAGAAAGAGAAGAGGGGGGCTGGGCCAAGACTGCAGTGCAGAAATGAGTCGAACTATGAGCGGTGCCATGTGTTGTTTTAATCACAGAGCCATGCGGTAATGTCTACAATGGTGATGAAGGAACAGGCACGTTATTGGGACTGTGGATCAGATTGTGAGGATTATGAGCTCATACATGCAGTTTGACAGTCATCACAGCCCTCTGTGGCATGCGCCCCTGCCCTGCCATTTCAGAGAACGTCATTTTGAAACAAGATAAGAGGTGCTCTTGTGGAAGATAGAAATACATCAGACAAAAAAGTCAAAAATTAAAAGTAAAAGGTTCAAAGATCCAATCATACCCCCCATGAGATTTGTGATGATGGCTCTTGAATCAAATAATTATATGCATTTTTTTGGGAAACTAGAAGATCAAATTTAGCTTTAAAGCCAATGCAGAGATACATCATGTGGAAAGTAATATGGAGGAGTTACCTTGTCAAATAATGCGCTGCAGGTTCTAAGGCTGACAGGAGGCCCAGATGACAGCAGCCGGTTCTGAATGTGAAGGTTGAAAATGGGAGGATTTTACTAAAAACAAACCCACACAATGTTTAAGAGTATTCAGGGGAGGGAGGGGGGAGGGCAGGGGTGTGCTACCGAGAGGTCGACATTGAGTCCATAAACTTTCCTCCAAACACTTAGCATGAGGAGGGGACATGACAGAGACAAAACCTGCCGAGTGGGGACTGTCCTTGAGTAACATGGAATACATTAGTCCCCCTAACCACTTCATGATTTCTCTTCAAGAACAGAAAAAAAATACTTTCATATTATTTTATTTGAATGCCAAGAGGTGGACAAAAACTTCAACTTTAAATTAAGGTATTGTGTCTAATATCACTTTTTCTGACTACAAGGATGCAGTCAAACAAGCACATTCAAAGTCATATGTTTCAAATGTGTAAATAGTGAAGATTATCATTAAGTATCTCTGTTGGCGAACCTGATAGTTTTCGGTGACGCTCCAAATTAACTGTCAGGATATCTAATAAAATCATTGTTGTGATTTTCTTCTTAAGAACAATATCAAAAAAGAAAAAGTTCTGCTTTTCCACATGAAGATTGTTTGTTGTTTTTGCTTTTTGGATACTGGAGCTGTTTGTTATTTTAACAGGAAAATAGAGTCATTGTTTCTTAAAGAGTAATCAGTCTGAGTAAAATTATGTGTCTGCTTGAAACAAGTAAATTTTGTTTCTTCTATACTTTAAAATAAAATCATCATTATGGTGCTAGTAAAGGGAAAAACTTCAGTCATAATTTTTTAGTTATTGAGGAATTAGAACTTTAATGAACTCTTTAGCTTAAACTGGTGGTATGTGACTCAAATTACTCCTTTTAAAATAATATTTACTGTTTAAACTGAAACCTCTGGTAATAATTAATGTATCAGGACAAACAAAGTGTCGACTGGATTTAAAAGCTTCAAGACTCTAATAAAAAACTTGAAGAGGCAAACAGACATCACAATGAGCAGCTACATAACAGGAAAAACAGTACCGACTTGAAAATCCCATGTAATTAACTTACTACCTTTTATTATTAAACTATGTGAACTTGGTTATTTTGACAGCAGTCCAGCAAAGCCAACATGCTAAAGTTTTATACCCAGAACTTCTTCGATGGTAGTGGAGTTGGTATTAAACTATAGTGAAACAGCTGGGCCAATACAGGCAGACAGACTCTCAAAAGAAGGTTATTTTGTATTTCTGCCTGTAATGGATCCAAAATGTTTGTTTTTGGCTTTGAATGTATCTTCCATGTATTTGTTGTCTAGTAAAGGGAATAAGAGTGACATTAAGAGCAACATTCAGCACATTAGAGTGGACTAAGCCAGTGATTTTCAGCAATACCAATGATTTATTTTTAATTTTCTTATCAGGTCCCAGACTCTAAACTCAGTTATTACATCCCGGTCAAGCTATGGCTGCATTAGGATGCAACACAGTGTCCCTGGCTCCATTATCAGCAGTTATAAATGTATGCTGGACTAAGGTCAAGGTGAGGCATGTGATCAACCAAAGACATGTAAGACTGGCCGCAGAGGATACTACAAGAGATCTTACCACAAAGAGGAGGAAAGATCGCTCATCATTGTAAGAAAATGGTTTATAACAGTTCTGTTACTTTTTAAATTTTGATAGACATTAGACATAAAAACAGCAGGGCTGACATGGATTGTGATAGGGGGAAAAGAAGCATGTTATTCAAGAAAAAAAGAAGAAAAAACAGACATCCCTGAAAAGGTTAAACCTGCCAGGAAGGTAACTAAGTGGTCAAATTAATACCAGAGAAATAGCCGAGAGCTCAGGATGGAGTTAGCATCCTCTGAAAGTGATATTGCTTCTGTTATTGATCAATATCAGCTCATTCCTGTCGTTCAGTGCAACAGCAGGATGAGTCTGAGGCACCGCAGCCAATAGCTGAGTCACTACTGCAGGCCATGCACTGCTGTGACAGAAACTCTTTAATACCCTCACTGGGCTTGCACAACCTTTTGGACACGCCGCCACACCCGCCTGCCCTTCAGAGGCAAAGAGCTCTCTCAGGCAATAGCCCTGCATTAAGTGAGCCCATTGTCGTTTGCCCAGGGGCAGCGAATCCCACTAAACAGACGTGAGCTCTACTCCTTCACCCGACTGAGCGTGTTCAGGCCGAGGCATTCAAAGCATAGATTACTCTGGTCAAAGCCAGGAATGAGGTCAGCACAGCGGGAGTCCCTCTAGATGCTGCTGAGCCTCCGGTGGAGCTCGTCTATGGCTGTTTTTGAAATCTGGTTAAGTAGTGCAGATTGGAAAAATAAACAATGAGCAGAAGTGGCGCTCGCAGGAGACATCATTTTTCTGCAGGAGTTGCAAACTGATCGGCTTATATGGGAAATTTGGAGTATTTTGCAGCAGAGTGAGGGTAGTAAGCCTCGAGAGGGGAATGCATATGATTTTCCCATTAGAGGTAGCAGTCTGTGTGAAATAAAACCTGCAGGGATAGAAGAGTCTATCCCAGATATCACTCCAAAGAGAACGTCAGGGTCAGGTGAGAAAGATTCCCTATGATGGCGACTGAGAGTTATCATTTCTCTCAGGTTTAAGACCATTGATTAAACCAGCATGCTGCTGCAACTTACCTGAAAAATCTTTACATCATTACACTGATATAAAATATTTCTCCTTTCATATATTACAAAGATTTGGAAGGTTTCCAAAGCAATGAAATATGGCTGCGATAGTACCTGGCTAAAAGGCAGAGACTAGAAAGCGCTAAGCCAGGTTAAGACAATGAATTAACTCCACATGTTGCAACTTACCTGATAAATCTTAACACCATCACATGCATATTAAAAATGTTTCCCTCCATATATTACAAAGATTTGGGAGGTTTCCAATGCAATGAAATGTGGCAGAGATATCGCATGGCTAAAGGCAGAGACTGATTTAATTTGTATAAGTAATTGCTTTCCTATAACAACCAAGCAAGTGAATTTGAGATAAAGCGCAGCAATAAAATATCTTTTAGTGCTGACAATGAGTTAACCTCCGGCAAAAAGGAGCCTGTTCATTTAACAATAAACTAGATCATTTAAAATTGTGCTTTAAGGAATTGTTAGGCATCAATAACTTACAACTATTTAGTCTGATTGTGAGTAATTTAGTGTGTTTTATATCAAAATATTCAAAGTAATCATCAAATGTTGCATTTAGGGATGTAAATAATCAAAACACAATAAGTTTGATACTCACCAGAGTGTTTGCTGCAATGTACCCATGTGCAGACTTGTCTGAAACAGAAAGGGACATCATGTATAGAGAGAGGTAATATACAGAAACTTTGTTCTGTCATACATAGAAATAAAAAGGGGATGTTTTATTGATGGTGTGGATTTTCACTGATGAGTGTCGTTGGTGTCGTTTACCTCCCGAGGTGAAGCTCATGTATTTCTGGTTGTTCACAGTCTCTTTAGAGTCATAGAACTTTAAGACGTCCAGCACAGCCTGCGGATTCTTCTTCTGCTCCAGTTTAGTGATGTTTGAGGTCTGAAGGAGCCGTGCCCACTGCTCTGGGATACCCTGTGTAAACGGACAGAAGTTATAGGAAAATGGAAACGTAGCTTTTGTTTTTTTTTTTAGCAGATTTGGTCAGAAAAAAAGGAACAGGATAAAGCTAGATATACTTTATAACAATAATCATAACACACTATAAAGCATTTTATCATAACTTACAAGGTCAGGTTTTATAATGTGTTATAACTGTTAACAACTCACTGACAATGCCCACATAGATAGTGCATTATACATATATTCATGATGTGTTATAATTTGCTTATAAACTTGTACAACCATCATTATTAACACTCATTAATTATCATAAGGCTTTATAACAATAGCATAACACATGATAATACCTGACCTTGTTAGACCTACAAAATGCTTTATAATATGTTATGATTATTGCTATAAAGCATTATGATCATTTATGAATGTTTATAACTACAGTTATACAGTGTTATAAAATGATTATAACGCATTATACATATATTTATATTGCATTATAGAGACAGTCATCAAGTAAAGTGTTACCGATTTGGGAACGCATGAGCTCACATCTATAAAGTCTAATAAATGCATCTATAAGACATTATTACAACCCTTATAAGTGATTATAAGCATTGATAATAACAACTTATTAATGTATGGTTTACAATGCATTGTACCAAGAGACTTAAAACTGTGAAAACAAGCTTTAGAGGTTCATCTTAATGGTTCTCAGCCATTAGACAGCGTTAAGCCAGATTAGGTTTCTGCTAATGGTTATTTCAGCGTCTGATTCAACAACCAAGTTTCTTCATGCAATCACTGTAAACCTGTGGACATGGATACTTTGTGTTCAAGGCCCTGAGAAAAGATGCTACTTGGAAGAGGATCAAAGAGAAAATCAACAGTAAATGACTGTTTTCTCCCAGAAAAAAAGAAAGCAGTAAAATCAAAGTGCTTTAGTCTAAAACTGTTTTAATAGGGTGTGTGTGCGTCTCAGTCAGACACAGCTTATCGAACAAACAAGGGAGCATTTGTTGCTGATGTCATGGAGCTGATCATTTGGGAGTCAAATAAAGCTGAGGACATGAAGTTTCCCTTCATGGGGCTAAAGCTTTTTAGTACAGTGTCTATTCTTTCCCAATAACAGAGAGACGATATCTAGAACATTTTAATAGTGAAATGTAAATCTTAAAATTAACAACCCCTGAAAAAGTTTAACTTGGTGTTTAAAGGAAGAACAAAATTTGTGATCCAGTGCCCTTTTTAATTTGGCATAATAATAGGAAAGAATAAATATTGCTGCTGATAAGGGACTTTAAAAATGAGCACAGAGCTACACTGTTGTTAAACTACACACTAGATCATTGGGTTTTATAGAGTGGAGGTCGTTGTATTTCTTTATGACGAACTTCATTATACGTGCAGAGAGGTTTAAGAGTTGTGAATAGCTTAAGTTTAGTGTAAAGACTATTAAAGAGTGTAAATAAAAGGAAATACTGTGTTGTGTTTAAGAGTAAACATAACTTGCAAAGTGAAAGTGCAGCTACAAAGCAACCAACAAAAAACACTTAAGGACCCCAGTGCCGGTTTCACCTGAGAGTGAGGGGTGATTATCATTTAAGTCACTCGTAATACCAACTCCTCATGGAGAGGAAAATATATCAGTAGTCGACTGGATCACCTCAGGGAAATGTGATTTGAGAAAAAATGTGCCTGGGAGAAGAATTATAGGAGCATATCAGTGTGAGTTTCCACTCCTGATTGTGAGTGAGAAAGCTACTCACTGTGAATTCTCCCGTTACAGCATCAAAGCCGACATGAATGGTGTGTTCAAAGTCTGAGGGCAGGGATATCTCAGGACGCTCCTTCTCCTTCTTCTTGTTTGCTACAGGAGACAAACAAAAGCTTATTACCAGCTGATCTTGTGAATCTTAATCACAGGAAATTAGTAAATCACATTCATCTGCGTGAGGGGAGAGATACTCACTCTTGTCTCCCCCGGGGAAGATGGAGCGCAGGCGAACTTTCTTGTTTTTCTCTTCAGGAGCCATTGGAAGCGGTTTAGAGGCGTGATTCACTGATGAAGAGTCTCGGGAACTACTGTTCATTCTCAAGGGGGGGGCTGGTGGTTTCTCTTCAATATCGACACTATCAGACATCTTTAGTAGCACTCACAATGTCCTACGAGAGACAGGGAGAGAGGTGGAGAGGAGCATTGTTAAAAAGGGTCCTGGTATGAAGCACTATGGGTTCAGACTTATACAAAATTAACAGAATCTGTTTGATACAAGAAAACAACATTTTTTAATCAAGTCTTACTTAACCCCATAACAACAGTTTTTAATTCTCAACAACAGAAGTGATGCCAATCTGATTCCACATGTCATATCAAATCAACCCATGGAGAGGAATCTAGCTTATTTCAACTCTGCCTGTTAACCCTGTGGCAAAAACCGTAGTTCATGTTAGCTCATTTCCCTCAAGGTGTCAAACCCTTGAAACCCTCGAAAAGAAAAGGAGCTGAATGAGGACCGAAAAATCAATATTCCTACAAAAATTATGTTCATCTTTTTTAAAATTTTTTTTAAAAACTTTTTTTGGTGGGAATTTTCAATTTTTACGCAAATCATGACGTAACCTCAAACGTTCAATTTGACGTCAACAGTACTGAATGTGAAATTGAAGGCACCATTTTTATATCCATAAAATAACCTTTAAAAATAATTGAATTTCCAGTGTTGGTTTCTTGAATAGTCAGCTAATGACTACAATAAGTGTGTGGTTAGCAGACAAGAATCCTGACAGGGTGAAAAAGACCCTGATACATATTTTATTTGAATACATATTATATACAAGTAGGATTGACCAAGAAACTTTCGGGAAAAGTGTGAAATTATTCTTTTATCTTGATTTGGTTGATTCTTTTGGTTTTAGTCTAACAGCCTAAAACCAAAAGATTTTATAACCAATACAGATAAAAAGTCTCAATTCAAGCTGAAATACATGAAGATGAACTTCACCATAACAGACTATTAAAACTGAGTTTTTGTTGATTCTCTAATCAATTAATTCTTACAGGATTACAACTGTGCCAAGACTGTTTGCTCAGTAAAAGTTTGCTGATTGATTCAAGTCTGACACTCATTAGTTTTGTACTGGGAATACTCATGGTGGCCATGTTGATCTTTAACATACTGAAGGAGAATTTCACAAGTGCTACAAAATGTGACAACAAATCAACTGAATTCAGAGCGTTTCCAGAGTTCTGTTACAGCTGCAGGTTACAGAGACTCTCATTCAGTTCACTTCTGTACGTATCATGCTGGGAAAATCTTCAAATTTAGAAAAGAAAAAACTCTCCTTAAACGGCGCTCTGTCTCCTTAAAGGTGCTCTGCTCGGCTGTGAAAATGCTCACCAGGAGCTGATTCTAAGAGAAACTGGCAAGAGTAAATGCTCCCATCACTCACCCTCTCATCTCCCATCCACCCTCATCCCACTTCCATCTTAAACTCCTTCACTGCCTCACCCTGAGGCCAAGCCCATCATGTGATGTGCTGCATGAGCGTCCCAGAAAAGCGGGCAATCCAGGCTGCCCCCTTAGTAGAGACCTACATTAGGAAACAAAGACCACTCACTCCTCGGCTCTTACACCGCGCTCGCTGCCTCTGACAAATCACACATGTGCCTTCACAGTGGCCTTCACTACTTTACGTAACCATCTCCTGTGAGAGATATGATCTGACTGATCACACCCTCCTCCTTGTTTTTTTTTGTAAAAGGACTGGTGCTAAATTGAGGAATAAGATGTGGCATTTTCAAAATATAATTATTCAATCAGGTATGTCGAATACAGACGACATCTTTCCTGACTCAGGTCATGAAGATCTTGTAAAAAGTGTTTGTACGTAATGTGTCATTTCCTCGTGAACCATTCAAGGACAGAATAATCAGATTCACAAAGAACAGTCTGTCTTTATAACCCTGCAGGGGCTATTTAAGTAGATTTTGATGCAGATCTTATTAAATGGATCGACCAACCCCTGCATAGCATCACAATTACTGACTGATGGGTATGAGAATAGTTCTTCTTGACACGGCTTGTTTAAAAACCAGGAAGCATGTCAGAGCAATCAATTCACTCATTTGGTAACATCTCCATCGAGCAGCGCAGTCTCCCATCGAATCATTCCTTCTACCCTTAAAATACATGTACTCCTAACTCTTTATGTACAAAAAAGACGACTCTGACAGTCATTGCATACAAACTAAACAAAAAAATACAGCATTTTTAAACACTTGGCGTGTAAAAATCTGGAAATATCAAACATGGGCCTGGAATAAAAGATAACCAACAGACTTCTGAAAAACTGGACAGTGTAATTTTGTCGTTCTCTGCTGGTGTTGAGTTAAAAATAAGGAAAATTCGGTCTCACTTGGCAAAAGATTGTAACAGAGAAACTGCACTGTGATCCTTTTAATTAGGCAAATAATCTCTGCAGGGAATTATTTGGCAGATCGCTGCCTGTACTTGCTAGCCTTCATATCAGAGCCTGTAAGAGATGAATATTCATGTCTTACTCAAGCAGTGGTGCAACAAATGATTTTATACTGAATGAACAAGAAGATGGCACCAAAACTGACTGGTGTAATTGTACAAGAATTAAAAAAAACCTTTTATTTAGCTCGAGACTACATCAGTTGTATCCATGCAGAATTACCAAGCTACCATTTCCTGAAACAGGTCCCTCCTGACAGAGTGGTTAACTAAACAAATAACGTCCACATGTTGATCCGGTTTAGCTGGGGGGCATTAAGTGGTTGTGAGTAACTAGACATCAGAGAAACGCCACCTCATCTCTAAGCGCTAGTAAATTTTTAACATTATTTTCATAGTGTACTTCCAGGATCTGTGATCTTAGATCTAAACTGGTGATTGGGAGGGGAGACTCTTTCAGCAGTTTCTACCATGTAAGGTGAGTTCAGACCGCAGCAAACAGGTTCTCTTAGGTTGGAGGATAGGCGTGTCACTATCAACAAAACCCAGTAAAACTCTGCTTACTCTGCGGTCTTTAAGGAATGTCACAGAGGTGATATTCTGGAGCGACAGGGAGTCACTCACAGCACAACCCATCCTTTAGCGCCTGAGGGAAATGTGACAGAAAATTGCCACCTGAAACAGTGAGCCTGGATTTAGTTAAAGATGTCAGGATTATTAGAAAGAAAACTCAATTCTTTTAAATCAGAGCTACATGAGGAAATACATCACAACCAATCAGGGAGGAGGTCATAAATTGGGGCAACACAGTGACCCAAAATTATATCTTCAGCAAACACAGACCGATACCGCCAAGACTAGCTTTCCACTTTAAACCACTTGACATGATCAGCTTGTTGTTACAGCGGGGTCAACAGAGCACAGAGCTAAATGAAAAAATACATCTTAAAACAGAGGAAAGCAAGACACAACTCCACTCTGACCAAACAAAAAAAACTTTTAGAGATATATTCTGACAAGTGAAGATACAATCTAATTTGAAAGTCATTCGTCAATACTAAATGATAAATAATCAATTCAAAAACAACACTATGAACCCTTGCTACAAAGACAAACTACTAGCATTTACCTCTGCAACCCCACTGTATATATCAGAAATCATGTCAACTTTGTCACATTTCCAACAAACACCAAAAACTGTTTTTTTTTTTTTTTTTTTTCAGCTGTACTTACTAAGCTTGACTCTGGGTTGTCTACATTTTAGACACATGGCTAAACATTTTAGCATCAAGGCTAGTTGAGGAAATGCTTCTTACTATTCAGGCAAGCACAATTTGAGATTTCCATTTTCAACATTCAGGAAACTAATGAGTGTTTTAATAGACATAAGGTAAAAGTTAGATGGACACAAATGTATTAACACAATAAAACAGTTTCATCACTAATTAGCTTTGCCGCTAACACAACATAGCTAAAATCTCCTGGACTTCAGAAATCAATGGTAACATTTTTCAACAAATTATGGGAGATGCTACTGAAACATAGGTTTTACCTTTTTGCCACTTCACTTAATGAAAGTGAATTGAGTTAAAGGTTTCCTGAAATATATATATATACTGAATTGTTCAGCATCAATGCTAAGTGGGGAAATATAATAGACAGTGAATCAGGGGAACAAGTTTTGAGTGTTCCTCTTTGAATATGCTGGAAACAATACATGCTTTTAGAGATCTAATTTAAAATGAAAAGACAAAATTATGTTTATGCGATTAAATCATTCACACCTTAATTAGTTTTACCAATGAGACAAGCCCATTAGTATCTGCTGGACCACAACCCCACAGCATGTGACAGAAAAGAAAGTGAACTCTGCAAAGTTTCCACAGAAAAAAAAGACAAACAGCACAGCACTTTTATTAATACATTTCTTAGAATTTAGCCCTTACACTAAAATAAGAGAACAGCCAAATGTTATGAGAGAGTTGAATACTCCCTTGTATTCAGCTTGTCTAGATTTGTTTTCCATTGTATTCTCCTGTTTGAGGTTTTCGAAAAGTATGATTCACTGTGTTTACTGCACACAAACGTCATCATGGCCAATTAAAACTTTGCCATCCAACCTGAAAAAGAACATCCAGCTACGTAGCTAGCCAAACATTTGTTTTATTCCAGACGAGAATTTTAGACCAAGATGTCTCTGCTTGTAAAATCAGGTGCCATTTTTTATTTCATAAATAATTTTTTATAATTTTTGTTCCTTTTATTTTGGAGCTGCATGTCTCTGTGTGTGTCTGTCTTCAGCTGTCCTATCCAATAAAGGCAAAAATGCCCCTAACACTTAACACATTAACCAAATCTAACACTTTTATAGTCTTGAATACATAGGCATTGTGAAAATTCAACAAAGTTTAGTGGTATTTTTATTGAAAGTTTGTCTAAAAGTTATTCCTTCAGTACTTCATCTAAAGTAGTAATCTGACTAAGCAGCCTCCCCTTGTGTCAGAGTAATATTTTACTTTGAGTATCTACACTTTGACTCAGGTAATGAAGATATGTACTTAGTTCACATTTGTTCACCACTTGAGTCACATACGAGCCACTCGATCCCATTGAGCCCTGTGCAGTTGTGACTGAAGCCTCTTTTAATCCATTAACATAATCTTGTGAACATGGTTTGCCAGCTCCAGTGTGTAATACAGCTTTCATAAGTCGTGCGCAGAAGTGGATTCACTAACATGTGCTCATTGCACAAGCAAAACCTAACAACAACATCAGGGAGTGAATCAATCGGGTCACTATCTGGTCTGCAGACTGAGGTAAAGATCAATGTCTGCAACACCAGATAATAAAGAGGTGACTGAAGGTTTTTAACTCTTATATTTCAAGTTGAAATGCCTGTGTCTTCCTTTGGAGCATGCAAAACTGAGTTCACTTACATAAAACAGGTAGGGTATGGCGTATGCTCATAAATATGATAATTCTGGTACACAAGTGCCAGTGGAGAGCCCTGTGTATGAATTATGTAGCTGTGAAATTCCTCAGCGTCTGACTGTTGTCATTTCTGTATCCGACGGGAAGTCTGTGCCACCTGCTGAAGAATAAAACAGGAAACTAAAAGAAGCTAAATGATATTTTTATTGCAAATCTCCAACTCTGATACTCCCTGCTGTGTGTACATTGTTCGGTTGATCATCTGACTGCTGCAGTAGCTCTTCCGAGTGGTCAGACGGCTAAGGATGGCAGATTCATGGAGGCCCAGACATTACTGAGTCTTCACTCACATAAAACACTGACCTATTTACTGTGCAGACTGACAGGGAGGCAAGCAGTCAGGGAGTGCTCTGTCCCTGAAACAAGCAGCTCCTATTTCTGAAACACACATAGCCTAGTCTCTCAACATTATAAATCAAGTCTATGCCTGCTTTTGCCTGATACTGAATATGTCCTTTTAGAAGACTTTAATGTGTGAGCATGGAGGACAACTAGATCTTTAACTCACTGATTTCTATGACAATGTAAACAGCTAAAATATAGCTATACTCTCAGGAATAACAAAAGTAAATTTCATTCAACTTGACTGTCTTTGATGGGATGTGAGTATTTGACAGCTATGTATGAACACAGAGGGGCTCACCACACAGACACACAGACATAGACACACACACCACCCTGGTACTCAGATATTACAGGGAATGTTTTCACATTTCTCTTCCATAAAATATTAATCTGGCCATGAAGAGCAGGCATTTTCTCTGCTCTTTCAAACATTAATGCTGAATTTGAATGGCTAACACAGGAAGAGGCTCTAGCCCAGTAATGGCCCCGTAGTGTGGGGGGAGGGCTCCATAAGCCCGGCTCTTCATGCCCCTGATTAGGACACGCTCTCTGTTTGACTTGGCTTTAGCTTTGGCTGCGCTTCTTTGAAGGATGCTGATTACTTGGATGGGATGGACGGCTAAAGGACGTTCAAAGGATAAAGATGAAGGAGGGGACACCTTAGCGGCAGTTATCCTTTGTTATCTCCATCATCCTAGCCCCGCATTACTCCTAGTGACAACTAAGAAAAGTTTGACATTTCTACTGTTCATAAAGCGAAGAAAGACAGGACCAGCTCATCTGACAGCCCTTATAAAACACAGACACACACCAACTAAGAGAACCTAAAAATAACTAAACAGACATTTCAGGCAGACATTAGAGCGGTGGAGGCTGACGACACACAGATGTGATCATTTTGCAGCACAGAAACACTCCTCTGGTTGGCCTCTCAAGGTCAAAGTGAAACACACAGTAAATGCAGCAACCCCCCCATCGCCCCCCCTATCTTCACCCTTAACTTTCAAATGAAGGTTGAGAGAGCAGGAGGAGGAGAAGGAGGAGCTGAAAGGGGTATGAGGAAAATTTTTGGTCCCAAGATCAAAACCTCATGTGATCAAAGAGCTTATCTAATCTAGACTTGTGTTTTTTTATTTATTTTTAATTGCACATGTTTGGGTTGAAATGCTATGAAACGGCTACATAAATTGATCAATGAACAGCTGCATCTACAGTGCATGGACATATTTGGCAATATCTAGCAATCAGAGTCTGGACCGAAATGTTCCTTTCCTTACCTGTCACACTGGGAAAGCTCTACAACAACAATGGCTTTCTAGGACAAGAAGCTGCAGTGACAGAAGCAAAAATGTACAAATGGTCTTATGTGCTTATGTGACAAATAAGACAAAGAATAGAGTAATTGTTGTAGGCAAAAGAGTTAATATTATTTGATGTTTTCAAAGTAAAATCTTGGCAGATTGGGGGTCATACTGATGTGTAATGTAGAAACAAGATGACGACCTCTAAAGAAACAGACCTGCTCTTTAGTAGATACACCAGGCTTATTAGTGAACAAAAACAACATGTTTATATTCATTGTATAAACTACTTTGAAATAAATGCTGTATTCAATATCTACTGAGTCTGTTCTGCTAAATGCTGCTAAACATTACACACTGTAGCTTTAATTTTCACAGTCCAGTTGTATATTATCCAGTACATGTTGGTACAGATAGTGATTTTTTTCTTCCTCTTTCTCAGTGTGGCTGGTCTGAAAGGATGGCATGTGGCTCGAGTAGAGGATTGTTATACAAATTCATCCCATTAATCGCCTCACAATGAACATCAAAGTGCCATCGACAAGTCTCAGAGAGGACCATGATTACTGATAATTATGAATGATTCTGAAATGCCCACTGTCGCGCAGTGGAAGACTTCACAGAGTAAAAAATGTTTTTTTTTTCAAAGGTTATCAAAGTCAAAGCTTGTCAGGACTATCAGGGCAGCTGAGAACTCCTGTTTGTATAAAGCTAGATGGGGTGGAAACTAAGTGCTTCTATTTACAGGGTACAGAACAGCAAATACCAAACATCAGCTGACAGTCAGTTCGCTTAACTTGGCAAAACGACTAGAAAAAGCTAAATTCGTGACATGTTCTCATTAAAATTAAAAAGACATCCTGGTGATTTTTGTGAGTATTTATATCGTTTGATGCTCAATAAAACATTTTACCTGAAAAGGGCCAAAGTCTAAGATTTTGAGGCCTCTGTTCAATAAAATCTTCCTCTTTGCTTTTGTCCCATACTGTTAAAACTCAGTAGCTCTGCTTTGCATACAGCTGCCAGCATTTGGTTCATGACAGGAACAACACCCAGCTTCAGTTTGCCTCACATGGTGACAGATGAGACAGGTGTATGAGGTAATTCTCAACTCTGAAGCTTATACTAACTTGAATTGTTTCAGAGATGTTGAATGACATGTTTCATGGGATAAAAACAAACTTCCCTCCATCAATATCTGCAATATTTTTAGCTGATGCCTTGAGAGACAAGCATAAAAAATGTTGACTATGTACATCTTATTATCCTGTTGGCATAAAAGGTTTATGAGCGTTCATAACATGCTAACTAGAGCATGATTACACAATATCAAAGGCAAGGCCCTTTGAACATGCACTGACCTATTACACCCATGTGTGATCCACATAGAGGGTTCTGTCAAAATCCTTATGCAAAGACAGAAAATGACATTGTACACCAATTTTTTGAGCATTCATAATCAAGTTATGCAACTCTTTTTGACACACAGAAAGTGCAAAAACATCTCTAATCAGTAACCAGTGAGCTATTTTTAGCAGCCAGCCAGATGTCTGCGTCTGATGTGGCGTTTTTTCCAACTAGTCGTCCACAAAAATCACTCTGTATTATGGCGTATTTACAATACCAACCGTTTCTTTTTCCTTCTTTTATATTTTCAGCACACTTCAGTTCTACCTGAGAAAATAAAGATTTTGCTTTTCACAAAAAAAAAAAAACATAAAAAAATGACACATAACAGTACAAATCAAACAAAAACATATACAGCACGAAGTCAGAGCTCAATATGAGAATTCTGTGAAAGTTATTTTGAGTAAATACCAAGAAAGTGCCAAGATTCCATGTAAAATGCACACCGTAAAATGACACAGCAGAGAAAGTGGGTCATTGAGCAGTTACAAAACTAGATTTTTCTGCCGTGGATTTAAAGATGAAAGACAAACTGAGGCCCTTCAACTGTACTGTGCGAAATCCAACCCATATCTCAGGTTGAACATTTTGAGTTTTAATGTTTTCCTAGTAAAAACTACGGCCAGATTGCACACAATTCTGTAATTTAATCCTCATCTAATCCAAACAAGATTACTGCAGAAGTATTACCTTTTGTTTGGGTACTTGGATTGATCTGACGCTAATCAGCCACAACAATAATCTGATTGTAAAAGTATGTTGATAAAGAAAAAGCTGACCCTGGTTACTCTGTAAGATTCAAGATATGTTGTGGTCTTGCCATATAATATGTCCCTGGCTGATTTACTGCTATTAACTGACAAGTTGTGTTTAAAAAAATCCTGTTATTAAAACAAAGCAAACCCATTTATTCACCACAGCCTACAATCCACCGTGACTCTCATTTTACCAGCATGATCCTCTCCTAACTCCCCTGCTGGGGAGGCTTGAGAGCTTGCTCCGTCATTTAATATTTAGTTTGGGTGAACTCCCTACCCCCAGCCCTGCTTTCTTAAATCCAAACATGCACGCTTACACACACAGGCACACACTTCAGCTGTATTATCCGTCTCAATCCTATCAAGCTAGTTTTCTCATTTGCATCAGATTTTTGCTTTAAGAACTGATCGTTTTTGGTATGTGATTCCTGTTGATTTTATTACAACATTACACTACTGAATGGTCCCACCTGACAGAGGTGCTGCACTGTGTTGTGGCAGTTCAAACAGCTCATCTGAATGAAACACCAGAGGTATGAACATGCTTCAAATTGGAGCAGGTTATTCTGTCATGTGGAAAAACAGACAGTCAGATTAATTAAAGTGATGAAAATATTATAGCAGAGTCTGCCAATCAACAAAAACTATTAAAACCCTGCATAAAAAGCTCAAACTCATCCCATCTAATGTTTTTGTTTTTTGTATGCTGGTTGTCTATTTAGACAGAGTTCTTCTCATTCAATGACCCTGTTTTCATTCGGAGCACATTTCTGTAACGGCTATTTTATTCTGATCGGCATTTCCTGTCTGACAGAGGCTATTTGTCATACAAGTTTATCAAGGTGGATTATGTATTCAACCTGACACTACAACTGATCTTATTCCTCATTAAAGTGGAGTCTATCTTGACATATAAAGTCTTCTGCACTTTGCATATTCTACTATTCAACCTTTTAGTCCCGATTTTCAGCGGTTGTACTGAAAAATCATCACATCTTCATGTCCAAGGAATGTGCAAGATGGCAGCAAAAGTTTATTTTTGGCTTGTCCTGTGGACTCAACAGCTTTAGTGCATATTTATTACAACTCTGCTTATTTTAAGAGCTGGTTGTTGAGGCTGACAGGAACCAGAGGGAGTCATCAAACAGAAGGTGCTGCACTTATACGTTATGGCCTTACGCCCCAAGGCCACATGGAGCCCCCCAAAAAACCTTAAATAGCTTGTTAAATTTTTATATTCCAAGTCATAGTAAAGCCTGTTGAGGGTTGTGATCCATGGATGAATTCATTGGGAGTAACGAGCCATTCAATATATATCATCTTTCAAACTGACAACCAAGTGATGGCACTAGTTCCCAGTAAGCATCTCCATTGTCCTTCACACTGACACGTTCTCCATTGACCCTCAATGAAAGCGCCTCTTCGTTTGAGGTATTGTATAAGGGAATTTTGATTTCATCCTTCACCTTAGACAAAAAAGGGGTTGCTTGTTGAGGACACGGCCGCACTCAAATCAGCCTCCGTGGTTTCAATCTATGTGAATAAAAACAAACCTGTCAAACTACCACCAACAGGCTGAGTTGTGACTTTACTCAGAGTGTAAATCTCTCCCTCATGAGAGAAATCCACTTATATTTTTTTACTTATCAACTGAGTAAAAAAGAAACGATTTTACTTTCAAAATAATATTGATATGTTTACTAGTTCTGCAAGAGAAAAAGGACTAAGCCTACTGTCTAACCTGAACTAATAATAAACTAAGGTCTTCATCTGACACCCATGCACAGTGTAGGCCAGTTGGGTGGAGACATATGAACATTTTCCACAACTAACATAACAAAACTTGGCTTTAATGGACTTTTGAAATGAAATTCTTCTTTTTACAAGTAACAAAAAACAAAGAAATTAAACAGTAATAACAATGGACTAATGCACTCGGACCACTAAGGTTACCAGTTTAGATTAGTGAATCTCAACACCCTGAACCTTTACCCTGCTAAAAAATCAGAGTTAAGATTCAGGGACAATCTGTAAATTCAATTCCCATGAAGCCTAAGCAATAGTTTATTATGAAATTCTGAATGACAAAGTTCAGATGTTGCCAAAGCTATTAAGTGGCTTCTTTTATTTCATTCTCTGTTGGGTCAATCTCTGATGAGTTGTTTGCTGTTGGGTTGCACTTTGCTGCGGTTTGTTTTCCTATTGGATTATGATGTTGTTTTTGGTGTCCTCTGCCTTTGCCTGTATGTCAAAGCACTTTGGTAACCCTTTGCTTTTGGAGGTGTAATACAAATCCAAAGTCATCAATTTTATAACCAACGATTTGTGATACTGAACGTGGTCATATTGATGGCGAACAAAAAAAGTCATGTATGTTTTAACTTAAAAATCCTGGATCTCATTTTCAAAAGAAGAAGGATCTAAACTTCCAAATGAGTCCTCATTCATTCATATTTGTTTTATATCTTACCACAAGCGCCTATTGTTGGGTATGTCAGTGACAAATTTGAAAAACAAATAAAATTAAACGGACAAGGTTAAATCCAACGACACTTTGGCTCCTTGCTCTGTACCTATGACAAACATGAACAGCAAGACCAGATGAGGCTGCCCGTATATTGTTCACTATACAAAGTAGTAGGGAAAGTGTATGTTTTGTAGGTATTTGCATTACTGTGGTATAGGAGAGCATGTCTGAGTGCCAGCTGGAAGCAGAGAGCACAGCAGAGTTCCTCCTACAGTGCCAGCTGGTGCACCTGCTCTGTGTAGAGCTGACAGGGTTAATAACATGCACTACAGTAGGAGAGTACGGGCAAAGTGAAAACACATTACAGAAACAGTTTATAAATGATTTCACACTTTTTTCCCACAAGAGTCCCATGATAAGTTTTAAATGTAGCTCTTATGGAAAATTTCATGCTCTAAAGTGCGTTCCTATCTCTAGAAAAGCTGACTCCAAACTGTCCTCCAGGTATAGTTATCATAACCACTAGTCATGTTTTATGGCTACGCCTAGCCATGCAAGACATTCAGCTAATCCCTCTCCTGAAAAGCTCATAAAGCTGTGTTACGATTTTGCATTGAAAAATGACGCTATCAGACATATATTTGTGTCAACAAGTGAATGAACAGGGAGGCAGAAAGTGTGCCACACACAGCAGCAACACCTCCACACAGCTGAGAGAAAGAAACCAAATTCCTCGTAGTTTATTCGGATCAAAGAAACAAGTGCAACAACTCTGCTCTGTCAGATCAATGCTGTTATTCGTTTCTGACAGATCAGTGATACCTTCCTACCTGGAGATACAAACCTTATTGTCTGTGCTGAGGTTTTTTCCAATAATTGAACTTAATTTCACCAGGTTGTGGAAGCTGGACAATATATGAGGACCTCACCCCAAAAAAACAACAAGTACATCCATAAACGAGCAATCACAGCTATTTTTGAACAAAAATAGTAAGAGCAGTCAACTCTGAACCATTGTCATTCCTTTCACTTTCTGAAAGACTCTTCACTCTCAACGGCCTCCGACTTTTCACACTGTGTAGCCGCTGAACAGATCCAAGTTCAGACACCCCTCTTCAACCGCCCTGCAAACTCTTGACCCAGCGAAACTAGTTAATCTCTTAAACCACCTGAACGCTCCGCCACGCTTCTCTGCAACATTTAGTCCTTTATTCTCTACAGTCTCTAACCATCTGGGACGTCTCCTCCCATCACATCATCTCACTGTAATCTGGAATCTTCAATTGCACCCCCACCCTCACCCCACACCCTTCTCTGGCTATCTTAAAAGCCATACTTGCTTTTTTTTTTTTGATGCATTGCAAACAGTATAAGTCACATAGGGACGATGTGTGTCACAAACACACACACAAGCGCAAACACACAGACAAGCGGCCTTATTCTAAGTAGCAACAGACATCAAGTAGGGAGATTACACAGGGAGCTGTGTCAATGTGTCAGTGTGTGAGTGTTTCCTCTGTTACTCTCTCTCCCTCTGTCTCTCTCTCTCTCTATCTATCTCTCTCACTTACTCCCCCTCCCCTTTCTGAGACAAAATGGCCAGATGGCTTCCAATCCTACATGCTAATCCACAACACACAGACTGTAGCTCTCACACACCTACCACCAAGACTACCGCTCTCCTTTACACCACTCTGCCCTTAAAAAACACACAAAATCCCCTCGTGAGGCCTCTGAGCATTTATAAACTGCCAACCACACAGAGCCCTGAAAGATAACTGCGTTGAACAATAGCAGCATAACTCATCCTGACTAAGTCCTCAACAGATGGAGGCCTACTTGTATGTGCTGTGAGTCCTACTATCAGATTTCAGGCAGTCCAGTTAGCAGGCTGTGAGCCAAGACAAGGTTCAGTGTCTCCTGCTTTTGTTGGCTGAGGTGAGGTAAGAAAAGCTGTGTGTGTTGGGTTACACAGGTCAGTGGAAAACATGGGGAAGCCCAGAATGGCACACACTAAGCTATGGACACATTCTGGAAAAATAAAGGCTTCGTATTGCTTCAGTACACTAATAAAGTCCACCTTATATTGTTTGTTGACTATGAAAGCAGAAGAGTAATGTATGTTTAAACAGGGGGGCAGATTAAAAATTAACCCTTTTGTTTTGGTCTGCAGGTCCAGTCAGATGATGGTACTCTGATACGAATTAAACTTAGGACGAAGGAAACATCTGTTTCAGGATATGAAGGTCCTGGTTGGTTTCTTTAAAAGCCCTTATTTAATCATTTTCAAAATATTGACCTGATGGCAGTTTTGGGTATATGCTACTTGCTGGCAAGGGTCAGTTGTGAGAAATATTCCATCAAAAGCAAAGACGTGATATCTTTAGCTTTGCCTGCACTATTCATGTTTATACTACAAACAGTATGCTTGAGGGTGCAGTTTTTTACAGTGTTTTAAGTAATTAAGAACGCATGTGTCAGACCAGACTACTAATGTTTACTGTCTGCAAGCTGTCTTAGCAAATATAAAATTTTCATGAGGCGCATCTATCCTTCAGAGACAAAGGCTGTGTCAGTACTTCCATATGATAGTGAGCAGCTCTATTCAGATATATACTTAAACATATACTGTTGCCAGTGGCTGATGTGAGCGGATAAAGGTGTGGTAATACATATTGCATATGGCATAAAGAGTGTCTAAGACTCAGAGCAGCTATCTACTTGAGGTTTCATAGCTCTGTTTAACAGCACCAAGGATTTTAGCTTTCATGGTGTTTCACAGCACCCCTGTTTAGGCATCTCTCCACCTTCTTGATAGGCCTGTCACCTTTTCTGCAAAGCCAGGTGCAGTGTATTGTCCAACACTGGCGGAAACTACACCAATAACACAAAATGAAAGGAACAAATGTCATTTAGATGTTTTCTTTTTAAAACTAGATTTGTTTGTTGAAAATCAGTTGTGCTGTTGTATTTGTGGCTGAGAGTTGCAGGGTGATTCAGGCTGCAATACGATACAATATGGTACAGTGTGATATGATACGATACAATATGGTACAGTGTGATATGATACGATACAATATGGTACAGTGTGATATGATACAATACAATATGGTACGGTGTGACACGATACGATACAATGTGATACTGTGCGATACGATATGATGAGACGCAATACAATACGGTACGGTGCAATACGATACAATATGGAATGGTGCGATACGGTGCGATACGATACAATATGGAACGGTGCGATACAATACAATACGATATAATATGGTACAGTGCGATACGATACGATACAATACTGTACCGAGCATTACAATACGATACGATGAAGTACAATATAATACAAACAGGAAAGATATGATGTGATGCAGTGTGATGTAACACAACATTCATAGAGAAACATATACAGTGCAAAAGGATATAGAACAGGACACAATGTATAACTCAGTGCAATGGGATAGGATGCAATAATATGATATCACAATCTGATATCCAGTACATGGGTAGCTGATGATATTACCATGATTAAACCATTATTCTGTATCTGATTACTTGCAGGAAAATCACATAAGAATTCATCACCATATCTGATTAACTGAAAAATTCCCCCCGCATCAGCAAAAAGCAGGTTTAATGCCATTAGCTCCAGAAAGGGTGATAAAGTAGTGGCCCAGACAGTCAGCTTGGGAGGAGAATGTGTTCAGAAAGTCAAATTATTTTTGAATTAAAATATTGATATTTGGTGCCTGCTGTGTGATTATTGTGTTGCTCTATTCAGGGTAATAGTATATTGATGTCTAACTCAGTTAACTTCACAAAATTGAACTTTTACAGTACACCAGACTGTGCCTTTATAAAATATCTGCTCTTCAGGTTTTATGAATGTATATTTCATGCTATCACAAAGTCTCACCTTGGATCACCGAGTGAAACCCTGAAAGGAGCATAGTCCCGTGACAGATGATCTTTCACCATTAAATAATTTCAAGGAATATAGCAGCAGACAAACCACAAAAAGTGCAATCACCGTGCATTCCTTACATCAATTCAACAGGATAATGTTGAAAGGGAGTATCACCTTCACCATCCCATCCCCCAATTCCTCTCTACAATCATCTCACCCTCCCTCCATCACTGACATGACTCCCTAACATCCCTCCCTCATACAACAGCCAGACAACAGGTCTCCCATCAGGCCTTGCTCCTCACAGACTGGAGGATGACTGAGCTTGCTGGGGGAGGAATCATCTCTCTCCCCCTCTGCATCAGCTCTGACACCACAATCTAAACCCAGCAGAGGGGATGGAGAGACAGCAAATCCCTCCATCTTCTTCCACCAGAAATGTCTGAGAGAAATCGAGGCAGAATAGCTCAGCTTTCACAGCACCGGCCCCCACCCCCACTCCGATCCCCAATGAAGTCAGGTGACCAGATGTTGTATATCTCCCTGTCACTACAGCCGCCATGAAGCTGCTACACATATCCATGTTAAAGCCGGGAGACTTAGGCACGTCTCTGCTCAGCTTTGCGTGTGTGTGGGATCATTTAAAGGCAGAAATAGAAATAAAAGACATTTGCCTGTAAAATCCTCCCTAGAAAGGCCGTAAGTGAGGCATAGCAGAGATAACAAAAGAGCATCCATCAGCATATTAAGCATCCATCACCCCCACCATCCATCCACAGCATATAGAGCTCTAAACCAGCCGTCAGCCTCGGGTCTACAGACCTAAAATAGCCTTGCTTCTTTTTTGTTCCACTGCAGCTGCTGCATTTCTCCAGCACACACATACACACACGCACGTACACACACACACACACACACACACTTGGACAAACACATACACACTCTCAAGGCCCCGTACAAACGCCACCATTGATTCTAACACCTCCCCATCAATAAAGATGCTATTTGTGAGGCACAGGGGAGAGCACACAGAGATGATGTGATGCAGAGTGGGGGGTGTATGATCATACAATACGTGATGCAGGCATCCATTTCCATCTCGCCCTCACAGACACACTGCTGATGAAACAGCTGCCTCCATGGCCGGGCAGAATGCAGAGTTGAGGAAGAAGAAGAAGAAGAAGAAGAAAAAAAAAAGAAGGCTACAAAGCAACCCCTACATACACAGCCTCCCCCTCCTCCTCCTCCTCTTTCCTCTCCTCTCTTCTCCTCCCTCCTCTGCCTCCCCCCTCCACATCCCATATTGCATACACAGAGAGGGAATTACCTGAAATATGTCTTCACATTCTCTTGCTGAGTGTTTCTCCTTTGAGCCCCGAGCTCGGGTGGATTCATCGCCAGCCAGTCCTATTGACAGTTTAAAGGCAGGATTGCCATTCTCTTGTCAGACCAGTTCCTGACCCTAAAAGCAAGCTTGTTCGGCAGGCTGGATGCTTCACTGGCTGCTCACTGTTCCCTAGTCCATGATGTCATCCACCCTGCTCCTCTCATTGGCTGAGAAACTGAATATTAATGCAGGCAGCAGGTCTGGGGGAGGAGGAAGCCAACGGGCAGACGCTGTTGGTTTTCTGTTTGACAGAGCAAACCTGCTTAGTGAGTAGAGAGGAGGACGGGTTGAGATGAGAGCTGGATACTTGTGGAAAGTTGGACTTTTGAGGCAGGGGTCTATATCACTAATCTTTCAATACATCTGCATTAAACAAAAAACTTTTCATATAGAAATATAAAAACTGATAAGGCCATGAAAGGGTTGTAGTTTAAATGCATCCTAAAACAATCATTCACTGTATCATTTCTTGAATGTATCTGAAAAAACATTGACTACTTTTTATCATAAACATATGTAGAAAGAAAGGATTTTTGAATTATGGATACAATAAGATATACCTATCTGATATAGAGGATATTGGCTTAATACAACAGAGGGACAGAGTGATCAACACTGACATATCAGTGAAAGTAAAAAACTGTGTAAAGAATTAATAAATATATATACTATGCAAAATAATACTTAGATATCTTTCACTTATTGATAGATTGGATTTTTTACCGGGACCTTCAGCTGCAGTTGAAATTTCTTTCATATATGTAGACACTGTTGCTTTAGGACACTCACATCTTGTCTATGATGTAAATGCTCAATAATAAACCCCTTTCCATAGCCTTGTTTTTTTGTCATAAGGTCTAATTTTGTTAGAAAAATAAAGCAAAATTCACTTAAAGACTGGGTAGTCTTTTACATCAAAGATCATAGTGTAAGTATCTTTTAAGTAGGAAAAAACATAACTGATCTCAAGGCAATTTTTGTTACGTATAAGTCTGGATCTTTTATGGGGCGTTCGTTACAGCTGTTTCTTTTTGCTTTTTAATTTCTATTTTTAAAGTCTCCACTTCTAAAAGTAAGATGTTGCCTTTATGCAAAATATTATATCTGCCGAACATTACAGACTTCTTATCCTCAGTCTTGATGTGGCTCTGAGTTCATGAGCAGGCGGTGACGGCAAACAGAATACCCGCTACATTTGCCCTAATTTGCCTATGATGTCATCTTTTTCCTCTATCTCACCTGCCATTGGCTGACTTGCACAGCATCTGCTCAGTCTCATGGCTAGTGCTTCTAGCTCAAGGTGGAGGCCTATCTGAGCTCTGCAAATCATGGCTGGTTGTCCTGACAACCCTGTAATGTCGATTCCTCATCGGAGAGTAATATGGCTGTTCTGTGACAGGGCTCGCTAAAATAGGGAACCTGGTGATTACAGGAAGGCAGGTTACCTCATATCACTTTATTCCCATCAGAAGGTGGCTGTTGTGATGTTTTCAATAAACTGAAATAATATTTCCTGTGAAACTCTTGAAAGAAGTGAATCTTGAAATATATGGCATTAAAGGTTACGATAAATTCTGCAAAATACCTGAAATTAGTAGTAAAACAATAAAACGTTAGATTAAAGTCTCAGGGAATATAAATATCTTTGATTTCAGGACATTTTTTGTTCTTTCCAAGCAGAAAAATGTTACAGTCCTGATCATATTTGTCCAACAAAAGCAGGAAGGTAAGATGCAAGTGTTAACATTTGAGAGCAGGGAAGCTCTGACTCCTGTCAGCAGACACTAAAGATCACTGTACACCTACGCAGCGGCAGCGAGGCAGAGTTGATACAGAAGAGTGTCAGATACTCTTAGATCTAAAGCAAACAACTAGTTTGGCAAAACTTTAAAGCATGTCAAAGAACAGCATCTGTGCAACGATGGTTGATGATCATCATTCAGTTAATACTGTTTTTAAAAATCTATGCACATTTCTTTTGTTTGTTTTTCAAGTCTAATCCCTCAGTGATGTAAGACAGCAGCCATCCCTTAATAGTTTTCCAAACTTATGACTTCCATCCATGTGATATTAATTACTAATACCCATCATCACAGTGGGGCTTTCCCAGCAGGCATTTGGCTGATGAAGAGGGAACACTGTGGACAGGTCAGCTGTCCATCACATGTCCGACATGTGGTATAACATACAAACATATGACTGTTTCACCATCACTATAATCCTTACACACAAGACTTTAGACTCAACAGAAACCTGTCAAAAATACAAACAAAATCCAGCAAGAGGAAGTCACCACTGTGAGGTCACAATGAGCCACCAAGCTGCCAAGGCAGGAACCACAGTTGATCAAGCTCTGTTTGTCTCTGTATCAAAGCAACCACAGCTTTGTGCTTTTGGCCAACTGTGTTGCCACCCACACTGAATGTCAAGGCATAATGAGCTTTTTTTCATGGTTATAGAGGGTTGTAAGTTCACAAACTGTAGCCCATCTGTTGCTTTGAGAACTTCAAGTCAGTCTTTTCAAGCCAATCAACAGGGTCAGCCCAAATATCTAAGTAGTCCTCGCCTAAATCTGCACCCATCCAAGAAACCGCTCGCACAGACAAGCCTTTACAGTGTGAGCGCGATTACATGGCTCCCCATGATGCTTCAGGTCGTCTGTGACCTTTCTGTTTGCCAACACTTTTGGAAATTCAAGTATCAACATGCAAAATGAGCAAAGGATCCTGGATTAACGTGCTATATCTGCACCGTAGGAAAAGCAGGTGTTTCATTCAGAGCTTTGAATAAAAGAAAACAATGACTAGAAAAGGTCAGAGACTTTCAGTAGTCACTGTGTGTCCTTTCATACACAGGTACGTGGTTATCATGTCCTTTTGAAGTAGTGACCCCCCACCTGAGCCCCCTCTGTGTAAGCCTTAGATAAAAGCATATAAGATGTTTTAACTAATAAAAGACTCATCCAAGACTCATCCAACTCTTTTTTCACACTCTAACTACTCAATGTCTACGCTCTGCCAAATGTGTGATATCTGCTCAGGCGTGTGTCACTGAAGGCAGGTCATGTCCTAAAGCTGTACTGTAGGTACTGAAAACTCAGATCAGAAGCTGGCAAAACAACCTGCAGCTGCAGAGGGGAGGGGCTATAGGCGGCTGTCTGTGATCAGGTTTATATAATGATCCTATAAATATCTTCTGAGGCACAGAACCGCTCTGTGATGATATAGACCTGTCTGAAATTTACCAAAGTTATGAACACAGAAATAAATACTTCTTAAAAACAGATTACTACCAGTTTTATGACTAGCTAAATACTGAAAAAACACTGCTGAAGATATTTACACATACCCATCTACATTAAAAATACCTGTCTAATGTTTATATTGGTGTATATAGTTAATCTCGACTCAAAAATCACAGCAGTTATGTCCTAATTCAGAGGCTTCATCCTTAGAGACCAACTGTGTCGCCATCAAAGGATGTCCAATTCAAGTGTCTCCCTCAAATTCTTACTAATCCAGTATGGCCCTATACCTCCTAAATTTACTGTGTCCATTCACAGGACTCTCAAGCAGTTCAGTAACACAGCATTAAATGTTAAATGTTAGTAACTGTTTAAAGCTGTAAGTGCATACATACAGTTTTATAGGTTGCCTTCATGGCTACAATAGCTGTGAATAATGGTTTTCTTTCTATCTTATTTGTGTTTTATGAGTATTAGTGTTTTGGGTTTAAGAATGGTTTACCTCTTATTGGTCTATTGGTTCAAAGAAAATGGCTAATTTGAGGGAAAAGGAAATATCATTCATTGTTTCAGAATGCCAAAATATGTTTTCTATGAAATAAGTTCAAATTTTGTGTCCTCTACAACCAACACATCAAGGTAAACAAAATGTCCACCTGTAGAAATATTGTGTTTTCAAGGCCATTGTTTAAAACCTGAGCATGATTTTAATTATTGCTTGTTTCTAGCAGTGATCCTGATTATATTACTTCATCAGCCCGAGAGAAAACATTATTTTGAGAAATGGAGTTACGAAATTTGAGACCATCGGTTCCCTGGTCTACAATCAAATAATCACAGCAGTGGTCATTTAGTCCGGTATAAACCACATTAAATTATGGTTTGGATTATTATGTTATGGTGGAGCTTACTGCATCTTGGGAGCAGAGGCAGAGGGAAGCTTCCAAGAGAAATGCAAGCCTCGCAGGAATAGGTGATATATGAGATACGACAAAGTGTGTAGGTGAAACTTCATATTCTGGTATGACTCGGGGAAAATCTCTCCCTGAACACAAAGCAATACGTTTGATCTCTTTGTTTAAGTTGTTTTTACTGACATGATATCTCAACCTGCTCCCTTGAAACAGTCAAATGAGTTAGTCATTCTGAAAAAAGGTTCAGGATATATATTTTTAAAAAGCTAAACTGTATAAAATATAATTGTGCAGCTAATTCTCTTCTTTGCTTCTGAGGCATCTGTATAGATTTCACATAAAAACTCTTCAAAAGATCTTTTAACTACTGTCATCAATAATGAAATTGACATTGATACTATGAGACTCGACCACAAATATTCCTTGTATTTACAAAACAATACTATTTTTTTTCTTTGCAGCAGAAAGTGCAAAGTGCTGTGAAAGTACTACTATATTTTAAAAGAGGAAATATACTATTTTGATTATGATATATTCACAATATGAAGCAAATTTAAATCAAGAACCTGTTACAGAGTCAAATATCTACTACATTATTCAAAATTAAAAACAACTTCAACAGAAATCTTATGTTTAGGAACTGTTCCAGTTTATCCCTTGACAATACTGATCCCCAACAAGTGCATACATGCAGCTTTATAGAGTATTTGTCCTAGTGTGCGGGTGTCAGACGATAAACAGAAAAAAAACATGACCCATGTATTAAATATGCTTCATGTTACCACATCAGATTAACTTCAGTAAGCCCCACTTGTAACTTGGCATGTAAAAGATAACAGGTCACGCTCACCCATGCTTCAGCTCCACTCACAAAAAGCAGAGCTACTTCATGCGGTAGCACAGCAGAGATTACCCCCCTAAGGAGAATAATTGAGGTTAGTAGGCCTCTATCCTGCTGATTACGGGTAACCTATTGATGAGTTACCCACTGTCCTATAGGAGCTTGTCAAGTCTATTTGACTTTTTTGTTTTTTACTGTGAAAAAACACTCAACAGTGACAGCTAAGCACAGTAATTACAGATTACAGCACAGTTTAGTGTTGTGTACTTAACACCTTGGCTGTTTAGTGGGATTTTAAATGCAGGTTGAGTTACATGTTTCACATTGCTTACAGAAATAAAGATGCAGAAGCTGAGAGAGAGTATTTCCTCTGACTTGTGCTCCCAGATGTTTGGGATCATAGACACTAGTGCCATCAAACATTTTTCCTTAATCCTTACACTGTTAATCTGTGTTTATGCACAAAGATGGCGGTGTGTGGTTCTGCATAGAGAGGGGTCTTACTGACAATTTACAGTATCATAGTCTGCTGTTTCTAATGTGTTTAATGTAAATTGAGTTGAGTTTTCATCAAGTAAATATAATCTCTGTGTTGACAAAATAAGATGATATAAACACTGTTTTGCTTGCACTCGACTCACATCCTGGGTAAAGGTCATTAACTTCCTATTTGAACATATGATGCACAATCTTATATCTATGTCTATAACTACACGTACATTTTCACCCTTTAAATCCATGCTGGCAGCAGCTGTCTGTATATACTTGATTTCCTTAAATATGACTACTTTTATGAAGATAAAAATAAAAGGCTATTATGAAAGTATCAACATATGAGAACTCATCCAATGAAGAAAGACAGTATGTAAACTCTGAATAAACCCTATCTGCCATAAAAAATTCTTGATAAATTTGAATTGAAAAAAAAAAGGAAATATGGTGCCTAAAAATACAAGCTAATACACACACAGCACCCTGTGTGTTCACAGTAATAGTAAAGAGAGACCTAAGCACTGGCCAGGAAACAGTTATCATCTGTTTATTCTCTGATCCTATATTCTGTGTTATTGACCTAAATGATCAGTGTGTAGATGGACTCTACTCTCACCCACTCATTCAGCCCTCAAATAAACCCCTTCATATTTCACCATGCCCACCTTTAATGGGGTAGACTAGAGTTAACAATCCAACTTTCCCCACTGGATGATCTCCAGATTGTAAAACAGTCTGCTTAATCCCTTCTTAAAAGGGATCAGGGATTTTTATTATGACATTTGTATTTCAGTGGTTTCTGAAATATACAAATCCATCTTTCACTAAAGGGTCTTTGACTTTAAAATGAGACACAGACTCTTAGATGTTATTATGATACAGAACAAAGCAGACCAGGCCTGACAGGGAAAAGCAGGTTCAAGCCATGCTGAAAAAACATTAACTCCTCGATTCGTCTAAAGGTGCTCAAACTGGCCTGCTTTATCATCACTAACTTAAGAACAAGTCTAAAACTTTGCACTTAGCATCCCAGGCTCTATATGAACACAGTGTAAGGTACTGACATGACAAGTAATATCACACACTTTGCAAAGACATCACCTTTGATGCTGCAGAGGAGACGCACAAGACGACACCTCTGAATATAAAACAGGTGTGGGGGTGGAAACTGAGGGACCTCCAGGGATTAGAGAGAGGGGTCTGTGTAGGCACATGTAAAGGTCAGTTATTATTCCACTGTTATACAAGTACTATAGAGCAGACGGATCAGGTCAGTAGAAGCAGAAGCAAAATACAAGAAAATAAAGCAAAAAAAAAAGAAAAAACTATTTGAAGTTTGCAGAGAATTCCTTCATTTTATCATCATGTCAGCATGCAAGAGTTGCTCTACTGCTTTGCTCAATGCCTCTCCAAACAGAAATACATAAACAGCAGAGTTTCCATGTTCACTTAACCTTTGCTTGCATGTCTGCGTCATAACACTCTGCCTCAGCTCTGCTAACTTTACTGTCCTCAATCAAGCCTTGTGTCAATATTAATCAGTGCATGGCGGCCCGGCACACAAGAGCACCTATCAGCTCTCAGATGGCAACACAACACAGAAAAAAAAGTTCTATCCATGACAACGCTGGTCTGAACAAGCCCCTCCCCCTGACAGCTGGCTTATTGTGTGCTGTGCTTCTGTGCCTTGTTTCCCTTCGCTTGGACAGTTCAATAACTAATCTAGATGCAGCCAGGAGCATGTATAGCTTTGAAAATGAGGAGGGCAGGGCCGATGGAAAGTCATAATCTGCTTGTCTGTGTTATGTTGGGTAACTAGGAGGTTACACTGCCAGTTCACACGAGGATTCAAAGGTGGGGCAGAAACAGTGCACACACCTGAAGTCACAGTAGGCTGTTATTTTCATATTTCATTTGCAGGTAGTCTGTCTTTCAATTGAGTATCTATGTCAACTCAAACTCTCTTATTAAGAAACCCTTGAGTTCCAAATCACCAAGTTTGATTGAGCTTTTTAAAGTACTTTCTTTCTTATTTGTCAAACAAATTAATGAAAAACTAATAGGGCAATAATCGTTTTGTTTCGGCCCCTTAGGACTTACTTTAGGATCTGGGAACGGGAACAGACGAAACGTTCTATCCTTACACTGAGAAAATCCTGTTCCATTGTTTAGGTACATGTCCAATTCCATATTTGTGAAATACTTTTTAATTCATGATGATTTTTTTTTTAAGTTAGAATACTTGTTTGTTGAGCACATGCTATTATTAGATTTAAACCAAATATTTATGAATTATGCATAAGATTCAGAGCAAAACAAATCAGTTAAAAGATCATCCGTGATCAATCATGATATCTCTGATATAATTTACTTCTGAAAAAGTCCCCACAAAGAGCATGTTGACCTGTCAAGTCATCCCCCAACGGTTACTTCCAATGACATCACCGAGCAGACACTCTCTGCAGAACAAACGGAAGGATCCCCCTGATGTTTTTGCACACAGGGCACGCGAGCGGTCCCCCTCCTTCCGTCACATGAACAACAGGCTCGTGCTCTCCATGAGGAAGCCTTTTGGGCCACAAGAACCACGTCTATCCTCCACTTTCTGCTTGGACACACACAGACAATGGGACACGTCTGGAGTGCTTGGGGCCCAAACCCTGAGGAAGGGCAGATGGTGCCCGGGATCGAGGGCCGCACCCACATTACCATGAGAAAAGAGAGGGACAGAGGCGGGGGACAGGTACCCTCTCCATGTTTTCCTCTCTATAGAGATTAAAGAGGGGGTGACTCATTTAACTAACAAATCCTGTTCCTCTGATGTGGAACCCAATTAGGAGCATGCTGTCAACTGAACAGCAGAGAAAATCAAATCTTAGTGGTCTGGACCAAAAAAAGTCCTGTCTATGGTTGCATGAAAAAGGAACAGTTTTTGTTACCCATATTCAAAAGTACAAGCTCATAATGTGTTCCAGAAATTTCATTTTGCTTCTGCTATGTTAGCTTGCCGAGGTATAACTAACCGAATGCATTTTTAATCGTAGTGTTTAAGACTAAAAGGAAATATGAGAGCCATTATTTTTCCGTAAAAAGAGTTTTAACATGAGTGAGCACAGTTCAGTATTCAAAAATGTCAGCAGGGTTTCAGTAACTGGTGAGTTAAAAAATAGTTGTATAATTGCAATTTTCTGGTGTTGTAATGTTTTAATGTCAGTGGGTGGTTTAATCAGTACCTTGTTTATTCAGCTGCAGAATCTTAGATTTCAGTGGAAGCATACACTTTTATTTCGTGTTGCTTTTGCAATGATGCCTTCAACAATATTCATGAACATATACTGAGAATATAAGCTTAATGTTGTTTAAAAGTAAAATATCTATAATGGACCATAAGGTGGCATCTGAATACAGTACATTGGCTGTTTGGGGGTTTATGTCAATTTTCAAGTGTACATCCATCATGAAACTTATCTGGGGAAGCTGGTCTGCAAAAAAGCATGAAGAATAGTAAAACTGTGTGAAATATTCTCACTAATTCCATCAGCTTCTCAAAATGAAAGCTAACCAGATCCCTTGAAGACTGGTTGTGCTTTGGTTCCTTGCCTCTGGAGGCATCTTTTACCTAAAAACATAAACAGTCCTGTTGCCACAGCTGCAAACTTCACACTGCTGGAGCCTCTTTCAACAGGCCACTCTGTTGTTTTTACTTATTCATCAACCCAGCCACTTCATGAAGATAGCCGTATTATTATGCGTATATGAGCTCTTTTCTTCCGAAGCATGCCAACCTAGTAAATATGCTGAACCTTAACACTCTGAGATTTAATTCCTGTTGACATAATAGTAAAATTCATGCAACTGCCATCACGCACTGCTGTGTGATAAAGAGGACTGAGAAGCTGCCACTGTCCATTTCTGTCAGTGTACAGAAGCCCATGATGCACAGATTGTTAAGCTCAGATTCTGTCTCCCCCTAGTGGCTCTTTTGAGCACAACAATGATAGTAAATTCAGACATCCCACTGGCTCTAACCATCTTGGCTGTTTCATCTGTTTGTATGTTAACTGTGTCCTATAATAACAAAGCAAGCACAGTACAAAATAAGGCAAAAACACAAATGGCTGTATAAGTTCATGTTATAAAGAACAAAGGTGCAGCCCTTCTTTTTATGAATTTTGATCTAGTTCAGATGGCTTATATTCTGCCAAGGAAGTAAGACTTCTTTTTAAAATATTGTTCCTTTTTTTAATCTAAAATTCAGCATTTTTATCTCAAGGTCTCTTTATTTCAAGAGGTCCATCTTCGCCAAATCATTACAGTCTTTATATAAAGCTGTATAAAAATGCTATGTGTTGCAGATATAACTGAACCATGGGCCAACTGTTAACCTTAACAACCTACTTAACAGCAAAGACAAAATACTTTGGTGGTTACTTGCAAACATGATTTTGTTTTAAAGTCATTACCATACTCCACTGACTAAAGAAATGCAGATCCAAGTGTCATTCAAAAAACTGACTGCAAACTGATTTGAAATTAAAGATGTCTTTTTTCAAGAATTTTGGGCAAAATGGACAGAAGTTGATTGTAAGCATGACTTAACAATAAAAGATGTTGAAATGGACCAAAAAGGTTGTGTTTGCAAAGCTGTATTTCTCTAATTGCTATTTTCCTCTCTTCCCATTAGATCATTTTTGCATCGTGAGCTTTGATTAAGATCCCACAGAAAGTCAGATGGGACACATAAAAGCTCCTAGTCATACAGAGCTGTTCAGCTCTGGCAGCGTGCACCACTTTGCTGACTAAATAATGGCAGTCAGTGTTTTCAAACACTGGCCTTTATCAAACCCTGTCATTGGCTGCTATGTTGTGGTGAACGACCACAATTATGATGAGATGAAAGTGACAAGAAGCCACCCTGCTACCTCAGCAAACTTTTCTCTTCGTTCACACTTAAAGCTGTAATTTCAGGCTAACTCTAGACACTGGTCAGAAACAATGACAGGGTGAACAAACCTACCTTGTAGATTGTTGCCTTGAAGTTGACAGTGGAGTTGTCATCAGACTAAACCACCAACCACTGGGACTGTGGATTGTTGTCATCTCTGTGATGCCACTGTAAGAAAAAAGGAGGGAAAGAGAAAGAAGTCTTTGGTTTTACGATGGCATACTTCAACATTAGTGTTTTGACCAATTTTGTTAACACCCTTACCATTATTCTGAAGGTACCCACACTCTATATCCTTCAATTGATGCATCTGTACAGAGAGAAGGAAGAGTGTGTAAAGGTAAGGTTAAAATGATCATTTTTGAAAGACATTTAGCCTGACTCTGGTGCTACTTGGGGTGCACCATTACATATCAAATGCTGTCTTTTATCATTTCTATCCATCACTTTTATGAGGAAATTCTGCAGTTTGTATGAATAATAAAACTTTCATGGTTGCTGAATGACAGTTACATTCGAGGCCTTTATATGTGTGAAGTCAAATATGTTGCTTTTTTGTCAAAGTTGCATCAGGATTGCAGTAAATTCAATATAAATATACTTGACTCAAGATTACCATAAAATGTGTTCCTGGCTGTCAATGATGTGATTAAAACATTGCTATAAAAACTCACAGATATAGTGGTAATATATGGTTAAAATACCCAGGCAAAAGACTTGTTTTTGTGGGGACACACTGTTATTGCTTGTTTAGTCATTGAGCAATTCGTCACTATTCTGGGATTTCGAGTTATCAGCATTTGCAACTTCTGTTTCAGACTACATGGTTGGATCTTTCGAAAACGTCCCTTCTTCTAAACAAAACTTTCAAACAGTTTATAAATCGACTAATTATTTTTGGTCGATTAAGTAGGGATTTCGACTTATCAGCATTTGCAACTTCTGTTTCAGACTACATGGTTGCATCTGTCGAAAACTTTCCTTCCTTGTAAACAAACCTTTCAAGCAGTGTATGAATCGACTGATTATTTGGGTCGATTAAGTAATCGACCAAAGCGTGATCCATGTCTGCAGACCTACATTCAGCCAGCATGATGAGGCTCATTATCATATTCCAGTAAAGGAGCTCTTCTCCTCCCAGTCACAGATCTCCGCCCCAGTCATCTCGAGCTGCCGCTGCTGCTCGGAGCCCGGATGCGCCGCCATGCCGACTCTTCCAGCGAATGGAATAATTTATTCACCAACCTGCCTGACGCTGGGCTTCAGGAGTTGACTGAAGAAGTCAAGGAGACCGTTCCGAGGGTGGAGGAGCCTTAACCGCGGACACACGGGCACGGATTACCCGCGCTGTGTTTACGTGTGTGTTTGCGTCACTTGACACCGTTGTGTTGATATAGGGACACTTGTGTGCTAGCTAGGCTAACGTTAGCTCGAGTGTGGAGAGTGCGCGGTAGTGACAGTCCGGCCGGAGGCGGGGAGAGCCAAGGGGTGAGACTGTTACTTTGATGGTGACTACTCTGTTGACTGTACGCGAATAGGTGGACATCTGGTGCATAGTATCACTTTCATAAATGTGAGTCGCGGTTTCAGGGGGATTCGGGCAGCAGCATATCGAGGTGGGTACTTAACTGTTTACCTAATAACGTATTTTGGCTGGAGTGGAGCAGAGCGTTGAGTCGACGTATGGCCCACGATACAGCAGCTAAGAGCTAGCCTGCTAACTAGATAACTGTACAACACAGGGACCCCTAAACTTTTCAGGTCGGTAACCCCAAAGGGGAGTCCCTTGAGATGCCAGACCCTCAATTTTATGTTAGTATTCTTCGTCTTAAACATACATATTTTGAGTTAAAAAAATATATATGTATTTATAAATGATAAAGGAGAGTAAACGGTGAATCAATGGTGCATCCTCAAATGTAAATACAAAGTGATTGCTCATGACGTCATCGCCACTGACCCCCCATATTTTGAGGTGACCCTTGGGGGTCCTTGGACTAAAGTTTTAGATAAGAAAGAAAAAATAATTTAAGAGTTCTGTGTATTAGTCAGAATGAAATAAGATGCTCCTGCAGAGAGAGGTTTGAGTAGTGGATAGCTGAGGGTGCAAGTCACGTGATTAACAAGGAAACCATGTAGACAGTGATAAAATATATGATCTTGTGAAAAAAAGATGCAATCATGCTGTTAAATTCAGTGGCCTGTGAGCAACCTGAGACTATTATACAGGTCTATTCACTAGGACTGGGCGATATATCGATATAAGAAATATACCGATATATATTTTTAAATGAGATATGAAATTGGACCATATTGCATATATCGATATATAGATATCAGATGCCATGTTGACAGGCTGGTGTTTCTCACACAAAGAAGGACACACTTGTGTGTCCTTTAATGTCCACCTCAAGAAAGCACTAACTTATCAAAGTAAAAACAAAGAGGGGGAAATGTTTACTGGGTTCATATTCTGTTCATAGTCTAGTGCAACTGATTGAGACTGAAGAAAATAAGACAGATAGGTAATCTCAAAATGATGTTAAAAATCAATTGTCTTAAACTGAGCACTTTATTTTGTAGTGTAAATGCTGCCTGTACTAGGGTTTGTCATAGTTAATTATTTTGTAGTGTTCATTTGCATCTGTGGGTTTGAAAGAGAGGAGAAGAAAATCTGCAATTTGATTTTATCAGGCCATTTATAGTTGTCAAAATGTTGATGCTTTTCTCATGTAAATAAATTAATTTCAGAAAAAGATTGGCCTATTTTACTTTATGGGCTATTTTTATTTAATATATATTTTTCATTTAAATGTGCACCTTATGGAGTTCCAATTCAAAAAAAAAAAAAAAAAAAAGGTACTCCTGTGGTTATACAGTATTTATGTTTACACTTTATTGTTCTTTGAACAGCTGAGCATAATTTCATCCGGCCAGTTTAAATAGAAATACTTGTGACATGTCACATTTGGCTTTGACTGTGACTAAACATTTGCTCTCACTTTGCGAAAACAATATCAGGATATATATCGTATATCGATATTCAGCCTAAATATATCAGGATATGACTTTTGGTTCATATCGCCCAGCCCTACTGTTTGCCGTGACTTATTACTATCACATCATCCAAAAATAAGAAATGACATTTTTTCTGGACTCCAGTCCTTAAACTCATGTGAGGTGTGTTTAGCTGATGGTGAAACAGACTGAAATTTACACCAATCCCTCTTTATGACCAACAGAAAAAAAAGAAACATACCCTTAGCTGTGAGGTTAAGTGATTCTCCGAGGTGGTGTGTAATGCTTGGGTCCACTGCAAGTGGAAGACTTGAGATGTGACAATTCACAGCATGCTACTGAAAGTGTGTCATTTCCTATTTTTCACAGCCAAGTTTCTTTGAGAGAAACAGATTTGAAGGTCCAAAGACAAACGTTTAATGACAGGACAATATCAGATATAAAAAAAGGAGGTACCTATTTGACTGATCTCCTGCACAGACCCTTGAGACAAACTAAGCAGTTCTTAGAAATCCTGATATAAAGACTCAAAAACAAAGAGGATCAAGCTTAAGCAGTGGCTGCTCAGTCTACCTTTTAAATACAAGATCTGTTCAGCCTCCTGATACTTAAATTTGCCACTAAAAGACCCATCTTGTCTCCATTGCCTTCAACTGGAGCTAAGCTTTCTCCTTTTTATACCCTATATTTGATAATGTATACCATGTCCTTATGGTAAAGTTTTTGATTGTATTTTGGCTATAGATTTTCTTTCTCTCATATATTATCTGGTTTTTATGTACAGTATATCATGTGGTGTGCTGGTATTCTCTTTTGGGGGATATTTTCATTTTTGTTGTTTCCTTGGTTGTACAGCTCCTTGTTTTTTTAGATGTGCTTTATGAATAAATCTGATTTGACTTGACTTTAGGGGATACTAAAAGTAACACAAAGTGCCTCTTGTGGCATTAAAGGAAAAACAATATGTTCTGTCAATATAAAGATGAAGAAGAAAAAAGGAATTGTATCCCACTTTGTAGATTTTTGTATTTCAACAAAGGTTTATATTTATTTCTGCACATTATGGATGATAATGAATCATAATTATTAAATCTGTAAATCAATGGCTCATTGCATAGTTAGTCTTTGCTGCAATCTGGAGACACTTCCATGAATCCTAAATAGACTTACATCATGGTAATATTTCAGAGTTCTTAATCTGACCACCTTTGTCTTTTTCAGATCCATCAAGATTTCCATGTCTGCATCAACTCTGCAAACCAAAAGAGATGTCTGTTGATGAGGATACTGTAAAAACTGGTAGTCCACAGACCAGCCCCACTTCCCCTCTGCAGCTCTCAGAATGCACTGGAGGTTACAGTAATATATCTGTGATGGTGGAGGGTACTGCAGCAACCCCTGATTTTGAGGTTGCTGCTTGTCCTGTCATCGGCACTGCAGCCTCACCAAAACACACCAGCACGACCGATGCACTCACTCACTCAGACAGTGCTGGACAGAGAGCCAGAGGGAACGAGAATAACTTCAATCGCAGGAACAGCTTTCATCATTCCAAACAACAACAGACAAAGCTCACAAAGCGCCGCAACACAGCCAACTCCAGCTTCAAGCATCCCACATCTGGCAAGAGGAGACGGAGGGCTAACTCTGAGAGTGACTCTGTTCTGCCCAGCAACTTTCTCCTGGGAGGGAACATTTTTGATCCATTGAATCTAAATAGCCTCCTGGATGAGGAGGTCAACAGGGCACTGAACGCAGAGACGCCCAAGTCCTCTCCGCTGCCAGCAAAGAGTCGAGACCCTGTAGAGATCCTCATCCCCAGGGACATCACTGATCCGCTGAACTTGAACAGCGGGATAGCAGATTGCAGCTTTTTGGTTTCTCCGTTCAAAAGTGGTGGCAGGAGGAGACACCGCAACAGACATCATGGAGGGGGAGGAGGAGGTGGGATTTCGACCACACAGATGAGCCTCTCAGAATCAGGAAAAAGCGAGTTCAAAGCTGGCCCCTCTGCACCACTTCAAGGTATGTTAGCATCCTGCTCTGCACCAGATATCTCCAAAGAGTCCAACAGTTTCTCCAGCATAACAGGGGACTCCCATGAGCACTCAGCTGACACCTTAGGCAGCAGCAAGGAGGAGATAACACTGGTATCTCTGGATGATTCCACTTCCTCCGCATCAGGGGGGCCAAACCAGCAGACAAGCAGGCGTAAGCGTAGGCGCAACTCTGGCAAAGCTGAGCCCCCTGTGACCCATTCTACGCCCATTGGAAAGTTAGGAACAGCAGACAGAAGTTTTGTTACAGGGGGGCTGAAAAATTCTCAGTCCTTCCACACACCAAGGAGTGGTGGTCCCAGGACTGGGCCTGGAGGACGCCCACACCAGCAGCCCCACAGTCAGGGAAATCAGCAGCATCAGAAGAAGAAGTTCCAGTATGGAAATTACAACAAGTATTATGGTTACCGCAACCCAGGCTCAAGCGAAGACCCGCGAATACGAGTGCTCCGTCCAGAGTGGTTTGAGGGTAAAGATGTTCTGGATTTAGGTTGCAACTCAGGCCACTTAACTCTCTATATTGCTAAAATGTTAAGACCCGCCCGCATACTTGGCCTTGATATTGATAACGGTCTGGTTCATGCAGCACGAAAGAACATCAGGCATTATCTGTCTGAACTGCAGACCCAAGAGGCCAGACGGGCAGTGAAGGGCACCAAACAGGAGGAGAGGAATGGGAATGAGAGTCAGGCAGGCACAGACAAGAAGCACAATGAAGCCGAGAGCGGGGATGAGAATGGGAGAGCAGTGAAAGGAGAAAGTGGCCCTGCAGAGGCTGTAAATGACAACGACTGCTGTCACACAGATGAGGCAGGGACCCAGAGGCAGGACGGCAAAGCAGAGGAAATGGAGCAGGGAGATTGTGATTCACTCCCCGCTGATCACTCCGTGAGCTGCTCTTTTCCCGTTTCCCTGCGGATCTCCAGGGGGCCGATCGCTGCACCTCCGCTAACAGAGACGTCCTCCACACGGCCGGGGGAGTTCCCTTCAAATGTGTCCTTTGTCAAGGTAAGACGGCACATCTCCAATTGTGTAAACATTTGATCACAGCATGATTGAGATTTCTATACTATTTCATCATGGGAGCTTAGATTAAATCTGTATTTCACAACCAGGCACCCGCTGTGTGGGCAGGATCTTATACCTGTGTATATATAAATACATATGAGACAGCCAAGATACTGAACCTTTATTCTCTGTAAGACATTTTAAAATCTATCCAAATCCATCTCTGGTGATGGCTGCATGCTTTGAGAAACAGTCGGAGGTTTTACTGCCTTCTCAAGAGGAACTTGGTACAAATTATTTGCCCACTTGTTCACCCTGAAGCCTCATTAGGATAATTATCTGGGCTGTTAATTGGGTCTGAGTGTTCAGGTTGCACCTTGTATCTTATCTGGATTAATAACAAGGAATGCACTCACCATGATGATTAATGGCAGCTTTCATTACCACACAAAGTTCACAGTTTCATCTGGTGAATTTCAAACAGTTGGATAACAGGGCTCGACCGTGCGACCGTTTCACTCGCATTTGCGACTAAAAATAGATGTGTGCGAATTGTAAAATGTTCTTTTCATATAAATACCGCAGTGAGTTAGTTTTAGGTTTAGGTTTACTGTAGATCTACCTGTGTCTTCTCACTCACACAACCGGGAATAGCAACAGCAGTGCGGTTGAATCTACTCGGCATCCTCGCTGAATAAGAAGAAGGGACTATCAATAAATTACTGGTTGATGTTCTCAGAAAAGGCTGTTTTCCTTCAGTAGCTTCCATGTCATGTGGCCAGTTGACCTAAAATTGATTTCAAATAGCAGTACTTGTGTCGACCAATAAGACAAACATTATTTGATTAAGTTTCAAAGTTCTTTGTGTGCCCCTTACAATTTCAACTTAAGAGCACATGTGCTCCTTGTGAAAATAGTTAGTGTCAAGTCCTGGATAAATCTATTTAAAATTGACAAGAATTTTAGGACTTTTATGATGATATTGTTGTTTTGTTAAACAAAAAGATACCACAGTCATCCTCACTTTTGACAAGGAAGGATCAAAGAGTATCAACTGTATGTTGGCCAGTAGGGATAGGCGATAAATTATCCTTCATGATACATCGCCAGAAAAATCCTCCATGATAAATATTTGCCATCTCATGATAAATACGATAAATGCAAGTTGATGACGTAAGCAGGAGTGGTGGACCCTCAGCCATAGCCCACACAGAGCAGAATAACAAACAAACATGGCCGAAGGTAATGAAGAAGACGTTTCTGAGCAGCTCGTACTGAACGAGGTTCCACATGAGGGACTTTCTTTAAGATTGGGGCTTAGATGAGGACAATCAGTTATGCCTGACATCGGACAGTGGATCTGCTGCTGTTCACTCTGTGCAATAAGAGTTTTCAACAAATGTGTTGAAAATCTTGTTTGATGTCATTAATTTTCTCCATAACCCACCACTCAAACTTGTGGTTAAGTATCTTATTTGACTACCCCAACTGGTGTTCTCAAGACAAAATGAGTCAAAAATATAGATTGGAACTATAATATTTTTATCCGGACTTTTATTGTTATCGCCAGAATGGCAAATCTTATTGTGATAATTTTTTTTAGCCCATATCACCCATCCCTATTAGCCAGTTCATTGACTATTTTATGGGTCCTCTAACAACAAAGCATGTGTGCAAGTTTCATCTCACAACAGATGATCTACTCTTGTTCAAACTCTGGTTGTGGAGGGAATGTCCGCTCGTTTTTCCATATTGGTGTCTTTGAATCTGTTGCCAACTTGTAGCTCACTATTCTCTGAAGCTGCTGGTGATACATGGAATCATAGTGAAGCTGGAAGCAGCAAAAAGGAGCCAGTCTGTCCTTGTCTCCAGTTTGATGTTGCTATGTGGCTGGAAGCATTTCTGATGGCATCAGTACCACCCTCAGGCAAGAAAACGCCAGCTATTACAACAGCGTTTTCATATGAATATCAAGGATTTTAATGAAAAGTATTTTAATTCTAAATTCCATCAAGGCTTTGGGCCTCACAGGCTTTGTGTGGGCAGCTGTATAAATTGGCTGGATGCAGAAAGCGTAGTGTTTCTGAATGAAATCAATAGTAGCCTCCTCCCTGCAATGAGCATTAGAGCTAATGGAAGAGCAGCACAGAGCTTATCCTGTAAACGAGCCGAAAGCTTGAAGAAGAGTGCTTGAGCCCCACAGCCTGCACAATTCAAAATGGATTAAAGGCGGACATGTCAGGCTGCCTTCTATTTCTTTGACAAATCTCGCCTGAAATTGGGTTAAACTGAGATGAGTGTATTTATATTATGAAGTCACAGACGTCTCGATTTACTCCATGTTTCTTTCATTAATCACAAAAATCTTTGTCACCTCTCTTTCACCTTTTCTGGGTGTGTGTGGAGGTGAAATTCCGGGTATTTTTTGCACCTGTGTATTTCCTGTCATAGATACCACATTCTGTTCTGATAAAGAAACCACAACCTTGTTGTCATTCAAGAGGAATATTTGCTTTTTGAATAAAGCGTGATTGTGATTGAATGACTCTGCAGATGTTTCTCCTCAACCAAGTGGTCTTATTACCTTTTTTGTTCCTTCAGACACCAGTTATTAGGCGTGGGAGTACAAAACGATACAGCATAGTATTGCAATATTTTGTCTGGGGTTATATATAGTATCGTCTCATTTGCCAAGTATCGATTTTTCCATATTAATTGCTAAAATGAAGTCAAATCTATGATAATGGAAAAATATAATCAACTGTTTGTCCGTTGAGGTTGGCAGAGGTGACTTCATAGAGCAGGAGAAAGTTACTGCAACAAATATATATAAGGTTTGCAAGATGTGCTACATAAAAATAAAATACAGTGTAAATAAGACAAACATAAAAGAAAGACAAATGCTAAATTTGCTTAACAGTTGAATAAAATGTATTAATCGCAATATATTGTATCGCAATACTCACTGTATTACAAAATGTTAAAAATCGAGATAATATCGTATCGTGGCCCAAGTATCGTGATAATATTGTATCGTGGGACCACAAGTGATTCCCACCCCTACCAGTTATGCAAGTTAATCTGTGCTGAAATGGTAGGGTTATACCTTGCAGATACATTTGTCTCTTAGAAATGTTTGTACTTGTAACTATAGTTATTAAAACTTTTAGCCTTCTCTGTTCTTTAAAACAAAGTGCTTTTAATGTCATGGAGAATTAGACAAAAGCTTTCCTATTATCGTATTTTTCACTCTCAATGTCGAAGCAGTAAAATTATTTTTTTAGGGTTTTTTTTTTCCATTGACTCCCTTTTAAATAATGACAAAGACCCATCTCAACTGTCCAATGACTTGTATGTTCATTTACTGAAGCAGGAGCCAGCTGAATGCAAATTTGACTATTGTCCCACTCCTCACTAATAGCTCAAAATTTTGTGGAAGAAGGAGTTTAAAAATACTTAATGATTTTTCCTCTATCCTGTTAAATGTGATGATATGAGAGAGCTGCGTATCACTGCACTGCTCTGTCATATAAACTCTTATACCAGTGGTTCTCAATCCAGTCCTCGAGGCCCACTGTCCTGCATGTTTTTGATGTTTCCCTGCTCCAACACACCTGATTCAAATGATCAGCTCGTTATCAAGCTCTCAAATGGCTTAATAACGAGCTGATCATTTGAATCAGGTGTGTCGAGGACTGGATTGAGAACCACTGTCTTATACGGACTTAATTCCAAATGCATTTTCAGATACTCGACTTTCAGCTGTTGTGATGCCTCAGATGTTTCATGTATCAGCAGGTCTCTACAGAATTGAACTCCTAACACTCATGTACATACCCCTTCTCTTTTTCAGGCCAATTACGTCCTGGATAACGATAATCTTCTCGTGACCCAGCGGCCAGAGTACGACGTGATCCTGTGCTTGAGCGTTAGCAAGTGGGTTCACCTGAACTGGGGAGACAGCGGCCTCAAGCGGCTCTTCAAGCGGGTGTACAGACATCTCCGTCCAGGAGGCTTGTTCATCCTGGAGCCACAGCCCTGGGAGTCCTATGTGAGGAGGAAGAAGCTAACGGTAAGAAACTGGAATGGCAGGGCTATCGTGAAATGAAATCACCCTGGGCTACACCAGGCGCGCCTACTGAATTTAAGTTTTCTTTAAATATTTCTTTTTTTTTTTCATTCGACAGGATAATATTAACAGGAATTATCACAACATCCGCCTCAAACCAGATCAGTTTCCATCATACCTCACAAACGAGGTGGGCTTCACCAATTTTGAGTACCTTGGAGCCCCCAAGTGTTCAATTAGAGGTAATGAAATGAATTGTTTGAACAAGTTTCAGCATTTGATATCATCTCACCACTACAGCTTGATGTTCAACCGTTCTCTCCTCTTCAATAGGTTTTCAGAGGCCAATCTTCTTATTTCACAAATGACCGCTCCTGCCTTGAAGATCTTTGAATGTGAGTAGCCTGAATCACCAACCAGACAAACAAGCCAGTCAGCTGCCCTGGACTACATGGAGTCATCTCACTCCTTCAGTTTCCCCTAGCTACTCAGACGCTGGAGATGAAATTCAGAGAGAGGAACGGGACCACGAGTGGAAGCGATTTCACAAGGATGAGATGTTTCCAGGAGAAACACCAATCAGAAATACAGAATCCTCTTTGACTGCAGTTTCTTCAAAGAACAACAGAGTGAGCGCAGAGAGGACTCCTCCGTGTCTGACCAGAAGACGAATGTCCAGTTTGAGCTGACTGCAGAAGAGGTGCTCACCTGACTTTATCATTTCCTTGAACTATCCTAGTGCTAACGATGCCCCAGTTTGGCCATAAATATGACTGAATATCTTTGGCCACATATCTCTACGTTCACAACCTTGTTCTGTTCCACCATATCACCATATTGTAAACATATTAGGGTTGGGAGACAGGATAGACTTTTCCAATTGATCACTGCCTCTAAACTCTAAAAAAGCCATCATCTGATCATACGGTCAAGAAAAGCAGCACCATTGTGTGGGTGATATGTTTCATTCAATCAGTGAGGCTTCACGGTACAGATTATGCTGCAGCAAGTGATGGCAGAAGAATCAGGACTTGTCATTGAAGAACATTAGAGCCCATTCAGTTTAGTGATTTAAAACGGCTAAATTACATCAGCCAAAGATTCTTAAAATGAAATGCTGATGTTTTTTGTACTATCTCCCCACCCTGATATTGTTGTCATTATTTTGCAAAATAGGCCAAAGAGCTGAATGAACTCTAATCTGTCGAGGAGCCGTGAGAATTCAGTACTCGTTTCAAAATTGTACTTTATGAAAGCTCCTAAATTGCACAAACCTGAGAGCCTATGAAGTGACAAGTGTCTCGATTGAGGGTTAGAGAAAGAAATGCACAAAGAGAAAGTTACATTCGAAACAGCACAGACAGAAATAATCTGGTGATTTGTGAATTCTTAAACAGTGGATCACAAAGAGGTTTTGAAAGGATGGTCCTTTAAGCAGTGGTTCTCAATCCAGTCCTTAAGTCCCCCCCCACTACTGTCCTGCATTTTCTGGATGTTTCCCTGCTCCAACACACCTGATTCAAATGATCAGCTCGTTATCAAGCTCTGTAATGGCTTGATAACGAGCTAATCATTTGAATCAGGTGTGTTGAAGCAGGAAAACATCCAAAACATGCGGGACAGTGGGGGCTCGAGGACTGGATTGAGAACCACTGCCTTTAAAGGACACTGAGTTCCTTTAAAACTATAAGTGATGATGCAGTCATCAAATATTAAATGTTTTTATCACAACATTAAGACTGTACTTAGTTTTGAACATGCCCTGTCGGTTTATGTTGGACTTTGACAGCTACATCACCAAGAGTAAGAGATCCCCAAGTGAAACTTTAAATACCACATTTTTAGGAGATAATATTCTGGCTTTTTAAATGTAAACTTTCTTTGACTTTTCTTGAGTGTCTTGGAGTAAAAAGCTGGTCAGGAAGCAATGAATCACTTCATGGGTTCTTAAAGCCTTACTGATGCTCCATCCCAATGGTAGGGGGCACATTTGAGCTGTGTTGACACCTCGGTGTGAGCTAAGCTCTGAATAATTCAGCACAGAGAGACCACAAGGACTATTTTGCAAGGTAGATCTGTAGCATGCAGTGATGTGTTTCTTTTCTGATGACGGTAAAGCCATAGTTCCTCTTCATGTGTTGTTGAAAATTGTCCTTCATGAGGTGCTGACTGAGTGACTAATTAGGAGTGCAATGAAAAAAACTAAGATCCTGTTATTATTGATGCTGTATGACTCTTAACATATGCATCATTTTAAGTGGGCTAATCATAACTACGGAACAGGCTCTAATTTAATCAGCAGTTTAATCATTTTCTAGCTCTTTAGTAAAAATAAACTTCTCCAAGACTGGGCAAACATTCACATCTGTTGAAAAGAAATTGTGTCTTAAGTGACTATAAAGAAACCACAGGACCCTTTTTAAATGAGTGTGCTGTTTGGGAGTACTGCCAACATTTTTATAAGGGCCTTTTCTCTTGGATTTAACTAAATATCCTATCAACTTATTCGTCTTTATCCTCATGAGGACTCTTAAGAGTTACAGGCAGTCGGTCTTTGTGATTGTATCTTTATTAGATTGCACCGCTGCTGCTCATCAACTTTTCATTTTCAGAGACTCGGACACAAAGTCCTCCCTGTTTTGTGGCTGGTTCATTTTTATCACTTGGCATACTAGGAGAGGAGATGATGAAGAAGATCGGCGATTGTGTGTGTCTATTTTAGTAAATGATCAATGTAAATAAGTTTCAACATTTTCTTTCACTGTTGTCTGTATTAAGTTCATAACTGCTTTTGACTTTTTCCAGTGGATTTTTTTTTGTCCTGTTTTTCAAATGTTTGCTGCCAAGTTGTGTGTGAGTCAAAGGTCAGAGTTTTTGACCTAAAATGGGCCACTGATCCGGCTCTGTATCAAGAAATGAGTATGTACATTTCAAAGCTCAGATGTGTTTGATTTGTTCTGTCCTGGCAGGCGAATGGATTGTTAGATTGGCTCTTTATTTTTTTATAAACTGTTTGAAAGGAGTGTCGTTGTCAATGCACTCTCATTTCACATCATTTGACATATCATAGCCAGTTGAAAAATTTTCAAAAAACACACATTTTGCACATTTTTTCCTGTCAGATTTTTATAACAAGTTGTGGAACACTGACTATCCTATTAAATGAAGCTTCAGGTGAAATTCTAATGGCGCATTGGACACAGCCCACCAACCACACCTCTCTTCTAAGCTAAGACAATCTGCCTCTCAGGCTTAGATAAACCCACTGCTGTAGCTTCATGGGCATTTCTCGTTTTGCAAATCAAATCAGTCAGAAATATAACCATTTCACATTTATGGTGCTCAAATGTGTTATATGGAATAGAAAAGTGAAGTGTGCAATTGTTGCTCTTTAAAATTATAACTCAACCCTTTGACCTTAAAAAATATTCAGATTAATATCAATTTTAGTATTGTAAAAAAAAGTTCAAAATGTGACTGTAGTTTGAAATGTGAAAGCTTTTTTTTTTTTTGCATCGAAAGCAAAAATCACAAGTATAATCACAGTAGGCACCAGTTTTTCCTGGTGTTTAAAATCATTCTCCTTATGTACAGAAGCTTTAGTCCTAAGGGGCAGAAACTATGAGTTTGATTCCAACTTGCAGGCCTGCTGCACCTTACTAGATGTTATTTCCTTCTCTTTCCTAGTTTCTTACTCTATCCACTGTCCGATCCTCTCAAAAAAGCATAAAATCCCCAAATGAACAAACAAACAAAGAAAAGGTTAAATAACAGTGAAAGCACACTTGTATAATGTTTAGTTTTTTTTTAGATGTTATATGTCAGTGCTGTACAGATCACGTCAGTCCTGCTTTGAGCAACTCTTCAGAGTGCTTCTCAAGAAGGCTTCACATTTAAATATCGACTCCTATTTTCTAACTTTCAATATGTAGCTGCAAGCCTATTTTTTTTATAATAAAGCAGCTCTAGCAGAGAAATGCTGGTAGAGTATTTGCTTGACATGAAGAAGCACTGATTTAACAATAACCATATTTGGTGAAGTGGGTGAAATTAGATTTCCTTGCTGCACAAAAAATACAAAAGTCAGGAGTGTATGGTCACCTCCTCTCATTGAATTTGCACTGATGTGACTGGAGAGAATTAAAAGTAGTTTAATTACATTTTACAGTTAGAGTTTGTGTATTACGTGTACCCACATTTTCAGGAGCAGTTTTCTGGAAAAACTTGGAATAAGCATAACTTGACTGTCAGGGAGTCCTTTCATTTTCACGTCTCTTAACAACAAGATGGATCTGAATGTTTTTCTGTGTTCATCTCCATGAATTAAAAGTGGTTGCAGATTTGGTGTTTTGATTTTTGCTCGTACAGCACCTTGTGAAGTAAGTTCACAGGAATCAAGTTTTTTTTTTTTTTTATGGAAGTAGGTACAGGCTGTTGCATAGCATAGTACTTGTTTTACTTCTGTGATATGGTAAATGATCACCAAGTGTTGACATTTCACTGTGACCCTCCATATCAACTTTGAAGAGATTCGGTTTCAGTCTTAAACCTTCTCTTCATTTCTCCTCAAAACCCAAACAAACAGTGTCGGTACCTTAACAGACTTAAACTGGGAACTATTTAACAATGTTAGTAACATACTTGATCAGATGGAATCCCCAACCACATGTTTGCATTGAGAAAAAAAATCATGATCACTCTTCAAATATTGTGTCAATTCAGATGTTTGGTTCCCTAAAGAAATGGACAATCCTTTTCTGTTTGATCGTTTAATGCTTGACCCCCTTTCTCTGCTCGACTTTCACAGAACAGGTGTCGTATTCTCCTCCTGGGGGGGTAATCCTGCCAGTCCCACCTCTGCTGGTGCCACAGAGCTGGCCAGTGTCATCAACTGCGAGCCATCTTTCACAAATGTTTCCCCCTTTGCAGCTGGTTCTACGGTTCTTGCTTTGTACCATTTCGTCTGGAACACAGCCAAACTCCCTTGTTGTAGAGGTAGAGGAGAAGGTTGGTAGCAGGGCAACATCTGGCTGTGAGAAAGTTGCAGAGATCTTTAGCTGAAACCTCAACTGCTGGTCTAGATTGACCCCTAATTGCTCTCATATCTAATAGTGAGGACAGACGACTCCTTTTTTTGGCTGATGTTCTGAGCCCCAACTTCTGATAACTAAGATTGTACAACTAGTTACTATGGCTGTGTCCGAAATGGATCCCTAACCCCTATATAGGCAACTATATGGGGGTGAGCGCCATTTTGAGGGGTGTCCAAAACCTGAGTGATCAATTCCAAGGCCCCGCACAGGCGACTCAAAACCTCCCATAGAGTATTTCAAAATGTAGTGACTATTCAATGGTCACTCACCGGTGGTGGGCATCCCATCATGCATTGTGTCTCCAGCGGCAATTCAAAGATGGAAGTGCACCATGTAGTGTCTGAACCCTCCGGTGATTGAGCTTGCTTCATAGTCAGCTATACAGTGAAAGCCCGTATGGGGGTTAGGGGTTAGGGATTGAGTGATTCATTTTGGACACAGCCTGTCTTTTTCAAGCTGCTTTTTGGAGGTGGCAGTTAGAGTGATGAGCAGGTAGAAACATGTTGCTGAACTTTGTGGGCACCCTATTTTTGTGTATGCCTGTCTGAACTCCTGTAGAATTCACCATGACTATGAAATGTCGGGACTCCTGTCTTTTGGTGTTGATGTAGCCGTTGCTTCCACATCAAGCAGGTTGAAGCCTTTGAATGACAGAAGTTACGGCTCATTTCTTCATCAAAGGGGTAGACTGAGTCACCCAAGCAGCACTCTACAGTCTCTCCTGTACCGTCAGCACCTGAAGGAAGTTCTTATATTCCCACATTTCTTCTACATCAGCAGATCTTACACATAGTTGAAGCGACCAAAGAGGAAGTTTACTTGTGCCTTCTCTTTTCCAGTCCAAGCTTACAAATATGGACTGCCCATTTCCTGCTCCTCTGATTTCCACTTCGCAGCCTGGTGAAACTACTATTCACTAACCTGAGGATTTGATACTTGCCTTCCTCTTTGTTTAGGGGTGATCCCTCCGTGTCTTTCTGGATCCTTCTTTCTTCTTTGAAGGCATTCACTTATAGATATCTTCACGGTATCTGCTTGTGATTTGGTGATAGCACCTCTATGATTCATAGAGGTTTGTCATTGGTGTTCCTTCTCTTATTGCTGCCACAGAAAGTTTGTTTCACCACAGAAACTTTCTCTGTCTGCAAGATTGGGCTCAGCAACACAGTGGTGCCAGACTCTGGGCTTTAATTGTCTCACCTCCAGATGCTGCAAACTTGTTTCTGCTTCATCTCCTGCACTTTCCTGTCTCTTACTGGTTTCATAAACCTTGATCATTTGTTTCTGGATCTTTTGTCATTCTAGTTGGCTTCGTCAGTTCTGGTTGGCCCTTTATTCCGATCTCCCAGCAACCCCCTTGGCCGTTTTCTCAAATGAAATTGAAGTCTCAGAAAAACTGAACGCAAGTCACAGATCAACTATAACCATATTAATCTGGTTCTTAACCAGGATATAACAAGTCATTTTTTCCTTACCAGCGCTCAGAAAGTTAAATGTGATTCATTATCTACAAACTGTAATCTCTTTGCTCTATAACAAGTACACATTTTTTTTTAAAATGTATTGAGCCTGTAATATCTTTCAGTTTTAAGCTGTCGGTGTCAGCTTTGTGAAGACAGACAGCCTCATGTAAACAGGTTTGTGAGGGGTTTTACCCTTTTGTAGTTGGGTCACGCTGCGCTGTCTGAATAGTACAAAGATTCGACCCAGATGACAATGCAGAGCACAATACAGCGGCTGATGTTTACAAATAGCATCCATGCCTTTAACACCTACAAGCCTGGGCCAGTCATCAACCTTCTTCAGGTCCTGGCCCGCTGGTAAAACATTCAGTGACCACGTGGACAGAAAAGTGTTTAAACCTCGGAGGCCATTGGCAATTGGATGTCTGTATTTCATAGTGCCAGAATTCCTCTTACAATGGTGTTTACTCTGTTTGTTGTATGATAATATTAACTTTGCCGACCAGTAGAAACTAAAACCACAAAGCAAATTCCCCAAACAAAGACATTTGACCTTACAGACGGAGATAGGCAGACAATATGACAATGAATTTGCTTTGCAATCGTGACTGCTGGGTTGTGACGTTGTCGGTCTGTTCCAGACAGAGTTGTCTAGACAGACAGAATGGCGAGACGACATAAACACAGACAAGAGACATTACACTTCATTCACAAAAGCTCTATTCCATCACAGCTATTTGGGTTAGTCACTTGACCATCATTGTCTCCGGTCAGATCAGGGCTGAGTGAAAGCATGCCACACTAAACTCAGACTGCTTTCCATGCTCATATTTCCCAAAGGTCAGGCTGTGTGTAGTAGTGTGTACTAATGTGGAGGGATAACACTTGTTTTAGATGTTTGTTAGGAGCAAAGTGAAAGAATCACTCTGCTTTATGATTTGTAAAGTATATGTTGACAGTGTTTAATATCAACAAAACAAAAATGAGTTTCTCTTTTTAACGGCTTTATTAGATCACTGCATTTCAGAGTTTAAGGGAACTGATTAGTATGTTTGAGATACAGGATTGATCACACAAGATTTCAGGCAACACAACTCTAATGTGGATAATATGGTTTCGGCTTCACACAGAATATCTACTAATACAAGAAATTCACTTCAAAAGCCATCATAGTCAAACTCCACGGCAGCATGATGAGGAGGTCATCAAAGGGAACCGCTGTCTCCTGATACATCCCACACCTGTCTGTGCTGACAGATCCTCTGCTGAAGTTGCCAGAGACATCTCGCAGACATCATCAGACAGCAGGTGCTAAGAGCGTGCGGCACAGCACCTGGAAATAAATGCAAAGTAAATGAGCCCAACAAAAAAACAAAACTTTTCTTTTTTGAAACATTTACAACGTAGTGTTGTCTTATCAATTCATACAACAACTATGTAGCATATCTTGCAATGTTATGCACATTCCACTGGATGAATTGTGCTGCCTACCTGTATCTACGAGGGCAACCATGATGACCAACAATGTACTCCTGGGCATAGCAGAACCGTCTGCAGAGTCCTCTATACCCACAAGTCCAGTATTGCATGTCTGGATCATTGCCTGTAGGTTATTATGAATAAATCACATGTAAGTTCTCAAGAACTTTAATAACATTGATGTTGGAATAATTTTCAAATCCCATATTTGATGATTGTTTCCTCCTATTCAGAGCCATGCAAGCAGGCCTCAGTATGAGCATAATGTATTTTGAGCATTTGCCAGAGGTTGATTTGCTTGGTTTGATCTCACACAACAGGAAAATGTGAGTATCCGTTCATTTCTTACCCTCCCCAACTGCGAACATCAGGAGAAGCACAAGGAGAACCAAGCTCAGTCCCTTCATGTTTGGGTACCAATAAGCTTTCAGACACTGTTGTGGACAGGCTGATGCTGCATTTATACAGCATTTCCACCGCGGGGGAGGAGTCCGTTGTGCTCTGTGCAAATCACAATAACAAAGTATGGCTGAATGATGGCAGTCTGAGAGATGAAGGTCAGAACTGTCAGCTTTCCGCTTAGTCAACAGCTGCAGTTTCTTGAGGATTTTAGTTTGTTAGTTATGATCAACAAACAGAGCAAAAGTTTATTCTCCAACATGTTTGGGAGATACTAGAAACAAGCTGCTCTATACACTAAAACAGAACTTTACATGAAAAAGGCATTCTTACCTATAAACAGGCCTATGGTTGGACACATTGACCACAAAGGACTCCATTAAAAATACAAACCTAGCAAAGGTTACAACATGAGGTAAAGTAACTTATCTATTTGTTTTAAACAGATAAATTACCGAAGAAGAATTCTATCTGTCTGTCTCTGATTTCAGGGTTGCCCAAATTCTCTGCTACCCACATCTGAATATAGCAGTGGCTCTTGTGTTATTGCTGATGCTGTGAAACTAAAATAAAACTGCACAAAACACACTGCTCCAGTGAAACAGGGGAGGCTTGTTAACAAAACAGTAACAATAGAAGGCAGGAACACAGAGACATTAACATGTATGGCATGCCCTCTAGTGCTCATGACAAAATGTTTGCTTGTTTGTTTGTTTTTAGTTTAAAATATATCAAGATTGCAGTCAGAAGATACTGCAAGAAAGTAATGCCATGCTGTACGGAAAGTACTAGAATAATTATCAAATGATGAGTGTTATGTTATACTTTATGATTTTACTTTATGACTCTAATCGACAGACTCAGGCGATGGGTGGGTATCAGTGAGAGTTCTCTTGACTGGTTCTTGTCTTATCTTTCAGATGGACATTTTTCTGAATCACCTGGACCATTCATGTCAGAATCAGCCACTCTGTCCTGTGGCATACCTCTGGGTTCTGTGTTGGGGCCACTTTAATTTTCACTATACATTATCCCACTAGGCCATGTAATTAATCCATTTTATGGTATTTCCTACCACTGTTACACTGACGAAATTTGGTTATATGTTTCTTTCAAGACAGATGCTGTACAGAAAATTACCAACTAACTCAACTGATTGTCTTCCATTAAGGAGTGGATGGATTAAAACTTCCTACAGATAAAACAGCGGTTCTTGTTTTTCCCCTGACAACATTGCAACCAGGGTTCCTTCTGCTTTTGGCTCCTTCTCTACCACTGGGAAGACAAATTTCAGAAACCTTGTTGTCATTTTTGATCACAGAAAGCTCTTTGACAGTCACATCGAATCATTAACTTGTTTATTTTTTTCCTAGTTAAGAAAACTTTCAAAGCTTTGGAATTCAGAATTAGAAATATTGGTCCAAGTTTCTGTTTCATTCCGGCTTGACTAGTGTAACCCTCTATTCACATGTCTCAATAAATCCTCCCTTGACCATCTTCGAATGATTCAAAATGCTGCTGCAAGACTGTTCACCAGATCCAGCAGGACAACCCACACCAGCCCTATTTTACTTTATTTGCTTTGGTTGCCAGTCAAATTCTGAATTAATTTCAAGATCCTTGTGTTACTTAGAAAGGCATCCAGAATTAAGCTCCAGTGTATATATTTCTGAGCTGGTCCGTCCTTACATCACCAGTAGATCTATTAGGTTCTTTGACCAGAGTTTACTTGCTGTTTCCCATGCTTAGACTGAAAACAAAAGGAGATCTTCCTGTTGAACTTGGGGCTCCGACTCTTTGGAACTGTCTTCCTATCCAGATACACTGTGCTGTCTCTAATGATGTTTTTAAAATGCAGCTCAAGGCGCATTTGTTTAAACTGGCTCTTGACCATCTGCTGTAATTATTGCCTGATAGTATTATATTTGTTACTATCATTACTTTGATTTGTTTCAGTCTTCTCTTTATTATTATTGTTGTTCTTGTCATTACTATTTTGTGAAGCACTTTGTAAATCTGCTCTGTGAAAGGTGCTGTATCAAATAAACTTTACTTACTTACAAGTTCAAAAAAGAATGAAATGAATTTTCTATGATTAAATATTTTTATGTCAAGCACAGATCATTATCTTCTGCTTGCTAGGTAAAAGACTGTAGAAACAAGTTACCATCTTGTGCGCACCAGGCAATAAGCCTTTCTTGCATGTGTTAGCTTTTGACCTGTGGGTGCTTGCAGCTGCAGTGAGTGCTCCCACCCATCAACTATTCCCATCACAGTATATTATCAAATTTAAAGTCATGTTGTGGAAACAAGTTACTAACTCATAGGTACAAGTCCACTTTTTTGAGCATGCAAGACATAAACCCGTGCAAATGTACAGGTTGTGAACTCTTGCCATCATTTTTTTTTTTTAAATAATTTGACATTAAATGCTGAAGTTTAACAGTAATTTGTCTTCATCAGCATGCAATAGTGTATACAGTGTATTCAGATGGTGAAAGTGCTAAATGTCAAACAATGTGGTAGAGAACCTCTGAGCATAATATCAGACACTTTGGAGGCTCTGTGGGTTTGCTGTAGATTATGTTCTAACCCATTGAGCTTGTTTTTTAATGAAAGGTATCTTTGAGACAAAAGTATACGTTTATGTCGATGAATCTTCATTTAATCATAGGGTAAAAGACGCTTCTAAACAGTTTTCGTGAGCACGCGATGAGAATAAAACATGTGGACCCTGTAGTTATACGATTTTTTTGCACAGCAGATGGCGATCGAGGTGTAAAACGCAGTTTTACGCAGAGAAGAAAAAACTCTACCCATCTGCGCATGTGCAGTTCGTACAGCTGCAGCCGACAACAACAGACTGGACGAGCTGCCCTTTCATTCCAAGATGGCGGACTTACTCGGTTCTATCCTAAACTCGATGGAAAAGCCTCCAACCGTCGGCGACCAGGAAAGCCGACGAAAGGCACGAGGTACAGGATGAATTACTGAAGTTAAGTCTTAGCTGGACTCAGTTTGAAACACATGAATTTGGTATATTTGGGGAACTGTTCATAATTTAAACAACAGGCGCAGTACGGGGAATCTTCGCCTTACCATTGGCCGCTTCTGCCGTCATGCCGCGTTAAGCGCATTTTGGTCGGTGTAAGCCCCGCCTCTTTGTAACATGAAGCCACGCATGTCCCGCAAACTACCGCAGACTGCAGGTCAGACCTGGTCTGACTCTAGGTCCACAGATGTAGGAAATATTGATATTTTCAAGCAGTAAAGCCTGCTTTTATACTCGTGTAGAAACTAGGACTGTAAATGGTGGTCATGTGTTTGCCACTATTTTGTGTCACAAATGGGTTACAGCTAAAAACCACAAATGTTATCAAATACTTTAAAATGAACAGTATTAATGCTGAAATAAGGCCATTAGAAGCGCTTAAGATAACGATGTATAGACACATGCAACCAAAATAGAAGCAGTCACATTCACAGGCTCTCCTTTCACATGTTTGTGTGTTAATAAAGCCTGAGAAAAACAGGAGAGAACTTCAGGACTACAGTATTTACAATCTGGCAAAGCTGAGTGCAGTGTTATCACAAATAAATAACTGTATTGACTTTCCAGCAGTAAAGCCACAACATAAATTAAAACCACAAGACGGCATCATCAGCTGTTATGTGAAGGCTGGCCAACAAAACTCCAGAGGCTGTTTGCCAGTAAACAAACGGAACTAATAGGATTTATGTGACCCTATTCTCAAGCCCTGGGTGATTGTGAAAAGTGGTTTTAGGATGTCAGGAATTCTGTGTCTTTATCAGCCTTGTTGTGACAGATCTTTAGAAAGCAGGACGGTTGAAACTGTTGTGCTGCAGGACCTCATTGTTCATAGGGAGGAACTTTGAAGGTGATCAATAATGAATAAACCCACTGAAAACTTTTGATTTCTGTTCTTTTAAGAGCAAGCGGCAAGACTGAAGAAGATGGAGGAACATGAGAAAAGAAAGAAAGCTGAGTTCAGGAAAAAGGTAAAAGCTTGAGTGTCACAGCTTAAGTTTCAAATCACCACCCACTTGATCAGGAACATCTGCAAAACCTGATGCAATCCTATGCAACTTTTTTGTTCACTTGTTTGCCTTTGCAAAGTTTCTACATTTATCTGCTGTAATTGTTGATAATGTGTAAACTTGGGTTCACCTAAAAGACTTGTAAATATTCTTCATATTCAACATGCAATTCTATGACCTCAATGCAAAACTTCTGTGATGATTAAACATTTACCACCCGTCATAGAATCAAAATATGGCAAAGGAGTCGTAATGTTTGCATTACATTACAATGGACTAGTGTTGATTATAAAGTGCACACTGAGTGTAGCTCCTCTTTTTCACTTTCAAAATAACACTGTCCCCTGGCTTCTCTTTTTCAGATGGAAAAAGAGGTTTCAGATTTCATACAAGACAGCTCACAGCAGAAAAGAAAATACAACCCCATGGGGAAGATTGAAAGAAGTATATTGTAAGTAATAACTTTTTTAGATAACTCCACAAGGCAAAATGAATAAAAAATAAAATAAAAAGACATTTTTGTCATTACTCAGACACTGTTCACTTTAATTCTTCCTATCTCACAGGCATGATGTTGCAGAGGTGGCTGGTCTGACTTCTTTTTCTTTTGGGGAGGATGAAGAGAGCCGTTATGTCATGCTTTTTAAGAAGGTCTGTAAACATACAGTTTAATCCTTACAGACTGTTGTTGTTTATGAAAATAAAGAAACTATGAAGGTTTTCTCTCATTTGCTCTGATAGGAGTTTGCTCCATCAGATGAGGAGCTGGAGGCCTATCGCAAAGGAGAAGAGTGGGATCCCCAGCTGGCAGAGCAACGACGTAGACTCAAAGTAAGACGGGATCCTCCTGCTGTATTTCACTGAATACTTATTCAAATATGCATCCTGCCACACTAAATGTGATAGCTCTGCATGTCAACCTGATGTCAGAAAATACAGGTAATCTTACTTATTGGAGGTTTTAACATTTGTGGATCGCTTTGTTTGTGTCACTGTCATTTCATTTCATTTCACAGGGCAGCTTTGACTTCTCTATCTATTTATAAGGCATGTAATTCCCTTATTGTTACTGACATTTTCTTTCCATTTCTTTGTAGGAACAGGCTGCATTAGAAGAAACAGAATCCAGTCAGACAAAGAAGGTTGAAGCGTGTCCCAACTCAAACTACAGGGATAAGTACAGCCACCTGATTGGTACCTCGGCTGCAAAAGACGCCGCGCACACACTAGAGGCCAACAGTGCTTATGGCTGTGGTGAGTACATGTTGCTACATCAGCCTGGCTTTCAGAAAACTCTAACTTTCTTTGAATCATATAATTCACTCTCTTTATGTACTTTGTATTTTTGTCCCCTAGTGCCGGTGGCAAACAAGAGGGACACTCGCTCCATAGAGGAAGCCATGAATGCAATCAGAGCAAAGAAACGTCAGAAACTAGAGGACGACACTGGAGCTCACAGCAGCAGCAGCTCATGAGCCTGCACCTTTTTGCTCCCTGTTGACTGCTGAGTGTGTGTATGTGTGTGTCTGTGCTCGTATTGGCACAACAGTGTGTCAGTCAAAGTCATCTTAACAATGCAATATTCTATCATTCGGACATTTAAGACTTTAACTTATAAGACAGGTGTTAAATGTTGTGGCAAAGCTACTCTGACTTTGTTGAAATTAGGTTTAATGGAGGACGCTCAGGTGTGTCTGATCCAGGAGGTGGATCATTATATATGTTGAATATTTTTCATGATGCTTTGCTCTTTGTAAAGCCTTTTGCACAAAACAAAACCCTATACATATGAGGAACTTGTTTTGGTTAAAAAAAAGGTTTGGTAGATGTTCAGCAAACAAAAAAACATCTGTTATACATGTGTAAGTTTTTAAGACTTTGTTTTTTGGCCGTTCTGTTTAAGATTTACAGTTTTAGACCCTATAAAAATATTGAAGTTTAAGCAGTTTTGAGCTCTGGGTCCATTTTGGAAGCAGTTTTTAAGGCGAAGTCATGGCTGGAAAGTCCCATATAACAAGCACAGTATTGGAAAGGGATCGGTTATGTTGTCAGTTGATTGTTTATGGTTCAACTTGTCTTTTTTTTTTTCTAAGGGTGAATCTGTGTCAGAAACTTTTTGTAGACGCCATTTCTGTCACTGCAATAGGAAAGTACCATTATCTGGATTCTGGGTATGTTTGTCTGACTGTGAATACAAGTATTTTGCCATACTACGTGTATAAATCCTTGTGTTGGGTACAATTGGTGTCATGGTTGGGTGGAGATCCTGACTCGGTCATTTGTGACCCACCTTTTGTCATATCTTCAGAAAGTCTGAAGTTATTTTGTGTATTTTAACATGGTTGCACTGATTTATCCCCTATGTGTGTTAATAAATGGAGAACTGTCAGATAATTTCCCTCTTTACAAAGGCCTAGTAATTGTTTTTTTTTGCTGCTTTCAACTGGTTTAATTTTTCTGAAAAGGTCTTTTTTTAAAAATAATTATTTCTTTATTGAAGAGAAACAACATCATAATTTTACATTCGAATGTTTCACATTTTGTTTAAACACCTTCATGTCACCCCCCCCTTTTTTTTCTTTTTTTCTTTTTTTATCGACATTGTTGGTAGATTGCGTCCTTCCCCATGTCCATTGTAGTCAATGTCCTTAACCTTTCCCCATCGAGGGCATATTCTTGAGAGGAAGATCAACATCCTAACCTCCACTGTGCAACCAAGAACCAGAAATAAAAAATAAAGCAAAATAAGAAACCACCAAACAAAAATATTTACAAATGAGCTGAGGGTAACAAAAAAAAAAAAAGAAAATATAACCAATGGAGAGAGGAGTGGTTACCAAATTTTTAAAATATTTTAGATATGCCTTTTAAAAAATTTTCTGACTTAACATTTTCATAAAAATGCACTTCTGATTTACAGTTCAACAAACAACATATTTTATGCTGCTGTCTTTGAAATGAAAAAGAAAATGTCATTTTAAGGAAATTAACTGACTGGTGAAGTCATGATGTGAACAAATATGTTGTCCTTGCTGTGATCTCAGAGCACTACTTCACACAAATTAACCTTGCAATCTAAAACTTTGCTCATGTATAGAACTAACATCCAAAATTTTATCTTAAAATTTGTTTTTGAAATTTGAAAAAAAAGTGTAATACCATCTATTTGATGTAACTTGAATGCATTTGTGTTTGTAGATTTGAGTGGGCCTAATTTTAGATTGTACCACTTCTGCCACTTAGTTTAAAGTAGGCCTACTGCTATTTTAGCAGAGGTGTTAGTACATCTTTTCTGTTTGATACTATTTAGGGCTTATTCGTTCATCATACTCTCATACCTGTGTGTCAGCCTGCACTTTCTTCTGTGTCCAGAGAGAGGCGCCAAACATCCCTCGAAAAAAAAACGATTTTTTTTTTTTTTTTTTAATTCTTTCACAATGTCCCGCAGTTTCTGTCTGACAGAAACACATTTTTATTGCGCGCTGCAGACTCAGTCACGCACATGTAAATCATGATGCCCATGTTTTTGTTCTTTCTCATCATTTGGATTGCAGATGCGGAGCTGAAACCCCGGAAAGGTAAGATCACACCCGGCTGATGCTTATTCTCTCTTGATAAAACGTGACGGGCTTGAAATAAGGAAAGGTATGAAAGTGTGGCTCAAAGGGGGGAAAGTTACGTCGGTGTTAGCCAGTTGATAGTTTGGATTTACTTTGTATTTGTTTTGTAGATAAGTTTGTCCCTCAAGCGAAACTTTTTACCTTATTCTGTCTTCAGTAAAGTTAAAAAAGTAAAGGCTTTAACCAGTTTTAATGCTTAGGAAAGATTTAAAGTAATGTCAGTGACATTTGAGGGGACCCTGGTTTTCTCCTATTTTTTAGTACTCAAGCTTTGTCTAAAGGTTTAATGAAATAGGCCCACTTCACGTTGAAATGTCTGTTTTTCGTCTTCGGTTGATGTGCGCCACATACTGTAAGAGTTCATTTGCTCATCCTCTTTACTTTTTGGCGCCCAGGGTCCGGGGTGGTCTGTTCTTTCAAAGACAAGACGTACAACCCTGGAGAGAGCTGGCATCCCTATCTGGAGCCATTTGGGATTATGTTCTGCATGCGCTGCGTCTGCACAGAGGTGATTTTTATTTTTAATCTAATTGTGTCACTTCAGAATAGGAATTAAAGGAATATTACGCACAACCTGTTCAACTCCAGAAAATGAGGTTGGAACAGAAAGGTGACCCTTGCTCGTAAACTTTACTTTCTCCTAGACAGGTCATGTGAAATGTAACACCATCAAGTGTCCTGCTCTTCCATGTGAAAACCCAGTAACTGAGCCTCAGCAGTGCTGTCCAAGATGCACAGGTAGGCTGGACCAGACAGAAACCTTCTGGTATTCTCCTTTTTTAGAAAGATTCCTCTGGTTGTGACTTCTGTCCTTTACATTGTCCCTCTTCAGATGAGCCTAGGATCCCTGCAGGATTGAGAGCCTCTGTGAAATCCTGCAGGTATAATGGAACTGTTTATCAGCCTGGAGAAACCTTCACAAAGCATGACCTATTCCCATCTAGACAAACCAATCAGTGTGTCATGTGCACGTGTTCTGTAAGTTACATCTCATTTACATCTACAAATTGTCTGTTAAAGTCTGTAACCTTAGGTGTTAAGATCAGAGACTGGATGCAAACTTGTCATTTAAAGCTGAGTCACAATGTGCTGTGCTGACAGACGAAAAAAAAGAAATAGCAAATTTTCCCTTTTTTATTTACACTACTTAACCGCATTCCTCTGCAGTGAGACTGTTTGAGTGCTCCACAATAATGCATAAATAAAATTTTCCTCATAAAAACATATCAAGGGCCAACTAACACAGCTTAAAAGTATGTGTGTGTGGGGCGGAGGGTCTTCCTTTTGTCTACTTTTTTTTTAAATACATGTTTCGTGCTAGAGTATCTTATCTTGCCAATTTATACTGATTCATTGGTGATGCGATACAGTAAAAGTGGAAACTTATCTGTACTTTCCATAACTATTTTCTATCAATATTGTAGCTGATGCAAACATCTTGTGCTGGTTTGATTGTTGGCTTTTTTTAGTCATGTGAGGCACAAGAAAACGGGTTTAGACAACAAAGGCAGATTCCAGATAGGAGCACGATGAAGGGGGTATTGAAATCAACCTGCTAACAGACGGCAAGATGTGAGACGTTAACTTTATGAGTTGTTAATTAGTGTCCATTTGAAGATGTTTTTATGTCTCCAAGGTGAAATCACACAACATGTGCCTAATGAAATGAATACCAGTACACATTCAGGAGTGCTGCTGATCATTTGTAGTTTTTCATGAGCGGTCTGAGGTCTCTCAAGTTCAAGAGCAGGTTTTATTTTACTCAGAGTGTTGCTGGTCAAATATCAGAGAGTTGTTGAGTAAGATACTGAACCCTTCATTCCTCCAGATGAGCAGGACAGCAGCTCAGCCATGTACTTGTGTGTGGTGATAGAAGTCTTAATTTGTTTTGGACCAAAGCCATTCAATGTATTGTCTTTTTACAGTTTTGAACTTGTGCTAAGAATGTGTCATCTTATAAGAGATTTTTACGAAACTGCCTGGAAATTAAAATCAATGTTAACACACTAACAGGTCCTGTGTAAGTGTGCCTTGAGTTGTGTTTGTTCATTTTGTTTGATAATGATAGATTTGCTTTTTTTTACAGAATGGTAACATCTTCTGTGCTCTGAAAACATGCCAACCAATCACCTGCCCTTCACCTGTCCCAGTTCCTGATACCTGCTGTTTGGTGTGTAAAGGTATTCAAACTCCTGCAAGTCTAGAAAATGACTGTACTTTGATGAAAACCGTGAAAAAGTCCAGTTTTGTTTTAATTTTAATGATTATGGCTTGTAGCTAGGGCTGGACAATATGGGAAAAAGTTTATCACAATATATTTTTTCATATCAGTCGATGTCGATATATGTCACGATATAAAAAATGAAATTTAACAGTGCTTATTGGCAGCATGTCTTTTGCAATACAATAAGCTACTGCATCTGTGAGGTCTTTGTGTCTCATCACGATGGCGTTGCGCTAGAGAAGGCGGACTGAATGTTAAGCTGTTTTAGCTGCACAGGCGCCATGGGCTCCTTGCTCCACTCAGGGTTTGTCACTGACAGTGCTGTTGGCTTTACACTTTATAGTGCTATGGTTGCATGTAACTGCAGCCTGCTACTACGCAGTTGTTTGCTACTTGGTTCTAATTCAGCCCATGATTGGTTTAGGGTGAAGCAGACCCAGAGAAACTCCCCTTTTCATTGGCTATTCGTATAGTCAACAAAACATGGCAGAATGCCGACTATCGAAAGCATATTGACCATGTTTTATATTGATAGTGAGGGAAATTAATTTTCGATATATATTGGTATCATATTATCGCCCAGCCCTACTTGTAGCTCATGAAGATCTGAAATGTAACATCCCAGATTGCTACAACATTTCCTAATACCAATAAACAAAAGATTAAAAATACAGAAATGTCCAGTTTCTTAACAATATGTTTATTTACCCACTTAATATTGATCAGGGCCCCTGCTGAAATGTTACTGAAGTCCAGGATGCTTCGATAGTTCCTTCTGCCTGTCCGTATTTTCGGGTCAAATGTTCGTCACTCCCCTCAACAAATATCCCAGAGATTTTGTGTGGGTTCATGTCAGGTAAATTGGCTGACCAGGACAGCAGAGTAATATCATGGTTAGCAAACCACATTCTTGTAGTTTTGGCACTGTGAGCAGTGCGAAGTTCTGCTGGAAAAGGAGATTGACGTCTCCATAAAGCTTGCCAGCAGGTGGAAGCGTGAGGTGCTCTGAAATCTACTGGTGGACTTGATAAAAACACAGTGGACTAAAGCAGTAGATAACTTGCAACCTGAATTCATCCAAATTTGTAGAAACAGAAGTCCTGTAATTATCTGCCTTGTATTTTTGTACTTATTCAAACGCCCTCACACTCATTTTTGTATTTTTTCTTTTTTTCTGTAGATATTGGCTCCAGTGGCTCCTCATCAACCGAGGATGGAAATCAGCAACTCAACAGAGGCGTTGTAAGTTTTGGTTAGTTTATCATACATGTATCATCTGACTGTGGCATGGCTGTCATACAAAAACCATGTAGAAGAAGAGGACAGTAATATTGTGTTAGCTGCAGCCCCTTAACTACAGAACTTGGTTTTAAATCCCACAGGCACAGATTACTCTGATAAAGAGTCCTTGAACACAACACTGAGCACATTAAAAGCTTCAGAGTAGTTTCTCTGTGGCTCTCTGTTTTAACAGCTGAATAAATGGTGACATGAGCATTATTTCAAAGATCTAGGGCCAGTTTAATTGGAGTCCTTCAGGAATAAAGGTGAAGTGAACATGTCAATGATAACTGTTTTATAATATCTGTATTTTAAAAAAGAGGCATTCAGTGGACCAGTGTTCAGGAGATCAGGGCAGGGCGCGCTCTGACCGTGCCACTCAACCCAGGGTCAGGGCTTCTCCCAGAGGTCTAAGCCTCAGCAAACTCAATCTCAAAGGAGCTTCAGAGACCACAGTGAAGATTTTGTTGCAAAGGAAACATCAGAGAGGTGAGACTTTGTCAAAACAGAAAGATCCCATACACGCATTTAATTTTATAGACGTGTTCCTCACAACTTTACGATGGTTTCCACATGTACCACATTGCTCAGATGTTTTCCATTTCTCTCAGCTTGTTTATACAATGGAAAGACATACTCTCATGGAGACATGTGGCACCCAGTTTTGGGGAAGGTCCTGGAATGCATCCTGTGCACTTGTACTGATGGCCTCCAGGATTGCAAACGCATCACGTGTCCCAGCCAGTATCCATGCCAACATCCTATGAAATCAGCAGGAAAGTGCTGCAAGACATGTCCAGGTAGTCAACTGTGGCTCATAACAACCTAAGCTGTTTATTATGATAAGATACTGACTGGCTGTAAACATCGTCCACAAAACTTGTTTGTGCTTTTGTGCTTTGTCTCTTCAGAAAGTAAAGCTGAAAGTAACCAGACCCAGTGTTACCTTGGATTTAAGAGTAATCTTCTGGTGTATAAAGTCGAATCCTCTTTAAGGGTCGACTCACCGAATACAGTGAGGGTTATCGTTGTTGAACGACAAAGTACGGCAGAGGTTGAAGTGCAAGTCTGGAACACTGTGGAAGGTACTGTAGATAGTGGTGAAAAGGGATGGTTTAAAGTCATGTGAAAGTTTACTTTACTGCTCTGAGCTAAATAAGGAGAGACTGTTACTCTGTAACCTGTCAGATACAGAGTGGAAACAGAGGCCAGCAAGAAGAAGCACACACAATTTTCAGTTTTACTGTATATTTAGTGGAGAGATATCAAATTTCTGTTCTAAAGCTAGAATTATTTGCTCTGGACTCCACTTTAGTGGATAAAAAAAGTTACATTTACCCTCATCTTTACACTTTTTATATTACAATTCACTGCATGGACCTGCTAGTAAGCAGTATCAGACATAAGCCCTACTTTATGGTTTGTTGTTTTTGTTTGTTTTTAGCTTTTTTAGTTATCGCCATTGGCAACATTTAACTGAAGTTTTAAATAATCTCTGAATGTAGAAAAATAAAACTTAAAAACAGGATCATTGAGTTACCAATCATCTCAGTTTTGACAGATAAATTGCTGTTCAGATTTGGGAGGTCTGAAAGACCCTCAAAACATGAGCAAGAAAGCACATTGGTATTATTCAAAGACATGTCAAACCTCCATTTTGAGAAATATGTGGTGTGAATGCAGAAATATACTGTTATCACCAGAATGTCTTGTTTTGTACAGGTGTTGTACAGCTAATGGACATTGGTGACGTCCAAAGGAAAGACATCGTAGATCATCCAGAGAATTATACATTACTTACAACCCTTGATGAAGGTCAGTTACATGATGGTCCTTTATCAAGTCTTTTGCCTTTTTTGATACATTATGGATGTGTCCACAGCTTTATGTTGATTAAATATCTTTTACAGAGACGTGGAAAAAATTTAAAGAGGAGGGGGGAAATCTGAGTCAAGCTTCCCAGGCCACGATCTGTGAAGACGGCATTCGGGAGATGGTGACTTTCCTTAATCCCAAGCAGACAGAGGACCAGTGTTCGCCATAGTCCTTCTTTTTCCTTTCATTTTGATACTTTCAGAACTACATGTTAGTTTACAGTATATTTTTTTAATCATACATGTTGCACTTTTGGGACCAATTTTTCTTAAAATAGTTTGTATTTTTGGAATATGTTGGAAAAGGGGTACATTTGTCACGAATGTAAAGGGATTTAAAGGGTGTTAAGTGATAATCAACATATTTATTGTAAATACAAAAGGAGGTTTTGTCACCTTATTTAAAGTGTTTTGGTTCTTGTGTAAATTCAATGTACATAAATGTGACTGTGTGAATGTTTTTGCATGACAGCAGTAGACATTGCATTTTGGTTCAGTCTGCTAGTAAAAGCACAACTGTGTCAACACTGTGTATTGATAGTAAGAAAAAAAGGCCTCTCAGTTTCTTTCTGGAGTCAGATATAGACACACAGTTGAGCTTTGTTATGCAGCCACAGGATTTGGTTTGTTATTGTTGCCTTATGACATTTTACAAATACACATACCAGAAATAATTCTTTTGTAAGTGGTTATTGTTAAAGTAGATCAACGCTCTTTGTACCTCTGTTCACATTTTTTTTATACATAAAATTCTCTGGGTTTTTCTCTATTAAATGCTTTTCTCTGCTTTGATTGTGGCTGCCATTTTCATGTTGAAATACAGGGTCATTCAATCAAAGAAAGACTGGTGATATTTTTTCGGGACAGGCTTGTGTTGCAGTCAAGATCTCAACTTGCTGATTCATTGGAGGTTTGTTTATCAGCTACAGCAGAGGGCTCTGAACACTGTTGTGGCCTGGAGGCTTCTATCAAATAGAACTCCGGAAGGCTGGATCAACCACTGTCCCGCTAGAGATGAAATGTTATCAAAAGCATGGAAATCAGAAGCAGAAGTTTGGACTCACTTTAGTCCCCAAACTTTCTCTCTTGCACGATTTGACCAACAATTTCACCAAAAGAAACTATTATCACACCCCTCTATATGATTAGACTATAGGTCTTGTGATTTGTTACCTCTGTCTTACAGCTTTATAATTATTCTGGTAAAAAAAATAATCAAAAGAAGAGCAAACGTGTATTATCTGCTCTACAATCCCAAAGAGTTTAGTCCAAATGGCCGATATGAGCCAGAAAACTGCCGCACACTCAATCCAACATTTTTATAAAGTTGAAAAACACTGGCGGCTTCATTGTTATGTGCACAAGAGAAATGGGAATCTCCTTTCCTTTTTCCTAAAGCAATAGGCTACGAGCTCAAAAGCATTGTTATGCATATATTTTGTTGTCTGGGAGCCTATTTGTAAGGAGCTGCCTGATAGCAATCTTTAAAACATAACTATAAATATGCAGTGGATGAATTTCTTATCATTCAGGTTGGTGTGAAAATAAAAAGCTGTTTGATACTTTTGCAGGTTTATATTCAAGAATTACAATCACTGACTCTTTATCTGATTATGAAACTTCCTTGAATATTTGGGCCTTTGTAGCGCCTTAAAGAGAAGTGTTTGCCCTACCAAACCTTTGGCCCACCTGACCTGTAAGTGCAAACACCAGATAGTAGAGTGACTGTGAACTAGTCACAACTGCTTTACATAGCCTAGTTGGTATTCAGCAGTTGGAGAAACATATCGGTTAAGTCGGTGGAGACCATAAACTTCATACTGATGTGTCATTTTAATTGTTCTGTAAGGTGACCTTGAGTGCCCTGAAAGGCGCCTATAAATAAAATGTATTATTATTATTATATCAATGATTTGACTCTATATCTGTATGTGTAGCTAAACAATTTTTTGCTAGGACGTTAGCTAGCAGGCTAACTTAGTTTTGGTGGTTCCAGATAAGGTCTCACCTTGCTTTTGTTGTCCTTATGTGACAATTAATTGCATGTTATTGCACATGTGACCTCCCTCAGGGGTTTCATTTTATACGGCTTTTCCAAAATGGAATATATGAGGTTGCATCCTGGAGCAGTGTAAATTAAATTAAAGTGGTGAATGAATGCAAATATCGTTGCCAGGCAACAGCAAAATAAATGTCAAAAGATCAATCATAGTGTTGCTTATTTTCTTTGTAGAAATGCTAAAATAAAATGATAAGTAATCTGTGTTAAAATGCCATGCAGAGGAACGAGAGACAAGATCACGAAGTTAACCTTTCGGATTAAGAGTAGTTAAAAAGCCTACTGCATCTCCACAGAGATACCACTTTACTGAGCGCTTTTTGCCCTCCAGGTTTCTGTGCTAGATAACTTTGAATTTCATTTCCATGCTTTCAACTTATAAGATACAGCAGCTCATCATTAAATATCGGTAGCAGGAAGTCCACTGTTGTTAATGGCTTGGACTGTGCAGTTTTATTCAAATATAAGCCAAGAAACTCAATGTGACTGTATTTTTTCAACTGAATCAAGAAAGTATAAAATAAACTTAACAAACAGACATCAGTGCCACCAAAAGCGAATCAAAATCTTGGAATAACATGTCTTCAGCCTGTGTCAAGGAAATAGCTTCCTTGAACCTAGGAAAGTGGGATCTGTGAAAGCAGTATTTTTGCTCAGCAGCTCTGTGTGCAGTCTGTCCACAGGCCCGTTTGATCAACAGGTGTCAAATTATCACTGAGGATAAATTCCCATGACTCAGTCAGTGTGTGACGGCAGATTTGGTGGACTGAGAGGGCTCTTCAGAATAATATTGCTTCCCTCCTCTGTGAACTCCCCGACATGCTCTCTCTGTCCCCACCCCTTCTACAATGACTCATTGTGTTTCTTTCACACATTGCGCCAGACAGCTCTGTCTGTATCTCATTGAAGGCATGAAACAATATTTTGAAACAGACGCACTTCCCTTCTCTGCCTTCATTATTCTCTCCAAAGGGCCGTCATAATTTTCGTAAACTGTTGGACCTGGCAGTTTCTAACAGTCGCCCTTTAGTTATCCGAAGAGACGGTTAAAGTCAACAGAGTGAGAAAGGGCTGTTCTACTTTGGTGCTGCCAACATAAATTAGTACAGAACATTTTCATGTTGCAGTTTTCTCATGCACCCTGTATTGATGAGTATTATATATACAGGTTTTACTTTTCGCCTGGCACTGCATGTTTTGACGTCTTTGTCCATCGTTTTTGATGGAAATCCTATTAGTCCTCATTTTGTGGATGTTTGAATTCGTCTCACGGGCCAATTCTGCTATGCATGCTTAGTCTTGGCTCTGGCAATTGTAACAGCTGGGGGCAGTCAGTGGGTATAAATCATGCAGTCAGTCAGCTCTCTGTGTATGTGAACTCCACCCTGCTGCCCATGCTACCCATAGTAAGCACGAAGTGAAGAAAATGTGAGTCAGGGTCACGACTCGGCTCAAGATTCGAGGCACTTCTGAGCCATTATTATGACATGAATAAATCTAATTTCCTGGAATTTATTATATGTCACTTTCTCACGAGCTATTTGGACCAAATCAACTCATGCATGTTGCAGAGGAGACTCCTCAGCGCTGATAAACTACTGTGGTATTCGTGATAGATTTCTTTGCTATTTGACACTCATGCTGAATTGCACTTATTTCATAAGATCTGAATAAAACATTTCCTCATTCTAAGTTGCAAATTCCTCCATGATACATGTGCCTGTGAGGAACTGAAGCATTGCAACTCAATCAGGCAGCCTTTTGATTTAAAGCTAGCCAAATTGTGTTAAGTTAATCAAGCCTGATGGATGTGTTTGCTTTCATAGCTGATTAAGGTGCTCAGCAGAACCCCAGAGTTTATACTTCATCAAAATACTTCCGAAATCTATCAAGGGCTCTGTTTTTTACACCCTCGCCCTCTCATTAATTAAGTTGGCCCTGATCATTTTAGCTGATGTTTGGAGGCCGGCCAAGAAAACTTCATGCCCTCATCCTGAGTGGCTCGGTGTAAAGGTCAGACTTTTAAACACGTGCTTGTAATGACTGTAAACTATTACGGAGGGAACACAGCGAGATCTATTGTTGCGCAGAATCAGGAAGATCAACAACTTCATGATCCGTGATGAATAATGACCTCTTTTCAAATGTCAGCCAGAGTAGCTGAAGCCTTTCCAGGATTACATGATAAGTGTGTTACAGTTCAATCGTCCATCAAAAGAAGATAATGAATAGGTCCAGTCTGCAGTGAACTCATTTGGCACTTGAATAATGAGGAGTGTTGATGAGGTATTCAGGCCTTTTCTTCCTGAGCCAAATACAGTGTCTGAGTCTCCACAGGGTTATTCTCAAAGCTTAACTGTTGGCCCTCAGTCTGAGAGTCAAACAAATCTTACCCAAACACCTCTCAGGCTTGATTGCAACTATGAACGCTCCAGATGTGCTGAAATCCACCAACAACAAAAAAATGCATCCATGTATAAACAAGGATCTGCTTGCCCAATACTCAAAACACGGACGCCTTTCTGCACCATGTCTTTTGTTATTTCTGCGTTTGGACAGAATATCTCTCTGTCCTGCCAGGATCTGTTATATCACCAAGAGAGTGGATGAAAATGTGTTTTCAGTTAATTCCTCACCTCATCAGTTCTTCGTGGTCAGGAGTAAAAGAGGTTACAAAGGAAAACTTTAACTATGCCTTTGTCTGTGTACTCTGTGTTGGTGTTAATTTGAATGATGAAGAGAGCGATAAAACATGATCTGCTTTACTTTCAGTCAAAAAGCAGAACTCCCTCTCTGCTTTTTACTGAGAAACTTCTGGAAAAGCTTTACAAATTTGACAAAAACAAATCACTGACACATGTGGGCTGAGAGATTATCCTCAGCCTTGAGGTAATTTGTCACATTAGTAGACAGTTTTCACTTATCTTGCATGCATGCCGCCTTCAGGGTCAGTTGGGGTAAGACACAAGTACTAGCAGGCCAAAAAACAAAGAGTGATTATTGCTATTTTTACAACTTGTGTTATCATACTGAAACACAATGAAGGTACGACAATGTAATCAAAATATACACTATCTCCAAGGGTTTGGCATGAGTACTCAACAGATTTTCAACATCAAATAAGACAGCTTTTTAATCTTTTATGATGGTTGTTCAAAAGGTTAAATCTGAATAAGTATGATCAGAATTTGGAGATCCACCATTGTCATGATCAGTTAATCCATCTCCTTTTTTTGCAGATTTTGCAAAGACAAAAACTGGATTGAATCAACTTTATCCATATATTGATTTATAAAGACGACTGAATCCACATCAGCAGCATGAAGGGGACCTCTCACTTCAAACTATGTTCACAGGGGGCACCAAAGTCCACACAAAGTGAACAATCATGACAAAGGCTCTCCAAGAATAATTTCACGTTGAGATTAGGAGCTATTTAGTGAAACACTTGATGGGAACAAAATCCTCAGTTTGTTCTACAACTAGTGTACCGTGTCAAGCTAGCAATACAGCAATTCAAAAGCTAAATAAAGAGCAGTGTCTTCAGGCACTTCAGTATTGTGAAATGTTATTATGTTTGGCCAACTCAACTTTTTTTTATTTGTCTGTAATTCTACTTGAATGCAGCTCTCTCTTGGTATCATTAAAATCCTGTTTTTTTCTTCTTTAGTTTTAGTCAATACAAAATACTGGTTTGCCTCTGGCTGCTAAATAAGTCTAAAATCAATATAAAGCAACCTGTCATCCTTTCACTGCGCTGTAAACCTACTCTGAAAAGGGATGCAAAATACAACTTACCTAGATTTGTATTGGGTAATTAAAATACTTAACTAAATGATCCATTGACTGATATTATCTATCAGCAAATACAAAGGTGAAAAAAGATAAATGGTTCAAACTAGATCTGTAATAGGCACCAACAGCAAAATACAGATATTCTTATTAGGTACCTAAACATTTTATGAGTCTGTGATGAGGTCAGTCGGCGCCTCTACAGCTTTCACCTCTGATCATTGCTGATTCTTGGCAAAATACATGCATTATGATAATATCTCTTGCACAATCGTACTTCTTGTAACAGAAGAGTCTTCCAGAATGAGAACACTGCACTTGTGCAACCATAAAACTAAAACTTGAAGAACTTAAACTGCTTTTTGGTCGGGCAAAATAAACTCATGCCAGGAGTCACTGGCTGAAGAACAAACCCCATCATATCGAAGACAGCAACTACAAATCGTTCTAGGACTTTTTCTTCAGCTACTTCAAGACTTAAAAAGAGGGATGAGTACTGTGGGGAAAAATGTGATCTTAAAAAAGAGGCTTAATAAAATTTGATAGAGAGCAACTTAATCATGTTGAAAGTTTGATGGATTTAAAGCAGCGTGGAAAAACGTGTTTCTGCAGCACGCACTGTTTGAAAAATCCATTTAATGGTACTGTTCATTTAACTTTATTTTAGAAAGTAGATTTCTTTGAATACATTTTCTTTTTGTTTTTGATTTTATTTAAGTTTCACATTAACAAAAAACAAGGTTTTGTAAATTTTAGGATTTTTAAGTTGCATTTTCAAGTTACTGTCTGAATAAATTAAACTGAAGAGAAAAGACAGAAAGCAGAATGAAAGCAATCAGTCGACTGTAATGTACTAGAAATTAAATAAACATGAACAAGTGAGCCCCGCATAGCAGTAAATTACTCTGGGGATAATCGATTGAAGATTGAATGTCCTGGGTTCTAGGGTACAAATCAAGCATTTGAATAACCACAATCTTCCAGAAAGATTAGTCAGGACAAACAAATCTTTCTAACTGGCAGCTTAGTGTCACTTGAACCACTGATGTCAAACGAATTTGAAGGTCCTGGGTTCAAATCCTTGCAGCGACCAACTCATGTGAAATTAGTATCATACCAGCAGGGTCTGAACAAAACTTTTAAATCAACACAGTGCAAAGAAAAGGAGATAAACCTGACCAAATAAATTCACCAAAGCATCGTCTTAATGTGGCTGTCAAAACTGACCATGACCGGACCATGCTTTTGAGGGGTCATATAGTGAACAGGTGCTTATGCAAATTAGAATCTCTTCCACTTTGCTTAACAGGTAAAGCTAAGCACCCCCTTTCCCGAACATAACAGCTAAAATAATATCCTTAAATTCAATAAAATGACAATTTGGAGCAAACATCACAAAATGAAAGCACACTAGCCATAATGAATCTTGTGTTTGATGCATAATGTACACTGCTGGCAGTCCATTCAATATTAACCATTCAATTTATACAGAAGCAAGGAAACACTCTGGTATGAATCTCATGAACTATCTCCACAGTGTCTATTGATGTATTCCAGGTGGGCTCAGAGTGCATTCCACATCTACGAGCTGCTGGAAAGAAAAAATAATTGAAATCATATGAAGGAGAAAAGCGTGAAATCAAAAAGGGAATGAACAACACAAACAGAACATGAGCAGAAGTACAAAAGCTTCCAATATAAGCTTGTAGCGAAATTCAGTGTGACGTATCAACCTATGGAGACTCTGTGGACTTGATCCTGGATTACAGTCAGGGTTAGGTGAAACATCCAAACAAGATAAGGATAAAACTTTTATGTTTTTAGTTAGCTTTAGTTAACTTATAGATTGTGTCCTGTTCTTGATCATTTTCCTTTATCAAAAAACTTGAATAAATTAATCAGTAGTCACCAGTAAAGCGGATTTGCCATAAGACATTCAAGAAGGATAGGGGGGAAAAACACACAATTTTTCCTCAGTCTGATAAAACATTTCACTAAAACAACCAGTAAGGTCATCAAGTATTTTCCCATGTGCGCAGATTGGACCGGCATGACCAAAATGTACACAAACAGTTCAAACCCACAAATCCCAAGTATCTGTTTTATAGCAGCAGCTGAAGAGACACACACTCTCACAAACAGAGCAGGATGCTAGGCCTTATTGCAGCTGCTCCATCATCAATCACGATCACTGTATCTGTAACAGAATTAATCAGACTGACTCCTGGGAACAGACAGTAACACATCCTAGCAGATGCCAACTCGTCCAATAACACACAGATGCTTGTACTTTCCTTTAAATAACTCTGTAGTTCCCCCTATATGGGAACGATTGATTACACTTCACATGTATTAAAGAAACAGACAGTGTTTGTCATAAGGACCGGCTGCATGCTTAAGACTGGATTCAAGGGCATATTTAGATGTCAAAAACGGGGATGGCCAAACTTGGCCTCTGACTTTGGAAGAGATGCCCATGCCCGTGCTTGAAGACCCATAAAAAGTCAAATTTTTCACCACACCTGAGGCACATGCAACTTTTAGGGTTTTTGAGCAGACACAGAATAATAATCTCTTTACTTTGAGGAATTCCTTTAGTGAGAATTTACAACAACGTCTTTAAACAACTTTTCTTTTTATAAATCATCTTGATATATATGTATATATTTTTTAGATAATTTAACTCTTAACATCAAGACACAAGCCCAAGTATATGACCCATATTGAAAAGTAATGTTTTGACCCTTGTTGTTCTTTGTTGGTTTTGAGGAACCAGTCTTTAGTGCATAAGAAGAAAAAAAAGTTCAACAACCACTTCTTTAAGTTTCGACATACTTTTCATGTTATTAATTAAACTCACACCAATTATTAGTCAATGCTATCCAGGCACAGATGAACAATGACAGGCAAATCAAGCACTTGGGATTGAATTTGAGTTCAGAGGTGGAAATTCAGCTCTGTTTTGATCAGTGTCTCTCTCAGCCTGAATGCTGGCAATTTGATCCATGGCTTTCTTATGGACCATCTTGTACTTAGTCTTCATATCCCTCAGCAGAGACTGAATCTCCTTGTGATCCTGCTTGGTGAGACTTGGGCTATTAATAGCACTGCCTGAACAAAAAAAAGTGTCATTATCAAGAAAGGTAACAATAGCTGATATTTATTAAGTCATAAAGGTTCATACTTAGTGGGACTTGTCTTATGGATGAACTCTCTTTGATTGCCTTGATCAGTTCATCCAGCTTTTCAGTCGGCCGCTTTGTTAGTTTCACAGGTGGAAGTTTTTTAATCTGTGCACAAAAAGTTGTTTTAAGTCATACACAAAGATACTTCCTTTGGAGGCTGATTATACATTTCAAGCATTAATAACTACAGAGTAAACTTTTGTAGTAATTTACAAACCCTTTTCTCTCTTTCTCTGTACGGTGTCTGGAAACTATCAAGCTTTGGTTTGGAGTCTCTGTAAACATTGAGATTCTTTGGTGTATAATCCAGCATCCGAACAGCAGTTTGAATTCCTGTAGAAAGAGAAATTGAACTTCAATATTCCTGTTACAATCAACTGATTTCAAAGATGAGCTCTTATTCAAGAGATGAGGGCAAATGTGCAAAAAATAAGCAACTGCAGGTGAAACTTAAAGTCCTCACCAATGGCCTCCACACCAGTGTTTGCTTTAGCATTCATCAACACGTATTCTTCAGGAATGTCCACCATCTTTCTTTTCTCTGCTGTTTCTTTCCCATCAAAAAACTCCAATCGTGGAAAATCTGTTGTCTAAACATGGAGATATTATTAGAAATGTAAAGACATGCATTTAAAAAAGAAAACATCAATAAACTCAAATGTCATAAAATACCTGAGTGACAAAGAAGCCATTTGGGATTTCTTGGGAAAGTTCTGGCGTTTTCTCATCAGTTCTCTCTTTTTTTCCAGCCTGAGTTTGAGCAGAATAAGGTTCATCTCTCTGCTTTGACTTCTTTGTCACCTTTGAGCTCTTTTCTTCTACCTGCAGTTCAAAGATATTGAAATAATTTGGGTTAAGTGGTTTAATCCTGAAGGTCATCAAGAAAAAAAAAACTCACCTTCCATTTCAGGTCAGTGGACATCTTCATTGGCATCATCACAGCCTCTTGGTACTCCTTCCTCTTTATTGTAATCCCCAGTCTCTCTATAAGGTAGTAGGTGAGTAATGGAAGCTCTCCTGTGTTCAGACAAAGACATGACAGTGATTTAAGAATTTGAAACTCTGACTTCATCTTTTTAAAAGTCTTCTGATTAGAGAGTACAGGAGCGTTACTACTTCTCCGTGTCGTCAGCGGGTTGGAGCAAATATTAATTACTCTGAGTGATGGGAAAAGGGCGGCAGCCATTAGCGCGTCTTCCTCAGCAATCTGATGAGGAAATACTGATGAGACAGATGAGCTTGTTTTTCAAAAAATGGGGGTGGGTGCGTCGTCATTACACACAATGTACTCACATTGTTGTCAGCCAAATTCAAGTACTGAAGTGCTGGTAGAGGCAAACTGGATTCTCCACAGAGCTCCTCCTGGTGTACAGCCTGAGGTGACTGACACAGATATTATAAAAATGGAGAATCATTGAAGCAAAGTGTTGCGACAGCTCTAACACCAAATGAAAAGATGAATTACCTCTGAGATTTTCCTGATATGTTCATCAATGTTTGGGTTCGATTCAGTGAGGGCTGCATCCATGGGTTCAAAATGATTTAATAATTAATTTTCCAAAGATGCTAGAATGCAAGTCTATAATTAAATCATTATTTTGTCAGAACTTACAAAAAATCTCTTCGTCAGATTCTTTTCCAATCAAAGGTTTTAAAGAGCCAGGCAGCTGCAGATATGGTACCTCAGTGATCCGGTTTCTCTGCAGGTTTAAAGACCTCAGCCTGTGTTTCAACATCAAAACAAACTTGAATGAATGTTTTAATTTTTTTCTCTTTGTCTTGAGTGACACTTTAATTGCTCACATCACTTTAAACTTACCTCCTGAGGTTTTTCAGACTACTGAAGACTGCAGAGGACAGTTTATTATCATCCAGTATCAGGACTTCAAGAGCTCTAAACCATGTGTCTTCCTCTGGAGCAGGTCTGTGAAAAACTCAGCACATTACATTGACTAGCAGAAATTAAGTCCACACTGGTCAACACTAATGATGCACTTAAAGCATAAAGAAACAGTTACACACAACATGCATGCACAAAATGATATGCTTTCTGTACCTGTGAACTGAGTGTCTTTGCATTGAAACATTTGTGCACCACCTCCTGGACAATTTGAAAACTGTCTTCTTCTGTTACTATCTTATTTGTTAAATTGTGAAAATCTACCGGTTTTTTCATGAAGTATGCCGACAAGTCTGATCAATACATGTTTGGATAGCATCTGATATATGGCAAATACACTGAATGGCTAAAGGTTGAAGAACTTTTAACACAAACTTGAATTTCTTTCATTTCTTTGAAAAGTAGCCATAAAGTTCTACATAAATGATCATAGCTCAAGTTATATATTTGCAAAAATAACTGTCAGCAGCAGACAGAGGTACAAATCAGACTGTAGTTAGTGGAATTATTCTGCATTTGGCACTAGAAACCATGTAATTACGTAGACTAGCTGCCTCTCTGTGACTCATAATTAACTTTTTTTCTTTTTTTTTTGTAATGGCTGTCAAGTGAAAGTCCTCCTCTGTCTCACTGGCAAAACAGCTGTTACACAAAGCTGAGCCTGACAAAACTGAAGTGTGTGGTGCTGGAATATATGAAGTAATGCCATGTTCACTGTTTTCCCAGGACTAAAAGAAAGACAAAAGAGCATATTTTCTAGCTTTAATGGGGTTATATAAGTCTGCATGGAAACTCGTCTGATCTAGTTTCCCTTTTTCCCTATAAGAAGACTTCCACTAAGATAACAAACTGCACCCACTCACAATGACACTGCTGCATTATGGTCAATAAATTACTAACAATTGGGTGGTGTTGAGGTGTGAAAAACCTGGATTAGTAGGGAGCCGATGAAGCTGATTCCCAGTCAGATGAAGAACTTTTAAAGAGGGAAGCAAGCCGACTGAAACAAAAACATCAGCCGACAAATTGTTGTAGGAAAGATCCAAAACCTGAGGGGATTCAAAAGATTTATTAAGATAAATGATACAATCCAGCTTTGTTCAAACATCAAACAAGTCCATAAAGGCTGCAGACATAATGAGAGACACATTACTGAAACCAACAGCACGTGTTTGCTTTGTTTGTGGTTAATGGTATCAAAGCTTCTCAAATACTGAAGAGCTGCACATGTGGTTGACATGTGCTGATCCCCTCTGCTGTTGTTTTTCACTTGATTTTATGCTCTTGTGTAAAATAAAAGGTTTTATTATCATTATTATAATCATTACATTTATTCTTTAAGCCAAAAAAATTAAGTGGTGATGACATGAAGATCGGAGTATTTAAGATGGAAAGGCTTTGAGATTCTTGTTATCGAACAAATGTGTTACATGTTACTCCTTACACTTAATGACAGGACAGACATAAAATTATGTTAACATTAGTAAACACAGCGTATCTCATTGATGCATCAAAGTCAGCCATCTTACCTCAAGCTGAGGGAAATCATCTGCATCAAATGTCAAGTTGCACAGTCCATTTACTGCCAGACTAAGTTTTCTCAAAGACACAAAACTCCTGAAAGAATCTGTTGGAAAAAAGATCCCAAATTACAAAACCTTATACAGGACACTAGAAACCTTATTAAATGATTAAGAATGATATATGATCAACAATTACCTAAAGAGAGAGAGTTGATAGATGCATCAATGTAAGCTACATTGATGAACTCCTTTAGCTCCTCTGGTTTGACCTGTTCACAGTAAAGACAAAGTGAACAGTATTTACAACCAAAATAACCTTGACAAAAAAAAGTGCCAACAACATGAAAAAAATGCTTACGGAATTGAGGTTCTGCTCACTGACGTCCACAGAGTAGAGCTCAGACGGTTTATCAACACAATGTGACCGGAGCTGTAAAAAAATAAATAAATAAATAAATAAATAAATAAAATAAAATAATAATAATAATAATAATAATAACAAAAGGTGGTGTTTAAAAAGACACCAAATACATCAAATGGCCTTACCAAGAAGGGTGCATCTAATGTGTTACCATGACCCTTCTTGTCACTCTTTCTTAAGGTTTCTTTGACTCTCCTGTGAAGGCTTCTGTATCTCCGCTCCTCTGTCTGTCTGTAAGCCACAAGCCAATGCCCTGGACCTGCATGGAACATTAAATTATGGAAGATAGCATTGAAAAACACTGCTTTACAATGATAATAGAGCTGAAACTAGCAGTTATTTCAATACTTCATTATCTGACAGTTTTTTTTAAGGTTTATTGTTTTGGTCAGGAAAACAATAACTCAAAATTTTTAAATTAACTTCAAATGAAAAAAATCTTACTCAAGACAATGCTGGTACTTGGGGTTGATCAACAATGAGTGTATTGTAAAAGAAAACTTATAGATAGTGTGCTACTTTAACAAGAGATATCATTATCCCAATTAAAATTACACACAGTTTATAATCGGATAAGTTTAGAGGAGACCAGGGGTGGATGTAACATTAAGGAGAGCTGTAATACCTCTATTTCCAGCAATAAGAAGTAACAAAAGAAACCAGAAACACATTTAGTGTTTACCTCCTCTCTCCCTGATTCCACATTGTGACTTTTTAGGCTGTAAGCAGTAGTTTCTGTTGTTTCTACAGAAAAGAACCCTCATGTTTAGATACAAAAGTCATATTTTTATCAAGACTATTTTTTTGTACTTTTACTATTGCCAGTAAAATCATATGACTGATTAATTGATTTAAATAATATTTCACAATGCTTACAGTGTAAAAGAAAGACTGACGACAAACCTCAACATGTGCAATAACCTACATCACTAGTAGAGTATTATCATAGACTGTATATGAGTATTATGTAAGAAAGGAGCACCCAGTTTTTGATATCAACTCATAAGGTTTATAATATTATCGTTGTATTAAATATGCTCCTTTTGCAGCAAAAATTTGGGTATTTTGTATAAAAAATTTTAGACAGTGGCTCAAAAATTCAGTGAGTTACATGCAAAAAGTATTACAACCTCCCTAGCTTTCCAATTGGACCTTGTTTCACTAAGGGGGTTACCCAAAAATTAAAACTAGGACTATGGTCAAAGTGCATCATCACTATTTCTTCTACTAAAATGCTCGCTTAAACTTTACCCACCTTCTTTTCCTCGATGCTGTAATGTCCGGGCCGGGAAGCATTTTGTTGGATAGTTCTGCCTGTTAGTTAACTCATGAGACGGTAAATTCATCGAGTTAACTTTGTGCGATTCTTTTATCACAACTAACTTCTTATTCTCTGACTTATGACGATTTTCATGAACTGAACTGACTCAGCTTCTTTCAACATTTCAGTACATTGGGAGCTCCGCTGTAGTCTTTTGTATCCTAGCAACAACATGTAAGACGATAGTTGCCCTCCTGTCCGACAGGGGGCGGTAAAAATGAACGCGCCTCTTTACAGGTGACAGCGGAAGAAACTCATGAACCTGACTGGTCAAAGATTTAATAAAATGATAAGATAGTAGCCAACCCTCTTTGCTTTTTCCGCATACAGCGTGAGTTGTTAAGTTATCCTGTAAGAGAGATTTGAGTTCGACTCGCGTTTATTCAACCGTTCAGAGAGCTCACCTCTGCTGAGACATGTCCACACTGCGCATGCTCGATTTAGGTAAACTCCTCATTCACTTTGGACCTGTCTGTGTGCAAGCTTCCTCGTTTGTCGTCTCAGTTTAACAAAATGAAAGAAGTTGGATGAAAATTGACCTTCTAAATCGTGGGTGAAGCCGGGAGTTTGGCACAGAACTGTCAAATGAAACTGCGTCTATGCAAACCCGGAAATAAGTCTGACGAGCAGCTCTTGCTTCAGTTCTATCGTCTTTCCATATGAACCCACAGCATCAGTGTCGTGAATATCAGAGGTTTCCTGTTGTGGCGTGGAATTAGACGATATAATGCTGTTCACGCGAACATCAGGCGCTGCAAATGTGAAGATCGACAAGTAAAGGTATGTGTTTTTTTTTCTAGGGATCTGCAGAACGAGTCTGATTCTCTGCTACCATGCGATTATATGTGTGTCTATGTGGAGCTGCTGGAGTGTGAACTCCTCCAGTGACTCTATGATTTAAAGATTATTTGACGACTTATAGCGAAGCAAAGACCTGTGGTGCATTTAGGGTTTTGTCTGTCCACAGGACCTGTGATCCATTATGGGGAACACACCATCCAAGAGTGGCAGCGGAGAGGAGCCGGTCAAAACAACTTTGTTTGAAAAGGAGCCAAATGGGATCACATACAGGATCCCTGCCCTCATCTACCTGAGGCACTGTCACACCTTCCTCGCCTTTGCAGAGAAAAGATCTTCACCTTGTGACCATGACGCCAAAATTCTTGTGATGAGAAGAGGGACACTGAAAGATGACGGATCTGTTCAGGTAATTATTCACAGATTTTAATCAGCAGGTCATAACTTACAACAGTATGTCTGCCTATATTTTTAATAATAATAATAACTTTATTTATATAGCACTTTTAAAAACAGAAGTTTACAAAGTGCTTTGACAACAGTTGCAAAGCACAGAACATCAGCACATGTAAATAAAAACAAAAGCTCAGTTAAAAACAAGGCCTCCGAATTGAAGGCCAGTTTCATTTTTCATAAGAAACCCAAGCAATACAAGAACCCTACAACATAAAATGAGACCATGAGGACCAAAATAAAAACATAAAATAGGTAAGAAGAAGAAATGAAATAGAAAAGGGGAGTAGAAAGCAGGAAACAGGATAGTAAGTATGAAAGAGGATATTAATAATGATAATAAAATAAAATGATGGTAAATGATAAAATGGAATAATAAAAATGAGCTGGAAAAAACAATAGTAAAGGACCTAAAAGGTAAAATAAGAAAAGATCATAAGTAAAACAAAGGCCAAAAGGATAGCGGTAAAACAGAAAAAAAGATAAAAGACGGCATCACATAAAAGCAAGTCTGTAAAAGTGAGTTTTTAAATTTGACTTCAAAGAAGCGACTGTCTCTGCGAGCCTGATCTCCTCTGGCAGGTCGTTCCAAAGTCGAGGAGCTCTGATGGAGAAAGCTCTATCACCTTTTTAAGTCTTGTTTGTTGTGTTTCCCAGTGGTCAACTGGTCAGGAGGTGTCAACCGCTTGTCTACCAGACCACCGCACCATGAATCCCTGCCCTGTGTATGAAAAAAACAGCAAAACACTGTTTTTGTTCTTCATCTGTATCTGGAGAAATACCACAGAGGTACGGCAGATCATTACAGGTAAGAACAAGGCACGTCTTTGCTGTATTAGCAGCAGCGATGATGGGCAAACCTGGACTCAGGCAAGAGACTTGACAGAAAGTGTCATTGGAGAGACAATCCATAAGTGGGCCACCTTTGCTGTGGGGCCTGGTCACGGTGTACAACTGGAGAATGGCAGATTGATCATCCCGGCATATGCCTATTATGTCCCTTACAGATGCTGTTCCTTCCCCATTCCTTTCACGGTCTACCCCCGAGCTTTGTCTATTTATAGTGAGGACTTTGGACAGACATGGCGCATCGGAAAAATGCTTCGGAAGAAGTCATGTGAATGTGAGATGGCTGAAATCATAGACCATGAGGGCCGGAGTCACCTGTACTGTAATGCCCGCAACACTGGAGGGCACAGATGTGAAGCGCTGAGTGAAAACAGCGGTGTGTATTTTGACAAACCACACATATCTCCAGAGCTGGTCGAACCACCTTCAGGCTGTCAGGGCAGTGTCATTGGCTTCCCCGCTCCTGAATTCGTCCCAAACGATGACACTGAAAGCAAAGCCTGCGGCACGTCCCTCTTGTCTCCAGACACACAAACCTGGCTTCTCTTTGTCCATCCAACCAACAAGTCCAGCAGGAGGGACATGGGTGTGTATTTAAACCGATCCCCCCTGCACTCATCGGGTTGGGACCGACCCCGGATCATCCACAGAGGACCGAGCGGCTACTCTGACCTGGCCTACAACAGTGACAAAGATCAGTTCTCGTGCCTGATGGAGTGTGGGAAAGAAAGTGAACTTGAGCAGATTGCGTTCATGTCGTTTACCCTCAATGATGTCATGCAGACAGGAAGTAAGAAAGAGAAGAAGATGCGTTGATTTGTGGTTGCTTCATTCCTGTGTCAACAGAGGCCCTCCCCCCTGAAGATCTCCTGCAACCTAAAAATCCAAGCAGAAGCCACTAAATATGCTGTGCAGTAACATCTGTCTGTGTTTACTGTTGTTCTACATTCGGAGATGATAATGCATGCTTGAGTCGTGTGTTTTGTTGTCTCCTTGTTTACATGAAAGGGTAAATCAAGTCTTAATAGTATTAATATGCAAGATGCTGTAAAAGGAAGGAAACTATTTTAATAGGTTAGGAGGCAGATTTCAAGCATGCTGTGCTGGACTGTCATCTTTTTACCAGGCTTTGAGTGTGTGTGCGTGTGTAGCATGTTTGACAAGCTCTTCATACTCATTTCTGCTCCTTTATTAAACCGTCGGTGTTTTCTGAGCAGTGGAGAGAATTTGCCTACCTCCTTTTTATTTTCATACAAAGATCATAGCAGGCCTTGTAACGTAGAGCATAGAGTCGGCTCCATGCTCGCTCTCTCCTTTACATCTAGTATAACTGATTCACATATGCCTTTGACTCCACTGTTTAGACTCAAGCTGTGCCACAGACGTTTCTGTTTGTGCCAAAAAGTTGGCAGCAGACAGAAATTAAAACATTAATTTGTACTCATCACTTTAGCTAATTGATGAAGAGACCAACTAAACTGTACCACATGTATCAGTTTAAACATAGTTTGGAGGGATATTCTTCTTCTCCTTCAAGCTATGTCTGTTGAGAGCATTTAGGCTACTCTGTACTGTACACTCGTTTTAATACATTCATTTTTAAAAGCAATATTTGACTTGGTTACACGATTTCCTTATTTATGTTCTGGTTTCCTCTTAATTCATCATAATTTTCCTAACAGGCTTTTTCCTTGACATTTTCAGCGAAGCGCTCATATGACCAGGTGCGATGGGCTGATTTAATGAAAGCATGTAACAGCATGTAATTACAGATGAAGATATACTATTTATAAAGCCACTAGAAATTTGTACACACAAAGAGTGACTTAGAAAATCTTTGCTTCAAATTGTGAGGTTAGGGTGGTTGCAAACTGGTTTCATTGTGTTTTTGTTGACTGTTGTGGAAAGTGACAAAACCTGCATGAAACTTGTATTTTAGTAGAAAATAAAAGTAACCTGTGATCACCTGACCCATTTTTCATTCACGTATTTTCACAGTTTTCAAATGTCATTGCAATAACTTCTTCCTCGGTGTCAGAATAAATCTGCAAAACAAGGTGAAAACCAGTTCATCAGTCTAACAGCATTTATCATGGGTGTGGTTTAAAAAGCATCTATAAATAAACACTTCATGGGAGTATTTCACTCCCTTGGCCACTAAAGGAGGCTTAAGGCATGTAGAAATGTTGTGAAGAGCTCTTGTTGTAAAGTGACCTGTGGGGAGTAGGGGGTGATTCAGCAGCTGTGCAGAAAGCAGGGATGAGCTGAGGACAGCAGAGTGTTTTCGTCACACACAGAAAATCCGGGTATTCTCAGTTTTTTCAGGTCTTTTTTTTTCAGTCAAAGGGCAATTTACAGGCATAAATCCAGACAAATGTGAAAATATGAATACAACCTGTCACATTCAAGTTGTCACTTTACACTTCAATCTGAAAGGGTGAGGTGAATGTGAGTCAAGATATCTCTCATTGCCAAATTTAAAAAGTGAGCTGTATATCAGTGCACCTCCCTTGTATAGCTTCTCCCAGCATCAAAAAAACAGCTAAATCATGCATAGTCATTGATTTAGTATTACAAACTTTCTACTGAATACATACATCACATGTGTAAGACACAGCAGGTTTGTCTCCTAACTGTCTCCTAAGTTGAAGGTGAATTTCATCAGGACTATTTTTAGCTGTGTATTAACAAGTGGCCTTCTTTACAATCCTCATATTAGAAGGGTTGGTGAGTTGTGGGCATGTTTATGATAATGAGGGAAGGTCAGCCAGGATGGGGGGTAGCTTATAGCAGTCTTCTAATTCAGTTGACAGTGGGGGCAAACAGCCTATGGTATATTTTAGTTCTGTTTGAGGCAGTATGCAGTGGTATTTTCTCCTCTGAAGGTCCCCCAGGGCCACCAAGACTGGTTTAATTGCCAGTGTTAATGTGCTATACTTCATTAATATTCACATAAAAACAAAATTATTACCTTGATTCATCGAAATTCTTGTTTTTCGATTCACTTAAAAAAATGAGGTTCTTGCGATGATCATGACTTTACTGTATTCAAATGTCACATTAAAAACCAGGAATGACTCATGTGGTGCTGACATGGATTGCCATGCTTGGTTGAATAATTACAGCTGTAACAGGATCTCAGTTGACGTCTGTGCCCCTGGGTTCACCGCAGCAGCTACAGGCTACTTGTGGTTTCAAGCCTGATGCCTGATTATGAGCATCAAAATCACTGAACCAATGCATAAGCAGAAACCAGGCCTGGCTTTAGGGAGCTCTACTACGAGCCGGGGCCTCACGAGTCTGAAACATGCTCATCTGCTGACCGTCTCCTTCCTTGTTGGTGTTTTTCATCACCTCATTTAACCAGTTTCTTCACAAGAAGGATGATTCATGCAGTGAAACCTGTTTTTTCTTTGGCCGTGTTGGCGGTGATACATCCAACGCTTTCTAGCACATATGATCATTTTTATTGCAGGGTGTTTTGCTGTGAAACACACATATGTTCCAGCTATCACTCTGATGACATTTGGGCAGAACTGCTAACAGTGTGGGCGTCACAGATGTTTTCTGCTTGTGCTAAGTGTGTGTGGTGTCCCAGGAGGCTCTGCTCCTTTAACAGCACACACACACAATGCTGGACCACATCACTGTTCTTGTACCATCCATTTGAGTAACCTTGGTGCCTCCAGTGTGAGACATTTGGGAAGACAAAAACAAGGTCCATTAGGTTTAGTTCTTTCTTCTCTTATGGGTGTGTGGTTGTATGACTTTAATGCTTGTATACAGAAAATCCACAATCAAGTCAATTCTTTCCAATCTTAAATTACACCTTCATATTAAGTGTTTAAATGCAACCTAAGCAATTTTTTATGCTTCTTATTGAAGTATGCAATCATGATTTTGTTTACATTTTAACTAATGCCATTTTTCAAACATTAACTGCCTCTGCCTCCATATATCTTTGTCAGGTGCACCTGCAAAACAAGGCTGTTTGTCATCAATGCCATTATTAACAATTTGCAGGAAAAGTAAAAAGTTAAGTTCTGTTAACTATTTTTCTTTTGCAAGAATTTATCTCAGAAAAAAAAAGATGCTTGATCCAAGTCTACAAAATTATAAGTAGTTCTTAATGTGACATTTCAAAAGCTGCTCTGCCAGAGTAATATATAAAATCAGCAGATCATCAAGCTGTGATGTGCATAATATGGTTGGAAAAAGGGCAAGTCTCAATTTACCCGTGTAGACTACAGACATATCATTACACTATCTTTCTGCTCTGCACCTTCTACAGCCATTTTATATAATTGCAAGAAAACCTTTTAAGTCCAAGACACCAGAAGGCAAGTCTGTTATTGCTGCAGTGATACAAGTGCACATTAAAAGCCTCTGTGTGTGCTGAAATGGAGCAGCCGAATGTGTTCAGAGTTCAAGGTGGATTCAGCGTTTGATAAGCTTTTAAAGTATGCGTTGCAGTGTGGGTGTTATCTCCTGGTTTATATGCTTCACAGCTGGTTTTTCAGGGACTGCTCCACCACTACAAGGCTCATAGCTTGACGTGCTCCTGCTGTTTTGCTTTAAATCCACTTAAAATATTAAATTAAAACTCTTAAGTTGTGAACTTCTGGAGTTACAGTTATTTGACGGTGTTAGCAAGTACGTCATAAAGTGAGCGTGACCAGCATGTTGTTTGGTGTAATCTACATAAAAACCCTTAAACCATCATTGGAGCACAATGATATGAAAGAACGCAGGAGATTAGAGCCCAAGACATTATGAGTTACCAGCATAGATGTATAAAACATGGACGTCAGTGTCATTCAGTGTTGTCACTTAATGCTTTCTGTAGCAGTTTTGTAGCCTTTCAAAGGCAGCTGCCATGTCGGAGTTGCCAAACGTAACTTTCAATCAACATATTTTTGCTTTATTATGTTTTTAATGGGTGTGTTTGTGGTTTTTGAAGCCAGCCTTAAGCGGGCACTCAGAGAACTGTAGTCATTAGCACTTCTAGGCAGGCTTCATCTCATGAGACTGGAGGTTGCCTTGAAAATTAGCCATGTGATGAGGGACCCATTATCAGCTTTGCATGATTTTTAGGGTCAGTAATTTGCATTTGGCCGATTATCTATATCAATAGAGCTTTATGAAATAGATGGTTGACAAATAGATTTGTAAAAAAGTGTGCTGCTTTGGCCCCACAGTTAGTGACTTTTTTCCTCAAGGTCTGTTTTCACTGTCTGTCTCACCTCATGTCCCACCCACCAAATCTAATTGGCTAAATGTCACAGGACTGTGTAACGTACCTGTGCTGTGAGTGTGACTGGTAAGTGTAAACTCCTGTATATGATTTTAGTTTGAGTTTTGATGAAACATTTGCTCAAGACGTTTAAAAAAAAGTTTTAAGTCGGAGTTTGTAATATAACTAATTCCAGATGTAGACATAAAGTTGCTAATTTTTACTGTCCATGCAGAGCAGTTCTAGAAATTCATTAACTCGCCTACTGATCATTAGTATTTGAAAACTGACATTGGTCAACCATTACATGTAACAGTTGTTGTTGTTTATATGCAGCTTATATAATGGTATCTCTGTGGATATACATGGAAAAATACTTTATTTTAATCTTTAATTTTGACCTTTAAACCTTAACAGGGAATATAAGCTAACACATCATAAAAGGTTAGCTTATATGGGAAATGAGTAAACTCTAGCCTTCATGATACCTTCCAAAGTAAGCCTATATGTTAAGGTTATGTTCAGGTTATGTTTGGACAGTGAATACAGACCTTTTTCTGACTCAGACTAGTATTTGCGTATGAAATTCTTAAGCTAACTTTTAGTCTGAACCTGTATGGAAATGTTTGCATGACGGCTCTTAATGTACACAAGAAGAAACCACCTTTAAACCATGTTATCTGCTCTGTTCCTTTAAGTTAAATACCTTAAGTTTGAGCCACAGACATGATACATTCAGTGTTTGGAGTCTCTTTTGCTCTTGGTTTCTTTTTTTTTTTGTGGCAAGACAGTAAAATATAAGTTAAGCAGGCAGAGTTACACTTTCCAGGTTTGATTGAATTTCTCTGTACACCAGAAGCTACACTCAGTCAAACTGCATTATCACAGAGTCACATAGTGGAGCAACATCTCAGCTGCTGCATAAAGATTTCATCCATAATTCATAATATGTAACTCTTTTCAAGCATATTTACTTCATGTATCAAAATACGCCCCTCTCTAGAGATCAGTGCTATTTTTATGGGAAACCACAGGGCAACAAATCCTCTCCTTAACATTACAAAGTATTAAAATCAATACAAAACTAAAGGGAAAAGACATAAAATGCACCGTATAAAACCAGATGTGCATGTGTGCAAGAACCACAAGAAGAAATGATACAGAGAGAGAAAGTCCCAGAGAAATGAGCAGAGAAGCTGTATTTTTAGGCTTCCACAAAAAAAATGTTACATTTGCTAAATCTTACCCCAAGTGACCTGTGGCAAGAGTAATATCACATTAGATAAACTCAGACTAAATTGTTGATGTCCTATCATTTAAAACTACTAGTTCACCACAGTGTCCAAATCTTTGTGTCAGATGCTCAGTGTCTTTTCCACACAGTCCCAGTGCCTCAAGCTTCTGATTTAGGAACATTGATGCTCTTCATGAGATCGACATCTTTGAAGATCATTCTACGAACATCTTTTGTTACAGTTTAGTTAGGACAATACAAAGATTATAGTACGTCAGACGGACACACAGCCGTGTCTTCAGACTTGCAGAGTCTTTAAAGCAAAGGTGCCCACCAGCACGGGTCCTGAATTAAACTGCCAGAGTAAAAAAAATGGCTTACAAGGGCACTGCAAATCTACATAAGCCATAAAAGCCATGCCACATTTACACCCTGTTCGGGCTTTTCTCTCTTAAAGGGACATGCGCACAGTTTACAAACAAAGGAGGCGAAAAGACTGCTGAGAAAGCAGCAGGGTTGGGAAAGTTACTCTCGAAATCTTACCCGCTACTGATTGCCAATATACGATGAAACAGCACACTCTCAGTGAAAAGCCAATTCTTTCACTTACTTACGCAATATGAACTATTCTTCCTCAAGTAGATTATATTTTTATTTGCTGAAACAACCATTATTTCAGCTCTTGTAAAAATATGTGTGTGTTCTTCAAAAGCATGTGATCTTTTCTTCTTTTTCAGATTAAGTCAGAACACTTTTACAACTCCACAAGTAATTCATTGTTCCCAACCCTGTAAAGCAGTGAGCGTGGCAGACCAGTCACATGCACACTATGGGAAATGTTAGGCTAGACACATGAGTGCTAACCTTTGGCTCTCTGGCTGCTGGGTACTAAACATCATACAGAATAACAGGCAGCGGCGAGGGGAGAAGACTCACATGTCCTACAAAAGCACCGTTCACACAGTAAAGTTGTATTTTGAGGTGGGGTTTCTTTTTTTTTCACGCAGTAATATTGGATTAATTCAAGTCAAATCTGTGTTAAAACAGAATATCTGTCAGTCTCTCATGGTCAGATTCCTGTCGCTCTAACCACCTCTGCAGAAATAATTAGTCTGTGAACTATCGGCAGTGAGCGATATATGACCTATTTTTTTTTTCTTCACACAATTGAGAGATTGTTGTTTTTTTTTTCATACATGATACAATGTACTGCGCAAAATGGATCTGCGCACATACTGGAAGCATAATGTTGCTGAGGACATGCAAGTTGTTGAGTATACAGCAGAGCAAAAAGCGATGTTTCCCAATGTCATTGTCTTCCTCGTCATCTCGAAACATCATCTGTCACTCAGATTTGCATCTTTAGGCGCGCAGTTCTTTCTTGGAGTGTGGTTTATTTCCCAGCAGGGCATCAATCTCAGTAACAGTTTGAGGGGTCATTTGAGATAAAATCTGTGAGAAAACAGTGAGAAGGGTAATCGGTTAAGATGTGATGTATTATTAGTGGTGCGCGTTAAATGATGTCTCTATTCATTGTCAGAGAGCTACAGTATATCATGGGAAATTAGCTATATAAGAGGAAAGTAATCTACCCGGAGGGCGCCCAGGTTCTCAAGGAGCTGATCTGTATTGGAAACCCCCAGAAGTACTGAGCTGACTCCCTCACTGCGCAGACACCAGGCTGCAAGAAAAGAGAGGAAAAATAGTCAAACACAGACTCAGACTACATACAAATGATAACCAAAGACATTTTTTGAGGAATCACATCACATGCAATTGTCAACTATCACCACTAATCAATGTGCCTCATATACGATGTAAAGGAATGCAAGTTGAACAATCTGAGCAAGAAAGAAGAGGTGAAGAAAAATGTGTGTAAAACATCAAGTATGTATGAAATTGCTCAGTTAAAGCTGCTCTAACTAGAGCATCTAAATTAAATCAGAGAGGCTTCATACATCAATAGTTTTGCAGAGAAAAAAAAGAGTCAAAGGAGCTCAGATGTTTTTTTAAAAGTATGATTATAATTCCCTTTTTGGAGGTGCCCAAAAATTCAACAGAGGGGTTAAACCAGTGGTTCTCAATCCAGTCCTCGAGGCCCCCCTGTCCTGCATGTTTTGGATGCTTCCCTGCTCCAACACACCTGATTCAAATGATTTACAACACACCTGATTCAAATGATTAGCTCGTTATTAAGCCAGTACAGAGCTTGGTAACGAGCTGATGATTTGAATCAGGTGTGTTGGAGCAGGGAAACATCCAAAACATACAGGACAGGGGGGGCTCAAGGACTGGATTGAGAACCACTGGTTTAAACAAAGGCACTCCTATGGTTATTAAAAAAAAACACAACAACATAAAATAAAATAAAATAAAAAAAATAGGCCCCTTCCATCTTTCTGTCAATTTCACACATGCAATTTATATTTCTTTTCTTTTTCTTTTTTTTAACAATAAATATCATGCCTTAAGCATTTGAACAGGAAAATATCAGATTAAAAACAAGTTTTTTCAAGTTTAGAATAGTCTATTCAAGAATAGTCTCTTAATTTCTTTCCCCCTCTTTGAAAGTGCTATATTTTGATAGTACAGTAAAAACATTACAAATGTGAGTTAGTCTACTATCTAGACCTCTGTTCACATATCAATTACATCCACAAGGAATAATCAGTATATGTTCATGGATAATGACATTAGTCTGGACTGTACCTATGGCTAACTGTGCAGCAGTGCAGCCAAGTCTGTCTGCCAGTAGATGGAGCTCCTTGATTTTAGCCAGCTGCCTGCGGCCCTCCTCGCTGTTCACCCTCTCTTTCAACCATTGGTATCCCTTAATCAGGAGGAGAATGAAGAAATGCATTGATACAGGACTGATTTCACACTGCAGTACCCCACTGATCAGGGGGGGAATTACACTGAGGCTGATTTTCAGCAGAAAAATCCCAGAGGAGGGCCTGTAAATTCAAACTGACCTTCATTGCTGCTCTAGAGCACTCTGGTACACCATCGCTGTACTTCCCTGTGATTAATCCACAGGCAAGAGGAGACCAGGTCATTGCTCCTACGCCTGAAGGAGTATAATAAAAGGAGACAGTTGAATGAAACCAAATGGATCCTCAATTAAAAATCTGGAGCTAATTAGAGCTCTGAGACCGAAGATGTCTGACCGATCTTGTGGTAGAGCTCGGGAAGCTGCACCTCCACTTTATCCCTCTGGAAATAGTGATACTCTGCCTGCTCACACACAGGTGGGATCAGGTTGAACTGGCGTGCCACTGAGTACGCCTCCTGATGCCGAACAAAGAAACACATAGTTACAGAACAGCATTTGAAGCCATAAGCTGGCATCACTGCATTAGTAACAGTGATATTTTCTGAACGTGAGATCAGCAGTCACCATGATTTCCATGGCACTCCAGCGTGAAGTTCCCCAGTACATGGCCATACCCTGGTTTATTACGAACGTCATGGCTCGCACAATCTCTGCATATCACAATACATCATATTTGTTAGAATTGATCAGCTTTTTAACACAGAATTAAACAAGAAAAATAGGTTTAAAAGGAAATATCTGCTAAAGCACTTTGACTTCCCAATGATATTTCCATAAGGACCTTAAAGGTAGGGTAGGCAGGAATCCTTTAAAGAAGCATCTTTTTTTGTGGTGTATATACAAAAAAGTAATATAACGATATCGCTGTGTTTCCTTATGTCTGTGTAGTCAACATTTTAAAAATTCAGAGCGCTCCGCTCTTTCTGACTGTAAACAAAGCCATTCTCCACCTCCCCCAACCTGATTGGTTGTGAGGCAGACGCTGCTCTCCGTGTCGTTCAGGAGCCCAAACAAAGTTAGTGTGCTACAATATAGGACAGTAGAAACCAACCAGAAAGTACAGAAAATTGTCTGAATCCTGCTTTGGCCACAAAGTAAATACCGGAGACTCTGGCGGAATAACGGGCACTTAAAAAGGAGGTAGACCAGACAAGAGCTAAAAAATTCGGGTCAACATAAACGATGGGGGACGCTTTGGGATCTTGCGGACCCTGTAACCTTTCTGCTGGGGAAGTAAACCGCTTTAACAAAGTAAGCCAAGTGTAACAGAGGGGTTTCTTGTCAAATGGGACCTGCTGCGTGTTGTAGCGCTGCTAAACTGTTTACCTCTGGTCCTGGACTATGTCACTTTATCCTAGTTTTAGAAGTCCTGCAAACATTGTGTTTGCTGGTAGTCTGTTGGCATCTATGGTAGCACCAATGCTGTTTACTTTCACGTTGACTGGGCCACATTTGTAATTATCTGAAGTATTTATCAGCATTATATCTGAATTTAATTAGAACGATACGAGCGAGCGAGCGAGCAGGAGCGTCTGTTTGTGGGCGGGGCTTGCTGGAACAGAGAGGGAGGGGAGAGGAGGAGCTGAGGGGAAAACTCGTTGGGAGGGGTAGTGTTTACATTCAAGATTTCTCCCCAAAAACTGTCCCTTCCTCAGATCCTGCCTACCCCACCTTTAAGAAATGAATGAAAAATTAATCAACACGACTGACCTTCCATGGGACTGTTGACATCATTTCTGTTGGCAAAAACAATGTCCACATATTCTAGCTGCAGTCTTGATAGGGATCCTCTCAAACCTGGCAGACAAGTTTCAGGGATTTATGACTGTTATTTTCATCGTTCACAGGTCCTTTTTGTATCGTGACACAACACCAGAAAATAACTAACACACATCGACAGATCTGTATTTAAGAAAACTGCTGATGTCAGCATGCTAACAGTAGTCCACTGTTTAATTCACCATGTTTAGTGTGTGAACATGCTGACATTAGCTGGCGGGCATTAAATGCAAATTAGAGAAAGGGCAAAACATTCATCACAACTAAGTGTCTGTTTAAGGGGCTGGGTCATCAGCCATTAGTGTCAAAAATAACCTTAAAGGGACTCCTGTTGATTTCTGAAAGCTGTTGAGGTTTGAAGATTTAAGTAGTCACTGTTGACTTCTTTTAACAAGCTGACGTGTGTGAAAGTTATGTAACCCAAGAAAACCAACGCACATACAGCCCCAATTCCATAGAAGACAACGCTGTCAAATGTAGATAAAAACAGAATGATAGTGCAGAGAACAACTGAAAAATGTAGTTTTATGAAAAATAAAGTGTGTGTTTTAAATTTAAGTTAATATAACCTCTGGGGGGGGCAATACTAAAAACTGCAGTTCCTTGAGTGACCACTTGAGGCTGACTCTGAAAGCACAAGAAGTTGCATAACCAACAGAAAAAGTTCATCAAAGCAAAAAAAAGTAATTTTAAAATTGCAAAACTGTTTCCTCACTTGGTCTCTCAGAGTAACAAACCTGTTTTAACTCTAGCGCCTTTTTCATACCCAGTCAAGTTGCTTACCTGTAGCAGAGTAACGCTCTTACTAAGGGGATGTCCCACTGGGTGTTTTTTTTTGTGTTTCACATTTTTAGTGTTTTTTGTCACTATCCCAGCTGGTTTGAAACATTTTGTTGGTCTCAAATCTAAAGCAGACATACGCATCCTCATTGAAAACACATTTTTCTGTTACAATACTTTAAAATGGAGTATTTGCACTTCCAAACCTTCAAATTCTGCTTTTATCAACATTGTCCCAACTCTTATGGATTCAGGGTGGTACATATATGTTTACTTCAAACTAGCATGAGTAAGTGATTATTAAAACTCACAAAATGGCCTTTGTGATGCATCAAATAGTGCCAACAATGTCACTATCTTGTATCAGTTTCATTGACAATATGTCAGTTATTAACACATGTCCAAAAGTAATCCAAAAGCTCTGCGCTGATGGTGTACTGTTCTGTAGGCTGTGAGTTTTTACCAGAAGGACTCCAGACGAGGCTGTCTTATCGTACAAGTTGGGGGAAGAATTTCCCCGAACATTTCACTGTCTGATTATTTTGAGCTGTAGGATTACATGTACTGATAAAATAAACTTAAGTGTCTTGGTCTTGAAATAACCTTGAATCCTCTTATCAAGTAATGAGGGTTTATAAATGAATCAGAGGTACTTAACTGCACACAGAAAAAGAGATAAAACTACCTTCAATGATGTGCTTTCTGGAGAGTCCTCGCTCCGTTTCTGCTCTGTAAAGCGGTGAAAATACACATTTTATGTTCCATTCAAATGATAAATGCTAAATAAAAGTCTTTGAGAGTTGTACTTACTGTCCTCCCCAGTAGATCTTTGTTGTGATGACAAAACTTGAACGCCTGGCAAGGACACAAGATAATGCACTTAGTAGAACTGTTAAGTATGAGTAATTCTTTTCATTTGCTGAGGTTTTAAGGTAAACGTGATCCAAACAGCAGATTTTTCTTCCTGCTTGCAAGTTGTGGCACATTTAAACAGCCCTAGGACCAATCTTGTATTATTTTAATCATAAATTATCCCTTTATTTTTCTCCAGATCAAAAATATCTCAGTGATTTCCCCAATGTTTTCTGAACTGGGACTTTATTTTCATATGGTATCATTTTTATCCTTTTATAGTCTTTCTGAGGCTAAAGCCTCCCCATTTATCTAAAAAGTATGGATTTCCCCTGAGATATGCAATAGTGTGCCTTTTCCAACAGTAACAATAACAGAAGAAAAGCAAGGAGTTATTAGCATTTATCAAACTTTCAAGATTATTTAAAGATTTAAAGGAGCAACAAAGCTTTTTAATTGCACCTGAGTCTGTTTGAGGAAATGCTTAATATTACCTCCATCCTTTTTTCTTGATAATGTTTCCCAGAGTGAGCTCAGCTCTGTGGAGAAACACATATATTTATTGTCACAGGTTTATGCTAACTCCAGGTCTCTGAAAAGCAACATTAAATCACACAGGGTTTGTGAGACTGTATCAGAAGATTTGATGCAAATCTTTAGGTACAGATGGAAAAACCTTCAACAAGTTAAACAGAAGTCAAAATTTGAATCTGACCTCCCAGAAGCGTACACCTCTGCCGTGTCAAACAGATTCACTCCGTTCTCATATGCGATGGCCATCAGGTTCTCTGCCATCTGTGGGAAGACAAAGGAGGACTGAGAGAGGCAGGCAGTGGATAACTTCCAATTACCTGGAGGTCAGCCTTGAAGGGCATTATACTGAGGGATAATACAGAGAGTATAGTTTCCAAGTATAAACTCTGGGGTTTTCAAACATATATATAATTCAAAGCAGAGAGATTTCTGCTCACAGTGCAGTGTTTTCAACTAAAAAAAAGAATAATCCTACAAACTGAACAAAAAATAGACTTACCTCATCGGTGATCTGTGATCCAAATGTCACCCAGGTGCCTGAATGGGTGTAGAGACAGAGAGGTTTGTTTTATTTTGACAGGCTCAAACAGTGATTAATATTTCCTGTCCTCAAACCAACTCACCTAGCCCAAGGCAGGAAACACGAAGGCCCGATTTCCCCAGGTTCCTGTGGGGATGAGAGAGAGGACAGAGCAGTATAATCATTATCAGTATAAATAATGGACTCAAGCAGTATGATAAGGGGATATTTAAGATACGAGAACAGTATAGAGTATGTTAAAGTGTGAGTGGAACCGGCAAAGGAATAAAATCCTACAAAATCAGGAGACTTTGTTGCCTGTGCTTCAGTCATTTATCCTTTTACACCACTATATTTAAGCTTTCCCTTTGTGTAAATTTTGGCTCCCCTGCGCACAGAGCAGTCTTATCTCTTTTGTCCATTACATACTCAAGTTTTGTCTTTCGACAAAATCAATCAAATTCTGCTGACTTTAGAGATGACTGTTTCTTCAGCTTCTCATCTGACACCTACCCCCCTTGCCCTGTTTTCAATCATAAAAAACTAAGGTATACAAATGATCAGTCTTGTCACTGATAGTCTTATTTGCTTTTGGGTACCATGAAAGGAATAAATAAAGAATTTCCGTCCACTTCTTCAATGTCAAAACTCCTCACAGGAGCTTTAAGATGCAGACACTCGTCTCTTAACACCACCTCACATGTATTAAAGCTGGGTACTAGATAAAGTCTGGTTTGATTCAGTACCGTTTTGTATGGTTTTGTGCTGTAAACATTAATTTTGGTTGCATTTCCACAGCCAACCATAACTCTTAGCTTTGTAGCAGGGTTGTGATAGCTGCGTCAGTGCAGCCTTCCAGTAAATTCAGTGTAGAAGACAAACCTGACACAGAAAAGAACAACAAGGGAGGACATTTGAGTTCTTTCTTCTTATGGATGCTTTCTACAACAAAGAGATAGGCTTTGTTTGAGAGAAGTCTGCAGACTGTAAAGCAAAATACATTGTTGTTTTATATGTGTGTCCATTATTGTTTATCCCACATTTTTAAAATAGTCAGCCAGGTGATGATTGTTTTTTTATACCGATTGTTGAAGCTGTAGCAGGTGTTGTTGGTGCGCTGGAGTCCATTAAATTATAGGTGTTTCTACTATTTTGTTCCTCTCATGTTTTTTAATGGAGTAGGCAAAATATATGAAACACCTTTGATTGTAACACACTCCAGTGCACCACCACCACCACCACCCACTGCATCTTCAGTAATAAATAAAAGCAGAATAATCACCTGTCTGATCACATCAACAAAAACCTGGAGCTTCCTTAACGTTGAATTAATGGTAGAGCTGTTGTATTGGATTGAGTAGATTTCCCAAGTGTTCCTAATGTTATGGCTGGTCAGTGAATATCCACTGTCTAATGAAGTAGTTACCGTTTACTACACCTGCTTTAACACCTTTCTCTTATTAGCTTTTGAAAATGCTTCAGTACCATTTCACCATCAAGTATTTCAACTAGGGCTGTCAACATTAACTCATTTATCATAACATGATTAGCGTCTGAAATTAAGGTGTGATTGTTTTTATTTCGTGGTTCCTTGAGGCACACCGTCGTTCAGCTGCAGGAGAATCTTCCTGCTGCCACGGTAGTGGAAAATAATGACACCACTGTGCTTTTCAATGGCCCACTTTACTTTGAAAATCGCCCTGACAGCTTGGTTGACAAGTCAAATGCACCTTGTAAAGAGTACTTTGAGTTTAGGTCACCTCCAACAGTGTAAGCTCACAGGAGCAGCTGGTCAGACTGAGGGCAGCGGGCAGCCACATCACAAAACTGTGTCTGAATCACCAAGAAAAATAAATTTAAAAAACTGAACTATGGCACTTGATAGATGGGTGGCTGTTGACTACAGGCCAGTCAACATGTGGGAGACTTCCAGTTATTGCTTCACATTGTTAGAACAGATTTGAAGAATAATGAGATTTTAAACAAGTTAAAAATGTGATTAATTGTAAGTGTCCATTCAAATTCAGCCATTTGTCAGAATTACAGAAGTAAGCATTCGCAGCCTCAAACATAGACTGTATATACTATGGTAAACTTTGTTCCACCTTCCACTAGAATACGGATTTGAAGCTGAAAAGCTCTCGGTATTTCTGTGATTTTTCTTCATTTCCTGAAACCAACATTGTGCGGTCACATTGTATGCATTCGGCGGAAGAGTCGCCGAGAGTCGCTCTGATGACGCTCGGCTCAAACAAAGTATACCCCGGGTGAGCTACGCAATCTTCGTACGCCCATAGGCTGTATCAAATGTCAATCATAGAAAACATGAACCCCCTAATAACTTTTAATAACAGAGCTGTACAGAAAAAAAGAGGACTTGAGTGCAAACCAGCCTTACTGTAACTACATGTCCACATCGCAAGCAGGGGGGAGAAAAATGTATGTCCTGTGTAATACATTTCTAAAGTTTGTCCACAGCTCAATAAGCTTTGGTGGAGGACGCGGGATTTATGACCTATACTGCAGCCCGTCACCAGAGGGTGCTGTTCTCTGAGTGGCTTCACCGGGCGAGGAGGCAGATGGCGTCTATTCTCTATACAGTCTATGGCCCTAACTTTAACTTAATTGTTCTGCTTCTTTGACCTGTTTGGTGATGTTTTTGTGCAGCATCCCACTGAAACTAAACAATACTGGATACCAAAGGAAAAATCTGGATTCTGAAATGGACCATTAATATGCACACAAAAACAAATGAAGTGTTATAAAGGGTAGATGTAACAGCAATAAAATGCTGAACATAAAACTGAGATATAACACATGATAAAAATCACTAAATGTGAAAGTAACTCGCCCCCATATTACTCCACGATGTAAATACTTCCTCTACAACTGCTGCTGCATGAATGTCTTACTCGCCTCTGGTTAAACGACTGCCTGCGCTAATTATTTCTGACCAATCAACCTTTTCTCCTTCCTATGTTAACAGTTCAGTGTGTTACAGTGGGTCAGTGAAACAGCTGGAGGGAACAAAGCTCAGCTCAAACAGAGACCTTTTTGGTCTGTGTGCTAAAACAGCCAAAATGGTCCATAAGCTTAAGAGGAGTCCATTACCCAACATGCAACATCTGATTATCCACCCAGCTGAATGTTTGACAGGCGAGCTGGGAAAGACAGGGGGCTGCGTTTCTGACCACGGGAGCATGTATGGCTGAAAATAACGTGGGTTTCATTCTTGCACTCCTCCTCCTCCTCCACTATGTGTGCCCCCCTCCCTCCATTCTAATTAGCTGGGGAGCCAGCTGGAGAGGAGTAGGGGAGCTGCAGTGCAACTCGCTCACTGTCTTTTCATCTCCTCTCCTCTCCTCTCCCTCTCTCTCTGCCTGCCTGTCTGCCTGCGTCCGCCACAAATAGCCAAATGCAGAGAGACAGACTGTCAGAGCATTTCGACTCAGTCCAACGAGTCCTGCTTTTATTTTCCCCAGTCTATTTTTAATGCCTGACCTGAGCTATTTTTAGATTCCTGCATATGTAAGCGTTTGTGTCCCACTGTGTATGAGCGTTTTGTGCGTGTGTTCATGTGTGCGCCGCATGTGGGAGTGAGGCGCATATTGTTTGTGTCATTTCTTTTAACTCCGTCAAAATAGCACACAGGTGGAGGGTCAGGAATGCTACACACACAGAGAGAGTCTGGGGTTTGATGTTGCTGATTCCTTGTATGGTTATCTGGCTAAATGTTGTTCAGCGTTTGTCGACCAATCACAGCTCGGCCTGCTTTTACAATCGCTTTGAACTCTGGGAGTAAATGGGAATGATGCACTTGAGAGAGAATACTCTTCAGAGACGGTTTTTTTCTCTCAGCCTTTTTATTTACATTTGTTTTGCTCCTTTGGATTTCATTTGTGACAGCTGTCATATCATGCTTTTGTTGCCTCAACTTCACTCAGAGTGAGCTGAAACTAATATTTTTTTCCCTAGCAACGTTTGACAAGGTTGGACCAATAGCAGCCTCCATGAACATATTCTCCGCTAATCAAAGCAGTTCATTTAGACGACACCAAAAAACAAGACTGTCAACTCAGAGGTTGACATTCTTGCACCTGAAATGTGAATTTCTATCATGCACAATATTTTGGTTGATACAATATTATTATCAGATCGTTCAGGGGAGTTTTTTTAGTTGAATTAATTTAATTTTATGTTGTTTTATCACTCTGTAACAACAGATAATCATAGAGCCTAAAGCTATCTTGCACTAGTTTGCTTTAAATGTGAATTAATGACTTTGATAAATCCTCAATCCGGCAACATTTGCCACTTCAGCCACACAAGAGGACACACACTCCCCTTTGAAACTGGACCGTGAAGAAAAATAAAGAGGTAATGCGTGACATCTAAACATGAGTCACTAGGAGGAGAATGTCAAGCATCCAGCAGCATACACAACACAAATTCACACTCTTTCTGTAGCTTCTGTGTGCGAGTGTATAATGTGCTTTTAAAGATGAAATATAAGAGCAGAAGGCTGACAGACTGACATGTTTAGTTAACGTGAGTATCAGCATGTCATTACAGGAGCAAATGAGAGACCAGCGAGCATCAGTGGTTGAAAGTATTGATTGATGTGCAACATAAAAACAATTTGTTTTGTGTGTGCGTGTGTGTGTGGATATCCAGCCAAAGAAGGATTGTATTGTTTGTGTGTGTGACAACTGGCCGCCCCCTCCCTGCTCTCAACTCCAGCGCTCTCTGCAGTGCTGCAGTCTGCTAAATTACTATCAGTGAGTCTGGAGAGACACATGCTCGCTCTTTTCCTCTCACTATTGCTTTCACGACAGTATCTCCTACACACAAACACACTCACACACACACAACTCTCACAACACTTGCACTCACACATGCATGTAAGCATCCACTCAGCCTGTATTTCTTTACGCTGATTTCAGAGATGATGTAAGAAAACCAACAGTCTAAGCTGTGCAAGCATCAGCAAGGGCCCCTCTATGCTATCACGTGAATGTTCACGCTTGATGTGAATTTCACTCCGACACAGGCACAGATCTGCATACACTCATGCATGAATGCACTCATGAGCCAGGCACACAGAAGCACACAGAAACACAGATGCTCTCTCTCTGTAGATCTTTCATAAATAGGCCTCTCTGTGTTTTCTTCTCTATTTTCTCCTACACATAAATCACAAACTCCAAACAAGGTGATTACAGCGACCTGGCTGCTCCAGGTGTTATTAACGGAGGAGAGCGAGAGAGAGGGGGCAACACAGGTGCTCTGTCATGGTGTAGTCAGCATTTTAACCTGTGCTGACATCTACAGTTAGTTCTCACCGGAGACAGGAGGGAGACACTCTGTACAGATGGTGAAGTGCAAATGATGAAGATTTTTTTTTCTTCCTGCAGTTGTCATAAAATGCCACACACATGCTGAGCAGGCTGTTCTCAAGAGAGAGGCACACCTATATTAATAACGCTCACATCAGTGTCTGTGTGCCTGTGTGAGTGTGTGAGTGTGTGTGTGTGCACGCTTATACGGGCAGCTCCTGAGCACAGACTGTGGGAAGATGGTTGACTGTCTGTTCTTTTTTAATAACGCTGTGTACACTCTCATGTCTGAGAGGGATCACTCATATTACAGTTTCTCAGCTAATGTAGAAGTTGTTGCATTTACTCCTGGGCAATGGTTTAATCTTTATTTCTGGTGATCCAAACATGGACAGCATGTCAGTTGGTAACAACGCTCTTTGTTATACATGATGTCCTTTTTTGGATAATCTATAGACATTGTTACAGCCTTTCTTTTTTTAACAGAATATTTCTTTAGTAGTTCCACTGAAGAAATTACCATGTTTTGAGGCTTTATTTAAAAATATATGAATTTTCTCAAAAATGATTTGAAAGTGATCTCGTGACATTGCAGCGCCATACTGTTGCTGCGTTCAAGTTTCCTTGGAAGTCAGATGTCCAAGATGGGAATGATGTCACAATTGAGTTACCAGCGTTTCAGTTACCAAGTCGGAAAAAAGCAAAATCGGAGGCAGGAACAAGATGGCCACATCTACGAAAGTTACTGAAGTACTTGCCTTGTCCGAATACAAGCAAGGACAAGGGAAGCGCTAAAATAACTTTCGAAGATGTAGCCATCTTGTTTCCAGCTCCGATTCTGCTTTCTTCCGACTCGGTAACTGAAACGCTGGTAACTCAGGTGTGACGTCATTGCCAGCTCGGACTTCTGACTTCCGAGGTAACGCGAATGCAGCATGTGATCTCTGTTATAATGCTTAAAGTCAATGTTGCCAACTCCTCAGCAAGGAAAGTCACTAGTGGCTGTCGTAGAAGTCCCTAAAAATCACTAGATGACGCCATCGCCTAATTTGCAAAATTGTTTGTCAACTCGCCCCCTAGCCTACCGAGGAGGAGTCTTCGTCGGGGTGTCTGTATGCATGTTTTTGCTACCTGTTGAGAAGAGTAACATTGATACCTGCTTTCAAACTCCAGAAAAAGTCGCTGGATTTGTCACTAGACGCGTTTTTTAAAATAAGTCACCGGGGGGAGGACTGAAAGTCGCCAAATCTAGCAACAAAGTCATTAGGTTGGCAACACTGCTTAAAGCTCATAAGAGGAACTCTCTCTTTGTGGTGGTTTTATACAATCAATCCACTGTGTAAACGTTAACTTTCTCCCCACCATGCCATGAATCGTCTTATCTAATACCCCTTGCGGCAGCTTTAAAAGTAACAATAGAGAAAATGTCAATCTTTCTGCTGATTGTCTTGTTTTATTTTGAAGGTCATGAAGAGGCATTGTTGGTAATTTCAGTCTGTTGTACGGGAATGAGTGCCTGAGTAAAGCTTCTTTTGAAAAGGCCAGCTCCTTGAGCAGAGAATACCAAACATACCACAATGAATACAAAGCAAAACTTTCTACCATAAAATAATTAAAATGATCACTCAAGCCAAAGGAAATGTCACAGTGCTCTAATTCTTACTTCTGCTATTATTAATAAATTAGGCTAAAGCAAAGACTTTTCCAGTAATGTGATGATTTTCAAATGGTTAGAAAAGTAGGTCTGTTCTAATTATAAAATACATAGACTATGAGTGGGAGAAACAAAGGAAAACTCCACAAAGACAGACTCTCTTATTCTCAGAGAGAGACACAAGCTCTGTGTTGATCTGGTCTAATGTTGCATATCCACTGTAAACACTTTATTAGCCGTTGTGACTCTCCCATTAACTCAAAGTGCATACAGAGAAGCGGCATCTTCCAGCGGCTGGAAGATTACACCAGCTTACATAAAAATTGCAGCTCTTGTGACTGGATATGTGGATATTTGTGAGCATTTAATGATTACGCACTGAAGATAAACTGGGAGTAAAAAGTGACTTGAGAATGAAACAACAGAAAAGTATCTCATCTTATGTCCAGAGGAAGCTAAAGTGTTTGAAAAGGTCACCGCAGTGCCGCTGCCTGCAGATCTGTTTTATCTGTGTTCAGATTGGAATGAAGAGAAATGTAATATGTCAGTGTCCTGGTCTGCGTCATTAACAGCTCAGAAGATTTTATAATGTTTCAATCGAGCTATAAAGGAGAATTTAGACCTTTTTAAAGGCACTTTGTCATTGCAATATATTCGCTAAAGTTGTAGTAAAAACTGAAGTAATCAAAGGCTGGTTGATACTACCTACTTGCATTTCAAGAACTGCATTTTAACAACCAAAACAATCTTGAATTCCAAATGTACAGATTTCACATATTTATGAAAATGAGAGATCTACAATTACGATCAGATGCCCTGTATTTTCTCAAACTTTCTCCAGGACCACATGCTGACTCTCTCTCTCTCATTAGTCTGTGTCTCTGCTCTTACGTAAGGCCATGAAGTGATGACTGTGTGTCTGCCTGAAGAGAATATCAGACTTTGACTTTGACTTTGACTAGACGGCCCGTTCAGAGGACGTGACGTGGATCGTCTGGCCTTGATTATGATGCTCAGGGTCCAGGACAAGCCCGCTCATTAAAGCGGCCGCTGATTCCATCCACAGACACATATTGACTAATGTAAGACTGATTAAATAACACTGACCCTACAGTCTCTTCACATTCAGGGAAGATGAAGTGGTCTGCTCAGTGTACGAGTCTGAAGATCTATTTAACGGTCTTCTACATGCAGGTGCATACATTTTTGGAGGATTGTGCTACTCAATGATGTATTATCACTACGACCAGTTCATATAATAGTGAGCGGGATATGAAACAAGAAGTCGAGGTTTTGCAGTTTATTAGCAAACGGCAGAACATAGATTAGATATATTGTTGCTTGGAGGCAGACTGAAATCAAGCAAGCTAAAATGCAGCGTGACTCCGCTTTAAACTTGTTGCCGTACCTCAAAGTGATGTCACTGATTTGTTCAGTCATCCGGAAACTTGAAAACCCGGAGAGAGAAGAGCCGAGAGTCAAGGTTGTTCCTCCTCCTCCTCCTCCTCCTCCTCACTGCTTCACAAACCATTTGTTTCTAATTATAAATCTGGATAACTATATGAGTCCAAGTTACTCAATTATCACATAATTATTATTCATGATGAGTCCACTCTGTGAAGTCCATATTTTATCACTGTTTGGAATTCATTATGAATTAAATACACATGCTGTCCATAGGGTTTTGTAAATGTGGGAATAGCGTGGTTGCTCATTTTTCCACAGCTAATTAGAAGTAACTCTAAAAGAACATTATTTGAACTGAGGGGGATCAAATTAAAAAATGAAGGCTGTAAAGTTGTCAGACAAAAAACTAACTGTAACTATGAGGGTATTTAGTCTGGGTCTTAGCCACTGCCTCACATCAATAAATAACCCATATGAACATTATCTACATCTTGTCAAGGTTCACGGGTACAAATAACTTGATCATTACTCCATCATCTGTCGAGAGTTCAGTCTTTGAAATCTCCCTGTTCAAGTGCGCTCTATTTGAGGACGGCACATCTCTGCGCAGCTGAATGTCAGGACACTTCAAACCCTCATACAAATGCAAATACATGAAAGCCTTGTGCTCCAGCTTGACATGAGAATTAATATTAACTGTTATTACTAACACCGCATTAAGCTTTCTGTTGAATCGACTCCTGCTGGTCACTTCTATCTCCGACTTAGTCTAACTGTCTATTTTTACACATTTATGTTGCTCAGATGTAACTTTTTTTTTAGTTTTTGTGTCATAGCCTGAGAACCAGATGAATCAGCACTTCAGGTTTAATTTGATTTGGCAGATGCCTCTGGTCCCCCTCCAGTTCATACAGATTTTCATCCGTGCTGATGCTGGTCCAGCCAACCACAACAAACAGTATAATGGGGATGAATTTAAGTGTTGTTGTTGTGGTTAAAAATTTACCAAGATGGCCGTCGCTATGGAAACCACTATGACTCAATCACGTTAAAGCTCCTGTAAGGATTTTTTTTGCTGCTTAAATCAATGCCACTTTTTAATCCTCAAAAACAAACCAGACTACCAGCATTAAGAAATAGTATTCCTGTTTTAAATCCTGTAACTATTTCAAGGGCGTAGGGGTCAGACAGGACGATTCACACAATGCCAAAGAAACAGTCTTTTCCCACAGTGAGTTTTTACAATTAACAGCTAAAACAGAAATTTGAAAATTAATGTTAAAAAAACACAACTTGGTCATTCACAGGAAAATATCTGCTCAGCTAAAAGACAACGACAAGTTTCTAGGAGGGGCTTAAAGTATACTTGAAAGCATTTTTAAGTATTTACAACTCAATCAAGTCATTCCAAACATTGTGTCCTTCTTTCATAATGTGTAAATTAGCCACCTGGCCTAGCATCCTTATGCTAGATTCCTCATGTTTATCTCCTCTTATTGGTCTGTTCCTATTGAAAAAGCCCATTTGAATAAAAAAATTTACTGAGGTGTCAGACTTACTAACAGTTGCAAATCTTTTTTAGCTAGCTGATGATTGGGCAGCTGTAAGACCAGTAAGGTCAACTAGCTTTGGTTCTGTCCAGTTCAGATAACATTGGCTTTTGAGTCTTAAATATTGGCTGTGATAAGAGGTCATACATAGCCCGGAAAATGGTAGTTTGTTGAGATAATTGCTCTATACCCATGTTGAACTCTTTTTCCAGGTCTTTCTGTAGCAAACAAGACTCAAAAAGTTCCATACTCTGATTTGGACCATGGGATTTAGCTTACTGCAGGGAAGAGACTGTGATATAGGATCACAAAACGTAAATAAACTAAAAAGAACTTAAAGATAATTTAGCTAAAAAGAATCAGTGTCCAGTATTAACAGACTTTGGTTTGTTTGTGTTGCAAGTTTATCTCAGTTGCAGGAATTTTAAGTTTGTTTCCTTTAAAGCAAGAATGAAAGAGACCCGCTGTACCCGAGGCCACAGAGCTGTAAGAGGATGTTGAATACCTCTCTCATGTCTGTCCATTAGAAATGAAGAAACCAAGAACAGCCTGTTGACTTAAAGGAAAACACTGAGGCTGGTTCTATCAGTAATAAAAACTGCCTTTGTACCTTATTTGTATAGTCCTTTAAAAACACACAACGTGGTTTAAGCAGGTTGAATGCTGGACAATTTCTTGGTCATGTTCGGTACACACCGGGACCGTTTTTTGCGTGCGATTTGGACGTCAACATTTTTTTTCGAACCCATATCCTGTCAATACAAGTGTTCACATCAGCGACGTTTTCTCGTCCTGCAATATTGCAGCATTTATTTTTTAGGATCATGGTCGATTTTTCTAAAGTTTCGCATTTCGTGTTGTTGTGACATCTGATTCACCGGTATATCCAACATGGCCGACCGGCTAATCGTTTACGTGTCGGAGAACAGAGTGCTTTTTGATAAAAGACACAAATATTACAAAGACAACGACGTGAAGGACAATTTGTGGAGAGTCATAGCGTCTGATTTCTTATATGACGATGGTTTATGTGCTTCAACAGTTTGCTAAACGTCTTTGTTTTAACTTTCATCTGTGCTAAGTAACTTTGGCTCGTAAGCTAACCTGTTCAGATACAACATACCATATGTATTTTTACTGTTTCAAACTCAATTGTGTTGCTGTCACAGCACTATTAGGTCTCTGTTGTTACCTTATGTTTATGGATTATAGTTTAATGTGCTTATCTGGTACTGGCCCCGACTCAGTACATGCTATCATGACAGACAGCCATCTCAACACTAGTGTATAATCAGAACTGAAAACAGTCAGTCTGCTGTTGTGTCAGTCTTCACGCTTCCACCCGGGATGCATCTTTTTCCCCCCGGAAAATCGCAAAATTGCATCAGGCTTGATGTGTATAGTCAGGCGCGTCAAAATTCGCCTCTGAATTTTTCGTAATTTCGCGTTCTATATTCGCGTCAGCCCCGTTGTGTAAGGACCTTAAGTATGCTAAGCTAAGCTAGCTTTAAACTCTTGATGAACTTGAAGAGAGCATACAAATATGGCAGCAGTTATCAGCGTACAACACTCTCATGTGACTCCCTGCAAAAAAGCCAATTTTTGTATCACCAGAAATATATTTGGAAATTAGCAAGTATGTGCTGTCACCCCTGACCTCCACCCAACTAGGAAGCTGTTACAGAGTTTAAAACTTAAATATTGCTCAGCTCAGCTCTTTGTATTGATTAGTTTCATCCTGCTGACCGTATTTGACCCAAAACCACTTACGGCCATAAGATTATAAGAATCTAGAAATGTCCAATAGTGGCTGATAGATCTGTGCTGGAAATACACCTGACCTGCTTACTAGGTGGCTGTTGGTAAGAAAAGAGAAGACCTGGTTACTATGGGAACGGCCAATTTGCTGAGTTACAGACTTTGCCTGAGTGACTTTTTAGGCTCACCTCTTCGCAGGTCTGCTAAAAAAAAAACTCTTTTGTTTCTACATTCACAAAGTTTCAAATAACCAGATGGTTAAATCAATACAAATTGTGAGATTAGAAAACGAAACAGAGATTTTGTGGTTGACTGATACGCCTAAAAATCTTTAATTACTGGAATGCTGTATGCTCCTCTATTTTTTTCTAGACAGTTACTGAAACCATTTCATATTTATAGTAATGGCATTACTCCACAAAAAACCCTAATCCTACAAACAGTGTCATTAATTCTCATTCAGTGTTTTGTCACAACAGACATACAGCTGTAAATACAGACAAAAGCCTTTTCATTGGTGTTTGAAAGAGGTCACATACTGGTCAGCTTTCTTCTCTTAAAGACTACAAACACACACACACACACACATATTAAAATGTCAGAGCATGTGTAACTGCTCTGTGAAACTGTTAACTATGTTCCTTTAAATAAATTTAGACAGAAGCGAAGAGACTCTGAGCAAAGACTGGGGAGAAGGTGATAAGTATTTATCTGGGAGGATGTTTGGGCAGGAGAATGTCAGCAGGGGGCTCATGGGAGTAATAATTGCAGCAGGTGTATTCACCCGTGACCTGCTGCTACATGATGGATCCACAGTTTAATTAGATACCAGGAGGAATTAGAAAACATGCACTCAAACAGAGGAAATACAGTGTTAGTGATAGGTGCCATCTGGATATTGGAATTCACATGAGAGCGAATTTACTCCAAATTTCTGCCCTGTTGTAATTTTCTTTCAGCCTCCATTAATGTCATTCGAAGTGATCTCTGGCGTTTACTCTCTGGAGGGATCCTGAGAGTCAGTCATTCAGCATGCAGATATGTTTTATGTCCTGTTTCTTTTTCCTGACAGGCTGTATGTGTCAGCAGTGTAAATGGAGAACGTGCAACCACAGAGCGGCCATTGACAGGCTCTGTGGCCGGGTGGTATGGTGATAATGGTGATGGTGGTGATGGTGCTGGTTTGAGTGGACTCAGTTGCCGAAAGGACTGATAAGCGACAGCAGTGCTGCTGATTAGGAATAAGACTGACAAAAACCAAAGGCAATGCCTGGGGTGTTGCCCCTGGCAACTGGAGCTAGCCATATGCTGTATAGACTTATTGTGTGACTACACTCCCTATCAGCTGCACTTTTCCAGAGACAGCAGACAAACCAGTGTAATTTGAGCCAATCACAAGTCTGGGTTTGATTCTAGAGGGAGAAAAAAAAAGTAAAGGCAGAATCCAGGTTTCATCCTGTGGCCTAGTCCCTTTTTAAACATCCTATTAAATGAAAACTAAATTGTCTGAGGAGAATGGCTGCAATTCAATCAACCTGATTACCAGGAAAACAGGTCATTAAACTCTTCCCATAGTTATTGAATTTTGCAGTCCTAATGAAGGAAACAGGGGGTATGCTATGGTCCTACAGATTCTGGATGGTGTCGTGCTTTTGCTTTCACATTTATATAACTGTGCATTATTTTCCACTGCTGCAAGCTGTCCTCAGTGAGTGGAAGCTGCAGGAGCAACCCTCCTCACCAGGCAGGCTGTAGCTCTAATCCATCAAGGTGAACTGAAATCTTAACAATAAAGCATAAATGACTTTCTTTTCTTGCTCTTTATCCCCTCTGTGTTTATATTCCCCACATTATGACTCAGACTTGGCGTGGAACGATGGTTTCTGTGTATGGGACACTCTGCTGCAGCACTATATTATCAACATGAAATGCTTTTAAAGCCTGCAAGAAAAAAGCCTGGGTGTCCCAGGGTGATTTTAGGTAAGCTGTTACTGGAGACAGGCTTTTTATTAATCTGCGGTGAAGAGCAAAAGGCCAAGGTGAAATCTGCATAAAACACATAAGCCTTTGGCAACACTCCTATATGCATACGGTCTGTTATTCTGTGATAACATTATGGCTGTTAGGTATGGATTATATAAGCAGTTTTACATCAGCCCGTGTAAGCGTTTTTAAGAGTAAATGTCATGAATTTTATAATGTCAGTAAAATCGCTGCTGTGTGAGCACTCATCGAGCTGCTTTACATCTGTGCTAATGGATACGTAGGCAGTATGCAGGGCAGGGGCGGGTCTAGACTGTTTTGAGTAGGGGGGCATGCAGGGGTGGCATGGTCTATGTCAATGCACGAACACGTCTGGGTAACACTTAAGCACTATTTCTGTCTCCAATAGTCATACCTACTTTAACGTTAAGGCTGGTTTTCAATTGCTGTTCGTGTACTTTTCTCATTTAAAAGAAAACAACAGGATGACAACAAATAAATCCTCCATGGTTGATTATCTAAAGTCTCTCCAGATATATTTTTCAGGCTCTTTGTCTCTAATCTGAGAGGACATGTCGGTGGATAGATCAGGAAACAAGAGAGAGGGGAGTGACATGCAGGAGAAGAGCTGCAGGCTGTAATCGAACCTGGTCCACTCTTGTGAAGATCATAACCTCGGCTTATGGGACATGCACTTGCAGAACTATAATAAAAAGAAAACTGCCTGCATGAAAGTGCCTCAAAAGTAATGAGCAGCCTGTATTAAAGCACCTCAATAAGTAGATTTAAAGAAAAACCCTGTCCAAAACTAGGTAGGTAGCATCTCGTGATGCTCATATACTGTTTTTGCATTTTTATGCCTAAAAATATAAATAATATTGGTGTGAAAACACTGATAGCTGAGATTTTACAAGCCTCATTTAACATTTTACTCTGTTTTAGCCCTACACAGCTTTTCTAAGTTGTTGTCAAATAAAAAAATGACCCCCAAACGATAGAGTTTTGGAGGGACTGTTGAAATGGTGCATTAGCTTGCCGTTACTCTCTTTCCTGATATCCTATAATGCAATCAGATGGTATCAGGGGCTGATATTGTATCAAAAAGTGGAAAGACCCCACCACTGCTAAAATGAATGCTTTGTTTCTGGTTACGTTGGCCAGTCAACCAGCAGTTTATTCATTCTAATGAATGTCTGCGATATCAATGTGCCTGAAAAACTCCTCCCTCGAATCTGCTAGCTTAGCAAACAAGCTGCTAAATATCCACCGAAATATTTCCTCTTCCACTTGCTTAAGAAGATTGTAAAAGTAGTTTGTACGATCTAAAAGAGCTTATCTAATTTCTACACATCTTGTTTTTGTGAAGCTACTATTCATCCATAAAGTAAAAGACTCCTTGCATTAGTCACTAGTGGTAATATCCCTTTGTTTATGGCTCTACAGACTCTAGTCACACACATAAATGGAAACTAGTTGTCAAGGTGGGGCAATCAGGTGATGAGGGGGGGGCAAGGCCACCCTAAGCCATCTGCTGGACACACCCCTGCTGTAATACACACTACAAGATTGTAACCATTCAAGCTCATCTAAAACTCAAAACAAAAATCAGAAATAGAATTACACAAATCCTAGCAAGTGATTGGCTGATCACGTCACCTGCAGCCTCATCTCAGGTGAAAGGTCAGCCTCTGGTTCTCACAATGATAATCAAGACCTGAGAGATAATCTGGAGGTAAGACTGCAGAAGTTTTCAATGTGAAATGAAGCCAACCCCTCATTCCCTCGCTGCTCCAGCTCCTCCTCCAGCCTCACCTGTACTTCATGCTGGTGTGCCTCCCAATGGCCTCTTTCATGTGGGCATGACCCTGGGGGGCCTGCCGGGACCCGGACCCATCCCTTGTCTTGACCGAGCCTTGGGAGATGTAGTTGCCATTACTCCCCTGTCCACTTCCACTCCCTCCTCCTCCGCCACCTCCTCCTCCGCCGCCTCCACCTCCTCCACCACTCCCACCACCTCCTCCTCCTCCACCTCCACCTCCTCCCCCTACTCCCCCACTGCTCCCCCCTGGAGGAGGAGCGGTGCGAAGGCCACAGAGCCGGTCTTCACTGCGACTCTTGAGGTTGTGCTCAGTACAGGCAAAGGACACCTGCATCCTGACCCTGCTTTCCGCTGTCTCTTATTTTGTAAGGTGGGTGGGGTGGGTTGGGGTGGGGGGGCTTGTAGTTTTTGGAGCCACTGAAGCAGGATTGTCTGTCAAGTGTTGGTGCTGCTGTGACCAAGCAGTGCTGCTCATACACAGGTTTCAGACAGGGCAGGTCAAAGATTTTGGCTGATGGTTGGAGGGAGCAGGCATGAGTCCACTCTCTAACATGACACACGCAGAGCTACCGTCTGCTCCGGCTCCTGTCTGGTGATGCAAACCTGGCAAAGGGTTTGTAGAGTTTTCACACTCACAAGATGCATCAGGGCTACCCTCCAAAAACCATCAGGAAGCTTGTAATGCTCACAGCAGTCCTCAGAGGGGGAATTTTGGGGATGTGGCAGTTCTAGGGAAGCCCCAAACACCTCACCAGTGCAATGACAGATAGATGGTTCCTCCCTGGAGACTGCTGGCCCTCTCCCACATACATGCACGGGGCTCGTATGGCTTATGTTGGCTGGTAAAGCACTTGATATCTCGCTGTCTTCTCTTTAGCTGAGGAGGTTGGTGGTGGTGTCTGCCTGGAGCCGAGGAGCTCCGGAGTGTGCCGCAGCAATGACACAATCACAGCTACAGGCATCCTCGCACCCAACGTCGAAATAAAAAGCCATTTTCTTTCTTTTCAGTGTCGCAAAAACAGGAGGAATGACTCGATTTCTTCATTGCCTGGGCGAAGGGGGGTATAAACACACTTGAGATGATGCGAATTCACACAGTCAAACCCCGTCGATGCATTTCGTAGCCCAGCAGCCTCACGCAGCATCAATTTGATGCAAGAGAAGAAGAAGATGAGAGAGGGAAAGCAGGAAATTTAAGAGCAAAGCAGCGAGAATTCAGCGCGTCAAGTGGTTCACACATACCGGCAGCAGCTGCGCGGCTCTCCCCTTATTCCTCTGAATCTCACGGTGCACCCACTTGAAAAAAATGCCGGCATCCTGGCCCCAAAATCAGCTGCAGGAAGCGGACGGTTCAAACCCTGGTAACCGCCTCTCCTCCATCTCTCTGCATATTGAGTTTTTTTCTTTCTCTTCGCCTCTTTTTTCTCTACAGGATCCAAAAAATGTTCAGGACACACAAGCAATGCAATGTGGGGGTTTCAACATGCTCTCTCTCTCTCTCTCTCTCTCTCTCTCTCTCTCTCTCTCTCTGTTGGTGTGATCTCTACATTTCTCATCACACCAGTGTACACACATCTCATCACATCGTCATACCATGGTATGGAGCTTTTACACACACACACACACACACACTGCTAGGATTTTACATTTAAAGCACATTGTCTATACCATTTTTTCCCCTTTTATCACAGGTCTGTTGTCACATCCATCCTCTTTTAACTTCACTGTATATTTCTCCTTTAGATGACAAGGACTCCTCATCCAATCCACCACACCCATGTTTTTTTTTCATGCTTGATACAGTCATGTTGCTCCTCCTTGTCTGTATTACTATCCACAGTATGTTGCAATGTGAAACTAAACTGCACTTCACAGTCATCACCAGCTCATAACACAAAGCAAATACTCCATTTGTAAGTCACATCAGATCACATCCTAACATGGGACAACAGCGTGGCATATCATATCACAAAGCATCACATCACATCCTGTTCAAAAGGACCTGATGTGTCATTTTAGAGGCCAATGATAATAGTTCCTGCAAGGCTGTATTTACAGTTTGAATTCTGCTGCCGTACCCTCACAGGAGGCTGTCAATCTTAAAAAGTTTCACCCTACAACGCAGCAGGAAGAGGTGCTAAAACACCTCTTAAATAATGCACAAATGCATTCATCACCTTTGTTAATTTCTTCTCTATAGACGTGTCTGAAGGAGTTTTGCTTTAAAGCAACCTGCCTCCCGGAGCAGATTGCACAGCAGATTGTAACATGGGATTAGCTAGCAACTCTTTGGAAAAGGAAAAAAAATAAAAAATCAGTGCAAGTTTTGATGGGGAATTTTCCTGACATAAAGGGAGGCAGATAATGTAACCACCTACTGTGACATTTGAAAAAGGAAAAAAGATAATTTCCTGTCCTTTTACGGCACATCGAGCACCCACACAGCCACAAGATTTCCAGGAATCACTTTAATCTGTTTCCCAGACTTCTAACTAATTCACAATTTAAGTGAACACAGACAAATCTACATGATGACTCAATCTTCATCCACACAGGCTTAACTTTCACCTTCACCTTCAGTCCAAACAACCAGGCAGCTTGTATCGCGACTGCATTTACTCTGATCACCACCTACTCCTCTGAGGGGTGTCTCTGTTCACAGGTAACCCAAAGAAGCCACACATCTATCTGTTTTACTGCAAATAAGCCAGCTTATAAAGCTGCGGTGTCATGAAAAAAGAAGATACAGTAAACGCCACCTTTCTTCTGAAGATGGATTATACAACAGGTTGTATAATGGGGATGTTCTTGAACTGGAAGATATTTTATACAACTCTGCCTTCAGACTCGCGAACGGAGCTTGGGTGTAAAGCTCGACTGTTTCAAAGCTGCAGAGAGGAACTTTTGGTTTGTGACAGTTTGGCTGTGGATAAAGCAGTTGTTTCTGATTTTGTTCTGTGCAAGAGGAATAAGTGTTTCTTGACAAAACAGAACCTCATCCTTCTTTTTTTTAACCCTCAAATGCATCGCTCATCGGGTGACAGTGCAGTTGGATATGCAAGACCTGACTTCATCAGCAGCAATATCTTGGTCTGACACCTACCAAGCCAGTTGTTTTAAACATCATAAAAATGTTATACAGTCTACGTCACTCTTCTTGTTTAGAGTAATATCTGCTCTTTTAGATCATTAATTGACATTAGTATTAACTTCAGAGTGTTTCACAACCAGATAGAACTCTTTAAAGAGGCATTTTCCATATAAGAAAGTGTGTCCATTCTATAAAAAAAAGCTAATAAAGATAGAAATGTTTCATTTACCACAGAAAGTGAGCATGAAATTAACCTAGCAGCAAAACTGAGGAGAAAATATCTTTAAAAACTTACTTGAGCAGGATTTTCTACTATTTAACAGGTCATTCGATCGACACTAAGAGAGCTTGCCTTCTCTGATGTCCATCTTTATCCATCCATCCATCCATCCATCTATCCATTCATACATTGATACATACATACATGCATGCATACAACCATCCATCCATCCATCCATCCAACCATCGATCCATCCATCCAACCATCTAACCATCCAGCCATCCATCCATTCATCCATACACACATACATACTTACATCCATTCATCCATTCAACCATCCATCCATCCATCCTTCTATCTATCCATCCATCCATCCATCCATCCATGCATCCATCCATCCATCCATGCATCCATCCAACCATCCATCCATCCATCCATACATACATACATACATACATACATACATACATACATACATACATACATACATACATCCATCCATCCATCCATCCATCCATCCATCCATCCATCCATCCAACCATATAACCATCCAACCATCCAGCCATCCATCCATTCATCCATAGACGCATACATACTTACATCCATCCATCCATCCATCCATCCATCCATCCAACCATCCATACATACAATCTCATTTAAGTAGATGTGAGGTACACTGTGGACAGGTCATCAGTCTATCACAAGGTTAATATCAACCAGATGCAATCTCCATAAAAGAGGGTCACCAGCCGGGTTGGGTTTAAACCAGAGACCTTGTTGATGTGAGGCAACAGTACTTTCCATCTCATAGATTGTGTTTTTTCATTTATAAGGAAAATGTCTGGTATTGATTTTTGGGGTTCATCTCTATGGCATTATCTCATTCTGCATTTTCATAAAAAAAAGCTTTAAAAACTGCAAGAACGCTTTGGAAAAAGCACAGTAAAACACGTCAAATCTAGTTAAAAATGAGATTCATTGATTTTGTCCAGTTAAGTGAATAAATACTTCCCCGATACAGACACACCAGTGTTCTTATGGTTGCTGCCATGAGCTCAACAGCTGGTTTTGACTTCATCGCTGTGGTGCACAAACAAAACAAAGTTTGTGGTGTTTCTCTGCATAAAATATGCATGTTTTGCAAAGCTGAAGGCATTTTCTCCACTGAAACTGTAGGTTTGAAAAATATTCCCTTGGACATCTTGGTTTTCTTGTGGTTTTGGTTCTACTTGAAATGCTTCAGTTTTGCATTAAGTAAACCACAAACAGGAGGGTTCAGAGGACAGATGGTTATTGAAGGCTTTCAGTAGGATTACTGTGACCTTAGTCCATCTGAAAATTCAGAGGACATTCAGAATTTGTGTAAACATGTTTTATATTTAATTTTCTTTTGAATGGCCAGATTTATGTTGATTCATGTTTGTATGCAGGATGCAGGAGTTCAGTGGACAATGGTTTGTTAGCTGTTGATGACCAGTTTCAGTCCAGAAGGAGTATGAATCTGACGCATGATTTTCAAGGTTAACCAAAGCTTAATTATAACATGACTAAAGAGTGCGCGGACAGCACACATTACAAACATGAAGTGTGAGGAGGACTTTGAAAGAGTCAGAGATGGAGGGATCTGTTCAGCACCTCTATCCTCTGCTGTGTGACACATTTACTTTGACTGCCACAAACTGTACAGAAAGATTTCAGAGTAAATGGAGCTTGATTTTTGGAAGCATCACTTTCATTCAAATGATAATCCTTAAAACTGCAGAGCTTCGTGTTTTGATTCCAGTCTTCACTCCAGGTTGACGCTGCCACCTAGAGGCAACATGAATGGAGTCTCAGTGTCTGTGTGCATCTCTCTCTTTTAGGGGTGCTGTATGAAACAACACGCCATGTTGTGTCATGACATGCAGTTTCCTGAACAGCAAGGTCAAACATGCCTTTTTCAAGCTATCAAGCATGAGTAAGGTTTTCAAATGTTGTTAAATGCACACAGATCTACAGTGATGAAACATGCAACAATCTGCTGAATATCTTCTGGGTTCATGCTGCACTTTGCGTCATCTTTGTAGTTTCAGTCTGACATTTTCTGTGAAAATAGATTCTTGGCAGCCTTTCATCCCAAAATAGACAAACTGAGCTCTTTAAAGTGAGAGACAGAAGCACAGCAACAACCAACCTCCTGTCCCCTGCTGTCAATTCACACATCATTAACCCCAAACTGATGGTGACCCTGTCAGACTGCCTTTGGAAAAGAATTACACAACATTTGATGTATGAGTCCCATGCAAGTCACCGTGACTGACGTTAACATAAGTGATGCTGAACAACCAGATGTTTCTACAGTCCACACGCATGTATTCAAGACTGCTCTGCTTTGAAATCTTAACAAACGCTTGATAATTCACTCTGAGGCGCAGAAAAAGAAATCTGCAAATATATGTTATTTTTTTCCTACTCAACGTACATCAATCACCCTCGTCTTCAAATACTCAGAAATAACCATGCATTTGTAAACATACGGGTGAAATATGAATTATAATACTTCAATGGTTTATCCCCAGAGTGATGCTCTGACACTGTGAATCTATTATTTGCATGTATATGTATGGACTTCTACATGAATATGTTGGCGTCATATAAAAACAATATTAACTTGCTGTACAGTTCTTTCATATGCAGATCAGCACATCACACATTAAAAATGAATGCATCACAGTGTTACTTTGAAGATGGTTTTGCGCTGCATTTGTTTTAAGTATTTGTTGTTAGAATCAAGTTCTATTTTTGTTTTACTTGATGTTTTTCTTTGTCTCCCAAAAACTGCACTGAAAACATCAAGATAAATTTTTTGTCCCAGCCATCCTACTCTCCAAATAATCCGATTCTTTGTTTAACTTTACAGTTTTGCTGTCCTATCCTTTTCCCCCCCACTTCCCGCCGCCTTACTTGTATGGCATTGCGGAGCGCTCAGCCTCACATTCGGCCAGCGAGAGGCCACACTCTCTCAGGTAGAGCTCCAGCCGGCGTCGCTCCACCAGCCTGTGTGCCGCCTCCAGGATCTGAGAGGCCAGGGCCTCCGACTCGCTCTGCTGGTCAGAAGGGGTCTTGCTGCTCCGTGAGGCCCCAGCTTTGGCCACAATGCTCCCTGAGGAGGACGAAGCCTTGGGCTTTTTACTGATGCCATAAAGGTCTTCCACTGAATATTTCCCCCCTTTACCTCCTCCGGTACCACCTCGGCTGGCAAACATTGTTGTCTGGAGTCAGGTGCTGGAATCAGGTGTAGCAGACTGATGGAACGTAAAATCGTCCTCCTCTTTTAACTGGGTTTTGCCTGCTTTAGGCAAAAAAGCTGCTTCCGAGTTAGAAACTGAACAACAAGGCTGAGCTATTTTGATAGAGATTTACAAAGATTTGAAACATCCGGCCTCTGGGACGTCAGACTTCAAACTGCTGGAAAGCAGAACTTCACGCCGCTGTAAAATATCAAAAAGTCTTGATTGCTCCTTTGTGGAGTCAAAATCCAAAATAAAACAAAGGCAGTCCCAACATGTCAGCAGCAGCAGCACCCAGTCACAAACAATGGCTCCTGCTGATGTGAGGTGCTTCTTTGAGTAAAAATGGATGGGAAAAGCAATCAGCATCTTTCTCTCTTTATCTCTCAAAGGAGGGATTTGTGTTGAAGCCCCACCAGCTGACATTAGTTCAGATTAAAAGAGAGCCCGGATGAAGTATCTGTACTTCTCTGGCTGTGTAATCTGAACAAGCAGAGGCTTCAAGAGTTCAGCTCTCTGACCTTTGCTTCAGATACTCAGTGTCTATGAATCTTTTCCCCCTGCATGAATAATTACTGGTTGATCTTGGCTAAAGTCACTTTGGTAATTGTATTGCTGCCTTTCAGCTGCCGTTGGCTCAAAGTAAAAAAGCATGGCACCCGACCAAAGTCTGGCAGCAGCTTCAGGCTACCGCTTTAGTTACTGTCGAGGTCTGGGTTAATGTGAAAGCCAAACCCCTGGTGCTTTATTCTCACACAAATAATAACAGATCACAAAATGTGTGAACCACTTCTTACTGGAGGGGTGGACATCAGGTCTTTTGGATGTGATAATCTGTCCATAAAAAAGACAAGGACATCATCTGCATAGAAGGGTTGGAAATGATTTAGGAAGGTCCTCGGGTCCTTAGATTTTAAAAAGATGTATATAGAGAAACAGAAGGTCGCAGTTTATGTAATAACGTAGCTGTTGGCGGGGATTACTTATCCATCTCCTCAACCATACATGCAAAGAAATCTACTTTCTAATCTCCCATATGCATTTATGCATGCAGCCTCTAAATCCCAGTTTAAAACCATCGCCAGGGACAAAAATGAATTCTTAATCTGTTGCTTGACATGAAACAACTATCATGAAAAAAAAAGAAAAAATAGAGTTAAACAGTAAAGTTATTCTTATTTTGATTCTTCTTATGTCAGGCACACGCAAGAGATCCCAATAAATCGCAGTTTTTAAGTGTTTGCAAACATCATTACAGGAGACAGACCCCACAAGAGGCCAAAGGTCAAATCTCCGGGATTAAACGTCAGTGACTCAATGGATGAATGGAGGTGCATCAGTGAACGAAAGTCAAGCTCATTGACTGCCTTAGAGTCCATTCATGCAACTGTCCGCTTCTCCATCTTCATCCAGCTGTCATGGTGACCACAAAGGCGCTCGCTCGTCCTGACTTGGCTGCGGGGGCTCTCAGAAGCGGAGATCACCAGGGATTAATCTGCTGTAATCTCTCTTTGGATTGACCACAGTCACTCAGGCATCTGGTGGAGGTCAGGTTTGATCTTCAGTCTACATTACAGCCCGAGTGTTTCCAGGACACAGAGCGCCTATGACGGCCCGCACCAGGGCTAAGTGGTGGGATTATCAGGATGTGCGTTAGGAGAAGCGCAGGATGGAAGTATATGTTTGCAGATCTTGTATAACTGTCAGAAATCTGGGCTGGAACAGTGGAGTTTGTTTTTAGTCAAGTGTTGCATAACTGTGCAGAGATAGATTTAGCCAAGCTGACAGTATAGTAACTCAGAAGTATAGAGCAAAAGGCTGTGATGGTTTCGTGCTATTTTTTGCCACCTTGTACATACTGTACAGTGGTGTGAGGGTGGCAAGCTCAACTGTTTGTCAGAGGTGAGTTTACTGCAGATGGAGGTATTTTATCATGCATGTCAGAAAAACAGCTCCACAACACGAATCAGGATCTCAGTCCCAGCGTCAGTTTCACTCACCCAAAGGCACCTTAACACACTTTTACTATTCCCCATCATCAGGCAAAGTCTCTGAAAAACTCCTCTAAAATTGAGCAGCATGTATACAAGAGATGATTTTTTGACTCCCTATAAATTGTAGAATTTAGTTTAAAACCCTCGCTGTACCACTGTATGAGTCCTCTCGAACACTGTGCTCCCAGAACAAAGGCCTGCTTGTTGTACTGAAAGTAATATGGGAAGTAGAGCCCTCAACGAACAGGAACATAATCATCTACCAGAGAGGCTCCTCACTTTTGGGACTTAAAACTTCTCTTTTATTCCAACAAAGCAAGGCAAGGGCAAGTGTTTCGAACAAGATATTAAAACATCATAACACAGGAAAGAAAATATACATTTAAAAGTCATTTAAGCATAATATTAAAAAGAGAAAAAAACAAGACCATCATTAGGGACAAGATTGATCATTTGTGTATCATCATTTCCAAAGTCTGAAACCAGTGTGAGTGGGTAGGTGTCAGCAGTCCTGATTTTACCATTTCCATATAAACCGTTCACAAATGTTTGATTCAAATCAGCAGGATAAGATTTTGTTGTCCAAATACATTCAACATGAAGAAAACAAGATAAGCAAAGACTGTTTTGTCCACAGGGGGGCGGCAAAGTTGGCACAAACCAAAAGTTGCTCACAGGAGCTTTAACCCAAAATGCTGCAACTATCATTATTGACTGTCATCACTCTTCCTTCATGTATAATGTCCCTTTCTGTCAAGCACTAGACTGTCATGATCCATCTATTCTTTCTTTATCCCGCCATCTTCACCTATCCAGTTGCACCAGATGTCTGGTGCTGCCCAAGGTTTCTACCTGTCCTCCACTACAGCCAAATATGGTTGTGTGCTTGCTCATTGTAGATACTAAATAGCACTAGACATGTTAACTGTTACTGAGATGACTTTTGATTGGGTGTTATCTAAAACACGTATCACTGACGGTTTCATTTTTCTGTAACCATGAAACGTCAGGTCAGAAAACTCACATTTAAGGAGCATATCCTTCACTATAACAAAGATGACAATGTCTGCGTCTTTAAAAATGGTTGCACATCATGTTGCTGAGGCACATACTGAAATAATTATTAATGTTGTTCTTTTTGGATGGGCAGTCTCTGTGCGGCTTCAGAGGGGTGCTGAGCTGCTTTTTTTTCCACTTTATGAGACGCAGAGTTCTCCCAAGTGTTATTAATATTTTATTTTAACCTTCCCCTTGACTGCAGTGCCCTCCAGACAGTGTCTTAAAATAATATAACACTTTAGATTTTCATTTTGGAATTAATGACCAACAGTGCTCACAGAATATAAAAAAGTGTGTATTCCATTAAACCTTAATAGTTCAAAGAAATAATCATTTTTCACAGCTAACAAAGTGAGCCGTTCTACACTTTGTATTTCACAAAATACTTAACCCTAGAACACTATCTCTGGGTGATTTTCACACGACCAAACATGTTGACGTGATTTTCATTATGTTGCGTTTGTCCCTGGGTAGCTTCAGCATTGCCTTTGACATCATTGAAGGTGATTTTCACCCAGCAATAGTGATAGAGGGTAAAGTAGGTTTGGGTGGATTTGATAGCTGCATGAAGGCAAATAAGGTCAGTAAGAGTGGTCCTGGAATTTGCATGCTATCTTTATTTAGTGCAGTGGTTATGAATAACTATCATTAAGTAGTGATTTTCGAGGGAATTCATACAGTAATAAGAAATATTTTAGTCAGCTGGTCATTTTTACTCACTCAAAATATGTCATATTTTGGTTCTCTCTCCTGCAGCTGTTATTGTGCCAAGGACTCTGAGTCTTCACCAAGAATGACTCACATGCCCCAAGAATGGGTGAAAAAGAAACTAAGTTTACAGTTTCTAAATATATATTTAAAAATATATGTTGTTTTGTGAATTTTTTTTGTTCATGAATGCCAAATTTCAGTTATTTTGTTACATTTTTATATGGTCCCCTCATGGCACTTTTTTTTGTCCCTTTGGACATTGCACAGTTAAAAATGAAAGAAAAATACTTTCATTTGATTTTGATGACAGGTACTTTTTCTTGGGTATATTGATGGTGTTACTAATTTTAGCCATAGTGTTCTAGGGTTGATAAAGAAACGATGGAAACTGCTGTGCTCTCTGCAGTAATTATGTGTTACACCTTTTTTGTCATTTACAGAACTCAGGGACTCAGAGATTTATACAAGATATTCTATTACTCCTGTAAGCATAAAAGGGGATTATCTAAACAGCGAGGAGGGCTTTAGAAATCTAAACCGCGACATGATACAGCGAGTGTGTCAAAGTGTGTAAGATCTTCTTGGCAGGAATGAAACCGCCTCCTTCTAACGCCTCTCAGACCTCTCTCTACCTGGTCGGCCAAGTGAGACATGACTCTGCTTTTCTTTAAAGATGCTGTACCTCCTCTTCACCGCCAGGGGGCGACAGAGCGGCGCAGCAGGACGAAACTGACATTAATGTCAACTAGTTCAATCAAAGTTCCCGCGAGGGAGTGATAAAAAGGGACACCTCACCTCTGTTATGGGCAGTGGTTAGGCGACACCATATTTGATACATCAATTACCAACATTAATGAGCACCGATGATTAATGTGCGTGTATTAACATCGATTCATAAGGACAGATTATAGCTGTGTCAGTGTTTTTGTGATTTTTCTCCCCTGTCTTGGTCTGACTCTGCTGATCCAGACATGTGAAGGAGGCAGAGACGATGCGGGTAATGTGTTGGAGCTTCTTAAAGAGCACCCAGACGAAAAACAACGAGGCATTAAAATGCTCTGCTGTGAGTGCGTGACATTGCTTTATCGATCAGGCAGCAGGGTCTGTTTTTTTTTTTTTTGTTTTGTTTTTTGTTTTTTTGACTGTGAAGTTGTTTGGCTGCTGTCTCTCGGTTCAAAATATGCTGAGACACACATGCACATAAACACAGCCCAGCTTGTGTCTGCACTGACAGCAGCCTGCAATACATCTGATCTGCAAGGGATCGGAAATCCATGCATTTCAAGGAAACATGCATCTAGATAAACGTGACTAAAAATGTGTTTTTTTTTATGTGAGGGTAGAGTTTGTGAACACAAGAGGGCGCTCTTGACACGGTGAAAAAAGTCAGGGCCTGTTTTTGAGGGTAAAATGCTCTACTCTTTGTATGCCTGTGTTAAAACAAGAGTGGGAGTGGGAGGTGGGGATTTGTGTTGCACACTCTCTGGATTAGATTGAAGAGTATGCCCAAGATTGATTACAGTTACTTTATTTCTGTAATCTGATTACCCCTATATTCAATATTACACACATACACTGTTTGTAGAGCCGCTTATATTACATCCAGATGCGGGTGAAATCATAACCACATGCTCCTTCTGAACGATTTCTGAGTGGGAACTGCTCGTGGTGAACAAAGGTGCAGCCACTCAGAGTGAAACCCACAAACTCTCTCTTTTTCTCTCTCTCTCTCTCTCTTTCCTTCACACACATTCATGATCCTGCCTGCCCCTGTAGACTGTCACATGTTAGCCCAGAAAACATGGTTTGTTCACGGGGTCAGTAATGAACGTGAGTGGTCATGTTTTTAGAGTGAATTTAACACGTGTGATGGATGTCATTTGTCCAAACCAGGCTGACAGGGTTTCAGTGCACGTGTGTTACCGCGCGTGTGTGTGTGGGGTCAACCTATTGGCCTCATGAGGAGCCAAAAAGGGACTGAATTAAGTTCATAAGAATAAGAACTTTATTGATCCTTGAAGGAAAATTCAATTGTCTGTTGTCTCACATAATATGTCTATAAAAATTATTTATAATTATTATTTATCGGCCCTTTGGTCCATCAAGGTGTTGTGAAGTGGGTGATCCATGTTCTTTAGAATAGTCTCCACCTTCCTCAGTGTAGATCTCTCCACCACATCCTTCACTGAGTGATACCATCATACTATCCAGCTAAGAGCAGCCTCTCTTCTCTCTTGCATGTGCGTGATTGTTTATCTGAATATTCAGTGTTTACTTCTCGTTCGCTCTGTAGACATTGATGGAAATAGCTCATTTGGATTATCGGCTGCTGATCTATAATTTAGATATACAAAAAGACGGGGAAATCCAGTTTGGGTAAACAGTTTTGACCACAATACAAATACAAGAACCAGACTTCACTATAATCATGACAAACAGAACAAACAGACAAAGCCGGGGGATTTACTGCTCAAAAAGAAACCCTTAGATGTTATTTTGAAGTTTCTCCAAATCCAGAAAGTTCTGCAGACTTTGTCTCAAAACATGTCTGCTGGAAAGAGAAGGCTTCTTTTTTATTTTGTGAAAAGCTGACTCCTTGTAGAAACGCACTTTCAGCTGATGGGACAGATTTATACTCCTCGGGTTCAGAGGTGTGCAGGAGTCAGGTTGAGTTAGCACATGGGGGTGAGGTCTGAGTGAGAGGTTAAGCACAGCGCCAGAAACTAAACTCATCAATCTGAGTTCATAAGCCGAGTTCAAACAGGAAATCAATCACATCGATCAGAAACATCTTTACCAGATTATCTTTTTTATGAACCCACGATCCTGTTTGTGTTCCTTCAACCCTCTTCAGACTTTCTCAGCAATCTGATAGTTTCCCTACTTTCAATCACCCCTTAAGCAGACTAGTCTTTGACACGTACAGATAGAGTTTCAGAGTATGGTCTGATTCACACAGAGAGCATGAGAAGCAGGGCAGGTCACACTTCTTTCATTTACTCACAGGAGGCAACAAGCACATCTTAGCACAGTGGAAAACAAAAGACGGAGGGGGGAGACGGACGGCTGCTGTGTGTGCGCTGAAAGCTGAGACAGGGCACAGACCCGCAAACACCTCTAGAGGGGCCGTTCACTCCTCATGAAAGTGTTCATATTCACATTCCTCGTCCTTCCAACACATGATCTGATCTTTGAAGTCGGCTCAGGGAGAGGTGGATACCAGCTGTGACAAATGGAGTCGTAATATGTATTGAAAAACTGTTCTGCTTTATGAAAAATCAATTTTACAAGCAAACAGATACACGAAACAGACCGGACACAAATCTATAACTATAGCCGATGGAAAATATATTCCAAATTCAAGAAAAAAACATACAAATTGAGATTATTTCTGGAGGTGACAGCCTGGAAGTCATTAAATAACAATATTTGATTAGTCTGCCACAACAAAAAACAACAATAATAACACTATGAGGACAGCAGGGGCCTGTCATACAAGGGTTTAGGTTAGATTACAGGATTAAGAGCGCGATATAAAAAAACAATGCTAATTCCATGTCAAACTGTACCGAAGCATGAAAGTATAATTAAATTCTTGCAACTTTATTTGAGCAGGTGTGTCAGCTAAGAACAAACTGTTATAGTCGGCAGTGGCCAGGCCTGGGATTCAGAAAAGTCAACAGATCTGCTGTAGAGCAGCAGGGAGCAACAACTTTCCTACTGATTACATTTAATACAAAACAGAGTGGAGACGCTCTGCTGAGCAGTGCACCTCCCGCCTTTCACCACTATCACGCTGCGTACACAGGTGAAGAATAATCTGAGCTGGCTGCTGGGTGGATTTGCCCAGAAATATTGGGCCATTTCGATCAAATTGTCTGCAAGTCGTCTCTGGGAGGAAATCAGGCAGTTGAAGTGGAGCGAGCGAGGCAGAGGAATGACAATCTCAAATCTGACTCTCCATCTACAGACTTCTGCCAGTGAGGAAAATCAAAGTTATACTGCAATCTAAAGAAAAAACACATGTAGGTTTCTATAATTAATCTAATCCTACATTAAGAAGAAATAGCGCAATCTGTCACTAAAAGTTTAGTCCACTTTCACAGGGTATATTAGTAAGAGGATGGAGCTGACATGACTAGTTTTCCCTCCAAAATGATCAATTTATGAGTTTTTTCATCAGTGGAGAAGTAGAGAATGATAACAACTGTCAGGTACCCTACGTTTGAACAAATTTCAACCTGGAAACCAACATTAGGACAGTATATGAGCTTTCCACCCAGAGGAAAATAGCAGACATGCCAACATGGTGAATACATGTAATAAAATACAATTTACCAAAATATTAAAGGCACTGTAAGGAGTTTTTTACAGGTTGCGAAACAGACTGAGGTAGATACTGATGCCTCATCATGACCCTAAAAAGCAAACAAGATCATTAGCGAAAGGTCTGATAATTTAACTGTTGTTATTATTAATGCCTTGAAGTTCTGTGAGAGGGTAGTAACACACCAGATGATCAGCAATGGGATTTAAAAAACTGCTTTTGACTTTTTACAAAAAGTCAAATATTCAATGAGAGATCGATTTGGTTGTTCAAAGACATCATGATCACATTTTTTTTGTCTGACAACACATTATTCAGAAAAAAGTCATAATGTCTTGCATAGTCCACAGGGGGCGCCAGTATCTACATAAACCACTAGTCACTCACAGTGGCTGTAATAGATAATAATATTATTAATATGTACAATTTAATTGACAGTTGTGTTGATTCATTATGAGAAAGCTAGCATATGACATTATTCATTTCTCTGCATCAGCTAACATAAAAAGTATTTTATATATTTTTTGGGGGTAAAATTATAAAGCAAATTTTTGAATATTTTTTAATAGAGTGTCTTTAAAAGTAAGCCAAACTAAAACACTTTTTTTTTTAAATCAAACTGTGACTAAACTCATTCTTAAAGTGACTACTTCTCTAAAGATGTGAGGTTTATCGTAACTAGAGGACCATAACATTCAAACTAACCAAAATATTGTCCCAGACGTGACATTTAGACTTCCAGAAGCCAATCATAGGAAAGTTTTCCTCCTTTTTTGCCTGACTGCATGTAAACAAATATCAGCCGTTAGCCTCCATTAGTCAGCTAAAAGCAGTGTAAAGGTATGTGAAATATGACAAAGCTTTATGATAAGGTGATAAACAATCCTGTAAAATCACAGCATTGACTTCCAGTGGTGCACCTACTTTGATACATGTATTTAATATAACAGGAAGTTGATGATAGATACTCCTCAAAACTTTTTAGATACTATTTGGTTGCATCAGGGGAAATGAATACAGCTTGGTTTAGGAGCTTGATCCTGTCAAGAAGTGTAGTTTTTTTTTTTTACTGTCTGTTTCAGATTCGGCCTTTCTTTTACCTTAAACTGTCTCTGCACAGTCCCCAAACTTTGTCTACGGACACACACTTTTATTTCTGCTCATTTGATGCAGGATCACACTCTGATTTCCTGCGCGTTTACTGCCCTGGACTGAGTGAAACCATTTCAGATCGCCTCTTATCCCAGCCCCCCTTCCTCCCTCGCAAACACACATGTACCTGTCCCACTGGTTAACCCCCACCACCACCACCCATCCACCCACATGAACACATACACACACAGTCCACACTTGAATGCACAGAGGAATGCGAGGGGAATGACACAATCCACCAAATGCTAAAACCTGGTCAGCCCGGTCTAATGAATGGCCATTCAGACGCGTAGACAAAGCTGGGCCTAGATTTGCTCTATACGTTAGGGTCAAAGGTCACACAAAGCACTGACAGAAGTAGAAACCAGAGATGAATGCCTGACTCTCTCTTTCAAACATCGAGTCGCTGCTGCGGAGATTTATAAACTCGGAGTGTCACAGAGGGATTTAACAAACATGCATACAAGCGCAGTTACTCATCCTTATTTATCTTCACTACATTAAGGCTACATTAGCGCGGGTCTGTACTTTGTCGGCCACATGAGAGCAGTAGAAGAAGAGGGATGATTCAGTAACACAGAGATAATCAAAGTACATTAATCAATGAACCTAAACACTTCTTGAAACCCTTGCAGCTTAGCCTGGTTGAGGTACCTTTTGGCGATAGGAGGAGAGAGAGAGAGAGAGAGAGAGAGAGGGGAAAAAATGGTGTGTGAGTTTAAGCTTATACCGCTATAAGCTGCTCTTAGCCTGAGGCGCAGGAGAAGAAAAGAACATCTCTTCATGATTAAAAGGGCTGAGGACCAGGAAGGGAGACAGAGGAGAGGACAAGCTCCAAGCCCTCAAGGGGGTAAAGGCTCTCTCTGGAGAAACAGAAGGAAAGAGGAAAGGCTCCAAGAAGCCAAAGCTGAGAATTACAGAAGAGGAGTGAGACTTATTTCTCACCCTCGTGTTTTCCTGTTTTTCCCCCCTCATTATTAAAAAGAGGCGACGGGGTAGATGAGAGGCATGTTTGCAACAAGGAGCCACAGAGACAGCAGAAAAACACACCCCATTAAACTCTGTGCTCACACATCTCTGCTATGATCACAGACAGTTCTGGTGGGGAATTATCTAACCAAAGATAAAAACAAGAGATCAGAGGGAAATTTATTTACCTCACATCCTTGAGCGTTGAAATAAAAACCCAACAGAGGATATCATGAAAGTTCACGCTAATCCTCAAACAACTGTGTGTGTTTTTTTTTGCAAAGGTGGAGCTGCTTTGTTGCTGTGAATTGGGGACAAAAGTTGCTGGGTTCACTGGGATTGGACCAGGTAGACAAAGTGGAATCTCATTTTTTCAGGAACAGGCCTACAGGAAATTTCAAGGGAAACTTTGTCGAGCCAGAGTACAGACGACTCATCATGGTAATAAGCTGAAAAATGAGTCCTTGATGGTAGACACTTGTGTGCATCTTTATTATGAATACTGAGTACAGATTAGCCTACGCACAGGACGGTAATCAAAACATACTTGATCTATTAATTTGTTCAAACATGATTTTATTCAGATCTTCAATATGAAGACCACATTTCCCAGAACCATTAAAGGACTCTCAGACTCTTGCAGGACAATACTAGAGATTTTAATTCTGGTCTATCACACCGTATACTAATGTTATAAAAGATAGAGAAGCAATGATTTTGTGGTATCTCAAATTCTTCACTTGGTTTTTGAGTGCGAAAACAACCTCGTTATAGGTGTATAGAAACCAGATCTGAATGCACGTCTATCACCACATCACATCTGAAGTGTGCAAATTTGTACTTCAAACCTCTTGAAACCTTAGAAAACAACCTGAAAGAAAATCTTTTATAAAAGTGCATGGGATGATGAAAAAACATTTTAAAAAGAGTGTTTTATATATATTTAATGTGGTGGTTTGAGTGCGTTTTAGATGTTTAAGCTTCATTTTCTCAATTCACAGCAGGTTTGTGGGCAACTCAGGGAAAATGATCCATGACCTAAATGTCATACAGTCTGGTATTATCCTTGAGGAGATGCAAGGTCTTTGAGAAATACTTTGACATTTTGAACCCCAGTCTGTTATTCCTTTTCAACAAGCACTTGTTATATTTTGGGAGGGGGGTAGTCAGCTAATCAAACATCATCTCACCGTGCTGTAATTAGCATTCCACTCTGAAACCTATGGATACTACAAACTACAAACTCGCCGCTCCTAGACGTGTTTGTTTCCCAGGCTGGATTAAAAATGAACCGTTTTGTGTGTAGCTTTGGCACAAAAGGAGAAAACCTTTGCTGACCCCAAAGATAAAAGTGAATACTAGATTAAACAGAAAGGGAGACTGCTCTGCTCGTCAATCATCTGATCAACGGTATTATTAGCTGTCTACTATGAAACCAAAAAAACTGCTAACTCCACGTCTTTTTAAGTCCCACTCCAATCGTGTTTTTTTAACTGCTTACAGTGTTCTCAGTGGTCTTTAGATTGTGATAATGGAGTTTTTTTTTTTTACCAAAAACCGCATCATGTTAGCTTGTAGCCTAACATTGCTTGTGCAGCAGAAGTGGCAGGTAACATAGGAGCAGTTCAGCTCTCGGACACTTATGTCTTTAAGGATGCGATGAAAGCTGACATCATAATTAGCATTGCAATCCACGAATGCACAGGCTTGTTTCGCGATTGTCCTCTGTATTTCTCCTCTATACGCAGAGTGTGGCCTGCATAGCGGGGCTCTGGGGGCGGAGCTTGGATTGGTTACGTATGAAATCTTAGTCACGTTTACATGACACTCGAGAAAACCGAATTATCGCCTTATTCCGATTAAGACCGGACAACTGAAGTGCATGTAAACACCTTAGTCCAACCATAATCGGTGTTTGAGAACTCTGAATGGAGTTGGAGAACTCTGATAAGAACACCAGATCATTCAATCAGAATTTGATTTTCTTTACCATGTAACCAGCGCAGTCAGAGAATGATCGGAAGATGGATGTGCGCGTGTGCCACGCCCCCATAACTCTGGAACAAAAACACCAGAGAAGAGGAGTAGCGTGCATCTCATCAGAAAAAGTAGCGTAAATCGTGTACGACAAAAACAACAGCGTATGAGGCTTCATCTGCTTGCTCGAAAATGCCCGACAGCAGCTGTAGCCACTTCTGACATCTGGCACAGACCTGCTGCTGTTGTTGACAGTTATATGGGGTTGAAAACAGTGCTGCTGAAAAGACCCATATCGCCCCCTAGCTTCTGGAGAGGAGGGAACGTTCACATCAATAATTCAATATTCCCAGTTGCATGTACACGCGGACAAGGAAAGAAGTCCAATTCGGCGAAAGAAACAAATTTGGAGCTTATTCTGATTAAGCTGTGCATGTAAAGGCACTGACTGTTTCTGAACCTGCTGTTTGGGTCTGTCAGAGATTCAAAGGATTTGAAGAAATACTTAGAAAAGCAATTTCACATTTAGTTTTCTCATGATATGTCCTGTAGCATCAGAAAAATGCAGTATGGACATATAAAAAACAAGAAAAACGTGATTGTCATCGGAGCGGGTCTTTACGCTTGAAATTTGAGGGGGATTACTGCAATTATTAACACCTCGACACCTCGTGTTATTTAGCTCCCACCCATGATGAGACTTCTTAGGTAAAGTGTTAGCTAAACCAGTGACTGTTCAAGAGTGCTAACGTGCTGAACTTCATAATGTCAAAGTAGGCCTTTAAGGTTTCTTATATTCATCAGACAAAAGTCACTCATAAAAGATTTCTGCTTTATAAAAATGCAATCGAAGTACACAAAGATCTGAATGGCACTGGAAGATGGAAAACAGAACAAGAATTAAAAATGTATCAGTTATATCAAGAAAAACAAGTCTGAGGCCAGATAGCGTCCATGGTAAATTTTACAAGGAAAATCGACTCTACAGTGTTCTCTGGTCTCTGAGTCCACTTGGTCCTTGTTCAGTCTGACTCCAATGAAACGGAGCTGCCGGCAGACACACAGGCAGTAGAAATCACCCACCCCACTCCATGAGAAATACATGGAGCTAGAGGAGATTACAATTCACTTTGAAATGACAAAAGTGCTGATATGTCTTGGTGTCTCTCTCTCTTCTCCACACACACACACACACACGTAGAGCTGGAAGCGTCGAGCCAAACTGGGGGAAGATCAGTCTGTTAATGCTAAAAAAAGAAAAAACGACACTCTCCGAAGTCTGCGTTACACATCACACCTGAGTAAAGAGGAGGTAATGCTGAATTTGAATATAAAGTAAGAAATAAATCCAACACTTAAAATGTCGAGATGTCTGAGCGGTAACATAATCCAAATGGAATAATATGCAAGACACCCAGGGTGAGAGCAAGATTCATTCATAATTACACAACAATATGATGAACACTGAATCCTTGGAATGGCACCGGCGAGTCTCCTCTCCTTCTGCTAAGTGACTCTTTTTTAACGGGTTTGACAAATCAGTCAACCGCCAGTTTTAAAACGACATGGTTTTATGAAAATGTTGTAAACTCTGTCTCCTCTTGGTTAAGCCCAGTAATTAGGTCCTTGTGGTATTCATAAAAACACTGACTACAAACTTTAAAACTTGGTCAGTCAACGTGTCTCCAGATGACTCTTTCATTCTGGTGGAACATTCATCTTCACTTCTTTTCTTTTTTTTTTTTGTATTCTTCTGTTTGGATTTTTTCCCCCGGGGGCGTTTGAATATATTCTGCCGATCTCTCTCGGAGTCCTTGTGTCACTGCGGACAGTCCAGAGTATACTCTCAGAACGTGGCTGCTCCCGTGTGCTGGTGGTCACGTCCAGGTGAGAGGACAGGTGAGCAGCTAGAAGGTCACAGTTGTTGTGCTCTTGTTTCGAAAGGTCATTGTCTGGATGCTTGAAAGAATTTTCCTCTGGTGTCCAGCCAAAGTTACTCCCATATGCAGAAGGTCCCTGAGCAAAATTCAAGAGAATCAGCTGTTAGATACGAATAATAACGATGGATATATTCCTAAATAAAATAACATTATTTAGCCCGTAAGTCACGATCAGGACTAAAAAGCATAAAACTGCTTGGAAGTATCTGGTTTCACAAGAAAAGATAAGAACTGACTGTGTGGTGATCTGGGCCAGCTGGTCCACTGAGTTGAAGCCGGCCTGCAGGAAGCTGTCTTCGTAGCGCTCCATCTTGATGGCCCTGAGCCATTCCCCCACTGACGCACACGATGAGAGGGCTAAAGGTGTTCGCTGGTCCAGCAGGGGGTAGGATGGCCTGGGGAACAGAGCGAGGAAACAAAGGGAACAACTTTACATACACACTCAGCACAACAACAGTGAGGAGCTTATACATATCCTGCAGCAACATTCCAGCCGACAGGCAGAGGTATAATCTGAGGCTGAGTGACGGACAGGGACAAACAATGAGATTTGTCAGGGGTGGAGTGTCCTCAGCTGCATGCGTCCAGCTGACAGGCAGAAGGTGGAGGAAGGGAAGTGGGCAAAACAATTGAGTGGCAGGTCACAGCAGGACATTAAGGTGCAACACAAGATTGGGCAGTGGGTGGGTGGGTGGGGGGGGAGCAATGCCTGTCTTAAGATGGTTAGAATTCCACACAGACACTGAGAGAGAAACTTCATAAAGGACGGACATTCTTGCTCTTTTCAGTTCATTCTCAGCTGCAGATTCACTTTGACAGACAGGTATTTGAAATACACATTTGCATACTGACCCTCCAGCTTCTTGAGCGACTATTTTCAAAGACGCAGGGTTGCGGATCAGCTTGTCCAGAGCGCTGACGAGGTCTGCGAAGCGAGGGCGCGCCGAGCGGTCCTTCTGCCAGCAGTCCAGCATCAGCTGGTGCAGGTGGGTGGGACAGTCGGGGGGTGGAGGCAGCCTGTAGTCCTGCTCGATGGCATTGATCACCTGATGATAGAATATATATATATATATATATTTTAGACGTTTGAAGAAAGGAAGAGAGGGAAAAACAACAACTACAAGATAATTAAACTGGTTTTCAATTAAACTTATGCTGCATTCGAGAGGTCAGATGTCAGAGCTGAAAATGACGTCATTTTGGCGCTTGCCTTGTCCGAATATAACAAGGACAAGGCTAGCACTAAAATAACTTTCATAGATGTAGCCATCTTGTTTCCGCCTCCGATTTTGCTTATTTCCGACTTGGTAACTGAAACGCTGTTAACTCAGTTCTGACGTCATTTTCAGCTCCGACATCTGACTTCTTGGGTAACTCATTATCATTAATGGCTCTTTCTTCAAACTTACATCCTGGTTGCTCATGTCCCAGTACGGCCTCTCTCCAAATGACATGACTTCCCACATGACGATGCCGTAGCTCCACACATCTGAGGCGGAGGTAAACTTTCTGAAGGCTATTGCCTCTGGCGCTGTCCAGCGGATTGGGATCTTACCTCCCTGCATGGAAAAAGAAACTGTCAGCTCTGCAAAAAAACTGAATTGAAAATGGCCTGAAAGAAACTATAAGAGGGTAAAATAGCGAGTTTAGGTCAATCTGGTAAAATAATGGCAGGTTCTAGAGCGACAAGCATGAATGCTTCAATAAAACTATCGTGAGAGCAAATCAAATATACATGAAGGTCTTTAGATGAAGATTTAGGCTAACACCTCAGAATAAAGCGTGCCCAGGTACTGCAGAAGAAAGCAGTGAAAGGGTTTCATGTGTTTTCTGCAGAGGATAATCGTCTCACCAGAGAGCTGGTGTAGGTCGGGTCAGAGGAATTTTCCTGCAGGAAGCGCGACAAGCCGAAGTCAGACACTTTGCACACCAGGTTGCTGTTGATCAGGATGTTGCGGGCGGCGAGGTCTCGGTGGACGTAGCTCATCTCTGCCAGGTACTTCATGCCCGAGGCGATGCCGCGCAGCATTCCCACCAGCTGGATGGGCGTGAACTGGCTGTCGTTCAGCTGTGGAGGAGAGAGACAGAAGAGAGAAGAGAGAAGAGAGAAGAGAGAAGAGAGAAGAGAGAAGAGACGGCTCAGCTGGAGCAAGAATGAAGTGGCAGTCTGTTTAAATGTGTGAGAGTGTGTGAGAGTGTGTGTTCTTTGTATCAAACTCACCCGTAGAAAAGAGTCCAGAGCTCCATTCTCCATAAACTCAGTGAGGATCATGACTGGACAGCTGGCGGTGATGATCCCCTCCAGGTGGATGATGTTTGGGTGTTGGAACTGGCCCATGATGGAGGCTTCAGACAGGAAGTCTCTTCTCTGTTTGTCAGTGTAGCCTCCCTTTAGCGTCTTAATTGCTACATAGTTCTCCTTCTTCCCGGGCACCCTCAGCCGTCCTCGACACACCTCTCCAAACTCTCCTGCAGCAAAGACACATAAAAACACATTGTGGGTGTTTTATGTGACAGGTGTTTATCACATCAGGAGGACCGGAGCTGTTCCCGGAAAGCTAGAACTTGCTCACAGCTACTCGTGACCTTTGATTTCCATGAAGGCTGGCAATGTTAATAATCGGTTAATTTCTTTATTTTCCCCGTGTTATTGATTTTTGCCTTATTAGAAGGACACAGACATTGATTTAAATGTCAAAAAATCTATTTAACTTTAATTAATCATCCATTCAATAATGTTTTGTTGAAAGTAGTAAATCTGTCCGCCTGGTTAAAAGAAAAAAAACAAACACATTCAGAGTTATGGGAACAGAACAGGGCTGGGACTTACCAGCGCCGATAACCTCCTCAATCTTGACAAAGGAAACGTCAATTTCCTTGGCAAATTCTCGAACGGCCTCGTTAGGGTCCTCATAGGTGAAGGGGTCGATGTAGACCTTAACCCCTGTGAGCGAAAATACAAAGACAGTCGTGGGAAAAAGGAAGAGGACATGTCGGAGCACAGTGGGCATAAATGAGCGCAGTCACATTGGAAATTATTTTCATGACGTGGATTGAAGTTGTAAATCCTTACCTTGCCCGATGAGATACTGGTTGTTTTTGTCGCTCAGTTCGGGATCCTTCAGTCGGCTGTGTCTGCTGCAGGTGGAGAGATCGGGACAAAAGGAAGTGAGATAAGTATGGTAGTGCGTTTCTCTGAAGAATAGATGCTTATCAGCTAAATGTGATGCAAATCAGTGGTGTTACATACTGACTGTTAAGATGCAATAAAAGCAGAATAACAACGATACGTCTCCGCCTCGTTAATATCGATTTTATCTGCAGAGCTCTATGAGGCTGCGATGAACTGAGCAGGACGAGTCACCGGAGTTTGAAGACTCAGACACAGACATTCACTCACACTGGAGATCGGCCTTTTTGTTATTAATGTCTCGAAAGTGTATCCCCCTGCTTTAGTCTGATACCATCTCTGGCCTTCACACCCAAACTGTGAACAGGTGTAAGTCCTCAAGAGTTCAGTTTAGGCTTTAGGGTGGACTGTGGGATTGAGTATCTCACACACACACACACACTCACACACACTGGCAACACTGTTTCATCCCGCCGGCTCTGACAGTTCGCTGTGCTGTTTTGTCTTCGTGATGCCTCTTGTTTGCCTCTACTCCCTCCAATGCCGGCTCAGCAACTTTGCAGCACCGCTTCACTTTTGTGCTGTTTACACTGAGGGTGTGATAGATCTGTCTTAAACAGACTGTGAAAAGGAGGCCACTGATTAAACGAAACGGATCAGGTACATCTGAAAACCATGTTTGAGATGAATAAGAAGAGGAGAAAGTGATGATGCCTCTTTGACAACAACTAGGGATGCACCGATCCGATATTTGGATCGGATATCGGCTCGGATATTGACAAATTAACTTGATCGGATATCTGATGAATGACGCCGATCGAGTCTTTTTTTTCTTTTAACTCATATCAAACACAGCAGCACAGCGATTCTGTTCGCTCTATATTCTATGTCTGTCTATCTGTTTGCACTAAATGTTTACATGGAAGTTTTACTTCTTTTTTGCTGTGTGTTAATGTGAAATTTGTTATTTGTTCATAAATAATATTAACTAAATTTATAACTGTGTTAATTTGTTACCTTTTTTAACAAGGCTAATTTCAAGCCTGATGTCTTCCCTCGCAGGGTAAGGTATACAGTTCATTCATTCAACAGTCGTAGGCTGTGTCTGAAAAGAATCACTCAATCCCTGACCCCTAACCTTCATATGGGGTTTCACTATATAGTTGACTATATGTAGTGAGCTCAATCACTGGAGGTTTCGGACACTACATGGCAAGACACAATGCACGATGGGATGCCCACCACCGGTGAGTGACCATCGGATGGTCACTACATTTTTTAATGCTCTATGGGAAATTTTGAGTCGCCTATATGGGGCACTGGAATTGATCACTCAGGTTTCGGACACCCCTCAAAATGGCGCTAACCCCCGTATAGTCGCCTATATAAGGGTTAGGGATCCATTTCGGACACAGCCGTAATGGATCAGTATCAGATATCAGACGATACGCTCAGCCCAGGTATTGGTATAGGATTGGAACTGATAAAAAAGGATCGGTGCATCTCTGACAAATATACAAACTAAATCAGCCTAAAACCTAGATTCATCATGGCTTTGATTAAAAATTGACAATATGCATTTTCTTTGCTTCTTTTGTTTGAAATAACCTTGATTGTAAGTGAGCCTAGCAAAAATATAAAAAGGTATCAATCCCATGTGTGATATCCTGCTTTCTTGTCCCCGGGTCAGAGGTCGGCTCAGTTGCAGACCCTCTAGCCGGGAGATAAACTCAACCTCAAAGGCACACTCATCATTTTTGACATGAATCTTTTACCTTGTTGAGAAACTGTCTTCTGTCTCTTCTAAACTATCTCCAGACATCTCGATCAGACACAGTGCATTATGGTTCGTGGTAACATCCCGCACCTGAACCCGCCTCATCTCCCTCTGCTCTTTAACACGAGCCGCTCCACCCATTATAATCCAGCTGGAGCAAATTCATCCCTGCAAGACTGTAACAACCCCTGTAGCGACTGGATCCCTGCCTTCCTCCATTTCTCTCCCTCTCCCACCTCATAAGCCTAAAATAGCAATAATGCACCACCCTCAGTTAGTGGCAGATCTGGGCCTCTGCCGCTGCCGCTGGTTTGTGTGATGTGTGTGTGTGTGTAAGTGAGTGTGTGTGTGTCACAAGGTCACAGCTATTGTTCTCCTGTCCTGTGGAAACAGGGTTGGGACGCCTGCATCCTGTCTCTCCCTGCCCTCTACCTCTACCGCTATTTTTCTCAACCTGTCTCCCTCTCTCTCTCTCTCTCTTCTCACACACACACACAAAAACATGCCCTCTCTCTCCTTCTCTACCTCTGATGGCATCCAGCAGTATTTACTCAAACAATGAAGCCTAAGGAAAACGTTCTAATGAGCAGGATAACTTTTAGCTGTGTAAGCAGAAGACATCATAAGCACTGCTTTGTGTCTGAACTGCCTCACACTGATAAAAAAAAAAAGAGAGAGAGAAAAAAGGTGTGGATAACAGAGTGCAAATCCACAGTTGATAAGATACGATTGTATAAACAAAAGAACAAAGCGGTGCAAAGCTGCAAAATTGGGGTCACGGTTGTTATTGGTTTTTGGATTTCCCCCTTTTCACTGTTTCCTGTTATTCTGTCAGCTTCTTTCTCTTCCAAGTCTATCTTTTATCTCCGCCTCACTTTCTCCCTTCTCCCCTGGTTCTCACCGTATGCAGTAGGCGGCCACAAAGACGAAAGTGACAAGCAGCAGCATCCCAACTGCGATAAGGATGCCGGGTACCAGGAACTGGGAGGCAGCGTCTTGTCCTGAGAGAGGAGACGGAGAACAAAAGAGACGGAAGAAAAAGGAGACAGACAAACAGAGAGTTGAGGGTAATGTAACGGAAATCATGACAGAAGCTTTACATGAGAAGTGAAGAAAAGCACAAGAAGAAAACGAAGAGCATGACGAGAATTTATATAATATGAAAGCACTCGATACAAGGACACTAACTCGATACAAGGACACAGGCAGTAGACTCATGACAAGAGAAGAATCTAAAACCTCCCGGGTGGAGAGGGAAAAAATGTTAAAAGGGAAAAAAGAATCACATGTGGAGGAAATAAAAGCAAACAGGCTCTTTCCTACCATCAGGAAGCGTGCGGAAGACAGTCGTAGGACTGAAGCTGCCGTATCCCGCCATGGTGCGAACCCGAACCTGCACCTCATACTGAGTAGCCCTACGGAGGTCTGTCAGCACAGCCTGGTTTCTGGCGCTCTCTGTGTAGTGGCACTGGTCTTCGCTTCTGCGCTCCTAAAGAATGAAAACACAATAAAGCTGAAAGGACTGAAAGTGAGCAAAACAGAAGAATGTGAGAAAACAACATAATCACAGTGAAGAAATCGGACCCAAAGGGACCGCTATAGGATAATCTACATAATTAAAAGGCCGCGCTCTTCAAGTATAATTACATCTGAAATTAGAGTGCATCAAAACGTAATTAAACAGTCTTATATTTGTAATAATCTGACCTTTACTTAGACATACAATCTCATCGAGGCATGAGGTCCAGTTTTTAAAGCAGGACCAAATAAAGGCAACGCATACTTTGTTCATCAGTAACACTTGTATGTGTATTAAATGCATGAAAAAGTGGTGGGTGGTCTGAGTCAGGCTTTACTGGGTGTTTTCTTTCAAGCAAAAATGAAGAAATTAGAAACTGAAGACACACGGCCTTGAGATCAGAAAATTGAGGTTCCACTCTTGAGATTAGATACCATGGGAATTAAAAACGCACCATGGATACTCGGTCTCATACTTTTGGATTTAGTAATGATTTACATACAAACAAATGTAGATGTTCGATAAAAACAAGATGGACAAAAAAGATGGTTTATTTGTTGAACTAAAAGCTGTGGTTGGTAGTTGCCCTTTCATACATCCTGTTAAAAATGAAGTATGAATTATTTTGCTGAAAACTTTGCCAGCTATGAAGACAAGATAAGTAAGTAACACTCCATAAAAAAAAACTCCATCTTTAGAAACATGTCTTGGATTTTACCTGAATGTTACGAATGTCGAGATATTTGGCAACTAAACTGCGATTCGTTGTGTTTTAACTTCTCATGTTTGGAACAAAAATCTTAAATCTAATAAAATATGAATATCAAAATACGGCCAAAAGGACATAATAACAAAACAGAAGGCCATTTGGTACACACAGGGTTCCTATGCAAGTATGGAAAGTACGGAGAAGTATGGAAATAAATTTGATCAGTTTCCAGGTCTTTGAAAGTATGGAAAATGAAGAATAAAGTATGGAAAAATATTTATGATTCCAGACTATTATCACAGTTCTAAAAAAAGTTTTCTAAAATAGAAAAGCAGGTATTTCCAAAATTAATTCTAAAAAGTATGGAAAAGTATGGAAATTCCAGCTGTGTAGGATCCCTGTACATAATCTAAACAGTCAAATATCTGAAGCTAATATGTCTGGATTGTCATCATAAAGGCTAAAGCAGTGGTTCTCAATCCAGTCCTCGAGGCCCACAGTCCTGCATGTTTTGGATGTTTCCCTGCTCCAACACACCTGATTCAAATGATCAGCTCGTTAACAAGCTCTGAAATGGCTTAATAACGAGCTGATCATTTGAATCAGGTGTGTTGGAGCAGGAAAACATCCAAAACATGCAGGACAGTGAGCCTCGAGGACCACTGGGCTAAAGGCAGTTTGGGTTGTCATTTACATTAATGATTACGTTTTGTAACTTTGTCAAAATAATAAAGAAAAACTCCTTTTCTCTACTGCTGTTAGTGTTTCTTCTCTCTGGACTTTCTAAAGCCTGATGCACAGCTCCCCTGAAATATGACTGGTCACCTTGAATAGCATGTGGCCTTTGAGCCAGCTGATGGTTGAGAGATTTTGTCAGGCAGCTCTCACCTTCTCACAGTAGCGGATCTGGTACTGCAGGATGGTGTAGTGAGGCTCAGCTGGGACGGACCAGTGCAGAGTCAGACTGCTCTCTGTGGAGTCCCTCTTCCGAATCACAGACACCAGCGAAGGCACTGCACAGATGGTAGAAGAATTATAAATACCACAGCGAAGCTCGATTATTTATACCTCTCTACCTGTCTCCCTCCGCTTCTCACCGTCATGGCTCGTGGTGATGTTGACACTTTCACTGGCAGGGTCCTTGCCGCTGAGCTGTGAGACCCCATTGAGCGCCTGGATGGTGAAGACGTACGTGGTATGAGGCAGCAGGCCCCACACCTCCAATCTGCGACCCAGAAGGCCGTGCTGTGCGGGGCGGTAGCTGACACTGTCTCCACAGGGAAGGCACGGCCCCTTAGGTGACCTACACACAGAACACCTGACGCTAAAACTCAGGTCTGTTCTGCCGCCGTTATCCAGGGGCTCGTTCCACTCCAGACTGAGCGTGGTGTCGTTAATCTGAGTGACAATGCTACGTGGGGCTGAGGGAGGTCCTACAATGACAAAAAAAGCCATCGTTAAACCCTTAAACAGCAAATCAACCTACAAAGAGATTCTGTTTGAGTCGGTTACAGAGCAGACTTCAGTGTATGTCATGGCTGTATATAATGAAGGCCATTTGAACAATAAGACAAAAGCAAACAAATCCATGAGTGAGAAGATTCTCTGTGTCCTTGTTTAATTCAATTCAGTGAACACAACAGTCTTGTGTTTATACTTCTCACATAATGGATTTACAGCTAATTACAAGTCGAAGTGTTTAAGAGAAAACAGTTTTTTTTTTTCAGGGAACATAACGACAGCATGTACACAACATGAGCAGCCTTTGTCAGCAGGGAGCGCCGACATTAAAACAAAATGAAAGCTCATCACAGAGGTTTTAAAGACAAACCTATTGATCCAATTTTAGGCGAACATCCAAATGCACGACTTCTTTAAGCCCACATACAACTTAATCTCCATTTTCTAACTCGTAATAATTCAAATTCACACCTCGCTGCTTGATTACATCTGGATAGTAGTGGTGGGAGAAAATATCGATACAGCATAGAATCGCAATATTTTGTCTGGTGATATATTGTATTGTCTCATTTACCAAGTATCAGTTTTTCAAATTAATCGTGAATATGAAGTCAAATCTATGATAATGGAAAGAGGTGACATCATAGAACAGGAGAAAATTAGTACATCAAATATATATGAAATTTGCAAGATGTGCAACATGAAGATAAAATACTGTGTGAATAAGACAAACATAAAGGAAAGTCAAATGCTAAATTAGCTAAACAGTTAAAAAAAAATGTATAAATCACAATATACACTGTATCCCAATATTCACAGTATTGCAAATTGTTTAAAATCGCAATAATATTGTATTGTGGCCCAAGTATCGTGATATTATCGTATTGTTGGGTCACTAGTGATTCCCACCCCTACTGGATCGTAGATCATTATCGTATCATGTTTCCAGCAACAGTTCCTGCTGGTGGCTGTGCTACAGCTTAGACACAACATGCTATTTGTGACAACTCACAAATATCAACAACTCAACTCCTCTGTGCAACTTGTAATTCTGCTGCTGACCAACTGCATTTAATCATTACGTCAACGAAACCCACACATCTGTAGTTTTCAGATGGCAAATCCCTGCTCCCAAACAACAGTCCAACAGTTTCCCGGATGAAACTACAGTTTGATGTTCTTTTTTTTAACTTCGTAATGATAGTGATAGGTCAAAGGCTATATCACAGATTGGACCTCAGGAGAGAGAGAGAGGGGAATCGATCAGCTAGCTTTATGCGGTTGTTTCCTTTTATTCCAGTTTCATGCTAAGCTAAGACAACTGTGTGCTAGTTGTTTAGGACTAATGCACTTTGCTCCCAAGCTATCAGATTATTCCTTTAAATGTTTTCCCCCCACTGGGCTTAACAGCAGCATTAGTGTCAGGCCCAGGTGTCGCAGTTTTCTCAACTTATCACGCTGACTCAGCAGAGTCATTACAGCAACATTATAGCAACATTACGTTTGACAAAGTCTCTATTTTTTTCTTTCCACTGAATACCTCTGGAAAGCACCGGTAGTCATCACCCAAATACTGTCACATTATTCGGTCAAAACTGTCATCAGATTTTAATATGTAGGTGTTGCTTAGCTCTGCTGCAGTCATAGTGTGTAAAAGTCGTCTATTAAATCAAATTATAATCTCTGCTGTGTCGTTTTGCTGCTGCTTTACCTTTCCGTGACCCACATAGGCCATTTGTTTATGTTGAACATACAGGCTGATGATCTTTTACTCAGTCTGTGTAAGCAGTCACAAAGCAGAACGACGATCTTGCAGTGGCTTTGCATCCCAGCAGGAGCATATGTGTTGCAGAATCTAACTGGTGCAATTACATTTGTCTCAAACTGGATGATAATGATCACTGTCTGAAGAAGATAGCTATTGCCTCAAGCCAAGCATAACTAAACAGCAATACCACTCAGCCAGTGTGAATGAGTTTCTGTTCCTGCCAAGGAGACAGAGTTTTGTCACGGAGCCTGCAGCTAACTTAAGTGCTAATAGTGTTCTCATTGGAAACCCAAGTGGGGCAACATCAGAGACAATCTGGGTGCAAATGAATTTTTATTCAACATGTGAAAACGGGGATTTTTAGAGGCGATACATTTTACGACTTTACAATCAGAAACCGCTTTATTAAAATAAGTGAGGCTGTCATAGTTATGTAAAACACTCGTTTCAGGGGGAAGGGTCTGCATGATTTACTGATGGCACGGCTGGTTTATAATTTTGCAGACAAATTGAAAATAAAAGTGCTGTGCAGGATTCCTCAGGCAATCCAGGTACAAAAAAAAAAAACAGGACAAATAATAGGAATGGAATAATTATGAGATAAATAATTAAGATAAAGTTTTTGCAATTAAAGTTATCAGTAAAAATAACTGTGAGTATAAGCTCCAGTCGGCTTTGATATCACACCTGCACAGAACAGGAAGTCTCTGCAGCCTGATGCTGCTTCACATTGTTTCCCGTCGTCTTTACAGCCATCCCCAAAAGAGTGCAGCTAATTAAAAAGTCCCTCCCATTCACACCAGCAACATGTGTCTGAATTGAAATTCCTGAATCCGCATAGAGGTGTCACTTGAGACCATCAATGCCTACTCCACTTTAGAGTGAAGCCCCTACCCCCCAACAACCTGTCACAAAAGACATGCATCTCAATGCCCTGCAGTGGGACAAAGGACACAAAGCAGATAAGAGGAGTTTTGGCTAAATGACCCCAGAGGAAAAGAGAAACAGCACCGCAGACATTAAAAAACAAAGTGAAGAAGTGCATTTAGGAAGGAAGAGACTGACAACAAGCCAGTGGATGCCTGTGATGGTTGTCTCTTGTTTATTTGCATGTGTATTCATGTTTTAGGGCAGACTCACACCAGGTTTAGGTGCCCTGTACCGTGGCATAGCAGGACTATCCCCCCTCCCCAGTCCCCGCTGGCCTCGACAGGTCTTATAAAGACGCACACATGACATTTCATCATCATAGGTGATGTCAACAACAGCACAACACAACATGGCTGCAGAACTCAAAACAACAAAACAACTACTAAGCATAAGCTCTGAATTGCCATATACGTCTATCACCAGCAATAGAACACTTAGGCTATGATTCAACAAATTAGATTTAAAGTTTTCAATTAATAAATCAATTAAATCATTCAAATAATTATGTTCTAAGAGACAGCGCTGCGCTGAGAGGAAGAGAGAGAGAGAGAGAGAGCCCTAATCATTTTCCAGCTTTTAGAGCTATGGGGCTGTCTAATCATTTTACTGTACGTGTTGTTAATATAATTCACATGTCATACCGTGAAATAACCTGTGAGAGCCGGAAAAATCCTGTTCGTTTGCGGTGCTTTTTGTTCGATGTTCATATCCATCTACGAGGCCAGCTATGTCAAGGATGGGAGCCTGTTCTACAGTCTCTTCTTGCTGGTTGAGGTATTGAGCACTTACACTCGTCTGAGAAACTGGACTTCAAGGGTGAAACATACTTCTGCACAGTATGGATTTCCTAGAGTGTGCTTTAAGTGATTTTGTCTTTTTACTTACTAGTGCACGGGTAATCAAGAGCATCTGTTTCTGCGCGTAGGTATCCAGAGCGACACGTACACACAGACGAACCCCTGGTGGTGGCCTGGCTGAAGCTCGGACAGCCTGTGCACTGTCCCTCTGTGCCCAACTTGAACTGACCCACAGGACAGGCTGAGGAAGACAGGAGGAGGAGAAAACAAATGAGGGCAAACTTTCATAATTCCAGACATGACCTCTGAATGAAACAGGGCATTTAAGATAGTCTCCACCTCCCCTGGCGTCGCAGACAGGCTGAGGTCAAACTGAATTTGCAAATACAGTTGTGTTTTATTCTCAGGGTACTTAGGTGGCAGATGGTTGCAGACTGACAGACAGAATGGTATAATGAGGGCTATAAACTGAACACAATCACAGTAATGAATGGGATGGTAACAGTCAATTTAGTAAATAAGCCAGTCTGTCACTGACATGCTGCTTTTCACCGGAGTTGCTTCACCAGATGTAAATGTGAGATCTGACATTTTACTGACAACTTTTTAACTAAAAAACTACAAAAAAACGACATAAAATCTAAATTGTTATTTAAAAACGACAAAAGTCAGTCGCTACATCTTAAGTCTAAAGTCTTTTCCTAAGATTTTTGTCTTACTCGTGATTGTGTATAATGAGCTGTCACCTCATGATGCCACATACAGTCACTGGGACCTAAAGTGTTTACAGTGTGTTGAAATCCGGCTCCAGCTGCTGAGTGAGAGGAATTAAACAATCAACTTTCACACTGAAGGCAGCTTTGTTATGGTGAAAACAGACTTGTTTTTCACTCAGGCCTGTCGGACGGATGTTTGCCTGCAGGACTCTCCCAGGTGTGAAACATATATTTGTGTACTGCTCCACATCATCACCTGTTCAGGGTTGTTCAAATCTCAACTATAAAAGTCAGACATGATTGATAAACTAACTCAGGTGTATTTGATCTCTCGTTTTAATGACACTTATTACCCTCATCTGTTACTAATGGTCATAGGAAAATAATTGTTTCAATCAATCAAGCTGTCTGAATGTCTCACACTTGGATCAATGCCAATTTTAGGAATATTCAACAACCAGCACAAACTGTTTGTTTGTTAATATTGGATCCTTAGATAAACAATGACAACAATTTTTACTGTTGCCTTTTACTGTGAGCACTTTGAGGTCTGTTTTCTCAGGTGTAAAACGCATTATAAATAGAAATATTATTGTTATTATTGTGACTATTATTATTGTTGTTAGTATTGTTGTAATTATTATTATTATTGTCATTATTATTATTATTGTTATCTTTATTCTCATTATTCTCATTATTATTATTATTATTATTATTATTATTATTATAATTATCATTATTATTATTACCATCATTATTATTCTCATTCTTATTCTCATTATAATTATTATTATTATTGTTCTCATTATTCTCATTACTAATATTATTATTATCATTATTATTATTATTACTAATACCATCATTATTATTCTTATAATTCTCATTCTTATTCTCATTATTATTATTGTTATTATTATTACCACCATTATTATTCTTGTTATTATTCTCATTCTTCTTATTATTATTATTATTATCATTATTATCATTACTAGTATTATTATTATCATTATTATTATCATTATTCTCATTATTATTATTATCATAATTATTATCATTATTAATCTCAATATTATTATCATTATCATTATTATTATTATCATTATTCTCATTATTAATCTTGTCATTATTATTATTAATCTTACTATTTAAGCATAAGTCTTTTTCAACATGATGAATGACATAATGGATACCCGTTTTTGTACTGCAGCTAGCATCCAGGCAGTTACTTGTACCCTTGTTCTGAGTGCAACATCTGTAAAGCTCATGGTACATGGAGAAACACAGCACTCATATAACAGTATTCATAACCTGCTAGAGTCTACTTCAAAGCCGGTGTTTAAATATTGTAATCAAGCACATCTGAGACACTAAATCAACTTGACAGCATTCATAAGTTTTACATTAAAGCTTTGTGTTTGACCCAGAAATTGTGTGTTTTGTCTACAGGAGATAAAGGCATTACAGAAAAATTAATCCAATAGTAAACCTCGTCGACAATTTCATTTTCTGAAATGACCGGCCTTCAAAAGAAAATTAACTGTTCAATCTTGCTATAAAAGGCAATTTCCCTTTATGGTCTGGGGAGTTTTTCCTCCTCACAGCTCTCCTCAGCAGCAACAGAACGCTGCAAATGCCAAGCACACTTCACCAGAAGCAAAATGTCGGAAATGAAATTTTTGTTATGAAAAATCATTATACCTCCCACGGAGATCAAACTGAATCCTACCTTCACACCGAGACGGATGCAAGCACACATTTTCCAGAGAAAACATTTCTTCTTATGTTGCTTTGTTTTCGGTGCTCGACATTTGTCTCTGTTGGTGTGTTGCGGGGAGCGTGTGTTGTTGCAAGTGCGCACGTAGGGGGTGTTCATGCACGAGGCTTGTTAATTGGACTCATTAGATGGAGCTGCAGCGCGGCTCCTGAGAGAATCCTCCTGCTTCTTCCTTCTCTTTTTTGTCTGCTCAGCTTTGATGTTCTCAAACTGATATGATCTTTACCTCGAGCGTTCCCCCCCTGCTCGCTCTTTTCACCTCTGCAGTTCTCCTGCGCTCTCTCTATCTTGGCTGAAGCAGGAGTTGTCGCAGCAGCAAGCCTTTGACCCTGCTCTTCCTCTCTGAGATAAGTGCTGCCCCACCTGACCCCTCTCTCTTTTTTCTCCCCCCCGTGTCAGAGCTCGTTCCCTTGCCTCATTAACTTCCTCTGCCTCTCACTTCCTCCCTTCAACCCTCAGCGAACCCCACCCTCATCGTACCATTGTTTTCTTGTTTAGTCTGCCCGCTCTGCTGCCTCTCTGGGTGTAGTCTACACACATATTTGCGTGTGTCCTAATTTTCTTACCTGTGCATCTTGTGTTTCCTTCAGCGGGCTCAAATCCTTTTTTACAGGCGCAGGAGGTCGTCGGCTGGCCCACCCACTGGCCATCCTCCCCACAGAAGAGCTTTGGCGGCCGAGGTCGTGGCCCCTGCTGCTCAGCGTTCTCCACGCACACACCCTGTGCCTCCTGCACCAGGGTGCGAGGGACTGTTTCAGGGAAGGAGGATAGGGCGCTGATTAGAGGAGGGCACTTCTTGAAGAACACCCTGACAGAGAGCAGGGCCATGGAGGCGCCCTGAGCCTGGAAAGCCAAGTAGAAGCCTCTCTTATTGAGAGGGCCGAGCCTCAAGGTCTTAACGTTGAATTTCCTTTCCCCGTCCTTCCTCAGGAGAAAGTCTGCAGCCACCGTGTCCACCTAGAACAGGAAGAAAGTGAAAAGGTCTTATGTAAGGAGGACCAGATTCCCGTACACAGGATGCATTTTTACAAAGGACCTGCCGGCTTGTTTTAGCCATTAAGAAGTCATCACATATGCTTTATATTACCGAACATTACTTTCCAAAGCATACCACTGTGATTTCAGATTGATTTACTACCTACCTAGCAGCCTTTGTTTCACATTTGTTACACTACGCTTTGAACTTCAACTTGCAGAGATTTGAAATGTGCTTGGAAGCAAAATAATTCATCCCGGCCAACATTTCATCACTTTTATTTTCTGTCAAAGTTACATTATTAAGTGGTAATGAGGCCAGGGAGCAGGCACTATTTTGAAACCTCTATTCACGGTGAGTTCACAAACCCTAAACCTCTGAGGCTGATTCAGAAAAGACACCCAGCTCAAATGCCATGTGTGTGTGAAAAAAGAAACCCAGTCCATATACAAAATGTTAACAGCCAAGTTGTGAAAGAGATTGAACGCACAGACAAGGAGGGTTTTAATAACAGTCACAGCTCCCGTGAGACAATATCATAACTTGGATATGCACTTATACGCACTTGGCTATGCACTTAGAGCGCTCAGACCTCAACTGTAATAAATATAAAACTCCGGCTACATTTGGGTCTCTGTGGGTTGTGGATGTCAACGTGACGGGAAACTGTGTAGCAGAAGCTATTTCAGAAAGTGTTCTTGGACAATTACAAGCAGCACATGAATGAAAAATGCCTCACATGAATTTATAGATGTTGATAAGGAAACATGTAAGACAGCCTGTCTTGGAAAAATGAAGTGTTCAGCCAGAGAAAACCTCAATCAACAGGTAATAAATCTTACCTAGATGTGTTTCTCGATAAGAAGAGAATCTGAACACTCAAAAGTTTACACACACATATGCTTGAGTACTTGAGCACTTAAAAAAAAACATCTGTGACAGTTGTTTTCCAGTAATCCAAAACACAAATGTTACCAGATTTTATTCCAGGGATTGCTAATTCAATCTTTTTCTTCTATTTTTGATCAGGCTGTGATTTCAGTGTCTGTTCCCTGAACTTCATTCTCATGCCAATACACAAATCACTTGTTAAAGACCGATATAATAAGATGCTTTCAATGTGACAGTGTTGTTTTAGTTGATGATGACGTTGACGAAAATATTTTCATCAACGTCATCATCAATGAAAACAACACTGCAGAATAAATGTTTATTGTTTGACAAACGAAATGCTCATGAATTTTGCAACTTTGTTCGTCTTCCACCACTAACGTTTTCGTCTAGTCTCGTCTCATTGACGTAAACGCACATTTGTCTTGTCACATTTTAGTCATCTAAGAATTATGTTTAGTTCGTCAGCGTTAAGTCTTCGTTGCGGAAAACTAGGGGCACTGATGAAACGTTTTCATCAACAAAAACAACCAGTGTTGTTTTCGTTGACGATGATGTTTTCGTCAACGTCATCGTCAATGAGAACAACACTACGATGCGGGCAGTTCAGTAGTTTAAGATCAGGTTTATACGTCTGCCTTAGACTTTTTATATGAACACATTTCAGAAAAAAACATATAAAGATTGTGTAAAAAAGACCCCAACAGGCAACTCATTCATCAAGCTCTTATCGAGTCTCAGTCATGTCGTTTTTTCACTTCTCAGACACTGTTCACTGCTGTTCTGTTTTTCCTAATGCTTTTTTTTTTGGTTAAATTAATGAAAGTTCTGCTTTGGGATATATTATTAGCCTTGTGTAAAGCAGGAAGCTCAGCCCTATAGAAGATGAGACTTTGCAAAAACAGTTTTTAAAGGATTTGTGTTATTCTTCTAATGTCTTTATTCAGAGGATGGTGCAGGAAACTGATGCGAGAGAGAATGGGCAGCGATAAAAGGGCTGAGGGTCCAATCTGAACAAGCTTAAAAGGATTTTAGTCTCTGCATATGGGGCGCACAGTCTGGCAGCCCCGAAACTGTTTCTTTTAAAGAATTTGATAGAGCAAAGGCCAAAATATCCAATACGGGGCTAAAATACCAGGTAATTCTTGATCTTAAACTCCCATTATGCGGTTCAGTTCTCTGTTTTCAGTGGTTTTGTTTAGACTTATAAAGCCTGGTGTCTCTTAAGCTCTACACCCTGAGTTTGCAGACTTCTTGATGTCAGACCGTGAAATATCTGGGATATGATTTATCGACCAGAGCTGCAAAGATTAGACGGTAAATTATCCTGAGAATGGATAGCAAACAAATAAGCAATTGTCCAATTTTCTTATTATTTTGGAGTGATTATTTCTGTTTTTTTCTTCTTAGATATAAAGCTAATAGTTCTGAAAAAGGAGTATTTTCTCTTTTTCTTTGTCATCCATAAAAATCAAAAAACACCGTCGGCCTCCTTACTGGTTATGTTCATTTTACAGACCAAATACCTTTTCTATTGATATAAGACAATCTCAGCGGATCTATCAACACAGAGATGAACTGTTAATTGCAATCTTCTGATTAACTCTATTTTCATATGTGATTAAAATCCTGCAGAGTTGAATAAGACATTCAACGTTCTGCCTAGCTGTGTGGTATTAATCATAATACTCCAATTGGTTCTCACATGGAAATAGATGCAAAGCTTTTAATTAATATCTTCAGTATTCTCAAATGCTGAATAATCTTTCCTCAGACATAAATCGTTTAGACTAATGAAATCACAGTGTGTATTTTGGACTACTTTACATTGAGCATGAGGGTTGGCGTGTGTTTTTACCTTGACGTAGGGGTTCTCCATCCAGGGGGGGTAGGTGTATGTGGCGTCGTTGGAGTCTGTCTGGTAGTAGTAGAGGTTAAAAGTCTCCTTACAGCTGCGGTGGTGGGTGCTTCTGGACGAACACTCCATCATGGTAAAGCGCAGCTCCACATAAACCTGGGACGCCCCTCGTCTTTCGATGAAGCCGCTGCGCAGCCAGTGGCTGGAGGAGCTGTTCGTCTGCAGGATCTGATAGATCCTCACGCTGTTGTTTTCCTCATCCAAACCGCTCACCTCCTCCCACTGAGAGACAGAGCAAACAAAGAGTAGTGAGGTTTCAGCTGACCCCTGAAAACTTGTGCACACTTTTGTGAACATTTTTGTGAACATATCTAACTCTCCCGTGTGAAGACTTCCCAAAAGGGTCTTCATATAAATTCTCACCCTGACTGTCCTACTTGTAACAACAACAGTGTTGCAGTTTTTGTTGGCCTGAACTACGCTGCACCTGTCAGAGGCCCAGGGGACAGATGTGGCCTGCAGTGGATTGTGATCCAGTCCAAGTTTAGATCTAGGTTGTTAAATCATTCCTCCTGCTGAGCTGCAGCCAAGCAAGCGCCACTGCGAGTCTCTCTTGTCAAACAGAGCACACAGTAACCCAGACAGACTCAGCTCTCATCCTTCAACACACATTCAGAGTGAAATACAAGAGTACAGAGGGGATATCACAAATATGTATGATGTGAAAACCCCTACAAAGAAATCTACATTTGTTGGGAAGCCAAAAGCAACAGAAAAATGCTTTAATGTTTGACTTCTGAGTCAACAGCAAACATGTTCACCATCAGCATGTTCCCAAGAGCGGGAAACAAGCGGCAAATTTACATACTTGGGGCAGAATTTAGCAGATTTGCTGAACTTGAGGCTCAGAAATTCAGTTATGTAAATATGTAAATCTTTAAAAATCCATTTGCAGATGATGTGTTGAGTGAGGCAGAATACTGGTCTGAATGAATTACAGTGCAGCCGAGCACTGAGAGCCAGGTTTAAAACTCTTGAGGGGAGAATTTCCCTTTTAATCCTCAGAAAATAAATACTATAGTATGGAGTTTGGCAGCACAGATTTCTATGAACAAAATGTTTTCAGTGAAGAGGATGCACGAAACATCCCGCAGGGCTCATCTGGATTGGCAGAAATAATTTAAAGAAAGGGTTTAAATGTTTTTTGAAAGCAGAGACCGATTAGTGTATAAAAGATGTATGTTTAACCATCTGAGATATACACAATCTATATATATATAGTATGAGCACATGAGAGACAGACTGAATTAGTGTCAGATTATATAACATATCTAACAGTGTCACTTCACATTTATTCCAGTGTATGTTTGGTATTTATTACTGATTTATTCCTGATTTACATTTTTAATGCTGTTTAGGAGTTTTTCAAGGCCAATCAGAGTTTAGGAGGCTACATGAATCATCTAGATTTGACTTCAAATATTTGAGTTTAATGGCCATATCAGACATGTTTGACTTTGGTAAATAATACCACACCCACTTTCATGAAACATGCATGTTTAAGCACTTTAATTGTGACGTGCAAGATGTGATTTTGAGTCAGTGGTTCTCAAGTCCAGTCCTTGAGCACACCTGATTCAAATGATAAGCTCGTTAGTGAGCCATTCCAGAGCTTGATAACGAGCTCATCATTTGAATCAGGTGTGAGGACTGGACTTGAGAACCACTGTTTTTAAGTCACATGACCTGAAATACTTCCACGTTAACAGCGAGATATTTACACCCGCTGTCATATCTGGCTTTCTATGTGAATGATTCAACTGAGTGGAACCGAGACGTTCCGCCACTGTGTCGGCATCAGGGGTTGTAAAAAAAAAAAAAAGGTGTTACAGGAGTGAGACAGGTTCACTGTGAGCCAGCTGACGAGACGCGGCTGAACAGAGCTGTGTTGTTTGTATGTGAAGCTCCTGAGGTGTGATTACGTCTCGTGCTGCCACAACGCACAAAATCCACAAAAATCACACTCATAGGACACGAGTTATACTCTGTCACAGACAGGGTCAATATATAAGAGTGATGATGCCAAAGCTTTGTGGCGTGGAGCGTCGCTGAGACGTGCTGCTGTCAGAGGCATGGACAGAATATGGCGCATATGACAGGGATTTGATTTGATTGATTTGAACTCAGAACATAGAAGATATTCAGTATAATTATATCAATGGAAATTTTAAGTGTTAAGAACATAAAATTACAGTGACTGCATTTTTTCACTGCTGCAGATTGGAGAAATACTGTTATACCGCAGTTATTTCCAATGCTGAGCAGCCCTACTTTCAACTTCCTGTTATTTCTGTTCAAACCACTTGATTCTGCAGCAGTACGGCCCACATCACTGATAAACCACAAATTAAAACGACTCTTTCTCATACTTCTCACTGGAGCTTTTACAAGAATCTTCTGTATTTAATGTATGTCTTTCTCTAAATTGAGCAGCCAGAGTTTTTATCTTACAAAAACCTTCAATTTTTCTATCATACTCTTTTAGAGCTAAAAATACACGTCCCATATATGAACCTTTTGTGTCTGTAGGTTTTGAAGCAGACAGCTTACAGCGTCTCCCCACTGCTGCCTGTCACTTTTGACTAAAATCACTGTTTTATACTCTTTAGTGTTGACTCTGTGTTATAGAAAACAATCCAGTCTTATTTCTGACATGCGAATCTTTTGATAAAGAGATTCAGCTGATAAAAGCAGTCTTGGGACTTGGGAGACAGTAAGCCTGTTTTTCTTTGCATCTAAATCAAAATCGCAGACGTGATTCTTGAGTTTTTCTGTCCGGTTTCCTGCCAACATTACTGTAAGTGTTTTCTTTCAGCGAGTTGAGCAGTTTTGGTCACTGACTGTGCTGGCAGGAATACCAAAGCAACCATCACTCAGCTGATCAAATTACAAATATGTCTTTTTTTGGCAGCATGTGTTCAAATTGTGGGCAGCCAGTGACTTCAGCTCCAAGGTTGATGGGATAAATCAAAGCATCTGCTTTTAATACACTTTAAATTCCACATGGACTCGGTCGTTTTCCTTTTTTCTGTCAGTTACCTGCCATATAAGGAGTGCGTTTATAGCCAAAGTAACAAAGGAACAGCTGGAAGCCAAAAATCCCACGTCACCGGGTGGTGTGTCAGTAATGCAGATAAGACGGAGGGCGGGGGTCACGTACCTCAGGTTTGGCGTTCGAGTAGATGGTCCATTTGAGATCAGAAGTCTCGGTCTTAGTGTTCATCAGGACCTCTGTGAAAGAGAGATAATGTTACTCACAGCTGGAAACAGAGAAACGACACGTATGAGACGCATTTAGATTCAGAGAGACATAAATGAATTTAAAAAAACAGAGTGAACATAATTCAACTCCCGAGCGCCCTGCCAAGTATCAGCGGTGGCTTACACTGGGATTAGGGGAGAAGATGGAGTTTCAGCAGTCAATTACATCCACAGAAACATTCCCACTACCCCTAAAATTGTCTTTCCTCTCATGTTTGTTTTTATTCCCCCTGTGGCCTTGGCATTCCCGGCGACGCATCATGCCTGTGGTCATACCAAACCTGGTGAAACGCCTTCACGGGGACAAATAGTTGAAACAAAAAGAATCGACCACCCCAACATGAAAACAGACACGCACAAAAGCATGCATAGAGAGATACAAGCTCGACTAGTCACAATCTGTGATTATAATAGAATTGATTTTCTGTAATCTTTGGGAGGGCAGGCCGCCAGCTCACAAACAATCTCAAGTGTTGTGCTATGATTCAGTATCCTAATAAAATCTAAGTGCAGAGAACTTGGTTTAAGGTGAAGGGACCACTTTATTCCTCCAGCTGTCTGTGCAGATTGTCTCAGCTGAATTGTGACGGCTGTTTGCACTCCCGGATGAGGTTTGTGTCACAGACCCTCTTTTAGAGCCCTGTATGTTCCCTGCAGACGCTCGTCTCAAGGGTGCGGCTGGGTTTGGTTTTACCTATAAAACAGGATTTAATGCGGCTCGTCGGTGTGACATGATCAAGGAGAGCACCTGCAAGGAAACGGGTGCTGGAGGACATCCGCTCTGTTTTAGAAGGAGTATTACTGTGAGTTTATCACTGGGGTTATTAAGATGTTCTCCTGAATACCGCTCTGAATGTAGCGCTCAACAGTAAAACCTGGCATTCCTATAATCCCAATAATATACGCACCACACAAACACAAACACGACTATACTTCATTCTCACTTTAACATTTTCACACTTAAAAAAGAAGATGTTTGTCCTCAGTTTTCTTTTATGGGTTTGTTTTTCTCAGTTTTAGTTTCTGCATGTTATGGGCTAATCAAGTCTACGGGGTGTCCAGATTAAAGTAATAACTCTTTTAATAAGTAACAGATGTTACCTGAAATCCATTTTATTCACATTTCTTAAAAGCTTTAAAGAGGAACTTGTGATTACTGATTTTTGCAAACTCCTGTGGACAAAGCAGTATTTTAGAGATTATGTCCTCTACATAGGTGCCTTTTGTTTTTATAAAATACTCCCAGCCTGATTTATTCACAGCTAGTTGTATTTTCTATAGGGGTGTCCCTGATAAAACATTTACGTCCGATATGATACCAATATTGATCTACTAGCATAAACTTTTGCATGAAGTTTTGCACTCAGCTGCAACGTCTTTTTTGGATTACAACGAAAAATACTGCCACACATTGAACATCCCTCCTAATCCTAGCTACTTTGTTAGCACCTTAGTACACACTGTTGTTGTGATCAAGTGGGCTCTGCATGCTGGATAAAAGTGCTGGAGCAGAGTCTCGAATGGATTGTTTGTTTGAAGAGTTTAGATTCAGGCTGATATAATCTAATATACGTCTTTTTGCTGATATTGGACGATTTCCGATATCAATATTGGATTGGGACACCCCTAATCTTTCACTGTGAAAAGTGGAGAGAAAGCCTGATTTTGGCATGTACAAGGTGCAGTTACATATATTAAAAACAAGAATGGATAGAAATAATCAGTTTTGGTTTTCGTGGCTCATTATAAAACCTCTGCATTTGAATCAGACCATTTCACAACCTGAGCAAACACCTTGAAGGAGCTTTGGGTAATAATTTAGCATCATTTTTATTTCATTCTGTTGAACATCAAACATTGATCGAGGAAAGTAACTAAACTCTGAAAAACAAAGTGTTTTTGTCCTTTGTTTAATAGCTGTTGTTTCCACCTCCTACTTACTTCAACATGTTTGATTAGGTCCAAAACATCTGCTCCAAATATTTCCCTGTCAAAATCAAGTCTATTTACACAGACATAATGATTCCATCTGTGTTTATGTGATGTGAAGATCAAACAGCCCGACAAAATGCCTCTTATAGTTGACTCATGGATTTCCAAGTTTCCAAGAAGTAAGTAATAATGCATAGAAAGCAGCTTGCTATGGCTGTGCTCTGAAATGTTTACTTCATTTACTATCTCTAATTTTGTAGTCTGGTCTTTTGTAGAAGCAGCTTTTGTTTTTCTTTCTTTTTAAATAGTTTTTCGGCCTTTTTGCCTTTAAATGAGAAACACTGGTAACATGGGGAGAAAAAAGAGGGTACAAAATACACCACATAGTGCTCTAGTTTCTGTACATAGGGCACCTACTCAACCAACTGAGTCAAACCCATACTCCAGCTTTTGTCTCTGACCTTTTCTTCTTTTTCTCAGCTGTTTTTTTTTTCTCCTCTCTAACAGTCTTTACTATAAACAAGCTGACGACAAATAAACAAGACTTCTGGTCTATTTGCACATCGATAGGATTGCGATTGGACCGTCAAAGTCTGTGGTTCCAGCCGGATCTCCTGGCAACAGTCAGCTATCGAGAAATTACAGACTATTGCGATGAAATATTACCATGTAATGACCAATCAAAATCCAATAATTCACACAGCCATTTACAGCCATCTGTGATTAAACTGTCAACTTACCTTCTGTAAAAGCTAGAAATGTGACGTCTATCGTCTACGCGGAAAAATAAACCAGGAGGACCCAAAAGTTAAAATAATACAAACAGAAACTTAAAATTTACTCTTATGTCCTACTAGACTCTCACTTAACCTTTACCTGCAGAGACCTTCGATGTATGTTTGTGTTTCTGTATTTTCATATTTTTGGTGTGTTAAGGCTGATGCTGGTTGTCAAGCATTGGTTTGGCATATGTAGCCCCCTGGCAAATAAAAGCATACAGGGTGTGAAGACAGACTTAGCAACCAGGTGCCATTTTTTTTCAAACATACCCTTCAGGAAGCTGCTGGTGGCAATCATCTGGGGAGGAGGGGCCGGTATTACACGTGGTTTATAATGAAAAATCCTCCTCCTGATATCTCAGGGCAGTGGTGAAAGTATTTGTCAAGTCATTTTCCATTACTGGCTGACTAACAGAGAACAAATGAGCAGTGCTTTTTCCTCATGAAATGAACATTGACAAAAGCAGGTGGGAGTCTTATTGTGGGGAGTGTCTTGTGCAATACTCAAAAATACAGAATGATAGAGAGATGAAGGCTGCAGGGACTCCTTGCGCTCTATGAATACATCTTACACAACACTGTGCAGCACAAACACTTGTAGTATTTTACAAAAATAACCAAAACGCCCACAGTTACTTATCTCTGTGATCCTGTGTAAAGAGAGAGGCAATCACATCAACCACTTACCAACCCACATCCCCATAAAACACACATGAAGGCTCAAAGGAAACTCTCACATGACACAGAAACCGACTCGCACTCATTCTGAGATGAAATGTTGCTATGTCGGTCTACAGACAGACGCCAACGTTCAGCACTAATGAATGTAACAGTGCTGGTTAAAGATCCTGCAGACAAGTGTGCTCTCTTCAGGATAGACTCGAGTCTTTGATTCTTTTAAAGCTGTATTCCCTCTGTCTCTAGATTAAGAAAAAAAAAAACATGTTTTCCTGCAACACTGGATCATTTCAATCCAAAATAATTAACAGTGAAAGAACAAGTGCTTCGAGTGGAAGACATCTGGTGTCACCCGAATATATCGGACTCTTTATATCCTCGTTTCTTCATAATGGATTTCAATGATCTCTCAATCAGGCTTGTGCTAATTTAATGCATTTCCTCAGTGAAAAACCCACACACACACAAAATCACAAACCCACACAAAACACACGTTAACACAAAAATGAATCCCACTCTCAGTGCTGTACAGCCAAATGACTTTTATTCATTCCCTCTCACTGTCATTTTGGCGTTTCTATAGCCTGGGTGACCCGTCTCTTGCTCAGCATGTGAAATTAGTGACTTGACATCAGTAATTCTCAGGGATGCATATGCAGCAGCCTTGCCCTTGTATCACACTGAGTAGAAAATGTGACTCAACATCAGCGACTTTTCCCCTCACACTGCCTGCTCACATTATGCTCACTAGAAACTTTAAGACCGACCTGATTATTTTGGCAAAAAGCAGCGTGTTTCCTCTCTTTGCTGATTTTGGCCTGAGTAGGTGGGTCCTTGTCTGCTATAACAGTTTCACAGAGAGGCACGAGGATTCATGACATCATGTTTCATAACCCGCCTCCAGATTCGAAACGGGATTATAGTGCCTGCTGGTTTGCCAAGTGCAGCTAACATTAGCAGAGCTAGCACCACCAACCAATAGTCTTTCTTACTATGGGTCAACATTCACATACCTGTGCTGGTTACTAGGAGTGTCCCGATACAACTTTTTTACTTCGGATACGATACCGATATTGTAGCCTTCAGTATCGGCCAATACCGATATAAATCCGATATTGGTTTTGCACTCAGCTGCAATGTCTTTTTCGGACTTTAACGAAAAATACTGCCACACAGCCAACATCACTCCTATTCCTTGCTACTTCGTTTGTACGTGGTTACATGGGCTTGAGTGGAGTCTGGAATGGACTGCTTGTATCGGAGTGCTGATATCAGATTTTAGATGCAGGCCGACATAATCAGATATTTGTTTTTTGGCTGGTATCGGACCGATATCAGATATCAATATCATATCGGGACAGTCCCACTGGTCACACATTGCTCCAGTCTAGTGGTTATATGCATCAAACAAGACACCGCCTCCATACAACTGCAACTACATTTGACAAACCCTGCAATGCTACGTCAGTCTTCAGGGCTTGTTTACATCTAGGTAGTAAATTATCGGAGCATTACTGTCATAGCATGAGCAGAGCTACAGCCCCAACTAGTGGTGAGTAGCTGCACTTAAAGGAATATTCTGGTGTAAATTGAAGTTATGGTCAAACACACTGTAACACTGAGTTAGACACCCCCTCGAGAGATGAATCGAGGGGGTATCTAACATAGCAAAGATAATTTCCTACAAGTAATAATCATCATAATAATCAATTTGCACAACAGATGCAGCAGTTCTTCTGCCTTAGCATCTTGGTCTGATTGCATTTTCGTAGAGTAATAATCATGATTTTTCTTCCTTGAGCTGCGAAACTCCACTGCACTCGCTGATCGACTCGTCAGGGCTCCCCCACAAACAAGCGGCTGCTGGAGGAGAGTGAGTGAGTTGTGTTTGATCTCTTTACTAAAGAAACCAGGCAAAGCTAAAAAGATGTTTGATGGCTAGTATTTCATGCTGGGACCCTATATGTACTGTTGATGAAGTTAGGTGCTGTTCTGAGCATTATTTGTGGCTACGAGTGGTTGAGGTTTGCGTGTAAAGACGTAGACCACTGTGTGTTGCTATTGTGCGGTCGTTGCTGAAGTTGGAATAACTAGAGAAGCAAGCAGTCAGCAACATTCATCTCTCGAGGGGGTGTCTAACTCGGAGCTCTGGTGTGTTTGACCATAACTTAAATTTACACCAGAATATTTAAGCTAAACCACAACATGTTAATAGAGTGCCTACAATAACAAGTTTGTCACTTAGTTGTTTAAAAAGACGAGTGAATCTAGAGCCAGAGCGTTTCATTTTTAAGTTGACACACACATCCTAACTAAATGTTTCTTACAGGAGCTGGAATAATGCCCTCAATTGTCTGCAAAGGTCTCCTTTTCAAAACAGACCAGGTAAAAGCTGTTAAAATGCTGAGTTAGGTTATTCTACACTGCAAACCACTGTTTCTCTAATGCTCTTTAACAGACACAGGACGTGTGGAGAAGCTGCGATTCACGCTGCTGCTAGTATCAGCTTGTGTCGAGGAGCTTGGTTTGTTTTTTTTTTCAGGTCAGGATTCTTTCAGTGTTTCATACAAAGGGTCTTCAAAAGAGAGCTGAAAAAGCATCACGCTCGAATGTGGCGAACAAGTAACATGTTGAAAAATCCTGCATAAAAAAGGTAGAGGTTAAAGTTGAGTGTTTCTCCACTGCTGTTCAGCAGACACGGTTTGTCTGAGTGGAGGCTTTTAGCGGAGCTTCTACAAACTTCCATCTATTTCCTCATCTTTGGAGGAAAACTGAGTTCAATTACAACTTTGCTTTACTTTGTTTACCTTCAAACACTGCAGGATGTAGATGTGATTTCTGCTGTTTGATAGGCAATTAGGTTTACCTTAACCTTCATAGAAATGTTAGCACTTTTTATCCACGTAAGTTTAATGGAGATACTGTATCGAGATGTTTACCTACCCATGATTCTCACTTTATCCCCCCTTAAAACCACAGAGGCACTCCAACATTACGACAACAATCTGAGGCTGTAAAAAGGGAAGAAAAGATGAGAGCAGAGAGAAGAGGAAGAGGAGGAGGGGAATAATTGTTTGACTAAGCTGAGTTTGGTGCTTTCCGTGCTTATAGTCCATGACAAGTTCACTCCATCGATGTAATTTCAAAACACACCTTTATAGCACTAAGGCTATAGTTTGGAGGCCGACCCGTCTCCACCTTTCATATGCACACCTGCCTCTTCATATAGAGAAACACACACACACACACACACATACCCCACGGCATGGTAATCACTGTTTATCTCTACCCTATCATTAAGCTTTATGAGACAGGATGCGTACGCGTGAGTGTTTCTATGAGATGGTGAGTGTTTTCTATTATGTGCATGCACAGCCTTGCCTTTCACCGAGGTGCACTCAGACTTCAGCTCTGTTAGAGGAAGCTCCAGTTTCCCTTTACATTCTTACAGCAGCAGCGGCAGCGGTGGCCACCCACGGCCGGAAAATTGCCCCCAGTGCAAAAAAATGTTGAAACAATGAAAAGTCGTCATGTGGCCATATCTAAACACCCCAAACATACAATTGTCCTGTAATTACAGGACAATCAGGCACATGAGAAGACACTGGAGACAATGAACTGATACTTGTGCTGGCAAAAACTCAAGACTCGGCCTTGGAATACGATATTTTTGGGTGAAAAAAAAACTTTTGGAAAAATACAGTCATATAGAAGCACACTGAAAGGTTACTGTATCTACTAAACCAGTCTCTTCTTCTCGAATGATAAATAACGCCCTACTTATTCATCTTTACACTATCTGTATGTACAGCTTATGCTATCTTTAGTGTATGCTGTTTTTTGTAACTTTTGTGAAACTTTTAGTTGATTTTTGTTTACTTTTCCACCTTTTTAATAATTCCCACATATCTTAAATCTTAAATTAACTTTTAGAATATCTTCATTATTTTTAATTTATATATTGTAGGTTTGATTTAAGGGCTGTTTGATGTTGAAAGTTTGCAAAATTTATATTATTTATAATATAAGTCACTGTTACCAAGCACACGCACTGAAAGGAAGGGCTGAAGTAAATGAGGTCACCTATTAGTGATAGTGATTGTATACCTGTGATGAGTGAATAATGGAAAAGCACAAGAAAGGCGAGAATATATTGTGTTTTTTACAATAACAGAGGGTGTTGTAAGCAGTTTTCTTTGAAATGCAAAGCTTGACCCTGTATTTTTTTTCACTTAAAATGAAGGGAAGGGGGAGGGAGGTTCAACAGCAAACAGTATACCCTCATTTTCTATACAGCTGTCTTCAGGCTTTAACAACTGACCTCAAATTCAAGAACAGCACCCATTTGCAGCAAATCCTGTTTCACAATTCTTCAATTTTGCGGTCATCTCTTCCCCGCATGCCCTGTCCCTCCTTATTTTCCCCTTTCTCTGTGGCTGCAGAGTTTGATAGGGAAATTACAGGCCTTCGCACATTTGCCCTGCTTCAGCTACAATTAGAGTTCATTTTAATTAAGGAAACAGAGTGCCAATTACCCTCGCATACCTCCAGAAATGGAGACCAAGGCTGAATGAATGAATGAAGAAGGTAGGGAGGAAACATCAGAAAGTTTGAAGTTTCAGATAAAAAAATAAAAAAAAACTTTAAAAAAGTAGATAGGTTCATTGATGATGGTTTGTGATACACCCTTTTCCTCTTCTGTGAGAAATTTAATCAATACAAGACACAAACATGTGATAAATCATCAACCGCTGAACACAGGAATCACATCTGCTTGTGTAATAATTGTTTGGTGGTTTGGGACTCGAATCTTATAAAGTTCAGGCTCTTCATGAACTTTTGTACTTTGTTTGGAGTAGAAAAATAATTTCTTGATAACAGAGTTATTGTCCTCCAGGTAGAATCCAAGACCTCGCGTGTTAAAGGGGATACTGCTCGCATGTGTTTCAAATTTAGCTAAGCCTTTATCCTGAAAACAGACGTGCTTCTGGGATGTTCTGTGCCTCGGGAAATTCGATACCTTTATGTTTCATATTCAGGGTAAAAAAATGTGAAAGTCAAAATACACTTTAAAGAGGCTGCTGGATGAGAATAATCTGGACTATGCTCTGTCTGCCGAGTTTGCTTAGTTTATTGTAGCAGAAAGAGGAAGCAGAGGGAATGGCTCGTCCTTGTTTGTCCAAAAATTCCTCAACAATAAGAAAAAAAAAACTTCAACTGCAGCTTTTTTTTCTTTTACATGTTTTATTGATTTTGCTCGATTTAAGTTAGAATGATTTTTGTGCCAAATATGTGCTGTAACTTTACATTCATCTTACATGCAAAATCGAGGTATTCCCTGACTAAGCAAGTGAGCAATGGTAAAATAAAGTAAATAGTAGGCTCAACATTATTTTGATGGAATAAATGCCTAAATTCACTCACAGCTATTTTTTGCCATAATCACAATTTCGAAGTGTTTCTCTCTGGCATTAACTGTTACGAAATTGTAAACGTTTTCCTGCAGCACTTCTGCTTTCTTGAGCAGTAGCCGTTAAGTCTTTTCTCAAGAACTCCGAGGCTTCATATTTTCCGTTATACAATGCAAAATTCTTAAGTAAACTTACGTAACACAATTAAAACAAATAGTGACTCAGCATTTGTAGCAGCTCTAGACCTTAAAATATTACCCAAGGAGCAAAACCAGAGTGAGTAGTTTCTCCTCCATATGGTCCTCTGCTATACTTACTGACTCATCAGAAGTCTGAGTCCGTCTTTGTCCTGATTTTTTAGTGATAAAGAAGTGACGATAACGAGCATAGCAGTGTTTCTGACGCTGAGTTTTTTTTCAACCACGAGTGTTGTAACATCAGCGATCAAAAAATGGCTGATGACGAGCCTTTTTGTGTCAAGGGCTTTTGAACACTGAGCTACGCTGGTTTTTCATATAGGTGCTGCCACTGAAAATCATGCTTTTAGTGGAAACAGGCCCTTAACTACTCTGTATTTGTGTATCTGTATTCTGATTTTTGTGTAAAGCATCTCAGTGCAAAAGAAGTCCTTTCAATTATTTAAGCTGTGAGAAGAATCTTCATCTGAGGTTATATTGTTCTATATTTTTCCAATTCCTTCTTAAATGTTGTTTGAAAAAAGTACAAGTAAAAAGAATAAAAAGTGAAAAAACTTTTCGAGATGAAGTGTTTCTGATCATTTTAATAACTCAGGTATTTTTTCACTGTATTCATAAAGAAAGCAAATCAGCAGAGTGATATTCTTTGACGTGTACACATCCTGGCCATGTTTTTTTTACTGTGTAGGGTATTGTGTGCACATGAACCTAAAAAACTTGTGCCAAGCTTCTGCATGTGTGTGTGTGAGAGAGAGAGAGCAGTGTTTGTGTGTCTTTGACAGAGTTGTGTCTAGGGAGATTAGACCCTGGCTTCCCGTAGTTCTTGTTCCCTTCCTGTCTCCTGGTTTTGGTGGTGGGGCCGGGCCCCCTGACACACACACCATTCACATGCACGCCGACTCAGCTCGACACTGTTTAACTGCCCTACAACAGTATAACAAAAGCCCACTGCAGCACGTGTGGACGAGCTCAGCCACTTTCAGCACAGAGGTGAGATGAAAAGAGCAAAGAGGAGGTGTTAATGTTTGACGCTTTTTCTCTGTTTTTCTTCTCTTTTTTGTTTTCTGCTGGGATGAATATCAATACATGTTGTGTTTGGTTTCGGTCCCAGGACAGGATGTGACCCAGTTAGAGAGGAAGCATCATACTGGACAGAAACCAGAGATGCTACCAGAGAGGATCAACATGGCTGTGAAAGGAAAACTGAGAGAGGATTTAGTGCGGGGCTAAGATGTGTGACCTCTGAATGGTTTGGCTTAAGTTTACCTGGTCATCAGAGGTTCACCAGACACAATCATAACATCAATCACTGCGGGGCGGCGGCGCTTTCACCGATCACACTCAGAGTTCACACATCGGTCAAAAGACTTTTCTTCTTTAGCTGTGAACAGATTTACAACAACAGTGACGGCTTTATTGATTCCTTGTTTTGGTTTTAACTGAACATATGTTCGCTCTTCTGGACACAAAAGCTTTTTAGTCCTTCCTTGTTTTGGATCGGTACTTGAGAAGAATTCGTCTGGGCATCATGCCGAAATATTTAATCAATCATTCAAAGAGAAAAAAAGACAAAAGACAACAACTTATGTTAAAAGACTGATTGGCAAACAATGTTTTGAGAGTTATAGCTCCTTAAATCGGAGTGTTTTCTTACTCGAGATAAAAAAGAAAAAGGGTGAGTTCTTTCGGGCTCACCACATCACTTCAGGTCCTTGATAAGTATTTTTAAAGGCTTTTTACAACTTTTATTAACAAAGCAGGAAGTCAGTAATGTCAGGCAGATTAAATAAATGTAGAAAATAATCAACAGCTGCAGCCCTTAAATAAAACAGAAGTAAGAATTTAACAAAAAGCTTTTCAGTGGTGTTGGAACAAAAAAACAAATGTTTACTTAAACAGGTCGAAGCGCCCAAAGGTGCATCTATGATTCATCGGCATTCCCTTTTAATTTAATTGCTGTAAAGAGGAAGCAAACACTGCTGCATTATTCAAGTCACATAAGTTCAAAGGGAATATTGACTTAATTGCAGTGGTAGAAATAAAGTCTGAAGCCTCATATAAAATGAGAGGTTAGGGTTAAGAGGATGTGAGACATTGACTTGGTTCTCTGCTTTTTTCCATCACCGCCTACAAGTAATGAGATTTGACCTGCGGTGTTAACGGCTCAACAGCTCTTGTGCATCTTGGACTTGGACTGCATCTCTCCTCAGACTTAAAAAAAATATCATCCAGCTGCCAAAGGCCAAAGATAGTCCCTTAGAGACTATGAGAAATGGACATTATCTTCAGAGTGGTGACAGCTATCATTCTTTTGTAGTGTTATTATAAGACGTCTGCTGCTGCTGCTGCTGCTGCTGGACTTCAGAGTACAAGAGAAATTGACTCATATTGGCGAGAGGAACTAAAAGCAACAGAGTCGGCTTCATCTTCTGTTGAATTGTTAATCACTCAGAATTTAATTCCGTGTTGGCACGTTAGAGAAGTGCGAGCTTTAAACACATAATTCCTATCATTATCTCTCATACAGTGTGGCTGATTTAATTGTCGTTCTTTACAGCAGACTTCTGCCCCTTTGGAATATCGATCCGCCGCTGAGTGGATTCAACCCCTGCTACTTCCAATTATGGGCACCTCTTTGTGTAGCCGCCTTCAAAAATAACCCAACTCTGTGAAAAAGGGAAAGGCTGCTTTAGATCATTGTTGCAGGCAACACAAGCTCCCTGGTGGATTCCCGATAGCGAACTGTGACAGAAAAGAAATGAATTAGGAAGAAGTTGATCCGATTAGTATTTGCTGGGATGTTATATTGCAGTATTGTAAACCTCTGTGTTTCCACCTCACCTTTAAATACAGAACACTTACAGAAGACAACACTTAAAGAGATTAGGAGAGGAGTGAGGGCTCATATTGTTTCTTTTATGGTATTTGTAAGCCGGGGGCTCGTTTAATTTCATGACTTCAACTGAAAGCGCTGATTCTTTTAATTAGAAATAAAAGCTTCTGTGAGAATCAACTTGTTTTGACACAGGATGATTCAAATACTGACGACCTGACTGCTAAGAAAATAGGGCTGGGTGATATGACCTCAAATCGATATTACGATATATTTAGCAGTTCACCTCGATGACGATAAATGGACAATAATTACGCCACAAGCTGCTCACCCCCTCCCACATTAACTTCTGCTACAACTGTTGAACCGTCCTCCATCACCTGTCTTTCCCTCTTTGTTACAGACTGGATGGGGTGGAGTCATGTCTCCAACGTAGGACAACATCTTAAAAGGACATGAGACTCATGCTGGGCGGTATGACAATATATACCGCGTGATGGTATAAAAGTGTGTACCGTTAATACCGGAGAGTTGTCTGCGCTCGCTAACAGGAAAGCAAGTCACGATGTCGGTTGTCTGGAGATTCTTCGGATTTAGGAAATCTGACAATGATCAAAAAACACTACTATGCAAAGAGTTTAGAGTGGCTGTCGTTGCTGGAGGAGGAAACATCAGCAACCTCTTCAACCACCTAAAGATGAAACATGCCAAGCTCTATTGTGAGAGCCAAAAGATGTGTGGCACGCCCACTGCACCAAAAACTAAAGTTGCAGCAGCTCCTCTCATACAAAAGAGCCTGGCAGAGTCTTTCGCTAAAGGTATGCCATATGATAAAAAAAATCGACAGACAGGTCTAGAATTTTGTTTGCATTTGTTTACATGTTTGCATTGAATTTACAGAGAAAACAGGGAAAAAAACATACTGTGATATATACTGTTATCGTGATATAAAATTACTCATAACGTGATATAAGATTGTGTTCATACAGCCCAACACTACATGTGACCATAGTCTTCCTACGCACATCCAAAACCAAAATTTTATAATTTTTTTTTTGGCACAGAATAAATTGACATGGGCAAAATGACGTTTGTTATTGTCATAAATTTCTTTATCAGTAAATTTTCGGTTTATCGCCCAGCCCTAAAAGAAAAACCCCCCAGCAACAAGATTGACAGTTTATATGCCGGGGGCGGTCAGGTCAGACTAGATGACAGACATCAAACTGAAGAATCAGCTTTTCTTTACATTTGCAGCAGCAGGCTGACAGGCTGAGTGCCAGGAAATCAAACTCCTACCTCTGCTCCTCCTCTTTACCTTTACCTGTCAGCCTTTCTAATAAAGTGACCGCCATCTTTAGGCTTCAGAAAGCTTCTTTAGAATCTAATAGGAGGTGTCACTCAGAATACATTCATGTGATAGACAGCCTATGGTCTTCTGTCTCAGTACTAATCATATACATATATGGTCCTTTAGGATTAAATCTCATCTTTCTTTCTTTCAGCGGTAAATGCCTCAATTTTTTGAGTCCTCCCAGTACAAAATGTGAAACAGAGGCTGTATTTGGCAGCATATTGTTTATTGCCTTGTCTGACACCTACCCCAGGGCGAGAGAAACAAGCAGCAACAGACTGTTTTTTTAAAAAAAAATCCTATTTCTTGATGATTTGTGTGCTTTTGGAACTCCTTTGAAAAACGTAGGCATTAACATCAGTCTGCTTTTTTACCAGCTAAAAACTTCTAGCGAGTTGGTTTAATTAAAAACTCATGAAAATACAGGCAGATGAAGAAAAACTTGTTTTTCCGAGAGCCCAATCATTCATCTCTAAAAAGTGCTGTGAGTTCTTTTGAGCTTTGAAAAATCTGTTTAATTTTTATTTTCCAAGACCTTGATTCTTCAGAATTGAAAGGCAGATGCCTCGTGTGTCTCTGAGAACATTTTAACACTTTGGTTTTTCAAAAGACTCTTTCTATTGCAACAGTCTTTACAGGCCTGCTTTAGGCCAGAAACAAAAAAGATTCAGAGTGAAAAAAGAAAATGAGTGAACTAAGAAACTCAAAGCCACATTCATCTGGCTAAAAGGGGCGTTTGCATTATAAAACAATACTCTTCTCATTGATTTATCATCAGTGTCATGCAGAACGAGCACTAGTCTCCATCCTCTGACTCAGAGTTGGTAAGGGAAAGGCACGAATTTAATCACTTGACTGAAAACAGACAAATGCCACACATTTCCAATCTGTAATGGAACAAATACAAAATCTAAGATCATCCTGAACGAAAACTGAAACAGCGAAAGCAGAAATCTGTCAATACATCTGTGATTTCCAACCACATGAGTCAAAAAAACTTTAACCACACACTTCCCTGCTGTGTACCTGGGAGCGATTCTCCTCCATCTGCAGTCAGAGCTGCCCTCCATAAAACCTTCTTGCCTCCAGTTGCTATCTCCTTTAGAAAGCTCGCAGGCAGCTGATCATCTGTGAGAGCCGAGCCCAGCTATGTGTCATCAAAACCAGGAAAAAAAAAAAAAGCACCATGGGAGTGCCGGCTATGAGCTTGTTTTCAAACACTTTCTCAATCCTTTAAGAGGATCTCTATCCTCTTGTCTTGAGGCCTGAGGTGAGGGTCGGTCACACATAGCGGCTCCCTGCAGGGAGGACACTATGGAGAAAAATCTGGGATGATCTTCCTTAGCCACAGGAGACACTGCCACCCCCGTGTTAGCTGTCTTTTCAAATAATTAGAGCGTATATATCTTGCCAGTTAACTACAGATTTATTAGCAGTGTGTTTGTGTCTTTTTGTCAAGAATAGAAAAGACTTGGATCGACACCAAAAACCTACTCCAATGTGTGCTTTCCCCTACAGGGCTAGAATGATAGATTAATCTTTAGAGATGCAGCAGCAAATATAACTCCAGCAGTTAAGAGAGGGAAAGGCATATAAATGTGAACTTTTATAAAGTAATATATGACAGGTGACCTATCTTATTTCAAATCTGGCTCCATTAAAAACCCACAAAGCTCCGTCTACTGCTGCGAAGCATCTAACGAACTCTCCATGAGCCCCAAAAATGTCTACTGCTGCACTTAAAACAGAGTTTTTATCAAAGCCTTTACTGAAGCAGAATCCACAATTCATTTTTGGGGGGAGGGAAAAAAGGATCTTGCAGAAGGGAACTCGCTCCCTCTCTCACACGCACACACACACATAAACATACACACACACACAGTAAGAGAGAGAGAGAGCTTTCAGTGACTAATCTGCTGTGGGAGGTGGACAGCTTGAAGCTAACAGTGCAGACTCCAGCTAAATAAACCATCTAAGGATTGACACATCTAACTAGAGATACAAGAAAACAGACTTTTCTGCGAGAAGTTCCTCTTTTATTCTGACACATCGAGCTTTTTTTCATATTCAAACAACAACAGACACGCTGAGAGCTAATTCTATTCATCAGCCCTGTGCGCCGCTCCCACCAGCCTGCAGACTGGGGCGTTTGTGAGGCGGTGACCGACATATATAGAATAAAGATTGTGGGCCCGTTTGTTTGATGATTCAAGCACAAAAGGCGTCATTTTCATCCCTTCAGCCGGACACACTGTATTCAATAGTTTATAAAATCTTTCCCTTTTACAACCACACTTTTGTCTAATGCAGTGGTTCTCAAGTCCAGTCCTTGGAACACCAACACACCTGATTCAAATGATCAGCTCGTTAAGCCATTCCAGAGCTTGATAACGAGCTGATCATTTGAATCAGGTGTGTTGGAGCAGGGGAGGCTGGACTTGAGAACCACTGGTCTAATGTCACAAAAGCGGCTTGTGTTCATTTACTCCTCTTTACTCTGGATTGGACAGAGTTTGAACGCACAAGCAACATGTACAAGGATGTGAGAGGAAGGACATTTTGTGTGCAGCGCTCCTAAAAGATAGGATCCCAAATAAGATTCCAAGCAGCCAGAAAAAAAAGGTGTTCGATACACCTTTCAGTGAACTGACCCACTCCTTTTTGGATCATGACTCCTTCTTATAACTCTTAGCTGCCTGTAAGCTGTAGGAGGACAGCTAGCGCACAGGAATGTCTCTGTTATTCCTTACATAGCGGAGCCCACATGGTTCATGCTGTGTATGAAAGCAGGCCCTGGGAGACATGCTGGAGCTGTGTGCGAGGCGAGCATGAAGGTGGAGGAAAAATGTGCACCGCTTCTCCGGGTTTGTCGTGAAAAACCAAGTGAACTGCATTTTAACTAAAAAAACTTGCATATCAAGCACAAGATGTAGGTCAACCAACCCGTGACGCAGGAAGGAATACAGCCCAGACTCAAATCGAATCAAGTCTACTGATGGTGCACGCTTCAAGCAGAGACATTTCTTCATCAAGGTCGCTTTTTTCGTAATCAATTCCTGCTCATCTAGCTTCAGACGCCTCAGCAGCTTCATGTCGCGTGCTCCTCCTCCAAGATTTCGTCCTATGTTTGAGTGTAACGACAAAAGCCTTGCGAGGCGTCAGCTGGCAGTGGTGTGTGGAAATGCTTCACAATGGGGATTTTCAATAAGCATAAAAAAAAACAGTGATTACAGTGCAAGATAAAGGGCAAGATGGACCTGCGATAAACAGCTCCTTGCCTGTTGTTGTCTTCTAATTGAAGGCCTTTTAATCCCCTTGTTATAATCACATATTCAGCCCAGCACAGATCTGGCCCCAGGTGCGTATGATTACAGAATGCAAATAGGCAACATACCTACTTTGCTCATTATGCAGTGTGCAGACGTGCACATGCTTGCACCTTCCTTGCCCTCCCTGCACCCACTTTTTTTTCTATTTCGTCGACTCACGCCGGTCTCCACGTCTCTCCTTGACTCACTTCAAAGAGAACTCCCCCCCCCCGTCCCTCTAAAAGTGCCATTCTCCTTGGTGCTTATGGCTGATAGGCTGTGGCCTCATTCCCTCTCTGCTGCAGCCTGTCCCCATTGTGTCCCACTCTCAGTGAGAGAGGAGCGTGTGGGTGGAGGACAGACCGGCTCTCCAAAGTGAACGCCTGACATGGATGTATGGGCTGGCGCTGTATCCTCTCACCGAGCTAAACTATCATCCACCTGCAATTCCCTGCTGCCATATGCATCCTCCTCTGCGAGAGAGAGAGAGAGAGAGAGAGAGAGAGGGATAGAGAGAGAGAGAGAGACACGGCCTGAGAGTACTTGTGGCACTCGGATGCCTGTTTAACTCTTGAAGAAGCTAATCATCGGATTGAGGTGCTGAGGATGATGGGCTACAGGCTTTCAGAGAGGGGGGGAGGTTGCTTTAAATGCAAATCCCTTTCTTATAAAAATCGGTTCCGTTTAAAAGGATTTCTGGGAAACGATCCACATTTCCACGGCAGGGGAGACAGTCAGCAAGAGAAAAACAGCAAAGCAGCAGTCAAACATCAAGGAGACAGAGGACGTGGAAAGAGTAGCAAAAGAAAAGGCTACATGTCTGTGAAAGAGGGGATTCAGGCTCAAGGAAGGCCTCTCAGATAAAAACATTCTTGCTGTGTGTGTGTGTGAGAGACACTCCGTGAGTTTGGGTTTAGATTGAGAAGCATTATGTTATTCATCAGGCTAGTTATGCTGAGGAGGAGTCAGGAGGTGAAAGAATAAACAGACGACAGACTGTGTTTAAAAAGATCGAGCTGCCCCCTTTATTGAACCTCCTTGGCGGGTGGATGTCGATCTCGGTGTTCACTTATAAGCAGTCTTTCAGTATATTACACAAATATATGCGTAAAGTGTTTTTCATCACAGAGAGGAAGGCTGGTGGATTTACTTTAGCCGACTGGATATGAAAAACTGGTGAGTGCAGCAGTATTTGTTTATGAAAGATACAGATGTAAAGTGGCTTTAAAACTGAAACTTTTTATAGATCAATAAGAACACTGCTGCTTTGGCTACTTCACTCTTAATTACATAACACAATACCATAGCAACAGTCTACTATTTCTCAATAACTGACTGTTGCTAAGAAGAACCGACTGTTGTTAGGGATGGGGCTCCAATCATGGACTCTGTGGTCACATTAATGTGCAGGAAGACGGCTAGTAAAGTTGATTTGTTTACATCAAGGCTAAAACCAGGAAATGTACTTTCATGAAATAAGCTGATGTGTTAGCAGTTTAGCAGCCTGTTCACTAACTTTACCCTGTCCCATACTCCACAGTTGGCAAACTATAACATTAATCACAGAGACTAGATAAGACAAGATTGATCTGGTCTCAGTGAGCCATTGTTTTTTACATTTTAAGAGGCTTATTGAGGCCACACACTGGTGGTAAACTCCACCCAACCAAACCTACTCTTTTAAACCTTTAGTAAGCCTGGAGACAGACAAAGAGGTGGAGTAAGCCTCCTGGCACACACTTAAATTGCCCCCATCTGCTGGTCAACTCAGTCACGCCCCTAATTATGAAAATCTTTAGTTAACTGTGAGTCAATCAGATTAGTTCTTTAAAAAGATCAACCCTCACGCTAACCAATAAAGAAATGACTATTTCAGACTGAACCACTTGTTTTTACCAGACGGTCAACACTGAACTTTTGCTGTACAACTGGACGATCAAACATGAGTGGAGGATACTTGGGGTTTAGAGCCGGCCTTTAGCTGGACAATCAATGAACTGCAGCTTTCTGAACTTCCACATTAGCTTCATTTTTCAACAATAGATCTTACAGCAGGATTCATCATCGATCATTTTTATGATCCAACCATCTCTTAGACTTTCTTTCCTGACAAAACAGACAATTTTTCTTTTGTTTTCCATGAGGCTTATGGGAGGTGGCTGACTAAAAATAACAGCATTTTAATTCTAGTATGCCATCATTTGCATTTTTGAAGGACAGCTGCCATTTGCATTTTTGATTGGATTTCACAAGTTGTGCTGTGCTTTTCACAACCCTAATGAACATTTTGTATTATTCTCATACATTGTGACCCAAACTATGCAGCTTATCTTGAAAATAATCAACAGATTAATCTACAAATAGAGTAATTGTTGGATTCATAATTGGTTTTTCTCGCAGCTCCCATCCAACCAACACCAATCCACAGATTACACGACTCATTTTCAGCAAGAAAATTTGCATCCGGATGAGTTTTAACATCTTATTCAATCCATTCAATTTGGAGCGAGACCATGTATCAGCATTTGTGCAGTTTTTTCCATACAAAAAAATGTAATAAGTACATTGTTTATAATTGGAATATGTTCATAATGGAGACGTGAATTCTTTCCTCTGACCTTGGTGCATCTTCCCTAAGCCATTTGAGCTGGTCCTTTAATCGTGAGGCTGCATGTGTCATTTTGAACAAAATATGTTAATGCCACCTCTTTTGAAGAGGGCTGGAGAGCAGGATATAGAAAAAAACACTGCCGTGTGTAAAGTTTGCGAGAGACAGGATGACACTTCAACCCTCTCTCCATCAGACAGAGCTAAAAAGTGCTGTCAATGTTTTTTTTTTTTTTTACCCCCCTAACATGATGGGTTTCTGTTTAACAAATCGCACATGCAGCTGCACTCAGCTGCTGCACACTATGTAGAGGGATGATGTGTAAATAGGAGGCGGTACAGCTGCAGTAACATACCTTATTAGAGAAAAAACACTGCCCATTGTCAGCTTGTATAGAGACGGATTTATAACGCTGGAAAACTAAAGACATAAGCACGAGCCTTCAAGGCAAACATAAACCATTTTGCTAAGGAGTCACTGTCTTTACCTGACAGCAACATTCATCAGATAATCCCACAACAATTTCACAATCACAGCTGGAATGAAAGCATAAAACTAGAGCATTATGGAGCATTTCACTGAGTACCTTTCTACCCAAGCCAAACAATCTGGCGGGAACAAAGTCAGCAAAATAATCATGGCGTGAAGAAGAGAGTTTTTTCTGTCACCAAAGCTCACAATCTCACATGGACATACAAGAGGAAAGTAGCATTGCCTTGAACTGTCCATGAATTGTTCATAGGTTAGTCTACAGTACATCTTGTTCGTACTCCATCTTCTTCCTTTTTGCTCTTCTTATGGACATTTGTCATCAACTGTTTATCTCACTGCAATGTCAACATGACAGACATAAATCTAAAATACATATAAAAATTAGTGCTGTCAAACGATTACAATTTTTAATCAGATTAATCTCAGGGTTGCTGTGGATTAATTTCGATTAATCATGATTCAATATCATTTATTTTTTAATCTATATTAATTGTGTTTCATTCTGCATTAGCGAAGAGACTCAAGACAGCACTCAGTGATCAACGCATTAGGGCTCCCCCCACAAATAAGCGGCTGCTGGAAGAGAGTGGGTGAGTTGTGTTTAGTCTCTTTGCTAAAGAAATCAGGCAAAGCTAAAAAGATGTTTGGTGGCTAGTGCTGTGGCTGGGACCCTATATGTACTGTTGATAAAGTTAGGTGCTGTTCTGAGCATTATTTATGGCTATAGAGTGGCGTTTGGTTGAGGTTTGCGTGCGGAGGTGTAGACGGCTGTGTATTGCTATCGTGCGGTCATTACTAAAGTTGGTATAACTAGAGAAGCAAGCGGTCGGCAACATTTACCTCTCAAGGGGGTGTCTAACTCGGTGTTCTGGTGTGTTTGACCATAACTTAATTTTACGCCGGAATATCCCTTTAGGCTGGAAGTGCCTTGGTGAAAAGAAAACTTCTTCCTGCAGAGTCTGGATAATACTTAATGTTGGTCGACTCTGTTTGGCCATTTTTTTTTTTTTTGTTCTCAAATTTCTCATCGTTTTCCATATCGAGTTTTTTAGTTCTGCTGCATGTCACTACCGGATCAACTGCGCATGTGCAACAGTAACACTACTTGGACAAACTGTCAAAAATGCATTGCCAGAAAAGTTTTAGCGATTTTGAGTGATCCTGTGTTAAAATTTTTAATCAGATTAATAATGGTGATGGATTAATCCGTAAGAATGCATCAATTTTGACAGCCCTAATAAATAATACTTTTTTTGGTCAATTTGAGGTGAAAAAAGTACAACTTTGGGCTGAGGAAAAACTGAGCTTTGTCCAACTTTACCATAAAATCTATGGCCAATGGGCTGTGATTTATCCCCACAGGGAAGTATTCTCATTCTGACATGGTAGCAATTAAAGTGACAAACAACAATTACTGTGATTTCATTTTATAAGTAAAACATTTCAAATTTCCAGCCTAGTTTTATGCTGTGCGTGCCGTTTTTCACCAACTAATCAGGGAATTTAAATCATTGAATGCCTGGGAGTTTTGAAAGAAGTCACAGAGCTGATCATGGCGAAGCTCAAAAAAAAGCAGCCATCCAAACCTCTGCCAAAGAGCATTAAAAAATGTTCTCTGATGTAAAACTTTTGTGTTCTGTGCAAGAACTCTGGATGATTTGTCTCACAGTAGAAACCATGGGAACAACCCTGGCAAAAATAGTCCTGACCTAAAACTGACAGCTCAGCCTGCAGCCCCTCCTGACAGTCTGTTGCCACTAAGATGTCAGAAAAACACTAATTTTGAACATGAAACTGCTACAGAAGTTAACATTTTAACTCACCATTTTTTGCTGGTTTTAATTTACGCGATAAATGTAACTGGTTGAGAAGAATATAAGAAACTTTAAGTGGGAGCTCAGTAAGCAGCCCAAGAAGCCAAAAAACAAAGCTAGTTTTAATGTGAAACTGTTAAATTTTGCATTGTTGTTGTTTTGATCAATGAGTCTGTCAATGAGGAGTCTCTTTGGCATGTGGCAGAAACCTTGGACCAACCACCAGTAAACCATTACTGGTAGTTCAGCTTGCAGCCTCACCTGAAATCCCCCTTTAGCTCAGAAGCCATGATTTTAAGCATTAAACTACTTAATTCGGGATTTTGAGGATAATCTTCAAACAATCCTTCATTAATCAAAAAGAGGGGGAAAAAAATCGTGAAAACTGGTTTTGTCACACTGCCAAGTCCCATTTGAAATATGTATGAAAATTTGTACGGAAACTTGATCTATAAACCTGTTACACCTCTGCTGCTCGCACGGGTGATTCAGCAGTGCTGCTCTCCAAAATGCCTTCCAGCCATGGAAATAAGATGGAACAGAGACGAATATGCCATCCATCTGGGTGGATAATGGTCATATGAGTCTGATTCTGCGCATACAGTTTTAAATCACCATAACTATGGACCTGAACACTACAAAAGACTTTTTTTGCTTTGTCACGGATCGCGTCTTGCAGTCAAACTGTGTGTGATTGGAATTTCGAGGGTTAGGGGAAACAACACGGTGAGTACTTCATAGGTTGGGCCAGTGAGTGGGAGGATATTGAACATTTCTAAAATCAAATATGTTTCAAAATATGTTCATTGTTGGGTCACAGTTGAAAGAATGAGTAAGGTGTGAGAGGATAAAGAGCATTTCTGGAGTCAAATTTATTTTAAAACCTTATAGAGCTTGTTTTTAATCTTAGTAAGCGGCCTTGGTTTACCAGCATGTGCTGTATACTTTACAGCAAAGAAGCGCAGAGAAAGAATGTTCGTTTTCCTGTGCGTGTGACCATGAGAGTGAATCCTCAATACTATTTTCAACCAAAGCCTGCTATTAATTTCCAGCCAAAGTAATTATCTGATCAAAAGCCCAGTGTTTTAATCTTCCCAGAGACAGAAGGAAAAGAGATCCACAGACTGAAACGAGCGAGTGGTGAGCGTAAGTGAGTCGTTTATCCTTTAGTTGGAAAAGGAGGAGAGATTTGGCAGCCGTGAGCTTCATCTACCCTCCCATCAGTTCATTACAGAACTCCCTGCTAGGTGGAGAACAAGTGGGGAGGATGATCTGGAGTGTGCTGGCAGACGAGCGGGCCATTACCCTAGACACGGAAACCAGACATCTTGTTCGCACTTGGCAAGACACACACGTTCTGGAAACAGTCTACAAGGCGCCATGACCCCTCGGCTTCTGTCTACATGTCTGTCGTTCTCCCAGCCTGTGCTGCACCTGTTTGGAGCCAGCATCTTGTAAACATCAGCACAGCAGAAGCAGAGCCAAATTGTCTGACATCATTTCTGAGTTTCCTGAGAAAGTGACATGTTTGATGAGCCTGCCATGAGAAAGAAAAAAAACCGCTGGGCACTGCTTCCCACGCTTTCACCTGAGGTTACACATCTCTTGTGACCAGGAGAAAGCTTGTAGGGAGACTGATGTTGTGGCTGGCAGATTATCATAGAGCCAACATGCCATTTACTGTTATAAAAATTGTATCTTGCATATAAATTAGCCGATATGCCTGAAATAAAACTCAGAGTGAAGTGTAACCAACTTTTAGCAGAACTTGGCATCACAGCCAAGCAGACAGTATAATTTAGTGATGTATAACTTTTCAGCGAGTGTTTTCTTTTAAAGAATTTTTGACTGACTGGAATTAATACTGATGTCTCTTCAGTATGAGGCAAATGAGACCATCAACGATGCGACAGACAATGTCTATAGAATAGAATAGAATATTCCTTTATTGATCCCCCATGGGGGAAATTTTTTTGTCATCCAGTAATTTGTAATGCCTGTCACTGAGGCCAGGCGTAGAGGTGTCAGAGAACACAGTTTTCTGAATGCTAAAAAGATTTACTCTTCATGAATTTGCCAAACAGGTTGTCATCATTTGACCTCTAGAAGAAAGCAAGAAAATGTTGTTGTCAGAAAAGACATCCTACTCATGCACAACAGAGCAAGCTCAGCCAAGAGGTCAGAGGAGGTTTAAAAAAGAAGCCTTCTGAGTAAGAAGAGTAAAAAGAGATATGCATGAAAAGGTGGGTTAATCCAGCTGAAAAAAACTGATATTTCTTCACTAAAATGAATGAACTTAATGAACTTAGAGTTGTAAACCCCCACCTGAGGAAGAAGCCACAGTTCTGGACTGGCCTGATCCCTGTCTGCCAGAAGACCAAGTATGTGTGTGTGTGTGTGTGTGTGTGTGTGTGTGTGTGTGTGTGTGTGTGTGCGTGCGTGCGTGCGTGCGTGCGTGCGTGCGTGCGTGCGTGCGTGTGTGGGAAAATCCCAAACTCCTCTCTTGAAATACAAAGTCAACAAGGTTTACCCCACAAGAATTCCAACTCTTAGAAGTGGCAGTTATTCAACATCTACTTCTGATGGGTCTGTATGCACGAGCAACATATCCAAGCTTGGAAAAGGAGCCTCCAGAACACCCTTGTGGTGTATCACATGTGCACTACAGCCATAGTGTGTTTGTACAGTCCATAGTTGAAGTCGTACTGTAAGTGCCAAGACAGGGCATTTCTACCAACGGATATGGCGCCCAGCCTGAAACCAGAAGCAGCTGACAGATTCATGTTCCTGCCACAGAATATGTGAAGTCATGCATGTTCATGGTGTTCCTGTTTACAGCAACTATTGATTGGAATGAACAGACTTGGGGAAAGTTTCATTGTTGGGGTGGTCTTTGTTTTCATGGCTAATTTATTTTCTTAGTCGTTCGTATAGCCAGAGACATGTCTGTTTTGTCTTTGGTTCATGTATGTATATGTCATGCCTATTGTTCTCATTTTATGATTACTATAGAAGAAAAACCCATATTGAATCACAATGAAATCACCACGAGCAGCTGCACATAAGCACACCAGCCAACCAATGATGGAGAATAAAGAGGACTCTTCATAGGAACGCAGCAGCGTGCAGCCTACACAGCTGTAATGTACTTCTAAAATCCCTGCAGTTCAGCAGCTCTTAAAGAAACCCAGTTGTTATGCTTTGATCTCACTACAACACAAGCCTATTATTCCCAAAGTCGTTTTCTATCTGAGGTTTTACAGACAGTTGTCTCGGCAGCATTTTTACCAACTCAAATCAGTTTGAAGTTCTCTGTTTACCACAGAAACTTCCCCATTAATGTCATAAAAAAAAGACAAGGGACAGTGACAGCAGTGGAGAAATAAACAAACACTCAACATTTTTCCAGTTTATTCTGATCTGTCAGTGTGGCTCAGGCTTCCACCCCTGCATTAAGCAAATTACCCAGACACTAGCCCTGTTGTTATGCTGATGATGCCGAGCTGTACTCGCCTGTAGAGCCAGACAACTTGAAACATCATCTTCTTAAACGTTTTGACAGCTAATTTCAAGGCTCTCTTAATTTGTCCCTCTAGGGTTCACAAAGACGATGCAGGACAAAACGCCCATTAATGTCAAGTCTGCTGTCAGGGACTGGTATAAAATTATTATCATCAAGACAACTTGTTCGATACTTAGTTTTTTCACTCTCCTCAAAGCAAAAAAATGCATCATGTACATCTCTTTGCTGAACCACAGAAATCAGAGCAGCCTTGTACAAGCCTCAGAGCCCCCATGTTATATTGATTGTGAAGGTGAGCTAGTTAAAGCCCCCTCAGGTGAAGTCTGGAAACCTATTGATGACTTGATACTGAAAAGGAACAGTTCCTATGGCGTGGAAATAGCCTTCTTTAAGGTGTTAATAGAATAAAACCAATGGATTTGTCGTTTAGGGAGGGTAAAATTGAAAGTAGCCCCTTCAAAATAAAGAGAAAGACAATTGCATGAATACTAAATCCCTTTTGTGATCAAAGCTATCAATGAAATAAAATGCAAAAGCTTGAGATCTCGATCATTACTCCCCTTTCACTTGCCTATCCCTTTTGTGATCATTACATGGCATGATCCACATTACAATTACCATGTGGTTTTACTGCACTTCCCATTGCTCTGAAGAACAGGATGCAAGACTAATTAGAAATTTCACTCAGCCGTGTAACCACAGTAAAAAAAAAAAAAAAAAACAAGTCCAGACAGCATTTCAGAGGAGAAACTCCACACTCACCTTCCTCTGCAGAAGCCATGAACACCCATTCCAGGAAGATGCACCCCAGCAGGACGATGCTCCGGTATGTCAGCTCCATGATGTTTGTGCTAAAGACGGTAAAATAGTAACCCCACTTCTCTCTTGCCTTGAATTACAAATCAATTGGCAGTGGCAGCTCGGCTGTGCACTCCCTGGCCGCAAACCAGTCCGCATTTAAAGTGGACTTCAGTTCAAAGAGCCTCACACTGTGGTCAAATCACTGCAGTAGAAAAATACACTTTAGCTAAGTGCGGTTATCAGTCGGTTTTTACTAGAGAGCACCACGAGTGGGTACAGCCCCTTAAATAGGTAGGGTTTTAACGTCGGACTGGAAAGTTCTCCTAATTGTCCAACTTTGTATTGTGGTGAAACTGTCCGTAGGAAAGCACAAGTCAGAAGCAAAGCAGGGTGCTGCACCTCCTCTCCAGCATGAGTCCTCTCTGCATGGTTCAAACTAGTTGTATCCTCGGTGTTAATAACGCTCTTTGTGTTTCACGCGACTTCTCCCAAATTATCCCCTTAGCGCGAGGACCGAGCAGGTTGGATCCACAAACAGGGGCTCCTCACTGCATGTCTGAAAACAGGCAGAGATGGATTTACTCAGAGTCGACTCGTCCCTTCTTCCACATCTTCTTGAAAACAAGTCCACCAAAGTGCGTTTTCCCCGTAAAAGCTCCAGACTATTTTGCTGCCGGAGGGGGAAAACACGAAAGGTGTTGTGGGGATGTTACGCGAGACGTCTGGTCTGGCCTGAATTGACGAGCAAAATGTGTCTGTAGCTGAGGAAGGATATCTACTTTCTTCTCCTAACAAAGTACCAGACTCGACACGGAGCGGATTGAAAAAGTTGTGCTCTTAAGTGGCTCAGGGAGCTGACTACAGTGAGCTGGTCACCCAGGACTTCATCACCGCATCAAACCCGGAGTCGACTGGCAACAGCAAGCTCCGCCCACTCCCGTTTCCATAACAGCAGAGTCAAATGAGCGGGACGACAACCAGAGTTTCCTTGGAGTGCCTTCACAATAAAACACAAGTTAGCTAGCTAAATAGTCCAGAGTAGGTTAAGTTTTAGATTTGGAGATACAATAACACATTCTACAGTTAGACTCACTTTTATGAAGTTGAAGGCTTTAAAAAGTCAGCCTTGGTCAACTATGAGTGGAAGAACTAACTCAAATGACCCATAGCAGGAAGATTTTGGCCAAGTTTCATCAGAAAGCAGTAAAAAAACAAAAAACAAATGCTTCATCTACAAATACAACCTGAAAACTGATAGTGGTTTTAAATAAGTTTTAAGTCTTATTACTTAAAATTTTGTGTATTTTAAAATGTATTTATTTTTGTAAAACGTATTTGAACACCCATAAAAGCGCATTATAAATAAAATTTGTTGTTATTATTATTAGTATTATTATTATTGCAAGGAAATGTCAGGGAAGCTGGAAAAAGGGAGTTATACTCATACACAACATTTGAATTATATAGTCACTTATAAATTTAGAGACACAACACAACTAGGACAGTGAAACTATTTTAACAAGCCTAGATGTGTGTTTTGATGGACTTAACATAATCCAGATCAATTTTCTGTTGGGGTGATTATCTACACAGATACCTTTTTGAACCATCAGCAAGCAGTTTTGTTTTAGTGGCTGCATCAATGCATCAGCAGCAATAGAAAGTAGGCCTACTTTACTTATGCTGACTTTTATGCACCACAAAACCAAAATCAGAGCCTTTTCTTTACCCCACGTAAAGCAAAGACTTAGTTAAAACACTGCTTACAGGAATGTTGTACTCTTATTTTGAAAACAGAATTGCCTAACTTCTGGTGGTGTTGTCTTTTTTTTCCCCTCAGTGTCTTGACTCCAAAACAACAATTAAGTCCGTCCTATCTACAAGTTCTGGCATGCTGTTTTAGTAGCTGTCCTCTAGAAGAAACCCGCAGGTGTAGCAGGTGGTACTATCAGCCTCAACGTGCAAAACTTGGCCCAATTCAACAACAGTTTGCTGGGAAAGCAAGCTGACAGATCACCCAATTTATGTGTAGGCAAAAAAAAAGGAAAAATCAGGAAACATGTCATGCTTTCACAAGTCAGAACAACTCAGAGCCTGGAGCAGCACAGCTGAATGATATAGGAGTTGAAGGACTCCTCAGCAGGGCTGATCTTGAGGCTCTGGAAATTTGAACATAGTTGGTCCGGTGTGGTTTCCAGTTTAAGGTCAGGGAGGCTGAAGTCTGCAAAATGCAGATTTACCAACTTAGTCTGCCGCCTGACTCTTTGCTACCCTGCTGCCTTGCTGCTTTTGACAGATAAGACTATGTGGTTTCTTGCAGTCCTCTGAAAAGGAAAGGTTCTGCATTATTAGCAGTGCTTGCTAAGAGCCATTATGCATTTGAGCCGCCTCACTTGCCATTTTTAAACTCCTGTGTTATGACATCCCGCTAAAGTGAATATTTTTCTGCAACCAGCTATCTCAACACAGCATAATTTAATGAGACCCATAACATTAGCGATTCATTACATCAGTGTTGCAGCACGGCCCATTTCTGTGTTTAATTAATGAGTGTTTTCCTCAAGGGGAGCTGGATAGACTCACTTTTTGAAGAAGATCTGGGAACGACAGTGGCATAAATAAAAGGAAATGCTAATTCTGAGTCTGAATGACGAAATGTAAATAAGACATTAGCAATTCAAGCTCACTAATAAGGGCAGTCCAATTTAAGTACAGTGTTTGCTGTGCTGGGTCCGACTTGCATTGTCAGGAAGGTTCAAACTTTGAGTGACATTGACAAAGTCATCTTACTAATGTCACCATAGACTTACATACATTACGTTGCTGTATCTCACAAAACAACAGAGAAAAGAGTCTAAAAATACCTGCAATATATGGCACAAGACCACTGTTTTTATGAGGCACTTCTTCACTCGACATCAGTAGCATGTATGTGCATTATTGTGGAAGCTGTCATGCCAGTAAGATCTTTGAGACCAAACAGCAGAATTGTTTGTATTTTGACTTATTGCACTGCTTTGGCTTTCTTATCTATCTTATTAACTTCACTGCAACAATACTGCTGTGCAATAAACCGTCAGTGAGACATTGCTGCAATCTATCCTGACTCCATTAGCAGGCTCATTCCTCACTTTTGTAAGAAAAATATATCCATTTACTAGTTTGTTTCTTTGTTCATTTGTTATGCAAGTGGTAAGAAACTCTAAAGAGCAAGCACAAGGAAGATGCTTGAGTTCTCCAGCTATCCAGAACTGTCACGTTTAGAGCATGCAGCATGAAATTCTTTGTCTTCTTCGTGAGCTTTCTTAAGACTACGCCTCTGGAAGATAAAAATCACTGAAACAACACGACTAAGAGATGTCCTCTTAAGGTTTAATATCTCTTAATAGACATTACAGTGTTCCTCAACTAAACTCCTTTTTTCTCACAGGATGTGTTATCAGGAACTAGAATGTCATCTGACACAAGATTGAGATATCAGCTCAGCTGGTGGGGAAAGTAGGAGTATTTTAACCACGATCCTTCCCTTACCTTGACCATAGTTGATGAGATCTTCTTTTTGACACACCAAAGAAATATTGGTTTTTATTCATGGTAATCTTGAAAATGTTTTTGTGTTTATATGTCAGTTTGTCACTTTGTCTACCTGTTTGGTCCCAGCTAAAAGTGTATTGCCATGAATTTTTGAACAGACACTCATGGTCCCAAAATGATGACTTCTCATTTAGTGTGAGCAACAGGTGAGAGTTTGTATGTCATGAAATATCTGTGGACTGATACAAACTATTTTAACTGACTTTCATGACCCCTAGATGATCATTTGGCCGGACTTTGGTGAATTTTTGACTTATTTTGTACCAGACAGATTTGCAAGCTCATGTTTTATGGCAGGGCTGTTTGACCTCTTGCCTCCTGGATTAATTGAAAACTTTACAGTACACTGTTGAGACATTTTTGGTAAGAGCCAAATTGGCTACCACTCAGTTGGAATTTGTACTCAACAAACTACAAGCAATTTCATGCAATGTACCGACAGTAACAGTTGGTTAGTAAATCATGTCATTTCAAATATCTCTTTATAATGTTGGTCTAGACATATCAGTTGGATGCAGTGGCTACCAACCTAGCCAAGCAGGGAAAGCTCTTCATCACATTTGTTGCTCTGATTAGTTGGAAGGCCAAAACAGCTTTAGTCCTGCCTGTGTGTAGTGGCCCTTGTAATTGGAAAAAATAACAGTGATTTCTTACGGTGCCAGCCTATTAAAAATTAGGATAATGATTATCTACACGTCCACTTTCTGGAGAAATCGGCAAGCTATTGCTGTGTTTCGATACATCAGTGCACCAGCAGCAATGCAGATCTGGTCCCATTCTACTTAGTTGTAGCATCAAAAGATTTTCTGTCTCTAATCAGAGTCTCTTTTCATGTAGTTAATGGCCAAATACTGACACATTCATATCAGCCCCAGCTGTACTTTTTGTGTTGTGCTAATTAGTAATTTTATGCACTTTCAGCCTAAAAATACGATGGTAATGAGATGGCAAAAACTCTGTGTGTTTGTTTTATCTTTATGGTACCGTTTGCACGCCAGTGTTAGTATTCAGCTCAAAGCAGCACTGTGCAGCCTTGAGGTGGAGTAAGAATAGCTGGAGACTTCTTGAGCATACTTACTCTGAAAACTTTCCGGATTCCATGTCTTGCTCGAGGGCACTTGGTCATGTGGACAGGATGAACCAGGGATTAAACCGCCGTGGCCAGGATTCAATGGCCAGCCCCCTCTATTTGAACCGTACTCATCCCTGGTTGCTTTAGGCTCTGTCTTTGTATTCTGTTCGTATTGCGAAAATCTGTTTTTTTCTTTAAAACCTTCTCTTAAAGATTGAGACTTGCAGCATCTATCAATTGTTTGAGTTCTGTGAGTTTGCAATTAGCTAAATAGCAAAAAAATAACATTTAAAGGTTCTTGACTTACACAAAGGAACAACTGGTAGAAATACATGTAAACACTTTCAGTACCCAGCTTTTTTTATCAAACCGTGCAGGAGCTCTCTTCTCCACATGATCGGTGTTTTAATTTCGCCTTCTTTTCGGTCCGTGCACATGTCACTGAGCAGGAGAGGAAATGTGAATGCTAATGCCGCCATTGGTTATCTTTTCTGTAATGGTAGCGGCACAGCTAAGCATACCTGAATAGTACAGCAATCTCTCTTTGCTACATTTCTTATTTTAGGATCATATGTTATCACTGCTCTGACAAAATGAAAGTGTGCGTTTTGCCTAGGTGACATTTTAAGCCTTATGGGTTAAGCTGTGCCCTTGCAGATACAGCTTAAAAAGTAACACCATACAGATGCGTGTGCTGGCTTCTTTTGGTGAGTTAAACCTGACTTTGAACAACCACAGACCTTTCCATCTCTCTTTTTTGGTTAATTTTATAGGTCTTCAACATAGATGACAGAAGTTAATATTCCTTTGGAGTCAACATGCAATGTCGTTACTTGGAGAAAAGGCACAGAGTTGACATTTTCATTAGAAGTGAATATTCCACAACACTTCAATCATTCACTTTCATATTATTTCAGTTAGAAATATCTTCTGCAGCAGGAGTGTCTGTGGTGTAAAGGAGCCTTAGGAGTCAAAGAGGCAGAAGAACCAAGAAGGTTTAATCCCACATCAGTCAGAAAGCTCTGGCACAGAACCACAGGAGTTGGTATTATCGTGGGCTTTAAACTTCGGGAGGTTCAAACGTCATAAAGCAGCATCTTAACAGGCAAATCCTGCTTCACACTCCGCTTGCACACCAATGTGAGATGAATTATCTGATCTTAATGCAGTCAGTGCGATATAAGGATAAAGAGCCCTGTTGCAGCTGAGATGACATCATTCACATTTACTCACACAGCATGAGACATAAACAATCTGAACTCCAGTTGTCCTACACAAACAGTTTGATGGGTGCCAGCTGGGACCACGCGGATGGAGGAGCAAGAACGAGAGAGGACGGAGAATCTGTGAGCAGAAGACACAGCAGGCTGAAATTAATAATAAAATATGAACATGGAAAGGATTTGTGTTTGATCCACTACTCCAGGCTGTAGCTGTCGTGTTGTAATGAAGATAACAAATGATGCTGACAACCTCCTGTGAGCCGCCAAAGTGTGTGGTAGACTGATTGAATTTCCTTAGTGAAGTCAATGAGAAACAGTTCCTCGGATTCTGAAACTCCTAGATAGTAACATGTCTGCTGTATAATCACCCTGGATCCAAAGGATTTTCATGTCTAAAGAATTAAATCTGGGCAGAGAAAAAATACCTCCATCTCAAAGCTCGCTCTATGGAAAAATATAGAGCAGCAGTTTTTATACCTGAAAGAGCCACGCCCCAGTTCAAGGTCTATAAATATTCCTTTAATTACCCCAGACTTAGATGCAGTATTCCCAAAATATTCTTGTTTTGGAAAGATGAGAGTTCTTCATTAAAAAGGGCGCACAATTTAATGAGTACATCATACATCTGCACGGTTTTGGTGGCTGTTATCGGAGTCATCTGAGAGCAGTCAAAATAAATATAACTGAATGTGTTTTTGAAGTACCACAGAGTTACTGAAGAGCAAATTCACCTGAACAAGCACAGGCAGCACAGTGGTGTGTTGGTTCAGACTGCCGACACAAAGTGAGAAGGTCATTGGTTAAAATACTTATTTAAAAAAAAAAACATAGGTACAAAGATGTTAAACTCAGGCTTCCCCTTGATGTGCCCTCTTAGTTTGTAGAAACAGTTTTCCAGCACCACAAAAAAGCAGAAGTGAAACACTAAAGTATTTCCTTGAAACGTGCGTCAAAATTCAAGAGAAGTTGGCAATATGTGTCGTTCTCATCTTGTGATGAAGGTTTCACAGAAATATTACAAAACCTGACAGACTGAGACGGATGCAATCTTCAGATTAATCAATAATCACATTGAGAGTTGAACTTGTGGAGATAACAGCTGCATGTTTACTCACACATGAGTCCACTGAGGTCAAGTTCTGCATGTCCAGCCAGGACACAGGAAACTGAATGATGTGGTTTTAGGGGATTTTTTTGAGTGCACAGCTGAAATTTCCCATTTAAGCAACATGTCGTGGCTTTATGTCATACTGCACATCATTGAGGCTGTGATTCAGCTGTGACCACGTGCCGAAACAAAAACCAAAGACTAAGATTGATAACTGATTATTCATCTTTTGAAATGAACTGAATATAAGAAGTGTTTTTTATTCTTGAGGTACATCTGAAAGAAGTAATATCAACTTATATTTGGGGTAAGTAGCTGATTGGCCTAATTTTGTTGTAAATGTCGTATTACTGTCTAAAAACCCACCTTTACTCCTTGGCTTTTGACCCAGCATGAGACGGCATTTTTTTTATTTCTTTTAATCATATTTTAAAACAACTATGTGTCAGCTTTGTTTGTTTTTAAAGTGCTCTATAAATAAAGTTGAGTTGAGTATTGTTGTGTTTATGATACCAGTTCTGTAAAATCCACTCCCTTCGTGAGACTGTGTTTTTTTTTTTTTTTTTTTTTGGCAATAAACTTTCTGTATTTCTGCGACCTCCGAAGGTTTTTCTGGTGTTCATTCAAATTCAGTGAGACAGTATGAGCTTTGTTATTAGTTTCTATGTCATAGATCAGCCGACATGTAAAGCTCCAAATTGAGTCAAGGGCAGCCTGAGACAGACATCCCAGTTTGTTTTCAGTATAGAAATACCAATGACCTGTATGGAAAAAAATATATATTTTCAGGGCATCACTGTCTGCCTGTGAGGATGATCAGTGCTGCAGGTCCTTTGTCTTCCTCTGCTGTCCATAATCAATACTTTTTACACAGTCTTGCCGTTATTATGTCAGGACTAGTTTCTTCCAACTACGTCTCTTGGCCAAGGTCAAAATGTTATTAAAACGGTAATTAATTTGATAAACTCTAGCCTTCACAACAAGTCATGAGCTGAATTACCAAAGCTTAAGGCACCTGAGGTGGTTTCCTCAGTGGTCTTTTGACAGTTGTTTTTTCTGTGTATTAGCGGTTTTACTGTTGTTATGCTATGGTTGGAAAGCCTAAATGTGGTTATAAAACTGTACTGCTGTATTGATCATTCACCAAATAGGCAATAGACAGTGAAAATCTGGTCATTTTTACATCTGGATGTTGGACTGTATTTCAAGTTTAAACAACAGATTAAGCTACTGTCATAAAACAGTAAACTTAGCATTGTGTATTAGCTATATTTACTGTTAGCTATAAGTGCTAAGTAGGTAGGAGTTGAACACTAACGTTGACTGTCTTCTTATGCTAGCTAATGATTTATCAAATGAGCTGTCTCTCTAACTTAGCCAGCTGAACATTCATGTGGCGTAACCCTTGCTAGTCAGCAGTGAAATTGCTTTCCGGTCTAACAAAGCCAAAATATTTAATATTGTTGGTCTGTGAGACACAACATACTATATTTATATATTATATATATTACGCCCTACTGCCCAGATATACACAAGAACAGATGTCAAATGGCAGGACTGTGATCTAGAAAACTGAGATGAAGTTGTATGTAGGCTATGTTCAGTCATGTGACTGTTCACCTATAAACTGGACAGTAGGCTTGTGGCTTCTTGACAAACATTAGCAATTTGAATTTCCAAGGAATTTTCAGGGAAATTTTCATTTCAGACCATCCCTAAATATCAATGATTCATGATTCTATTAGTTCTGAAATGACATTGACACATCAGATAAACTTTTTTTTTTATTCTGCTTACACCCTGGAGCAGCTTTGAAGCTTCCCACCTGAAGCTGACTTCAAAATAAAACGCATCAAACAGCCGAGGTGAAAACTAGCTCCACCAGCTGCCCTTACAGAGACACATAAACAGTTTTTAGGTCAGTCAGAAAGCTTCAGGATAATTCTCAGATGAGTCTCCTCTCCAACACTGGCAAGACACAAGTGTGAGCTTCTCTTTCATCTAAATCCAGCCCTGTCACTGTGGCTCTGGCCCCCAGCAGCAGCCACACAGAGGTATTACTCCATTATCGGCTCATTGTGAAACCGGCAGCAGATAATTGCTGGTGATACAGTAATAGGGGCACCTTGATCCCTGTAAGAGTTGTGAGATCCAACTGTTTGACGATCATCCTGCTAATTTTCACTTCGCCAGCTTCCTCCTGTCAGTGTGTTTGGAGTGAGATTTGGTTCTAATCTCTGGCTTGATTTAATTATTCCATTTGGAAGTATTTGTTTCTCATCCCCCCATAGATTTAAATGACTGTCCGCCCTGGCAGTGAAACTGGATTGTTTTCAAAACATGAATCACTTGAATGATTAAAGAGAGAGTTAAATCCAGTGAGTCGGGTGCTTAATTAAGAAGAAATTAGGACTTCTAATTTTGAAGTAACCACATTACTTTGGCGAGTTTTACAATAATCCATCTGTCGGGCATCTGCCTCACTGTAGGATCCAATCATGCTTCTTTTTCCACCAGCTCGGGTGTAGAAACATTAGAACCAGTATGGAGGAGATGCATCAGGGCTGGCAGGGGGATAACACGAACACATGGACTGAAGTTACCTGTTGTTACGAGGTCTTAGATGAACCTGGATGAGAACCCTCCCTTCTCCTATTTCAAATCACTCTGTTAGTGTAAAACAGCAGAGGCCGGGCTTTGGACAATCAAGTGATTGATGCTTTTAGAGAAAAACCTCATTGCCCACAACCTTGAAAAAGTAGATCAGAAAATGGATGAAAGATGAATATTTTACCCACGTTTTTTAATCCCTTTGAAAGAAAAATTAGTTATTGTAATTTGCATTCTGCTGTCTCAACTTTTCAGGGGCTTTATGATAAGTAGAGAGTGAGATATATCAAACAAATACTTCATTTTTCCTAAGTCTGCATCAAATATGAAAATATCTTTAGTACCCTGGGAAAAATTGGAATAAACTGAAGGATTAAAGTTTGAGAAAACTCCATTTTGTCAACATCCCAGTAGTTTTTCTGAGGTTTCAGCGTGGATTAAACAAGAAACAGTTCTCAAGAAATAAGAAATACTGTCAGAAAAAGAAAGTCAAATCTTTAATGACTGATTAAATGTCCTTATTCTGCTTCAAGAAAAACACAAACAAAGGTAGTTTATGTTCAAATCTGACTTTTCAAATAATGGTCGACACCTTGGTTGTGCTTGTTTACAGCCAAATCACAGACTGTGCCTTTAAAGACTATACATTTAGGGCATATATGCAACAAGCTGCAGGCAAGCACACGGAGAGCCGCCAACAAGCTGTGAATTGTCTGCCAGTTCACATGCTTTAGCGGTGCATACAATAAGAGGAAAGGGTTCTCACTGTGTGCTTTTCTAAAGAGAAAATGGTTCCCCTGATGAGAGAGGGGGAGGTGGGGGGAGCAGCAAATCAGAGCCAGACCAAGTAGGTGCAAATGCAGCTTAGAGGAGCTTGTATAAGCAGCTGAAAAATGGAGAATGAGTGCCCTCCGCTGGTCAAACTGTTGCATCTTTGCGGCAGTCACCTGTGGGACTGAGTCAAGTCATCAATCCCATACATGAAAAAAACAAAACACAAACAAACAAACAAACAATGCTGGTGAGACCATTTCAGAAAGCATTTTTAAATTCATTTTATTATTTTATAGCTAATTTACAACAAGCGCTTCACTGAACTGGAACATTTTATTTTGCTTGATATTGTCATTGTTAAATATATTTTTCTGCATCAGTTGACTCTGATGTAACTTTGTATTCAGTCTTTTCTGTAAAAATTCATATATCTTATAAGGAATATCACACTATGATACGGATGGCTGAGAGAGAGAGATATTAAGAAATACATTGAACCCTCAAATAAAGAAATTGAAAACATATTACTCCATTCATGGATGTGTTGTCGTGTGTTGTTGCTGTTTCTGTGATTCTCTCAATGTCTACATATAAATGGATGTGCTGATATCTTCGCATGTGTGTTTGAGAGTGTGTGTTTGCAGTCATTGTTTACTGTGTTTGAGCGGTTAAACTGGGCTGTGGCTCGGATGGATTCTGTACTTGCATCAGTTCAGCGGTGTTGCACGGCTAAACCTAAAGCCACACAGCACTCCCAACATCTCATCGGTATATTTACAGCATTCCTGGCCAAGACTCGAAAGCTCTCTTGATATGGAAAAGAAAATACAAAAATATACAAACTTGAGATGGAACCGGTGACGGATCTAAATAAATAATAAAAACAGAAATCCATACATGTCATTCACCAGCTTTCCACCTTTAGCTGAGAGAAGCGAGTGAGCTGAAAAATAAACAAACAATAAATATGAATGGTCACTTCCATCGATACTTCCACCTTCACTCTTATAATTCAGGACAAATTATAAGTAAATACAAACACATGCTCATAAAACTCCTGGAGTCCTTTAGCTTTAGCTCATCACTTTATCCTGTTGATTCCTGTAGCATATAATGCCGTCAGTGCAAACTTTATAAATACTGGTTTAATCTTTGAAACACTCGTAAAACCCTCTTCATTGCATAACATCATAGCAGTATTGCACTACATCTCACTCTCTCGCTCTGGCACGCATACATACACACACCACCCATTTATGTATTATACATTATAACCACCAGTGGATGTTATAAAGGATAGATATTCTTCATATAGTATCTTTTATAGATCATACTTTCTCCTCACACGCACACACGAGCAGCAAACACGCAGTCACACAGACACGCACACGGCTGTTTCGGTTCAACATATACAAGAACATGTCAAATATGTCAGTTCAAAGCTGTGAGGTCTGCTTTACATCGACGTGAACGCTTCAGTTATTTCTGTGTAATTTTTTGCTGCGTTTTTACAACAATAAAATGGGAAACGTGAGTAAATTCAACAACCAAACTGCAATATTACCCAAAGAAATCAATGGAATATTGTTCGGAGATGTTGATTTTTACAGACTTAGTCCCGTTAGAAATTGTCATAAAAAAGATATATATATATTTATATTCATATTTATATTTATATCTATGTATATATATAGGCCATTTATTTGTTAAACAAGACTTAGATTTAACTGGTGTGGACACAAGAGGGAGAAGAAGCAGAGAAAAAGTGGAAGAGAGAGAGTAAAAGAAGACCTATTTCTCCCATGCAGAGGAGTTTCCACACATATGCGCACACACAAGAGACCCACGCGCACATACACACACCAGACATCCAAGCACACACACAGACACACACACATACACCATGGCTTTTTTTTTTTTTGTACTGCAGCCACTGGAAACAGTGTGTACGTCTGCGGCTGAGGGATTCTCTTGGAAGAGTGATCGGTGAGTTTCTGCTGTTTGTGCCTAAGAGAGATAACATTCATCCTGGATTCTGACGAGCAGCTCAGAACAGCCAGTCCTCCCCTCTCTCTCCCTGTACAGGAGTGCGCTAGGTTACAGCTGAGGTTACAACTTTACATATGCGTTTGTGTGTGTGTGTGTGGTGGGGTGTTGGAGTGTATGGGTGCGTGAGTGTGTGTGCGTAAGAGAGCAGAGGCCGAAGTGTCAGGGCTTGTACCGCACTCACAACTGACCTCTCATGACCATTTCTCATGACCGTGTCTCTCTTCTTTTCTTCCTTCATGCTTAAAAACTCCTCCACCAAAAAGAGGTGGAGCGGTGAAACTCACCCTACCAACTCACCTTCCTTTTCCTTTTTTTTTTTCCTTTGTTTTCACTCCTGTCGCCATTGTCTTTGAGGATGCATGCACAAATTCAGCATATGAGTTTTATCATTATAATTATTCGAACTGCCTTTAAATAATGCCTATTCAACATGGGTGATTGAGCGAATGTCAGTCTCAGTCACTGAGGTGTTCTCACTCAGACCAAGGAGGGAAATAAAAGAACTCACTGCTGAGAAAAGACTCCATGTCCAGAGGGACTCAGCAGGATCTGGGCACCCCTTTCTCGGTCCTCCCCCTTTCCTGTCCTGAAACAAGGCAGCACTGACAGGAGGAGGAGGAGGAGGAGAGAAGCCAGGAGGCGATATAAAAAGAGAGGCCAGAGTCTTTTGGGGCACCCCTGTGTCAGACATAAGTGGTAGGAGGCGTTAAAGAGTGACGTGAGACTCGAAAGAGCTAAGGAGGGTGAGGTTGTTTAAATAATACCTCTGCTCACCCTCTTTTCAGCCCTGTTAAGGTATAAGATAGATCAAGGCTTCGTTGAGATCCAGGTGAGATGGACCGGAGTTCACACCTGGTATTAGAATGCATCTGAGATCCCTCAGATAAACTTGTGGTTTGGTTTCGCTCCACGTTTGCTTTTATCTGTTTGATGAATAAACTGATAAAAAGCAAATGCACACTAAGTTGTCTGGCAGCGCGAAATATGCTGTGTTCGGGACGTTTCTGTCCCCAGTTTTTAAGCAGTAACAGATGTATTTGAAGCTGTCCACTCGTAGCCAAGATGCATTTTAATGCCAAGTGAGAACGGAGCCTCAACACTCAATCCTGTCTCATTAAAGTGGAACATTAATGAAGTCTTTCTCTTGGTCTCTTCCCGGGTAATTACTGCGTTCGCATCTGTCTCAGTCTCCCCTTTTTTTGGTGTCCTTCTCTTCTTCGCTGTGTTTGTCTTAATATTCAGTAGTCTCTCTGTGTCATTCCCAGTGATTGCCTAAGCAACTGACTTTGCTGGAGGACAGAAAGGCAGGCAGGCGAGGCTGGCTCCGCAGTGAGGGTTGAAGGGTGGTGTGTTGATCGGTAGGAGGTTGTGAGGAGGATAAAGAGGGGGAGGTGGTCGGGCGGGTGCAGCATCACAGCCTCTCCCGAGTGGGGATCCAGATGTAAGGCCCTGATTGCTCCTCGATCACTGTCTTTACTTTGTGATAGACCTCTTCAAAGCTGTCCCCTTCCACGACAGCTGCGGCGAGACGCGAGAAAGAGAGAAAACAATGTGAAAATACGAAAGAAAAAAAAAACATACGGAAACAAAGAGGGGTGTAGTCAAGAAATGTCTCCCGCATGTGTTTGCAACTAAATGTGAGGAATAACCAATAATGAATCCAATTAAATGTTTTGCATACATTCGCAGTATTGTGTGAATCGCAGTGTTAACAAAAGGCGCTTCCATCCATTATGTATGTATTTCTGCAAAGTCGCCCACATATTTATTCAGCCTCACACAGCGGTTGATAAAATGTCACGTATGACAGCTGTTCCCCATTTCTTATAAACCGTAGACGCCGCTGGATTTGTGAGGAAGCCAAACATTCATATTCAGTCGACTGCTGAGATTTGCCCTAAATGTGTCTTTTAAATGTTAAAATGCCCCGAGTCCTTCCAGAAGGTATTTCTTTTTCTCGCTTAGCTAATGCGGCTCTAACGAGAACATGGAAGAGTTTAGTTATTCTTCGTGGAGAGAGAGCCTGTTTTATCTTTTGTCTTCAGTCATTTAATACGACTGAAAACTAAAATGAAACAGAGAGGGGATCAGGTGAAACCCCTGACAACCATCTGTAGTGTGCACACCAGGGTTTACCTTGTTTATGGAGGCTTTTGGTGATAACCTCTTCAAACAAAACAAAAAATGAATAAATTTGTTGCCTGTGGTTCACCTTTACTATGAACAAAACCTTTATCCATCAGTGCTGGTTACCAATTCATACGTACACATCATGAATATGTGTTTTACCTGAAAAACACTCTAAGAAGTCTTGCTCTAGTTTAAGAGCTCGGTCCATCCCTTTCCTGGCCTGCTCCTCTGTCAGGCGAGTGTTGATCTCTCTGTAAACATTAAACACACAAAAAGAACGCTCACTGTCTGTAGCCAAATAAAATGGAGGGGAACTTCAGCCTGTTTTGTCATGAATAAGAAAGAAAACAAGACAGAAAATATATTTTTATGTGAATGATCATAGGTAGGCTAACATCTGCCACATTGTGGTACAGGAAGATAGTCAGGGTCCTCTTTTGTGAAAGAATCAGCGCAATGAAAGGTCCCTCCTTTTCTTTTCTTGGTAATATACAAAGAGAGTTCACTCAGTCAGTGCTGCAAAGCAAAAACAACCTGGAGTAGCCACACCTGTCCGTAAAGACCTTAAAGTATCTTCAATCATGTTTAAACCGTGCTTTGTTCTCCTGTTTAAAATCAACTTTATTTTGATGGAAGTGTCACTGAGTGAGATAAGTGATTTCAATTCCTTTTTTTAATGTATGCTTTACACATATCATGTCATAAACTCATCAAACATACAAAAAAAAGCAAGCAAAGTTAACAGACTTCTTCTGTACTTACAGGACATTCTCGAGTGATTTGGGCCGGACAAAGATGGCGATAGGATGAAGCTGAGCTGCCTGTAATCTGCGCACAGCATTGGCTGATACATCCAGGATGCAGTGTTTCCCCTGCTACTCATTCATACAAGCAAAGAAAGAAATGAGAAGGATCAATAACGACTATCATTTTAGATATCACTTTAATTACATTTCCAATCAATGAGGCGAGAAGCCATGTCCAGCTGTGGCTCTCAGCTTAAATGCTATCTAATGGACTATTTATAAACCATTCTGAGCAAACAGTATAAAATAAATGCATTTTTGTAACTGATATACTGTAAATAATACAACATATTCCCAAAATTTATCTTGCCTAATCTATTAAGTGTAGGAAAATCAAAAATGCAAACTCTCAATTATTTGTAAATGGTTTTATTATCAGCAATGTTTTGGTCCTAGATCTCCATCAGATATATTTTTTTTTCAGTCTAGGACCAAATTGTTGCTAATCCATTTTCGTCTGACTCTTTTCCTATACACTAACCCTATGAAATAGATGTGCAAATCTTTTCCTGCTATTTTATTCTTTTTAGAAATTAATATTAATGAGAAGATAGAGCGTTATAATCAGTTTGTCTTGTCTCGACATGTTGCTGCGTACCTGCTCAGCCACCTCACGGACGCTCTGGACACTTGTGCCGTACAGGTGACTGTTGTACTGCCCCGCTTCGATGAACCGATGGCTCTGTATGTCCTTCTCCATCTGTTCCCGTGACGACACGAAGTGATAGTCCCTCCCATCCACCTCATACTCCCTCTTGGGCCGTGTGGTGTCTGTCAGGTAGAGAGCAAAACAATAAAAGCAGCACAGACAGTCACACTCCACTTAGAATCTCAAAATCTAAGCAATCACTTCCCCGAGAGGGAGAGAGGTGTATTATTCAGTCATCAACCTAAAATGGCTGCAGGTGGCAGCAGTGACATCAAATAAAACGTCTCAGTGACTGACAGCGTAATTACTTACGGGGAACACATGATCCAAACTTATCAGGGAACTCAGACAACAGGTCATCATTTATCCTGTCTTTGACGGGACCCAGAATGATGATGGGCCTGGCGTAATGAACTGGAGAGATAGAAAAAGAGTTAGAGCATTCAGAGAGGGGAAATAAAAACAAAATGAAATTGAATTATGATATTTTTCATAATGGACTTTTTTATAACCTTACCTTCCACTTGGGTGACGGTCTCATAACTGTGTGCAGTTTTATCTCTCCCTGGAGACAGAACATAGACACATCATCAAAGTTTCTTTTTACCATTATAAAATACATTTAGGTTTGCGGTTCTGCTTGTTGGTGTGTGTGATTGTTTTAAAGGCTGTCCTGGAGCCATTATAAGTTTCATAAGTGCCTTTGTGAATGCATGAACGTATTATTAGGTATTATGCAAGTTCACCTGTCATTGCAGCGATCCAACAGAAATCATTTTTTCAGGTGTTAAAAAAAACCAGCTTGTTTCTTTACTGCATTTGCTTCTGACGACTACTGTTTAACCCTCACATACTGTTCAAATCCTATACCCTCACAGTATGTTCCAGGTCAAAATTGCCCCTTCAAAACAAGATATATGTAAGAAATGTTTTTATCCTATCAAAGGTTTAACTCTCCTCCTGTGTTAGGGTCTGCACGGACCCATTTTTGCTTAAAAGAGCCACCTAAACTTGTTTTTTTGCATCAAGACTTTTTGACTTTGTCAGGAACCTCTATTTCAACAAAATAAAAATAAAAAAATTAAATTAACTAAATTTCAAAATGCTCTTATTAAAATGTGCACTGTCAGGCACCACACTGACAGTCAGATCTTCTTCCAATCATGTGAGATTTAGGAAATTCTAATTTTACCATGTTCTTCCATGCACAAAATACAACATTGAGCATGTCCAGACATGTAAGATCAATTAGTATAGATGACTGTGTGAGGGGTACACTGACAAAGAAAGGCCCAAAGGACCACACCAAAAACTATTATAAGCAATATTTTCATGGATAATGAAGCCTAACAAGATAACCTAGAGATGAGAACCAAATTGAATGATAGAGAAATGTTTTTAGTGTGATTCGCAGCTGAAACCGACCCTTAACATGATGGGTGCGTAGTAAAAGCTAACACAGGAGGAAGGTTAAAGAGATTCAAGAATATAGTCAGTACCCAACCCTAGATGACAAAGTCAGTACCTAAAGAAAATAAAAAGTGTGTATCTTAAATGTTGCAGCTTGTACATTAGACAGTCATCAAGACAGTCAATGCATGGGTCTGTTGGAAGTGATGCGAGCTTTAGTCTGCAGTCAATAAAGACTACCTGTGTTTACATTAGACAGTCAGTGTGATGTTCACAAACTGTGCTGAGTGTAAGGGTACTTTGTCTCTGCAGAGATCAGCAGTGAACCCATTTGCAGTTGGTCCTGCTACTTGCACTTTAAATTGAGTGATCAATCTCGCCATGAATACACTAAACAGGCTCCCACAGGGTGTGTCTAGTTACTATGTACATCCATAAACATTTGCATGAAGTCTATGTAAATATGATGCGTTTGTGTGCGGCGGCAAATTATGCCCAACTGTCAATGCCAATTACTATAGTGTTGACTCGAATCTGCTAAAGTCAGTTACATGTGTAAATGTCAGCCTGCAGTGTCAATACGCGTTTATGCTTCATACTAATTACCCTGAGTGCCCAGGCTGTCTCGACCATGGTCCTGCAAACAGAAAGAGAGCAGATATTTACACACTTAGAGGCAGTGTGAAAGAACAAGCCTTATTCAGACAGACGAGGAGAAGAAGAAGAAGAAGAAGCATACCCTCTCTTTGGTGTTGACACGAGACCACTCTTTTCTTTCAACCCTAGCAAGAAGGAGGGAAAGAATCAGACATTTTGGAGACGGAGCGATCAAGCCAAAATGGCTTATAAGCTTTTAGTTTGCTCTCTTCTTTAATCAAAGGTTGCAATAACTTTTGAAATACAATAAAAGGATGAGTCATCTCACCCACACTCACAGTGTCATGTCTGACCTGTGCTTGCTAGGGATGAAGCCGACCTCCTCGGCCTCATTCTGGGGGCTGACCTTACGGGCCTGCCACCACTCCTCATCTCCACAGTCCAATACATGCAGCACATCCCCAAATTTGAAGCCCAGTGCCTGGCTGAGGAAGCCACAGTCTGCAGTCTTGTCATAGTCAAAAAGAGCTCTGAGTGATGACAAAAAACATCATTCAGTTAATGAAAAGCACTTTGAGAGATCATTAATGATTCAAACAAAAGTATCATAACCACTGTTCACTGTGAAAGAACATTAACATCATCAAAAATGTGCAGCACTTTTTCAAAACAGTATATACAAACACAACAACACACTGTAACTTGTAGTTCTTTCTCTAAAGTAAATTATTCCTATAAAAAGACTTCTAAATACCAGCTGCAGTATTTTCTACTGGCTCCATCTTGAAAGTTAGGGGTGTCCACTAGCTAAACAGACATATTTAATCTGAAATAGAAGATTTAGGGTATAAGTTTTGAGAATTTTAGCCTACAACTGCAACGAATCAGGAGTAATGTGGCTCATTAAGATTTTGCTGTACATTCACACCGACATGCTGTAATGAAAACCTGGACTATTTTGTGCAATCCAACACAAAAGCCACACTTACTTTATCATATTTATCATACTTTTACAAAACCTCTGAATTACAGTTTTGTTGACATGGTCACACAAGTGATGATTGTTCTTTGACGTAAATGTTGGTGGTGTAGCCTACTGGAGTGGACAAAACATAAGGAACAGCTTTTAATACAAGACACTCCAGTATACCACTACAACCACCCTGAACGTCTCCAATAATAAAGCTAATTGACTGTTATGAACTATCGGGTTGTGTGAACAAACAATGAAAAAAAGAACCTTCCAACCAACAGGGGCAGCATTATTAGATGATAAACAGGATTAGAGCAACTACAAGAAGAAGACATACTGCGCCATCTTGAATTTACGTGTCTTTAATAAACGTCATTAACTGCTTTGAGTGTACTCTACTTTTGCAGTAAATTTAATTCTGCTTAACTGCTGTAGTCTCATATTTCACCATTTCATCTGGGTATTTCTGCCTTTATTAGATGTAAAAGACAAAGAGAGAAAGTAGCGGATGTGCAGCAAAGGGTGGTGGCGAGGAATCGAACCAGCATCAGCTGCGACGAGGACTGTAGCCTCTATATGAGACGCTTAGACAATTAGGCCATCTACAACCCAGATTCACTCATTTTACTTAATATATAAACCTAATTTACAAAAAAGGAAATAAAAATTCTACCTCCATAGTTGATTCTTTGGACAGGTATTCATATTAACTAAGGAGAAAATGAACCACCTTCAATTCAAATCTTGACATTTCATTGCCACAAAAGCTTTACACTACATTCAGTCGTATAAACCACCATTTGGCACCATGTCAAGGCTGTAGTAGTTAACAGGCTTTGATAAAGTCAAGACCGACAAAAATACTGCAAAGATACAGAGTAAGGCTGTTGGAAGGATATTCTGAATTTAAATATAATTCAACAACAGTGAAAAACTCTATTTAAGCAGTGTTTCTGTTCAGTATTGCACAAACGGCGCTTTTTCTATGATAAGTGTGAGACCTGATGTAGAAGCCTCTCTTTGGGTTACTCCTTAGTGTTGTGGTCCCAGAGCCCATGCTGCTGTTCATCAGCTGCTCTCTCAAGTCGTGAATCTTTGCTTCAAAACGGCTGTACTCTGAAACACAGAAACAATTACACATTTATGTTTCTGGCTGACGCTTAAACACCTAAAATTCTGATTAAAAGCAGTACAAATATTTCACTCTAGCCGAACAAAAATCAGCGATGCAAATGTAAAACAAACTTAAATACAGCTGCTTCTGTTGACAGTTGACAGTTCTTAATATAAGCCCTGAAACTTGGACTGCTGTGTGTAGCAGGAAGCATTAGCTGCAGTTAGTCTGGTCACTTCTTTGCAGAGCTGGTTTTATGGAGCGAGTGTAATCAGCAGTGTGTAAGCACAGAGAAAGAAACCGCTGTACACAACCTCATTTTCGAGGCCCTCAGTAATCAAACACTGAGTACCTGGAAAATGATGTGTTTAGCTTCTCAAGGCACTACAACTGAAGCACCTCAATCTGTACTGTTTAGCAAGGAGCGCCAGCCAACCAATCATAGACTAAGATATGAGATGATGAAGCAGAGACCCTGTTGGTTTATAATGTAGCATGGCAATTTCTGTAGCCAGATCGACTAAATCAAAGCTAATTTTTCCCTTATGGGTTTTTTAACAGTATAAAAATATAATGTTTTGTAAAATATGAACAGTAACTGCAGCTATCTGCATATTTGCAGACATGGTTCATAACGCTATAATTTCTCAAGATCCAAAACTGTTATTAGGGACCCATTCGGTTTCCCATAGACCCACTCAAATCACACACTCCTGGGTCCTGGAGACTTGTTAAATGAATAACATTACTTTGTTTAACATAATAAACTATCCCTTTAATGCCTGAAACCACAAATTATGGCCAGAACATTCAAATCTTTTTGGAGCTGAAATGTTTATTTCACTTACTACTGAAAACCAAAAACATCCTTAAAATTTAACAAATATGTTAATTTATCTTGTTTGATACATTAGATGTTTTTGGAAACTGATAAACCACAAGAGGACATTTTTATCATTTATTGGACTGTATTCGGGTGTTTGGTTTTTTTAGTAATATGTTGATGATATTGATTTGATAGAAGTATCATACAAGTGTGTATCAAATATGATACAAAAGGCATTAAAGGGTTAGGTGCGTTTAGTTTGTTTTAAAGGCTCGATGTGTTTGAGTGTTGTTCTTTTACCATCAGGCCTGTACTGAGCGATGATGGTCACCGTCTGGCCGGCATTCTTCAGTGCAGCTGCGGCCTGTTCGTGTGTGGCCATACGCAGGTCCACGCCATTCACCTGCCCCACACAAAGCATCACAGCATTAACAGCTACAACCAAAAAAAAAATCACTTGGCCCGAACACACACAGTGTATTAATGCGTGTGACAGCTTTATGAAGATAAAAGATGCTTTACACTGAGGATCTGATCGCCCTTGTGCAGCTCTCCGCTGAGGTCAGCTGGTCCCCCTGCCAGGATGAAAGAGATAAAAATCCCCTCTCCATCCTCGCCGCCAACAATGTTGAAACCCAAACCTGTGGAACCTCGATGGATCAAAACTCTGCGAGGATCTCTGGAAAAGATGAGGAAAAAAATATACTCAGTTCAACACTAATATTATCAATGACACTTTATACTAGAGACATGTAGTACAAACACTAATACTAACACAGATACTGCTAATATCAAGATAAAAATCTGGGTACAGCTGAATTAGTTATAATTAATTGTTTACCTGGGGATGTCATCATCTCCCATCAGACCATGCAGAACAGGCGAAAACCGGCTAGGTGAGGTGGGAGTGAGGGCTTGTGGGTAATCTGATCCAAGATAGTTGGGGTGACTGAGTTCAGTATCCATATGAGAATATGCTGAAAAAGAAACAGAAGCACAAGAGTTATCGTTTACAATGCAGGATTTTTTCCAGAAGAATATAATCTCTTATTCCCAATGATCGCTTTGAAATCAGAAAAAGGACTTTAAGAATAAGATTTCTTTCATGCTATGTGTGAGAAATTCCCTGGAATCGTCTCTTTGAGAGACCAAAAAAAGAGTATTTTGTGACATTTTGCTTCAAGGACACTCTCTTGTCAAGAGGCATATTTAAGCCAAGGATATGCTTTATGTATTAGTGAGGAAAATAAACCTTGAATTCGTTCACCATAGCTTTTAATTGTCCCACAACTCCCACGGTAATCCTGACAAAAAAAGTCACACTCTCCACTCTCCGTTTTTGACCACGGTCTTTCATTTACTCATGAGAATGAGAAAAATGGTCTGATTTTGATCTAGCGTCACGAAGACACTTAAAGCGTGCACATTTCATTTAACACGGAGAGAAGCTTACTGCTGGTGAGGTCTGGGGGGTTGTAGGAGTTGGTCAGGAACAAGTTGTTGGGCTTGGCCACCCTGAGGTACACCACCTCAGCTGTGTTCTTCAGAGCCCCCACCGCATCCTCATGCATCACATCCTCCAGACACACATTGTTTACCTGTTGTTTGTGACACAAACAGGGAAACACATGAGGATCCCCCACTTCACTCTTATTAAGTATAATGAGAACAATGAATAATGTAAGCAGAGATAATAACACTGGATCAGCTCTTCAACAACTTTAAAAAATGACCACTAAAAATTCAGTCATTTCACTTTAATACCACACTACGAAAGCACTCTACTAAAATTTGAACTTTTGTGTTCAACTGTTTCATCATTAAACGTAATTTTGTCCTTATTAGAGTCGAGCTTCAATGCTATACATGAGTAAAAGTTTGCAGCCAGTGTGGACCGTAGATGCGAGGTCAGACTTTTTAGTCACAGTCCTGCATTGGCAGCAGATGACACACATGATAAAGGTGATTTTAGAATAAGCAACACACTGTTGATTGACCATCGTGATCTCAACATCGATCAAAATAATTGTGATTAAAATTTTGGCTATCAGATGTGTTGTGTGATGATGAAAGAAAAATGTATTTTCTGGTAGAGAAACATAAAAATTGCCAAGAATGAATCAGACCAGATGAAATATAAACAGACTACATGATCCAAGCTATTTAAATCAGTATTTCAGTGGTCTAAATAAAAATTTGATTCACTGAAAAGCTCTTGAATTTGAAGAACAGGAAGGGTCCCCGCTGAATTGAAATCCTTTTGAGGTATTTTGCCCATTTCCACTCTTGGCTATCTCTTTGTAGTATGGTTACGAAAAAAGAGCATTATCACAAGTTATCTGTCAAGTTGCTGATGATCTGTCTTTGAGTTAAAGACAGGACCAAAGGCCTTTCGACATGTACCGCTCTGAAGTAAAGCCTTTCCACAGACACCATTTAGTGGGAACCAAGCACCATTTTAAGGTTGCTGGTATCGAGCCTGCCAAGAGCTGCCTTGTTACACTCCCTCTGTTCTCCAGCAGATGGCAGGATTGCTCCTTGAGAATTCTTGAGGCGTTACAACATTTTCCAACAACTACAACATTTCTCCCATCCTGCATATCTGTCATCATCTTATGGCAGTAATTGAAAGCCATGGTGATTACAGTGGGGATGTCTTGGCTGCTCATATACAAAAATGTTAAAGTGTGAATATCTGTAATTATTTGTGTCTTTAAACTGTGAGAGTCTGAGGTCATCTGAGATGTGTTTGTAAATCTGCATGGTAGCTGTTATTACAGTTGAGCGACCAACCGCTAAGATCTTGTCCCCGATCTGCAGACGCCCATCTTTATGAGCTGCACCGCCCTCAATGATCTTGGTGACATAGATACTGTTGTCTCCTGGTATGTGCTGGTTCCCCACCCCTCCAGCAATGCTGAAACCTAATCCTGGAAAAAGAGAGAGTGATGAGAGAGGGAGCAAACAAACTAAGGGTTAACACGGAGCAGAAGAGGGCACAGCTTGGTTGGGTGTATGGTTTCCCCAAGCTCACACGAAATGGTCCACACACTCCCACTCACCTTTAGGCCCTTTGATGAGTTTGATTTCGGTGACTTTCTCTGCTGCTGGTTTTCTACGGAGAACATAAAGGCGGACGATAGCACCTGCCTCCTTTAGAGCCTCAACAGCTTGGCTGTGTGTCACCTCTCTTACGTCTACATCGTTCACAAACAGGATGCAGTCGTTCACACTAAGAAACAGACCGAAGAGAAAACAGAGATAGAGGTTTGTTTGGGTCGGGGGGGCTGGTCATTCCTTCGCCATGGCTAAACTCTGGATCAGTTTCAAAACAGACATCTGGTCTGTCCCTCCTCCTCTCAGGATCCAATGTCAAAGATGGTTTTAACCCCCTCCCCTGACTATTGATCTTGTGGAAGGGTAATCTACTGTATACCTCTATTTGTGTGTGACCTGTTCTGGGCAATGATAAGCAATTGGTTTATAACGTGTAAGTGAGCCCGTGTGTGAAAGGTAACGCGCTCCTTCAAAGTGCCTAAAACCTCCACTTATCGCCTCCTCATTCTTGTGTTTAAAATAGATTTTACAGCTAAGTGTGTAAAATTTTATATGAACAAAATAACAATTCTTGAGAGATGCAAGAGGTGAACACATGAATTTCTGACAAGTTTGACCTGGAAGCTGTCTTCATGTTTTCTTTCTTGTTTTTATGTCACAGATTTCCTCAAATTTCCTGTCGTACAAATTTTTTTATATTAATACTGACATTAATCATATTTACATGCTATTTCTCTGTCCTGATGTCCTAGTCTCATATTTAGTTAGCAGCCTGAGTGTCTTCCCCGTACGTGTTAAGTTAAACCAGTCAGATTTGCAACAGCCTTTAAAACCTACACATCCAATTGTAGTTAAATTTTATGACTGCTTAGTTCTCTCCTCTGGCTGTGTGCTGCCTTTTTAGCTGGATAGCTGCATGATATAAAAAAGAATAATCATGGGATATTTTTCCTCTCTGCAATATATATTAGGATGTAAAAAAAAGGAATTTAATGGTAACAGATAGATACGGTTCATTTTAAGTAACTATAAAAATGTAAATGTATGTAACACAGTCATACCTGTGGAGAAGTAGAGAGACAAGAGGAGAAGACAGCAGGGAGCAACACCCTTTTTTCCCATGAATGTAAGGCAGCTAATAAAAGTAATTGATTGACTTTGTGCTACTCCTATGTATGAAAAGTGCTATACAAATAAAATAAATTTGAATTTGAATTTAGAAGTCATCAATCATTTGTCTAAATGTCTAAAAGTATGTTTAATCTCTGTCATAAACCCCTCTATATTAACAAAATCAAATAAATACCTTATTTTTTTCTGCGTGTGATTTTAGCATCACTACAACATAGGTGCCCTGCAGGTGTAGAGGCTGCATACCAACACTCTTTGATCACATTTGTTTAGCAGTGTGTTTGTTCGATTAGCAGCTTGATCTAATATAAAGTGTTGCAGGTTACATGACTGAAATTGTGTGTCCTGTGTTGTGGCCATTGTACATAAAAATATTGCAAGTGCTATGTTTGAACGATTTGTCCTGCTCTATTTGAAACTCCTCCACTTCGCTCTTCACTTCCACTTTCTTCACAACCAGTCCAGTCATAGGTCTTTGAAACTAGTCGTCCACCCCTGAATCACATCTTTTCTGCACTCAGATTTCGTTCTGGCGGCCTTCAGCTTTTTAAACTGCAACCAGTTACTCAGCTGCATCAGGGGGATCTTTCATACTGTAGTACACATGGTTCGATGTGGCAAAATGTTCATACAAGTAAAGTGCATGTTTGTTCAAGTGAGAGGATATCTTAACTCTGGTGCAACTTTCTCTGCCACTATTTAGAGTTTTTTTTTATTTTGTGCCACTCTGCTCACTGGGATTTGTAGGTAAGTCATCAACCGCTCAAAGATAATGTTTGTACATACTGTAGAACATGTTCTGAATCAGCTTCTCAACCACTAAACCACAATATCATAAACAGCAAGAGGTTCTTCAGTCTGTTCTTTGTTCTTCAAGGATGTTTTCTATAAATCACAGATGTGATTGAGTCATTCAGTACGGAGGAATTAGCCTGACAGAATCTTTCAGTGGTTGAATCATCCTGCAGAGATTGCAAATCATCTGAAACAACATGAATTTTAGAGCAGCTATTGTCTGGTTCTGTAGGGCTTTAAAGACAACACATGATTTGGTGAGCACATGTTTTGACTTTTGAGTGTTTCCTCAAGATACTGATGTTATGTTGCTTATAGCAGATAGTGAAGACTGCGGAGAAAACTCTGCATGCAGGCAAACATGTTCTCTCCAGGCCTACTTTAAACTTTGCAGTCATTTGAGATGGACATTTGTAGGTCAGCTGTAAAGAGGGGAATCGGGAGAATGCCTGCATTGTAATTCAGCCTGGTATACTGGAAAACTCAGAGACACAAGTATATGCAGTGCAGTTTATTCTTTCAGAGGGGTAATTTTCCACTTAAGAGGGTAATGCAATAACAAATGCAATATGACTACATGTTGTTGCACTAGGCTTCATAAGGATCCACAGAGCTCTGAGCTACAATTTAAACTTTCTTTTTTAATACTTTACTGGATAAAAAGCCTCAGCCTATGAAATGCTTGCTGGGAGATCAGTGACTTTCTCACTGTTGCTTAACAACAAAATAATTACTCTTTTCCTTCATCATTTTATATGTTTAAGACACGTCATATTTTAAGGCTTCCAGGTCTTCAACTAAAAGAAGAAAAAGATTTGTCCTGATTTGACTTTGACATGTTGAAATGAGAGAGCATGTTTCTCTGTGTGTTTGCTAGTAGAAAGATGCCTTGGTTGTCTTAATCACTGAGTTGCTGGAAAGTCAAAATGAAGATATTCATGCAGGCCGGGGTCTTACCTAAGCCTGCCATCCTGAGCCGCCGCTCCTCCAGGTATGATTTTGGTGATGAAGATGCTGGGGTCGTCGCCCACGTGGGGGTTATCGGTTCCTCCTGCTATGCTGAAACCAAGGCCTGAGTTCCCCTGCAGGAGAACATATGAACAAACATATTATTCATCCCGTCAGGGGTGTCTCTCTCCTTGCAAAAACTAAAGAGCTATAAAATTGTTTAAAAGCAAGTGAAGGAATAAAAAAAAAACTTGCTCTCACACTCACTCTCTCCAGTGTGATTTCCTCATACTCGATTTCCCCTTCTGTTCCATTCACCTGTCAGGTGAGAGTGTCAGTTTATTGTGGCATTTTGAGAATATTTCGTCCTATTGGATATTCCATCCATTTAAACATCACAAGGAAATAACGCTGCAAGATCAATCTAATCCCTGCAGTGGCAATGTTAGTTTGAAATTATATAACTACATTAAAGGCTGTAATTTGCAATTCAAATAAATGTGCATGTGTCTGTGAATATTACAACCTGTCGTCTGGTTGTTTAAAGTCGTGCCCATCAGCTGCTCTGGCGGCTTGTGTGTGTATGTAACAATATTGTCTATTTGAAGTTGTAGTTAATGAACACAGCAGCATCGTCATCTTTCTAAGCAGAATCCTTCGAGCAATGCTTAGTTTTGACATCAAATTAGATTCACATTACCTTCAATTAAGACATATTGTATTTGTTGACTGTTGTTGTGCCTGCATGGTAGCTTACACGCCATTCTTTTATTTCAGAGCAGCCCTCCTGGCTTTAAAAAATTATCTACACATCAGCTTTACTTCTGCAATTAAGCAAGTCTCGGAGGAAGAGGGAATTTAAAGAACTTCGGGCCCCACAGTTTTTTGGTGCTGACCTAGAAAACAACTTTACTTACTGCTGTAGTGGTGCAAAAAAATGCTGCTCTGAGATGTGAGGTTTTTCACTAAGAAGCTTCATTCTCTCATCCTTTACAATTCGCAAACTATGTTAAAGGTTTAAAGAAACACAAATCTTATCTTTTTTTATAACAAACATAGAACAAGACAATCTGATTTGAATTGATAAGGACTAAAAATGAACCTATGTTATCATCGAGACTGAAACAATGGGCAAAGGCGTACTGTAATTGCTGAGAAAAGGAGCAAAATTACTGACAACGCAGACTGAGTATAGGCAGTTGAGTTAGTCATGTGATTTAGCCGAACATAATAATACAATAAAGGAAAGATTAAACATAATCCTTACATATGGGGAGCCATCGAGCGTGTCAGTGTTCACCACCACTGGAGGAGTATTTCCCTGGAGGCAGAGAGAGAAGAAACAGTATTAATAAATGATGGCAGAAACTCAAAGATGAGGCAGCTCCTGGACAAGCTCTCAATATGTCCCTGAAATGTTCAGTCACAGCCAAGAGCCATTTCAGCTCTTAACCACGATTACACTATTCTCATTCTGCTATGGTTGTCACTACGGCTGAGGGATAGAGTGCTACTGAAGAGCCATTTGCTGTTTTCCACCCTAGATGGACACAGGAATAAATCATGTCAGCCCCTCTGGTTTTTAACTCTTCATCTTTGGTTTGTTTGATTAAAGCTTTTGGTTAGATTAAAGGGATATTCTGGCGTAAAATTAAGTTATGGTCAAACACACCGTAACACCAAGTTAGACACCCCGTCAAGAGATGAATGTTGCCGACCACTTGCTTCTCTAGTTATACCAACTTTAGTAATGATTGTGCGATAGCAATACACAGCGGTCTATGGATCCACGCGCACACCTCAACTAAAATGCCACTCTATAGCCACAAATAATGCTCAGAACAGCACCTAACATCTTTTTTAAAAAAGAGACTAAACACAACTCACCTACTCTCTTCCAGCAGTCGCTTGTTTGTAGCGAAACCTCAGGTCAGTCCATTACAGTATGCAGTGGGGTGACACAGCTCAAGGAAGAACATTTTTGATCATTTCTTTATCATTTCCTTGATGTAATAATCACCATATTAATCATTTTGCACGGCAGATGCGGTAGTTCTTCTGCATTAGCGTCTCAGTCTGATTGCATTGCCATGAAGAAATGATCATAAATGTTCTTCCTTGAGCTGCGTCACCCCGCTATAGTCCGTAATGGACTGGCCGGAGGTCTCTGTACAAACACGCAGCTGCTGGAAGAGAGTAGGTGAGTTGTGTTTAGTCTCTTTGCTAAAGAAATTAGGCAAAGTTAAAAAGATGTTTGGTGGCTAGTACTATGGCTGGGACCCTATATGTACTGTTGATGAAGTTAGGTGCTGTTCTGAGCATTATTTGTGGCTATAGAGTGGCGTTTTTGTTGAGGTTTGTTTATGGCTCCTCAGGCCGCTGTGTATTGCTATCTTGCGGTTGCTACTAAAGTTGGCATAAATAGAAAAGCAAGCAGTCGGCAGCATTCATCTCTTGACGGAGTTTCTAACTCTGTGTTACGGTGTGTTTGACCCTAAATTAATTTTACGCCGGAATATCCCTTTAAAGTTTCGCCTGAATCTAGTGACAATGGTTGTTACGAGCATCAACCCCTCAGTTGTTTCCAAAAAAAAATCCCCTGGTGATTCATGAGCAGATCCACTGACAGCACATGGTACATCTTCCAACCCACTTGAAGTATTGAGAAAAGAAGAAGGCGACGACAGAAAAGCGTTGTGTCTTTGATACTATCAGTGACTGTCATGTCCCAGAACGTAAGATGCATAGATTTATGTAACATCAGGGTAAAGCAGAATGAAATGATACATCAAAAGCCTTGTAAAGAAAGAGAGAGTGGCAGGACAGCGTTTAACAGCATTGATGTAATTTTGGTTCACCCACTGGGGTTTTCCTCATCTGAAGTATGACAGTGAACCTCTACAAGCTGTTTTGATTTTTCTCCTCTTAATGCAATTTGTCTTGAATACATCCTCACGCTTTCAAGGATCCACTTTCATCATCAAGTCGTCTGATGTTGGCCGATGTAAACACAATCATTATGTACTGTAGTCTTTGGAGAACGCCGCCTGATTTCCCCAATGGCATTCCTGTATTTATTCCTGTCACTGTGCTGCGCCACGCTGATTAGCATGGGAAAGACCTCCGCATCAAAAGTGCTTACAGAACTGCAACCAGCAGCATAAAATCAGCCCGCTGACCTTCACAGACCCGACAGCTCCGACACGCACAAATAACTACGCAGCCACACAACTGAACACATTTTCAGCTGTAAAGAAATTCTCACTCTCCTGACCAGAGAGTTATTTTTTACTCTCGGCCTGTTAACTCTGAGAGAGCTAAGAGCTTATCAGAGAGAGAGAGAGGAGAAAAGATCAGTTTTTACTACATCAATGTGTATTTGATTCAAGTCAACAAACAAACAGTTTCAGGTGTATAACCCACTCCTTACTAAAACTAGGCAGACTGATCCCACTGTCAAACAAATCCTTTTTAGGTTTCAATGCTGATTTTTCTGCTGTATGCTATGGGGAGACAAGGAAGGGATGGGTGCAGTTTTTGAACAGTATTGCATTACCCTGACATCACATTTCTAGAATGAGTCAATATTTCCTATATTTTTGTTTTAACATAAAAAATTAAAGTCATTTTTTTTTCCACACACCACCACTGTTGGATGTTTCATGGCCTGTCGTCATTATCAAGCAAGATAAATCATATTAATTCAAAAGAGCAAATACTGATCCACAAATTCTCTCTCTCTCTCTCTCTCTGTCTGTCTCTCTCTTTAATTCTTGTTGTTCTGTTATAACAGCTTGGGTACAGCTTTACCATTTGGCTGTGTCCAACAGCCTGTGCTGCTGAGCATTACTTCAGCTTCATCCTCATCCAGAAACAAAAATAATGAGTGTAGCCAGCAGAAATGTAAGCCCAGAGCAGGCCTGTCTCCCCTGCAGGGACTTTTGACAGAGCCCTCTCCTGCTCTTGTTGAGTCTGTCAAGTCTTTTGACGTCAGAGTTGTTAGGATTTACACAGTTTGACTCCTCTTGCCCACCTATAATTTAGCAACGACTCTTGGCTTAGCCGTCAATAAGGCAGCACAAACCTCCATCCACACCCAAACCAGACCTTTCTTTCTTTCTTTATGGATTTAAATGCAGCACACTAGATACCAGAAAATGCATATTCAAAGGAAAATGAGACGTATTTTAGCCGTTCTGTTCACACTGATCTCAACATTTTCACTGTTTTCTGATTTTGAAAAGAGCAGCATGAATCAGTGTGTCTGAATCAATTTCTTCTCCTTATTTGAGTCGTAAATAAAATCTTCGTATAATCAGTTTCACAACAGGAACTTTTCAACCTCTAGCAAATATCTGAGCAATCACTTTTCGACACATCCAGACCTTTGACCAAGCTGCCTTGTGTGTGTGTGTGTACCTGAAAACACATATTGGTCTGATGCTCACCATGCGTTCTTCACATGCTCTCACTCCCTTTAGTCTAACAGACATTTACTGCAGAAAGATTACAGTAAAGCAGATGATACTGAAAATCACCTGTCTTTGCAAAATTACTTTAAGGAGTTGTGTGAGCTCGCACTGGAGAGGAGCCTGAGGTGATATTAGATAAGCAATACTGCATGTACTGCATACCTATAGAGCAGCAGCAGCAGAGGGAAAGCTGCTAACCCATACTAAAATATATGCAATGTCAAAGAAAAGAAAAGTTTCCGGCATTTTTGGCAAGCATCGTGCATATTGCCTATACTAAGAGTACGTGCTGCTCCTCTTGTTCAAGAGAGAAAAGGGTTCAGCTTGTAAAACTGATCCTGGCTGCCCCTCTCCTTTAGCGCTGTGCAGAGCTGTTAAAGAAATGGAAATGAGAAGACTTCTGTGGAGTGTTTCACGACGTGTAGCTCTGATTTCTGTGCATCAGGTTGAATGGCTGGTGATTTAGCTGCCTCTGCGCTCATGTGTGGGTTGAAGTGCATGATGTGACAGAGGTTAATTTGGACGCCACATTATGCAAATTGCTCACTTATTGGCTCCTTATTACATCCCACATTTCATCTGTACAGCGCAGCAGGATGTGGTTGCACACTTGTATGCGTGGGCTGTGGTGATATGGAGTCAGTGGGTGCCTACAGCTCCCAGTTTGTTGGAGTGTTATGCTGACGAAAGACACCATTAGAGGAGAACTCACACACATCTATACCTGCAGACACACACATACAGCCCGGGCAAGACTGCATCAGTTTTAGTAGATGTGATTACTCAGGCTGACTGTGATTAAAATATCTATTGTGGGCGGTTTCCTGGTCCTGGGTTTTCTGAACTGCCCGGATAAACAATAACAAGTCTTAGTACATTAAAAACATTACTAATAATCCTCTCAATGGGCTTTTTCTCAATGCCCTGAGTACAAATGTATTCTGTAGATTTCCAATAGAGTGTACATGTTGAAAACACGCTTACCAGCCTATGATGTCGATGATACTTGGCTTTCCGAACATTGCTGAGGAACCGGCTGCCCATCTTTTTGGCGTACCATACAGACATAAACATCCTGCTCCACTGATGAAAGTCAAACCAGGCTTAATACTTTGAGCAAACCCTACTCACTCCTCAAAATTACACACACACCCACCAAGCGTGTGTCTGTGAGAGTTAAAGTGCCTTCTCAGCAGTACCACCGCGACAGCATTATTGCAAAGAGTGCCATTTGGTCCACGACCTGCCATAACAAAACCACAGAGCATCCAGATCGCCCAAATTGACAGAGATTACTTTTTCGAGAAACACACGCCCTTTTAGCTTTGCATTCCTCTCACTCGAAGAGTCGGCTCTAGACGTGACACCTTTTAAGACAAACGGTTTTATAAAATCACAGAGAGAACAGCCTAATTGGTGAATTCTTCATGCTGTCGTTTCATTTGAAGAGTCCCTACACGTCCTCCAAAGCAGAAATCCAGTGACAAAAATCACTCATTGCTGTCAAGGCATGTCAGAATAGGAAGCGAAGCCATCCTGTCGTCTGAAATCACCCATCCAGAGTTGAAAGGAGAATTCACAGTCACAAACAGATCCTTTCAGTCGTCATCATCTGTAGCAGTGGACTACGATAGCGGTGCCTCCCTGCTGCTGCTGGTCTGTGCTCAGCAAGAACGCAGTTCATATTTTCAGCTGCTACTGTACCCCTCCCACCTCCGTCTCTCAGAGAAAGAGGAGCGGGCAGGGAAGTTTGATGGCAATTACTTAACTGTCTCTCCGTGTAATGTCTGCGCTGGCTGTGTTCGAGTGGGAGGAATTATACTTTGGCTGAACTTGGAAGGACAAGCGAACTGGCCTGACTTCTCTCAAGGAGCACTTGAAACTGAGAAGCTGTTGGCTAAACACGTTATTGGCAGAAAGGCTGATCAAGTGTAGCTTGACATCAGATCTTTATAGTTAGCCATCTGTGTCCTTTTCTTCTACTTATTTACTTCTAAGGTACCTGAAGATTAAAATGACGATACAGTCACATCCGGCAAATCAGACTGCTTTCACAATATAATGCAAGGATCAATTTTTTTTGCACAATTTCTCATTCAAAAATTGTTATTACTGAACCCCTTCCTTATCACGAACAGATGTTTTGAGGTACTATTGGTCTCACCCCTTCACAAGGACTGTTATTCACATAGAGACTGTCTGCTGCCAATGAGTTCAGCACCATGGACAGAAAAACACTTGATTTAAAGTGAGGGTAAAGGAGAGGACTCAGTGCTTAAATTAAAATTTAGTAGTATTGTTTGCTATAGAGCAGTGGTTCTCAAATCCAGTCCTCAAGCCCCCCCGTCCTGCATGTTTTGGATGTTTCCCTGCTCCAACACACCTGATTCAAATGATCAGCTCGTTATTAAGCCATTCCAGAGCTTGATAACGAGCTTATGATTTGAATCAGGTGTGTTGAAGCAGGGAAACATCCACTTGACTGGATATGAGAACCACTGCTATAGAGTATGTCTTTGACCAAAACTTCATTATTACCCTTTAGAGAAATAAGAACCAGGAAAAGAGCAGTCTTCTTGTAAAGATCTGCCTTTCTCTTTGAATGACAGATGCATCAGCAGACCTGTCATTAACATGCACCCAGAAAACACACAAACATAAGCCTGCACACTGAGCGGACTTATGTAAGGACGCGTTGAAGGACGAGCTGTCAGCTGACGTTCTCACTTTGTTAAATAAAAAGTCCTTGGTCTATCTATCTCATTTTCTCACCCTTCATATTACAAGGCCCTCTCTATCAGTCTCACTCTGACATCTAGCATGAACAGCGCGCTCTCTCTCTCTCCTCTTTTTGCATGCGTATATTTTTTTTTCCTCTTTCTCTCCCACCACTCCTTCCCAAAGGACCTGAGCTGCTGCTCCACTGTAATTACACCGAAGCTGCAGGGAGATATTTAAACATTTATTAAAGAAAAGTGAGGAGGACGGAGAGAATGAAGATAGAAACCAGATACAAAGCAGACAAGAGTGCAGAGCAGAAAAGGGACAGGATAAGGGAAACACGATGGAAAACTGTAATTGAATCCTTACGTTGAAAAGGATCGCCACATTGAGTGTCAAAAGCAGCACAGAGGTGTTTTGTAGTTGAATGAGAGGATTATATATGGGAACACGTCTATGGTTGGAGAAGGAGAGACAGTGATCTTTGATATGTGAGGGAAAATTAAAGATAAACTAGGTCTGCTAGTCCTCACTCCTCGCTTGTCCAATAAAAAATAAATGGCAAATGTGTTGCGTGACGTTTGCAGTTCAATAACTCTGTTCCCGTCAGATAAATGTACCTTATGCACCAGAAAAACACTTTCCTTGAGAAAACTGTACGACAGATCCCTGTCAGGGGAAGAAGTTCAAGCCCTGCCTCTGAGTGAGTTAACAGAGTCGCACACCAGCGCGCTCAGGCAAGTCTGCTTTTATGTGTCGATGTGAAATTTATGTGAAAAATATGAAAGTATCCTGAAAAATGAATTCAGCCAGGCTTTGCTCAATAATTAGATGCCTTTGGGATTCACTGCAAAGCTGGGGAAATATCTGCAACACTGGTGGTTCAAGACCTTAGGCTCATTAGCTTTGAGGAGGTTTTTGTAAACATCCATTTTAAAGATCTTTTTGTTAACTTTATTTTTTAAATAACAGGAAATGGGATTATTCCTCTTGTGCTTAATTATTTACATGAATATAAATGTAAACAAATATAAACACTTCTGTGGATCTTGTGTTTGAGTTAAATACAAAAGATGACATTTCAGTGTAATCGCAGCAGTGAGACCAGTAAGTAGTATCACTGCCCATAATAACAGGAAGACTTTGGGCTTACAGAGTCATACAAAGTGTATGAGATATGAAGTTGAATTAATGTGGGCTGTGATCAATAACAAAAGTTCTGCGCAGTGTGGAAAATAAAAATCATTTCTAATTACATTACCCTATAAATTAAGAAAAATTGATTTGGAGCTAAAGCGCCTCTTTGCTAAATCATGGACATAACCCAAAGACCTTCTCTTACTTTGCCAAACCATTGCAGTGCTTCCAGAGACAATCATACTCATAAATCAGTGGGGCCCAGAGTGGTACTGGCAAACCCCACACCATTAAAGCAATAAAGAGACAGACTGACGACACCAACTACACATCAATGACAACCACACGGGCACGCACATGCACACGCACAGACACACGAAGCAATATTGCAGTGCATCTTCGAGACAGTTCAAACTCTGATATAACCAGTGTGAAGAATGAACACGAGTGTGTTTCGCTGAAGGGTGCAGAATCTCCCATATGTTTAACAGTCTGATTATAATCAGGCACCATTAAACAGGGTGCGTTCAAGGTCAGGGCGAGCAGGCTGAGACAAGAAATGATGCATAGTTACAGGAGTAACTACTCATCAGCAGAGACAGAGCCACGCTTTATGGTCCACTCCTTCTAATGACCCTGTCTTTTATCTTTAAAAAAGAATCTTAATTAAACTTCTGACAAGCTTTGGATGCAGACTTTTCTTTTCTTTTTTTTTTTCATTGATGCCTATAAGCGATAATTTTTTTGGCCTTAAATGCTTGAAACCACAAATTATGGCCAGAGAATCCAAATTTTTTGGAGATTAAATGTTTATTTCACTTACTACTAAAAAACCAAAAAAATCAAAATGCCCTTAATATTTAACAAACATATTTATTGATCTCGTTTGATACATTAGATGTTTTCAGAAACTAATAAACTACAAGAGGACATTTTTATAATTTATCAGACTGTATTCAGGTTTTTTTTTTAGTAATTTGTTGATCATATTGATTTGATGGAAGTATATAAAAGTATGTTTCAAATATGATACAAAAGGCATTAAAGGGTGATTCAATAATTTGCATTTACTTTAATTGTTATATCATGATCAAAAACAAACATCTCTTCAGGAATAGATAAAACACAATATTGTTTCTGTCTGTTAAAAATTATTATTTTACTAAAAAGAAGAGAATGCTTTGTCAGTGTCATGAAAACCAATGTGCACAGTCCAACACTGACACCTACAGGCTTCAGTCTGTCCTGCAAATAGGCATCATCTGTCTTTTCCCAAAAGCCACTTTACCTTTTAACAGTTAAACACATTCTTAAAAGTTCAATTTTACTCAAGTCCCATTATATTATCAACACTTTCCCTCTGGTTTACAAATTTCAGCTTAAATTCAGTATTTTTTTAATGCTGATTTTATTTTTCACACTGGAATATGATTCACAGTGTGAAGTAGCAGAAGGAACTTCATTTTTAAGACAAATTTTAAATACATACAACAAGGTATTCTACCAAAAAATCCTAAACTTATCAGTTCCGATTTAGTGATTTGAGAACCCAGAAATAGTCATCAGTGCAAGCAGAACCATCCGTCAAAGGAGATTTGAATGACAACGAGTATGAGCACACTGATATCATCGGAAAAACAGATGATCTCATACTCTGGCAGCACAGATAAGATGGCGTTGAACGGGCAGATGTCTGTTTGAATTAAGAAAGCAAAACTTTAGGTAACACCAAATCCAGCAAAGACGGGGAATGAGGACACAAATCAGACTGATGATGATGATGAATGATGATGGTACTGCCGGTAAGTTTCAGGGTGATGGAGCAGCACGGATCGCTGCGCTCTTACCAGTGTGGAAACAGCGGAGGTGTACATTGGAGTGTGTCCCGTAGACATCAACACAGGCTGCAAAACAACAGAAGGGAGAGGGTAATTGTGCAGGGCATGCCGTAGGGTACAGGGGGAAGAACAATGGGCACCACTTTGTCCTCTTTCTTTATTTATCAGAGAGGAAGCTGACAAGTTAATTCATGAAACATTCTGGCATCGTAGCCCAGACTCACCAAAACCAGGTTACATGACTATTACACTGAAATATTCACACTGAAATACATCATTAATGAGAACTGTGCTAAGCTCATACTTTACACTCTGCTAATGACAGTTTAACAGGGTTACTAAAATTACACCTCGATGTTTTAGACATAACAAACATGCAATTAACAAAACTGAGAATTTCTTTGAGACAGAATACAAAAAGTGCTGACTAGACTGAAGGTATAAAAGTTAAACCTTTGCAGCTTACATCGTCGATTCCTTATTTGAAGATGTAAGGTAACATACACCTGTGAGGAATTCACCCTTTTTCTGATATGGATCATATTACATTGATAACAAAAACAACCAAAAAAAAAAAAAAAAAAAAACACTTCTTAGAAAATGCATCAAAAAAAGAAAAGGTAAGATTTTCATTTCTGCAGACTTTAAACCAGACTTTTTCACTCTGCACAACTAAAGCTGCCTCTTCATTTTACAGCTCACAGCAGTGCAGCATTTCCACATGTTAAGACGCTCTCACATCCGTCATCAGAGCTCATGAATGTTGGAACAGCTGTATTTGTTCATCTACCTGAGAGGTGGATTCATGCTGATGCTGATATTTACAGGAGGACTGGATAATATCACTGTGTTCTTTATGCAGTGGTGGTATTATATGCAGGTGTTAGAAAATGTAAGAGATCACATGTAAATACATTCACTGACTATGACTCACCCCTCTCACTAAAAACTGTTTTGAATGTCATCATCCTATCAGTAGACCTGAGCTCCTTTAGTGCACTTATATGTGGGGGCTTCATTTACGCAGTTATTTAATTTAACTGTAATAGCTTCACTTTAAGACACTGAAAATGTTTTTTTATTTTTTTATTTGAAGATGTCATTTTGTGCGTCAGTTTTATTACTATTCTTATTTAAAGCTACTTCCTTCTGAAAAAAAAAAGATTTGGTCTTCAAATGTCTTTATCTAAAAATTGGGTGGGAGGGGTCGTCTTAAAATCAGGCGCATCTTATATTCGGGTCACCTGTCTGTCCTCATATGAACATGACTTATTAATCATGACTACACAGGAGATATTTTGGGCTCACTGCTTGTTTAACAGCACACCAGCAGCTCTAGTTTATTTAAGCACACAACCGCAATTTGGGATTTCTCTTGCAGTTAAACAAGTTTTATCCCCCCTCTTAACCTTTCCTCTGTCAGGCCCAGACAAAGCAAGCAGACAGGGATAGGAGGGGGCTTTGTGTCGTGGTAAAAGAGAAGGAAAAACATACATCTAATAAAAATGTGTCAAAGAGAAATATGGGATTAGTGCAGCCAGGGTGTCCATCAAGTCACATAATAATGTAGTACATGGCAGTGAACAGGGTTGTGAAACTGAAACGTCACATTAGGACCAGCATTAAGACCATCATTGCAAATTTCCCCACAGTATATAAAACACAGTAATAAAGGTTTATTTGGGGTTTATCTCATCTTCAGGCATGGTTTTACTGTAGGGAGTAACTGATGGCTACAGGGGCTCCCATTTCATAAACTCAGAAATTAGCACTGGCCCAGTACCCTTAACAGAAACCAAAAGTGGGTTTTCTAGATGACTTTGGAATATTGAAGAATAACTTCTGTGGCAAATTAACTCTTTGATACTGAATTATGAAGATGTACAACCTAAATAGATCAACAACTCACATGTTTTTAAAATCATGAATGGATTTGCAAACGTTAAAAGTTGACGCTAGACTTAAAATGTTCAATATTACTGTCCAATAACTGTAAATGTCTTCTTTTCAGTTGTTTTGGGGTTTTTGTTTCTTTATTTTAGAGGCACAACAGCAGATGGAGTAGGAGAGAGTTTGAGAGAGGTAGTGGGAAATGTCTAGTAGTGAGAAATAATAGGTTGGAATCAATTCTAGGCTGTCCATTTCAAGGACTACAGCGACTGTGCATGACTGACAATTTGCCTTTTGGCAAATAATTTGGCATTTGATGATTTCTGTGGCTGATATTCATCTATCACATGTCTTATTTTCAAAATGGAAAATTACTGAGCCATGTCTCTGGGCTTACTACAGTTATTTTGGTTTGGGGATAAAAAAATAAAAAAAAACATTTACACAGAGTGCAATAAAAGCCCACTTTTTACTCATAATTCATTTTTTTGCAATTTAGATTTTTGTTTTAAGTTATTTTTTCTCTTTTATTGATGGGACGGCTGAAGAGAGGAACAGGAAGGGGTCACGATTGGTAATTTGACCAGTGACTGAAGCAACAAGGACAAAAACCTTGTTCTTAACAATGAACTCAATAATTACCATGATTTTCTCAAACTGTGCAGCACTGTCACATTTTATGCCGGTGCTGAATTAATGGCTGCCTTGTTTCACGTATCAAACCGAAATAACAATAATAAGTAAACATTTATAACTCAACTTTGAAAAAAAAAAAAAAAGCCGGAGGTACAAATACTGAATGCAAACTGGGCTTTGGGACCCACACTTGTAGCCCTTCATCTGTGTGCAAAAGACCAGATAAATGTACCATCATCATCATCATCAATCTCCTTATCTGGTTAACTTATTACAAAATCATGATCACAATACTGACAGGATACTTTGAATAACCTCTAAAGTTATGATACACGGACAGGCAGACATGCTTCGATTTAGCAGAGGACTGAGTGACTGACGTCATCGACTGAAGGCTGAGAAGGAAAAAAACAAAATGTCCTCGGCAGTGTTTGTCTCTCCATCTATCAGCCTGGGACTGAGTTACTTTTATACACTTTTTTCATGAACATTAATACCGCAAACCGCTGTCATAAAGTCAAGCAAACAACTCACTTTGAACTAAGTGAGCCCGGACCTTTATTTTTCATAGTGTATCCAGTTGTCCCTGAAGAAAAATACAAGACTTCATAAATTATGGCAGTCTTCCAGAAATAGAAACAGGGCCAACCCTGGGTCCCAGAACACTGCGAACAACATCAACATGCTTTCTTTCATGGGATAGAAAAAAAAAAACCTAAAACAGTATTTCATGAACCTGTTTCTAATTTACATTTAAATAACTTCTTCCACCACCTCTCATATATACTTGTGTTTTAAGACAGTATTGGATTCTATCCCAATGTTTTGATTCGATAATATTTCACCTGAATGATAAATCTAGATGAAATATCCGGTAACCCTTTCTTTTACGGTACACTCATTACCAGGTAATTAACAGGTAAGTACCTAGTAACAACATGTAATTATCTGGTAATTACATGATAACTACTAAGTCAATACTGTCTAGCTACCAGGTAGGTAACCTTCTATCATCATACAAATTTGAAGTCGAATTGCTCTGGTATTTCCAGGATTTTCTCCGCCTCCTGGAACCACCACTTGCGCAGTAGCATTGTACGCATTCGGCGGGTGAGTCGCTGTGATAACGCTCGGCTCAAACAGCGTATCGCTATGCAATCTTCGCATGCCCATAGGCTGTATCAAGTGTCAATCATAGAAAATAAGAACCCCAAATAGCTTTTGAAAATGGAGCTGCACAGAAAAAAAGACTAGACAGTATTGAGTCAGTAGTTATCATGTAATTACCAGATAATTTCATGTTGTTACTAGGTAATTACCTGTTAATTACCTGGTAATAAGTGTACCGTAAAAGAAAGGGTTACCAAATATCCTATGCTGAAGAGATGGGACGTCGTGATTTAAGCTTCTAAACTCTGTATCTGAGCAGAAAAGTCTTACCATCCATAAGGGAGCGTATCTGGAGGGATGACATGTAGAAAATGTTATTGCAGCCTCGTTTGAAACATCATATTACTCTAGACAAAAGCGCTTTGTGCAGGAGAGAAACCACCATGATATTCATAAAGATCTTAGGTCTGTCACTGTCAAAGATTCTCTATTTTAGTTCACATTTGGAGTTTCTGGGTGTCACATTTATCAGCTGGAGAATAAATGTAGGGCTCCAGACACTGGCATTCAGGCTTCTTACTTATTGTGCTTGTCAAAAAGATTATATGCTAAGCAACAATGGTCCCTGGCTGGAATTATATTTGGGACAGCATGAATATAAGAAAAAAATAAGTAAAAGTTTTGTTGCCATAGTGACGCAGACACACATTTCCCTTTGATAGTTTGAGGAGGAAGAAATAGTCAAATATTATGAAGTCACCAAATCTGTTTTTTTTTAGAGTTTATCAAACTACTTTTTTAAAAGAGGGATTTATTTTAAGCACACAATGTCATGAGGCGTACATGGAGTACAAGCCAGTATGAATAGCATGATGCATGAGACATTTTCAGCCCACACAGTGCAGTAAAACAAACCCACCAGCACTTCATCTGGAAGTGTAAGATGTAAGTCTGCACTGTCTGATTCCTCCATCTGGATCTCATCTTTAATAAAAAGAATAAAGCTCACAGGCCAGAGAGACAGATGCTAGAAGCTACATGAATAAGAAGCTGCTCATTAATGTCACTAAAGTATGTTATATACAGTCAAGATTTTTGTTCTGTAATCTCTACAGCATGGCCGCCTTATAGCTTTTATTCTCCTCCTTTCTTTATCGTGGATCACTTCAGCAAATGCATCCATTGCAGTAGCGCTTCTTCCTCTGATTTCATTTTCAGGACATAAGCCTCATAAGGACAGCCCTGAATGAAACAGCCTGTGAGATATTTTTTTCTCAGTGTAAAGACTAGACATTGACATACTGAGGGGGAAATTGTGTCCAGTTTATTTAAAGAAATCTTCTTCTGGTGGCTAATGAAGGTCTTGGAAGTGTTTGCCTCCTACAAACACTCTGTTGCGGAAGTGCAGACTGCCCACACTGAAATTGTCGACTGTAAATATCATATCCTGTTTAAGTTAAATAACAGGTTCCAGATACTTTCCAGTACCACATATTTCCATAAAAAGCACAAACAGGTACCTCGGACATTTCTATCAAGATCTCAGTTATCTCAGCAGAAACAGGCTTTAACGATCGAAACTCAATAGGAGTAAATAAAGCCAATCTTGACTTTACGAGAAATACACAGTTTCTAAATGACTGTGTAAGACAGCAAGACGTTTATAAATACACAATGTTTTCCATTTTTGTTAAAGGTTTTTGGAGGATGGGGTTGATTTTAAACCCCATAAATGCAAAAATGTGACTTTAGCTTTATGAACTAATTGCCTTCATATTGAATTGATATAATAATAATAATAATAATAATAATAATAATAATAATAATAATAATAATAATACATTTTATTTGAAGCGCCTTTCACGTCACTCAAGGAAACTTTACAGAACATATAAAAAAAATAATAAAACACTATTAACAATTAAAATCATTAATCATCAGTTAAAATCAACAAAGCAACATTAAAACATGAACAACAGCAAAGGAATAAATAAAGAAATGAATAATACCAATTGAAATTTAATTTAAAAAAAAATATATATATATATATATATGTCACCTAGTAACTTATTTGTTGGTTTTCAGTGGTTGCTAGACATGAATCAGGAGCTGCTGTATCGTAGAATAGTGTCTTAGGATTACATTTATCATTGATGGATGTTTTGTGGGATTCGTAAGTATGCAAAGAAGTATACCGCTGGCTTGACTTTTAAATGGTAATTGTCTCTAGACTCATTACTAATGCTAACACACTTTCCTGCTATATAATTATGGAAACTTATGCTACTTCCTGAATGTGACCTCAAATATACTGGCAGGTATTTCCTGACACCATAAGCCTCTGGGAAATGACTGAATGAGTCATGTAAGGGAATGTGAGCCACTGGAGGGCACGCACCACGTTTTAAAACTTCTCATACACAGATTATAATCACCTCATAATAGTGGATACGAGTGAAGCAAGCATGTCTCCCCTCTCACAATCACCATAATAAATGGCCCACCCCTCAGCTGTGAATAATTACTGATCTCTTTGATGCATGCGCTGGATGACAGACTCCGCTGGGACAAAGAGAATTAATCAAATCAGCGAGATAGGTCAGGAAGAATAGAAACTCTACCATTTTGTTAAAGCGAACAATATCAGGCTTTGATGCTGATTTACTAGAATACACATGCAGTTTCATCTTCAACCCCATTTTCGAACCATTTCAATGCAACATTCTGAAATACCCATGCAATTTTGTTAGGGAAAGATTGACATGTGCTGCCCTGTAGATGTCAACCTTCGTCGACTACAGCGGCTGCTTGAATCACACGTTGGTTTGACAAAAAGAACTCTTAACATAGTCTGAAAAATCTTGTCTACATTGTCCGTACTTTCCCTTTTCATGTACATTGCACACAATGGAAAGTTTTTCCATTCCTGAGGTGTTCTCTCAGCTAATAGAAATAACCCTTTCGGTTTGAGTGAGGGGTGGCATCTGGATAGAGTGCAAGATAATTTTTTTCGCCCTTAATTTGTTAATGTATTTAACCCTAATGTAAATGAATGAGTGGAGCATCACTGGAAGGGGCTGTGAAGTGCACTTTTCATGGACTTTACCCTGCCAGCCCAAGAACAGATTGACTGTAGTGTCTGAGTTAGCTGATGTATGAATCAAGTGGTGCTGCAGGAGTCTGGAAAAACTCATATTATGATTGTTTATGTTTATTTATGATAATTTCTTCACTGAAATGCAATCAGACCGAGACGCTAAAGCAGAAGAACTACCACATCTGCAGTGCAAAATGATTAATATGATGATTATAACTTAAGGAAATGATAAAGAAATAATCATAAATGTTCTTCCTTGAGCTGCGTCACCCCTCTGCAGTCAATTGACTCGCCCAAGGTCTCGCTACAAACAAGCGGCTGCTTGTGGGTGAGTTGTGTTTAGTCTCTTTGCTAAAGAAATCAGGCAGATGTTTGGTGGCTAGTACTGTGGCTAGGACCCTATATGTACTGTTGATGAAGTTATGTGCTGTTCTTAGCATTATTTGTGGCTATAGAGTGGTGTTTTGGTTGAGTGTGTGGCTCTCTGTATTGCTATAATAACTATATAACTCTATATAACTAGAGAAGTGAGCGGTCAGCAACATTCATCTCTTGAGGGGGTGTCTAACTCGGTGTTACAGTGTGTTTGACCCTAAATTAACTTAATTTTACACTGGAATATCCCTTTAATAGTGCTATTGTATTGTTATTATTTGGATTTTTTAGTCTATTTTTTTCCTCTAAAACTAAATTTCCCTCCAACTTTTACCTCAGTGTCCCTTGTTTTGACAGCAGCTGACCCCTGCACATGATGCTCAGTGATGAGAACAAACTACAGCAGGAGGAGAGACATAACTCTATCAACTTTCCTCTAAACCCAGCAGATACTATTATCTGTTATATAAAAACTAATGTTTTTTTTTCTTCTTTATCAGAGGAAAAAAACATTAGTATTTAGTTGAAGGACAAGTCTAACACAGACAATCCCCTGCTCTGTGTTCCACGTATAAGTGGTTAAGTTTGGACAATGTCTGGACTTGACTCTCATGTGAAAACACTGACAAACTTCTAGGAACTGACGGGCAAAAATATGATCAGAAAACAGACACCCACAGAATCAGGTTCATGAAAACTTGAGATCATTTCAACTTTTGCTTTTCAACCCCTAAAACCTACAGGTTGCGTGTTCCCCATGTTCCCTCAGCGCTGTGTATTTTGGAGCTGATCTGTATTTGTTCTAGTCGTTACTTGTGTTTCCATAGAGAAGGCTGTGGTGAATCTCAGCCCTGTCCTGGAAGCATCTCCTGTCTCTGTTCTACTACAGATACACCTCAAGTCTATTTTAGATGGAGCTCACACCCAACATGCAAGCTGAACAGGACACAGTGTTGACATTTACCATCCAGTTAACTCCAAAATAAAACACCATACAAGGACTCCTGCTGTCATATTACAGAAGAAAGGCAAAGTAACCTGTATTAAGGGGTTAAGTCCTGCTGCTCCAGGCTATACTCGACTGTGCTACACTGCAAACTGTCAGTGGGCCAGTTCGCGCCCTCAGTCAGAGCAAAACCGTGACGCTACTAACACGTATCCTGTTGGTTTTAGGGTGGGAGTTGGATGTGTGAACTGTGCTCCGTAATAATTTGAATGTACGTTTTCAAGAGCCAATTGGAAGATCGCTGGTGCTACTACTTTCAGTATGACAGCGTTTTTAAACTGCACCAACAAATCTTCTACAGCTGCCACTGCTCATAGCGAGCCAGCTCTCTATATTTGAATGACAGGCACAGATCACAGTAAGCCAGCCTCTGTTCTCCGCTTATAAAGATAAAGCTTTTTACTGGGCATATCACCTCCTTTTAGACGTTAGTTAAACAATTCCTGCATCCAAGCAATAATAGTACAGGATCTCTCAAGTCCTAATGGCCAGTCCAGCTGTTAAGATATGTGTGCAAATGGAATGAAAAGGCATCAAATATGTACTATTGTTTGTCCCTGCTTGCATTTGTATTTAGTGATTTATTCATTACTTTATTTATGTATTTAGTTGTTTAAAATGATTGAACCAGTACAGCCTCATTGAGATTAAAATCCTCGCTTACAAGAGTGTCTTGGCTAAGACTCGCAGCAGCACGAGCCAACGCGGTTATAGACTTACAACGCATCATTTCAAAAACATGTCAACACATCCTGTCACAAGACAAAAAATCAACATTTAGAGCATCTGTGGCCTGATGCATCTTACTCCAATGACACCAACTACTCAAAACTGCAACTTGACTCTTCTCATCGTCTTACTGATGTCAGCTGTGTCTTTGACGGCGTGACCTGTAGTTGCATGACGTAAAGCTTTAGTAAGACAGTGGCTGTCTCAGTCGAGCGGTTCAATACCTCCTCTATGAGCTGGATTACCACTTTAACGTCAATCAACGTCTCTGGTTGCCTTGTTGTGAGAATTTTAACTCTAACAAAATAAAGACAGTTTGTTTTAACACACACACTGGAATCAGTGCTCTGGTTATGCATTCTTAATTGATCTCTGACCACATCCTGTAACTGTAGACGAGATCAGATTGCTCAAGGCATCTTATGTGCACTTTCACTTTGGTTTTGATGACATTAAGGGTGATATCAGATTTCCCCAGATGCACATATGCGTATCTGGAGCTGACTTTCCATAAATACGTTATATGCCCATTAAAGTATTCATGTTGTGGAATAGAAATCTCATGACGGACGACACACAATTGGAAGTTATATAGACTTTAACTGTGTTTGTACTGATAATGAATCACTTGTGAGTGAGTTGAATGAAACCTTTTAAAAGCTAAGAGGATGTGATGTCTTTTATTTTTTTTTATAAAGGAAACCACTTTACCGTAACTTTAAATCTATCTAGTCAAAGGTCTAGGGATTTGATACCTGGTTTTCATATTAGTACCACTCTCTAATGTATTATCATTTTGATATCATTTGAAATATAACCATCTTCAATTATCCAATCAATACAATTATCCACTTCAGCGGTGGCTGTGATTTGTACAGTTCCAGAAGTGTTTTTTGATCTGCAGCAAAAATGTGAATTTCTCTGGTGGAATTGCGCTGTAGAGTGGCTCACAATTGATTTGAATACGAGGTCAAACTGATGTCATACTGAATATATTTAGCAGTGGAAAGGATATAATTGTGAGCTCCTGGCAGAGGTAAAGCAAAATGCGATCAGTGTGTTCACTTTAATAGGTAGCGTGTGTTTATTGTAACACAGTAACACCCCCCACTCCTAAGTGCTGACAGCTGAGTGTTGCTGTTGTAATAGTGTTAGGTATTGATCGACAATGTACATAAGTGAGTGAGAGTGTGTTTGTCCTACCTTGACAGGAGAGATATGTGTGTGTGGTGTGTAGCCATGTATGGCCTCCATGGCAGCGAGGTTCTTGTCGCTCATATGAAGCATCTCGGCACTTTTCCCTGGAGCCAGATGTGCTGGACTGTGCTCCAAGGGGGGCGTCTCCTCATCCTGGTACCTGTACTTCTGCAGACACATAAACAAAGAAGTTTTAAGTCCAAACAGCTCTATGTATTAGCAGAGAGTAGGGCTGGGCGATAAAATGATAACGATATACATCAAAAATTAATTTCCCTTGATATCAATATAAAACATGGTCAATATGCTTTTCAATAGTCGGCATTCTGCCGTGTTTTGGTAGACTATATGAATAGCCAATGAAAAGGGGAGTTGCTTTGGGTCAGCTACAAGCTGAAACTATTATGTGCTGAATTAGAACCAGGTAGAAAACAACTGCGTAGTATCAGGCTGCAGCTACACAAAACCATAGCACTTTGACATGTGAGGCCGACAGCACTGTCGGTGAGAAAAAAGAAAATGAGTGCTGAAAATGCAGATGAAGGCTAAACAGATGATGACATGATCGACAACACTGACACAAAAACGTCGGTGGTGTGGAGGTGTTTTGGTTTTTTGAGGTCGGACATGTAGCAGAGTAATGTGCACTACAAGTTATGTCGAGTACATGTTCTTGCAAAGTCAGGGAATACCTCAAATCTTTTTCACCACCTGAAGCAGTGCCATGCGACAGAGCATTTGCAATGCAAAAGGTCACAAACCCCGAATTGAGCAAAGAGCCAATGGCACCTGTGCAGCCAAAACAGCCGACCATTCAGTCCACTTTCTCTAGCGCAACGCCTTACAACAAAAAGTCGTGGAGATACAAAGACCTCACAGATGCAGTAGCTTATTGTATTGCAAAAGACATGCTACCAATAAGCACCGTTAAACGACATTTTTTATATCGTGATATATATCGATATTGACAGATATAAAAAATATATATTGTGATAAACTTTTTCCCATACCCCTGAGCCCTAGCAGAGATAAATGAATTTGGAAAAAGCCAAGAAAGGTTGGCGGATATTGTTTAATACAGAAAAATAAATCATTCTATTACTTGAGGATGACTGGTATTGGGTGACGCTGATACCAGTACCATTTATTTTTATTATCATTATTATTATTATTTCATGAGACCAGTTACAGATAATAAAACCCTTATGCAGTTGCAGACAGACAACAAACCTAGAGGAGAAGACACACCAACAGTGAAGCCAAAGTAGCATGCTTTTTATTTGACTGAGTTTATTGGTGATTGGTAAAATAAAACACTGATACATATACTTTACTGCATGCTAGCTAATAGCAGTGTGAATATTTGCCTCTCATCAGCTCCATTGTTGCAAAAGTTCATTTAACTCCCCCTGCTTTTAAATAAAATAACGTAAAAGATAAACTACCCCCACTGAGGACACAGAGCATCCAAGTTGTGGGTAATCCGTATGCAAATGGTGTACATTTTGTAACATGTGTGACGCCTACAAGTGCAAAGAGACATCATGGGAGGCCTCCAAATATTGTCATTGAACATTGAGTAAAGCATTCGTCCTCCACAACCACATGGTCAACCAGAGCCATGACTCATAGTGGCTCCACAGAAGCAGCAAATCATGCAGCTTCTTTCCCGTAACCTTCCTCCCCTACCGTCATCCCACACCTGGGCAGCGTGCCAGCAGCCCACTGTGTTAGCCACACATGGTAGGTTTCATTCTAGGCGTGATGACACAAAACCTGCACACTGCGTTTTCCATCACAAACACATCAGAAGGTGGACAGCATCGCAGCGTGGATCTGCAACACTGTCCTGTGGGTTTGTGAATTTTTTTTTTCCCCTACTAATCTGTACCCCACTAAAGCCCTCCAGGCTCACAATATGCTCTGCTGCACTGCAGATGTGAAGCAACCCTATCCGAAAATAAAGAAAATTGGAGCCATCATCTGAATTTTGGCTAATAGCCCAATGGTCCTCTCTGCCACTCTAGCCCTTCTTGCTCTTTTTTTTCTTTTTAGGAGGCAGACGAAAAGGGAGGTGCATCATCAAGCCCCGTCTCAGACAGGCTGCCTAGCAACCAGAGCAGAGCAGAGATTGCAGTGGCACAGTTGGGGCTGCCAGCATTGGTCCTGGATCACATTACACTGAGACAGCAAGAAGGAGAGGGAGTGAAATAGAGATGAAGATAAAGGGGAAAGTAGGGGGGATGGGTAAGAATGACAAAAGTGGGACTGTCAATAAAAGGAAGCAGGAAACAGCAGCATAAGGACAGACCAGAGAGAGAAAGATTTGATAGCATGGTTCCATTGTTACAAGTTAATAAGCATGGACCAATCAATTTCCTTCATGAAGCGCAACAGACGCAGTGTTTGCTGCCGACAGCTACATGTACACATTGTATACTGTCATAGTGAAAACTGAACACTGCTGGTTGATTATTAATCATCATTTTCTTCATGAGTGAACTCCACGAATAACATTTTGCAAAGTAACATCAACTATGAGCTCGATTTGCGCATTACATGACTACAGTTAAAAGTAGCCCTAGGCAATTTTTTTTCTCCACTGCTTCTGACTTTCCTGCATGACCAACATTCATGCTGCATGTTGCCTTCTGTCACAGTGGTTGGGGGATGTGACAGTCGACGCTTAATATACATTGCAGAGTGTCCTTCTGGAGAAAGGTTTAGGCGCAATTCTTCTGACCAGTGAGCTGTGTGATTAACCCCCCATGTAGCAGAACAGCAGAAAAAAACACAACTTTTTCAAATACAGCCTGAACAGTGCGACATTTGTTTATTTAGAAACTATCTGATGAATACAATACTAACTGAAAAGCTGTTTTATTGTATCAAATGCAAAGGTTAATGCAAATACTGTGTTTTTCTTCTTCTTTGGTCTGTCAATAAACTAGCACAACCCTTTGATACTACAAGAGTTGATTCGAGGTTTTCCGGCGAGTTAATTAAGCATAATCATTTTCACCTGGTGTCCTGTATTTCAGTCAGTCCCTAATCAGGAGCCCGAAATGAAAACAGACAGCTCTGAATGTTCAGAACAAAGACAGCGACCTTCTGCTAGAGAGAAGAGCAGCAGCAGCTAATATTTTTCATGCCCGTGCATTTTTGCACACCTGCAGCGTTTTCCATAATCTACTTTCATTTCAAACTAATTCATGCATAATTAATTTTTGTCAGATCCGTAATGCAAAAGGCCTTTTAAAGTTTTTGACGGAAGTTGCTCCCACGTTAATCCAGCATAGATGCTCTAACACAGGTTAAAACACACAAGTCTTGAAAGTTAAACTGGATACCTAAAATGATGATGTGTGTTGTGTTAATTAAGCCCCTTGTTTAATACTTATCTCCACTACAGCATTAAAACAGAGCAAACACAAAATGAACTAATAATTTTGATAAGCATAACTGGACATTATGAATCTAAACATTGTTTTTAATGGACTCTTCTCACAAAAAAAGGGGTTATGGTAGCTTCAAACTGTGAAAATCGTCTTGCTGTATTAGGGCTGGGCGATAAAACAATAACACTATGTGTCAAAAATTAATTGCTCTCAATATGAATATAAAACATGGTCAATATAATATCAATGTAAAACATGGTCAGTATCCCTTTCGATAGTCTGCATTCTGCCATGTTTTGGTAGACTATACGAATAGCCAATGAAAGGGGAGTTGCTCTGGGTCCGCTTCGCCCTAAACCAATCATGTGCCAAATTAGAACCAGGAAGCAAAGAACTACGTAGTATCAGGCTGCAGCTACACGCAACCATACCACTTTAACACATGAAAAAAACAGCTCTGTCGGTGAGAACAACACCTTGCAACAAAACGTCGAAGAGACACAAAGACCTCATGGATGCAGTTGCTTATTGTATTGCAAAAGACCTGCTACCAATAAGCACTGTTAAACTTCATGTTTTATCAATATCGACTTATATGAAAAAATGTATTGTGATTGACTTTTTCCCATACCGCCCAGCCCTATAATGTATCAAAGGCTGAATGAAACAGCTCTGAATACTTCCAGCTTCTGTGTATCAGGACATCAATGTGCAAAGAATCCAGTCCATCTTTAAGGAATTACTCAGCTTCAAAGGTCAGTAAAAGGAGTCCCTCTTCAGCGTGCAGGCCTTCCTGTACTATAATAAGAGGAGCACCTTAAATAGCTGAATAAGCTGTCCCTTTAATGGTTAACTGAGTTAACTTAATGTTAAGCAAATGTCAAATGCTATCCACTGTCATCTCAGTTGGTAATTCAAGGACTGAGCTTGAGCTTTTAAATTGCTGTGCATTAGGGAATGGAATGAAAGCGAACCTAACCTCTCAGGCATATAATTTCCAAGAAACTCCGCCTGGAAAGACATTTGATGTGCAGGCTGTTTCAGGATCTTTGAGAGGCTGTTCAGGTGTAAAATAAAAGTAAAAGATCCCTGACTGCATCTCCCCTGAATTGAAGCTTTTCAAAGTTCATCTCTTTGCTTTTTCTTTAATGGTGATTAATCCATTTTTTTGTGTTAGGATTAATTTCAGCAGCTGCTGCTCAGATGAACTGTAGAGGGATTTTATGCCAAGTGCTAAGACTATGTGACGCTTCACAGTGCTGTCAGAATAATACATGCTGGAATTTAGATGAATGCAGTATAATAGCTCAGCTCAGTGATGCCTAACTGGACGAGTAATTGTGCCTGAATCAAACCAAACATCATATAAGTTTATGAGGACCTTTTTCAATGATTTGTCAAGATTTAAGACAGACGATACTTTGACTGGTTATGCAAATATACACATATTTTTTTTACATTCACTATAGTGGGCTCCTCTGTCAAAGTTTACACTCTGACTGAGTAGTATTACATGACATTAAAGCTCCTGTGAGGAGGTTTTTCATACAAAGCTTTTTCATTCAGCAGGAGACATTGCCTTAGCCTGTAGAAGACAAGATCAGAAATGACTATTTTGTCCAAAGGGACTGCTGACATTGACGCAACTCAAAAGATCCTGACCTACATCTGGGCGAGTCCATCGACTACTGCGGGGTGACGCAGCTCAAGGAAGAACATTTATGATCATTACCTCATGGAAATGCAATCAGACTGAGATGCTAAGGCAGAAGAATTATCGCATATATGGTGCAAAATGATTAATATGGTGATTATAACTTCAAGAAAATGATAAAGTTATGATCATGAATGTTCTTCTTTGAGCTGTGTCCCCCTGCTGTAGTCGATGGACTTGTCCGGAGGTCTCCGTACAAACAAGCAGCTGCTGGAAGAGAGTAGGTGAGTTGTGTTTAGTCTCTTTGCTAAAGAAATTAGGCAAAGCTAAAAAGATGTTTGGTGGCTAGTGCTGTGGCTGGGACCCTATATGTACTGTTGATGAAGTTAGGTGCTGTTCTGAGCATCATTTGTGGCTATAGAGTGGCGTTTTGGTTGAGTGCATGGCTTTCTGTATTGCTATCCTGTGGTCGTTACTAAAGTTGGTATAACTAGACAAGCAAGTGGTCGACAACACTCATCTCCTAACTGGGTGTCTAACTCTGTGTTACGGTGTGTTTGACCCTAACTTGATTTTACACTGGAATATCCCTTTAACAACAAAAATAAGCATAGTCTATTTTTCACCATCAAGCATAAAAGAGAACAGCAGAGGCAGAGGTTGTAACTAGGCTTGTCCAATATATCACCCAAGATGATCTCTTAATTGTTGTTTAGATGGCGTACAAAAAGTGTGTTACTCAGTTTGATAAAACTGATCAAAACGCACCCTAAGAAACCAACGATTCCCCCACATAGTCGATACCTTGGCAGACTGCTCAAGTATAGTCGTAGCAGCAGAGGTATAACCACACAGCACTTTAACACTTCTTCACCTGTATGAAATCACCATTCATTATCAATGATTTACGGCTGTCTGCTCCTCATGTCTGATAACCTGCAGCACCAGACACTGACTCTGGCAGGATAAGAGAGGTCCTTCAGTCAGCCACCCCTCCTGTTAATATATAATTTAGGAGCTTCGTCTCAGGCTAAATATGAACCTTCTGTTTTCAAAGTTATGTGCGGTTGGATGCTGTTGGTATTGTTGTGCACTGTGTTATTTTCATCATCATTGTATCATCTGTCATTGTCACTTCCACAGAGCTCTGATTGTCAAATGAACTTTTTCTGAACTTTCTCTTTCTACAACAACCAAATCAGATGAAGTCATCCCTGCCTTCTCAGTCAATTTTTACTCTCTGGTGTCTTCTCAAGTGCCAAATTTCGAACACAGCTTTCATCTCATTTGCATTATTACGACTGCTGGTGCCATCCAACACCTACCAGTACAACTGTTTTTATTTTTTCGTTTAAACGTAAATCCCACAAGACAGCAGATTCACTCATCTTCTGCCAATGCTAACTCCCAACTACTCTCCGAGGTGTTTCAGCGCAATACTTTGACAAGTGTTGGTATCCTGTAGCTACGCTGCTGCATCAACAACAACAGACTTTACATTCACCATGGGGTAGAGTGCTGCAAACTGCACCAGGATGGATTCTAATGTAAGAATACACCCAGTCTGAATCAAAGAGTGGGGCCGCAACAAAGAAAAGCTTTTTATCTCTCCATGGAGACGCTCTAGATTCATCCTCTATGCTCGAATTTACATCTGCCTTTTTGAAAAGCCATATGAATCTCATTGTAATGCTGAAAAATGAATACTGTACACAAAGCTTCCAGATGAACATGAAGTCAGCCACAAAATTTGAATTTTAAAGAGTTCATATCACGTAAAATATCCACTTTTTTTGATAGTGTAATTTAATGGAATAAACCAAGCTTCTCAACAACAGTAACACCAGTGCAGATGGTGCTGCAGAGAAGGTGTTTCATATCAAGCATTACCTTGACTGCTTCGGCACATTGTCCCAGAGGGACATAGCCGAGGTGCTCACTCTGCCATGAAGCACTTTTTAGAAAGTGTCTGAGTAAAACTTGGATCAAACATGTAAAAATACTTTCAGTGGTGCGTGTTGTGAGGCTCATTACAATCCCAAGCAACTTAAGACTTTCTCTAAAAATAAGAACAAACTCCCTGTTGGGCTTTCTTCACCACCCAAAGGCTGATATTACTTCAGTGAAACAGGAAAAGTCATAAATAAATAAAGTCCCCAGATACATGCAGAGCTCCTCTCAAAACCCAGCAGTTAATCTTTCTTTTATTCCTGTGATATATTTGTTTGTGAATTTACGTCATCTTAACCAAATTAATGACATTCTGAATCTCATTTCTGTGCCATGATTCATCATTGATAACAGCTACACAGTCCTATCATCGTACTTAATGATCAGATTAGAATCAGAGATGCGGTAAATGGCGTCATAGTGGGCGTTCAGCTGCGGTAATTTAGCAAGGAGTCGTATAAGGAGAGTGATTCTAATTTGTAGGGCTGCTTGATTATAGCAAAAATAATAACCAAATTTTGATTGTTACTGATATAGTTATTAAAAATGACATCCACGTCACACTCATTTACACAACTCAAAACCTTCTTAAAACTTAAAAACTCTTAATTTTAATTTTGCAAGAATTTGAGCTCTTTTACAGCTTGAATTTTTTTCACAAGTTGCAGATTTTACAAAACCATTCAGTCTTTTAGAGCTGATTGTCCTTTATAACAACTTGGGCTGGTTTTTTGTAATTATGATTCAGAACGATGTCTCACTTTTTGGCCAGGTAGCTCATTATCACGCAAACGCGCTTCTTATCACTACAACCTCTCTCCTCTTGCTCATTCTGTCCCTCCGCTTTTCAGACACACACAGAAACACACACACCGGTCTACCATGAATCTTGGTGGGAGCCACACCCTCCTTGAGCTTCCGAACTTTGTTTCACATTGATGAGGTAGAAGCTGTTCAAAGGGCTGTTCCATGCTCTGCTGTTAAAGACATCTCTACCTATTTGTACCAAATAGAAACAGCATAATATTTACATGATTCTGCAAAGTGGAGTAAAACCGTTTGAAAAAAGATGTGTTTTTCTCTAAATGCAGTTAACTGATAAATGGCAGCAGTCTTATATCTACAGTCAATCATTCTGTCGCAGGCAATACCAATTTTTCAAGTTTAGGCCCTGCTTTCTGAATCTGCATCAATCTCTGTGCTTCTGCCATGACATCCAAACTAAGAGAGTTAGCTTCTTACAGCTGGGTGAAGACGCTTAGTTAAGTAAACACAATGCAGCAGAGCCTTATGCTGTTCTCAAAGGTGATGGTTTAGGCTTAACCAAAGATAAATGCAAGAAAAGGGATGAGAAAGCCCCCAATCTCTATATTCCAAGTTACTGTATGAGCTACACCTTTGAATGCAGCACTTTTCAGGTGAAACAGTTGCATAATGTTGCTTGTACTTGTTTTTTTGACTCAAAACAAATTGAAACTGTGCTTCACTGCCAAATTAATTCACCTCATTTCAAGCTTTTTAAAAAATATACACATTTTACAGCATAGAAGAACAAAGCCTTCATAATTTGTGTGGTAGCTTTTCCTTAAATACGATTAATCTGAGTTGAAAGTGCTATTAACAAAGTCTCACAAATAGATATTCAGTCAAACATGAAGCTTGAGTGGCAGAAATCGGCTCAATTAGCTCAATCTAAATGCTTTTGAATTTGTGGTCAGCAGGTCAGCTGAAACTTCTCACCTTTTCTTCTTTTTACCGCCTTCTTGCACACATAACAGAAAAGTCTTAATCGTTTAATCCTCCCCCCTCTGTCCACAGCCGCATGCACACACTGGTTTTATGCTGAGTGTGTACATTTTATGTATGCTGCACTTGTAGAAGGGGGGATTGTGTTGTAAACCCTCCCCCAGCCCCGTGGGTGTTATCCACCCACAATTATATAAGTGGGGGCCATGTTAACATGCGGCAGTGCAAGATTAGCTAATGATTTTGGTAGAACCAAACATGACGCATAATAGCTGTCCTGTTTATTATGCACTTTTATGCTTTGATTGTATGCACTGTTTTCAAAATGAACTAGCTCTGTGGTGCAGGATGCTGACTGCGTCTTTATCTGTTATCACCTTGATGAAATGCTTTTGTTTCTTATTGGTTGACCACACATCAGAAGCAAAGCATTTGGGAGGTTGTGTTGGCAGTAGTTGAAAATTTGTTGGCGTGTTAATACATTTACAAGACCACCCCATCTATTCATATTCATTTAGCAGCTCTAGAAAAAAACAATCACTACCTTTCAACTTTAGCAGCACTGAGTGCATTGTTAGAGTCAGGTAAAAGCATAACCTGCACATTTTCAACTGACACTTGCTCGAGTGGCTCTCACATATTTTTGAGGAAAAGTGCTGTATTTATCATTTTCTGTTGCGAGCTAGCTACCGAAATGTGCAGCAACCATGTGTAGGAGTGTGTCTGTGTGCGTTTGTATCCAGCTCAGACTCGCACTGATCTCACAACTCTTTCTCGGCTCCGTTACTTCCTTTCAGTTTCTTTCTTTTTTTCCCTATCGTCCCTGTATGTGTTCCCTGCAGATTCAAAAAAAAAAGTCTGAGCTTTTGTGAATTCGTACACCCACTCATGTCTTACCGTGGACTTTACAAGCAGTCACCTCACATCTAAAATTTTCTGTGAGTTCTGAGTCTGAAACCAAAGTCGATGTAGCCTTGGTTTCTCTTCTACTGCCCATGCACTTCATCCTGTAGCTGAGTTTGTTTGCAATGTAAACCTGTACTTGGTGCTTAGTGAGGTTGGATTCTGATATGATATTTTGTCTGTGATGAGTTAAAAGTATCAGAAAACTGGGCCTTTACTCGTAAATCAAATACCCCACTATCACTTCTGCAGCTTGAATTTGCCCACCTCAAGGTTTTTGGTAGGAATCTGTGTAACTAGGCAACCCACCCTATAATAATATGCAGATTTAATTCTGGTAGTTCTGACATTTGTAAAGGATTATGTCGGCTTGTTAAAATATTTGAGTTCTTTCAAATAAGACATTGAGTCTACCGAAGAAAATCCACAAGCTCTGCATTGACATAGCACTAGAAAGACTGTTTACTCATACGAACTAATGGGTGATTATTTTTTTGCATTGCTTTTATAGATTCATACAGTAAAGGCCAACTCTGTGCAGAGCTGTTTTTGTACTCAGAGTGAGCTATTTACTCCTCCAGCCTACACACCTATTGTTCACACGACAGCAGCTGCAGTGTTTGATAAGTTACAGAGGTAGAGGCCACCCTGTATAGTTCAATATTAGACCTGAACCAAGCATTAGTAAATATCTGCTGCGGCGCATTGTTGTTGCAGCATCACTGTGAGCTTACTGTCAGAGCTGTGACTTGCAGCTCTTTATACAGAAAGATGACATAAACAGCAGGATAAAATAGGTCAAATCCATATGGAGGGAATGTGTGTTTGCAAGGCAATAAAAACAGTGACAGTGAGGATCTGAAATGTTTCACCGGCACAACACAACATGGCAAAATAAACCACCTCTTTGTGATACTTTATACATCATTAATCCAGATCATCTGATTGGATAGCTGGTAATAAGTGAGAGCAGGTCTTCTTCTGCCCATTTTCCAGTAAGGATGTCTAATAATTGATCGCCAGGTTAAGGTGATTATTGATCTGGATATTGAGAGGAAGGCCCACTGATCCCTAAAACATGAATAATTCATTACATTAAAGGGATATTCCGGAGTAAAATTAATTAAGGGTCAAACACACCGTAACACTGAGTTAGACACCACCTTGAAAGATGAATGTTGCCGACCGCTTGCTTCTCTAGTTATACCAACTTAAGTAACAACCGCAGGATAACAATATACAGCAGTCTGAGGGGCCATAAACAAACCTCAACCAAAAAGCCACAAATAATGCTCAGAACAGCACCTAACTTCATCAACAGTACATATAGGGTCCTAGCCAAAGCACTAGCCACCAAACATCTTTTTAACTTTGCCTGATTTCTTTAGCAAAGAGACTAAACACGACTAGGTGAGTTGTGCTGGTAACATTTTCTTTTTACGGTATACTTATTACGAGGTAATTAACAGGTAATTACCTAGTAACAACATGAAATTATCTGGTAATTACATGATAACTACTAAGTCAATACTGTCTTGCTACCAGGTAGGTAACCTTCCATCATCATACAAATTTAAAGCCGAATTGCTCGGTTAATTCCAGGATTTTCTCTGCTTCCTGGAACCACCACTTGCACAGTAGCATTGAACGCATTCGGCGGGTGAGTTGCTGTGATAACGCTCGGCTCAAACAGAGTATTGCTACACAATCTTCACACGCCCATAGGCTGTATCAAGTGTCCATCATAGAAAATAAGAACCCCAAATAGCTTTTGAAAATGGAGCTGCACAGAAAAAAGAAAAAAAGAAAAACTAGACAGTATTGACTTAGTAGTTTTCATGTAATTACCGGATAATTTTATGTTGTTACTAGGTAATTACCTGTTAATTACCTGGTAATAAGTGTTCCGTAAAAGAAAAGGTTACCGTGGTGTTAAGTCGCTTGTTTGTTGCGTTAGGTGCTGTTCTGAGCATTATTTGTGGCTATAGAGTGGCGTTTTGGTTGAGGTTTGTTTATGGCTCCTCAGACTGCTGTGTATTGCTATCCTGTGGTATAACTAGAGAAGCAAGCGGTGAGCAACATTCATCTCTCGAGGAGGTGACTAACTCGGTGTTGCATTGTGTTTGACCCTGAATTAATTTTACACCGGAATATCCCTTTAACACCTAGTTACATTCATCCTCTTTTATTTGGCTGGCTCACACTGCACGGCCTTCATGTCAGTGCTGCATCAAACAAACTTCAACTGAAGAGTCTGTCTTGAAGAAATGCTGTGCATCCATCAATGAGCATTAAGCATAAAAGGGCACATTAAAGCACTGCTGGATGCTTCCAGCCACATAAAAAATCCTTTTAATTACCTCCCTGAATTGAAGATGACTGAGAGACTCTGCCAGGTTCTTTGTTTAAGAAGAAAGGTTATGCAAACAAGTAACCTTGGATCATCACCTTGGGAAATGACCAGTCATGTGGCAGCTATAGTTTCACAGACATTTAACAAAAACTTCCTGCAGTCCTAGAGAGTGTGGGGCACAAAAAAAAAGAGCTGGGGAAGCACTGATGAAAGGGACAGGATTCTAGGCAACAGCAAAAAAATATGCCAGCAACATACAGTACATCCCACAAGATCTGGTCAAATAAAGCCCCACTGTTAACAACCCACAACAAGACTGCAACAGACTGGAACCAAGCTGTTTGAGGGCCACTGAACCTGCAGGAAACGTGTGTGCAGAGCTGCTGGTGGATGGGAATACTATGATCCTGTTAATGGGGATAAAAAAACAAACTCAAAGCAATTCATAAGTCTGAGATTGACTATTTAAAATCTAAATTGATCTTTTAAAGAATTCCTTGTTATCTAAAAACATACAAAGAGCTAAAATCTGCTTATTGTATGTGCTCTGGATGAGCTGAACTCAAGATTTCTAACAACAAAGCACGGTTCATCGTGATTCAGAGATCATCCCTACTCTAAATCTACCCTCCCTCCATAACGTAAATGCATTTTACTCTTTGGTCATCATGACTGTTGAGTCAACTTAAAAGTCAGTGGGTTGAAAATCATAATTTCTTTTGCTTGAGTAGGGTGTGATGGAGAAACAGGGACACATGGGAAAAATCTGAGCCAGTAATAGTTAACAGTGAGCACAGCAGGACTTCCCCTTCAGAAACCATGAGAGCAAACACCCACGTTAAACCACCAGCTGTGTCACACAAACACAGAAATATCTCTCGTCCAGACAAAATGTAAAGAGTATTTGTCATTGATCAAATTTAGCAATTATAGTTGTATGATATTAAGCAGTGAATAGAAATGTGTAATCTAAATGTCATCATGTTACATCTTTACAGATTCCCTTTAACATTTGCTGATATCACAAAGGCTGCCATTTATTCAACTAGCACAGTGTGATTTTACAACTTCAGTACAGATATTTAAATGAAAATAAAAAGACATGACAGAAAATAAGACTCAATCTTTCTGTAAGCTGACACCAGTCTTTCTATGATATGGATTTTTGTTTTCTTTCACTGACACTGGATGTTAGCTCTCTGGAATAAACACCATATCTATGTATGCTGATGTATTGTTGCACCAGCACTAATAAAATGCAGGAAATGCACCAGATTCAAGCAAGGAAACAGCACACAATCCAAAATGTCGGAACTAAATCCACAAACAATAAATCTGGAGCTCTGTACACATGTACACATTAATTCTGGCAAGCGTAGCCATGATTCCTGGACCAGAGCGGACCAGTGTAGTGGGATCTGGCTTTGAAAAGCTAACAGATAGAGCACCATGTGGAGGGAAATACTGAGCTGGCTCGGGCTGCCATGCTGGAAACACCTGAAACTGGGAGGGAGGGGCAGTGATGGACAATCATTGAATGAATGACTGAACATGCTGCTCTTTGCACAGAGAATACAAACTTTTCCCCTTGATATAAACACCGAGCGATAGTGCAAACACACAACTAAACATAATAGCCTGTTTGTTGCTGATAATGAGCAGCTGGGAACAACCACTGGTTCTGATTCATCAGTGCTCTACAGGAAACAGCAGGGGCACTACCCCTGCTACCTGGTTTCACGCTGGGGTTCAGTCTTTCCTGCAGTGTTCACTTTCTCTGATGATGACTGATATTTAAGCAGCCCTGAGCGATTAAGTGCATTTCCCAAGGTCAAAAGCGTGCCATCCAGTTTGTTTTGCTGGCATGCAAAGCTAAATGTGAACCAACCAGCCCTTATGTGACCAGATCTATACTTACAGATGTTATCTGATGGTGATTGATGTTTCATTGGTTAAATCTTCTCAAACCCTGATGGTAAAGAAGATCACACACAACCATGCAGGCTAAAAATGCTGTTGCCTGTTCCTGTAAATGGAAGCTGACCATATTTCAGCCTGAAATGAACGACCATGCACACGAGGGTGTTCAGGTTATGTGTTGTGAGTGAAAACAGGAGGAAAAGAGGGGAAAGCCTGGCTGAATGTTGACTGTAGGCTAATTACAGCTGCAGCTGCGTGAAGAGAAGGCGCGCTCCAAATTAGCTCCCTCATAAAAAAATCGCTCGATTGCGCGCAAAAGGAGGAGTTTTAATCTTAATTTTGCCACATACATCCACGAATCAACGATCCACAAAGTGCATTTTTTAACACATGCATCCACGCCGCAGATATGCTTCTACACCCCCCCGGGCTTACCTTGCAGCCGAACATGAGAGAGAGGGTCCGGTTGCTGCAGATGACCTTACACTGGCACATGACCGGCGAGAGACACTTTAAATTCCTTATGGGCAAAGACATCAGTCCAAAGCCTCACTCAGTCACTCACAGCAGGCGGACAGCACAGACCACAGCTCGTCGGTCCGCCGCCACACACTCAGAGTCACGGTACAGCTGGTCGAGAGAGCCGCGGAGAGACGAGGGGTAGAGGAGGGGGTCAGTGATGCCGGTTAACAGACGGGCTGGCCGGGTGAAATGGAACCGCAGCGGTAGCCTACTCGGGTCCAGATTTGTGTTTATATAAGTCAGCATCTAACATGTTTGCCACATTAAAAGCTGCCGTCTGTCGCTATATTGTCCATAGGTTTTCACACTGACAGCACCATTCATGATTAGCACTAGTCTCTCTCTCTTTCTCTCTCGCTCTCTCTCTCTTCCTCTCTCCCTATTGTGATTGACCGTAAAGTTTGTGCGTAACGCGCAGCTGGAATCATTAGACGGAGAAGGGGAGGCTGAATGGGGCGCAGCGGTATAGTAATTTTCCCCCGGTGGTAGAATGAAAATATATTTGTATGTGATAGTTACACACACAAACACACATACACTCACACACATTAATCTTAAGGCAGTTTGAGAAGAGAGAAATCAAACGACCACACATCAGACAACCTGCTCCCTCACCGCCACCTTACAGTGTGGTTACAGCGTCCCCTGTTGGATAAATAGAACAATGCTGAAGAAGAAGCTGTCCAAGGTGCTGAAATGTCCAAACCAGCTACACAATGTCCTCGTTGTGGATATGCTTGCTGATTGAGCTCAACTAGAGTTTATGTCTGTCTCATTTAGAAAAAGCTTCATTAAGACAAACAGACAAAATCTTGGCCCCTATTTTCAGAAACACCGTAATTCACACGCAGCAAAAGGGTGTAAACACATCTTCAGATACCAGGAGCTGAATCAAACTGGAACAGACAGAAAAGCAAAACTGTAAAGCTGCTGTTTTACTCATGGGTTCTGTATTTGTGATTAATTTACAAATCTACCTCTACAAAGTACAAAAAATATAACAATTTTTACAACAACGAAATAAAAGAAACTAAAGTTGACCATTAATAATCAGTTAAATTTAAATGCCTTTTCTTTTATTATAAATCAAGATTCAGGGGCAGCAGTAGCTCAGGAGGTCAGCCAATAACTGGAAGGTTGGCGGTTTGAGTCCCGCCCTGTCCCTAGTCTGTCCGTTGTGTCCTTGGGCAAGACACTTAACCCACCTTGCTCTTAGTGTGTGTGTCCTCCACTGGTGTATGATTGTGAGCGTTGTGTGGTGGTGGTCGGAGAAGCCATAGGTGCAAACTGGAAGCCACGTTTCTGTCAGTCTGCCCCAGGGCAGCTGTGACTACTAAGGTAGTTTACCACCACCAAGGTGTGACTGTGTGAGTGAATGAATGATGGATCCAATGTAAAGCACTTTGAGGTCACTGACGAAAAGCACTATAAAAATCTGATGCATTATTATTAATATTATTATTATTAAATACCTCTATGTATTTGGAATAAGTTAGTGTTGCAGGACAGACAAATAATCTTTAAAAGGTGATGTGACTCTCTGCCAGCAAATTTACTCAAAATTATAGATCGTAATTCAAACTAAAATAAAAAGACTAACACATGATAATTGTATCTATGGTATGAGCCAGTTGAATTATTTTTACAGGCTATATGATGACTTTTCAGTCATGTTTTATCTCTCTTAAATAATCAGATTAAAGAGATAGTATGCATCAAAAATGAACCATAAAACTGCTTTTTTATAATCAATGACTTTGAAAGGGAATAGGTCCAATTGTGCTTCATCTGGCCTCTGTTTGTGTGTTCTTTTCCTCCTCTCCTCCTGTGTGTGATTGTGCTGACACGGTGCGCCCACAGGGTGGAGTGAGAGAACCAGGTAGGCTAGATTTAAATATTGTGCATTCATCTCAGGACCGACTGCGGCGCAGGGCTCCTCACTTTTGAGTGACGTCAGCTTTAAATCGAACACATGGACCGTTCCAAACACTCCGGTGTGCTGCTAATAGTTCTTTTTTCTCCTTCTTTCAACCTCACCACACTCCCAGAGAGTGGGGGATATCCTGGGAAATCTGCAGTGTGCTGAAGACATCAGCAGGATTATCACAGGACACCAAGAGGGAGGTCATGAATTTCAACACGGTGTGACGGGAAATTGTTCTTTACAATAACTCACAGACTAGAGGCGGCAGTATATAAATCAACAGATCAATTCAATCGATAGAGTAACTCTCAAGAGAGCACTTTGTACAGTAATGTGATTTTCAGAACAATAATAAGAACATCAATACAGCTGAAGAGCCTTCACTCATAATCACATAATATTCTCATGAATGTGGTGTGTTTTGTGGGTTTCATTGTGTGGGCTCAGCTTTGGTCCTGTTCTTCTTTTAATACTCTCTGACATTTTCTCTTTACAATTGATCGTACTTCATACTCTGACTCTTCTCTCTGATGACATAAGAAGACTTAGAAGACTTTTCACTCCCACAAATGTTTCCATGGATATTGCTTTTTGGAAAAAAAAAAAAGCCTGTCCTTGATTGCAGCAGAGATTCTATTTTAATATGGCACTGTGCCATTGACACTAGACTGAGAAAGACCTTTATGGTGGGTCAGAGGATCCCTCTCAGCATTTCTTCCACAGATTTTCCCCTAAAATGATGTCCACACAATGAGTAAGTGGTAGAATATAGGCATGATCAACCTGAGCATGAAAACGTGGATAATATATCAGTCTGTGGTATGACAATCCTACAATCCCAGTCTGCATCCCAGGTACATTAATGACAGAATTTATCAGTTATCAGCTGTGGGATTTTTCTTCTTGTTTCTCACTCCTCTGAGCTCTGACCTGTATCTGATCACCAGGAGAGAAAACATGCTGGCTTGATCATGACTGTGTACAGCATTTGCTTTGGATATCTGTTGCAAATTCACAGAAACACATAATGCACACACAAGGTCATATAACTTCAAACGGCCCGTTCAACCAGTTAAATGCATAAAACAGATGTTTTAATAGGTTCAAAATGTGCCAAACTTTATCAGCTGGATTTCTTTTGCAGTATTCCCACGCAAACAGTACATATAGATGGCTAAAATGCTTTTTATCCATATAGTCGCCATGGATACAGTATAATTTCTGTGGATATCACATACTGTAAGTGGTTCCCCCTTCCACTACAGCATTATGTAAGCGTGGGAGTCACATGGAAACCTGAACTGTGATGTCGAGTATAGCATTAACATCCTGATGCTGCATTGTGTGTGTCAGAGAGAGAAAGAGAGGCCCAGAGGAGCCAGAGTGTTTCCATGACAACATCTGCAGGGGGTGGAAGATCCCCAACACACAGTCCGCTTTCCATTCACTGTAACTACATAGCCGCTGCTTCTGTCAGAGGTGAATGTGAGCACAAGTTAGGTTCCTCGTGCCACCACCAATGAGTAATCAGTATTTTCTCAAATAATCTCAGAGTACACAGCAGAGAAGCTGCCAGTGCCCATGCTGGTATTATTCACCACTGGCTGTTTGAGAAGTGCATGGAGCCACCTAATAACAGAAAACTCAGCCTAACACATTGTGGGTTGAGCTAGAAGTGTTGCAACATTTTCTCATCTTTTCTGTTTGCCTTGGTAGCCATCTTTGAATCTTTTTGGTCTCGGTGGTTATGAAAAAAAAGGTAAGTTGGCTTGAATGGCTTTGTAAAATCTCTTTAACAAAGACAGAGAGCAAAGCTGGATTCAAGGCCAAACATGGAAAATGATAGTCGATAGACAGCATTACATTTCTGTAAATAAACATGCAATTTGATCTATTAATCTCATACTAGATTAGATTCTACTACATCTGTATGGTAATTTGAATTATAACATAGTTTAGTCAGACAAGACATGCTCGACCATAAATCAGGCAACTCCTTCTCTTGTATTTATTCACAAACAGTATCTACTTTTATGAATGAAAGTAAATATGTAATCTTTATACATCAATCCTCAGAAACAATGCTTTAGTATCTTCGAGGCTAATGATGAATATAAATCAGGTCTTCATAATCAATCTCTGTTGTGTTTTCTTGAACAGTCATTACAAAGTCCATATTTTTCCACATCTTTCTGTGTTTTGTACAGTAACTACAATAACTTAGTGACATGTAAAACAGACTCAAACTGACTTATTTAAGAGAAAAATACCTTGTAGTCATTCTCGATGCCTGTCATTGTTATTCAATGTCCAGCAAAATCAAATGGACCATGACACACACACCAGAAAAGCTGATTCCTAATCTTTTTAACAGTGTTTGACTCATTTACATGGAGCACAGCTAATCTTTTTCTTTAGACTGTCTTATTTTTTTGCATTTTATACTGCATAGCCAAGACTTGGCATGACCAGCTAAGGAAAAATCTCATAAAATGCTAAAAGGAAGCAGTGATACAGAAAAGGCCCAAGCTCCAGTTGGTCCAAGTAAGTCGATTAACAGATGGAGAGACTTACAGGATTTGAAATGACTCAAACCGATTCTCAATTTGCCCTTTTCCTCCTCAACTAAAATGTCACATGTCTGTTTATTTCGAGAATAAACTTCAAGATGTTAGATGATAGATTGCATTGTAGTACCTGCCTATATCGCAGTATTTTATATGACCTATCTGTAATTACAAAGACAGATGATTAACAAAAAGTTTATTTTGGGCCTTACGCCTTCATTCAGATAAGACAGAGGGTGGAGAGGGAAACTGGGAAGAGAGAGTAAGGAACAACAAGGACTTCAGTCCACAGTTGGGTCAAACACTTTGACGGCACATACAATTTTCTGCTAGTTGAGAACTCTAACTTTCTCAACAAATCCTCACCAAAGCTGAACAATTGAATGTCATTATACCTCTTTATACTTGGTGTATAAATGATACTGAGACAAAATTCAACTTTTCTTCAAACAGCCCTTTCAAAAGAAAAAAAATTGACTGAGGTTGTGTCTTTCTTCCTTATACTTGCTTCCTTAAAAAAAAAAACATCCAAATCAGCTCAGAAGTTCATAGACTAAATTTGGAATATTTCTGAGAGTAACAATTAGATCAATTGTTTTGAATCATGTTTTCAAGGAATGATGCGTCTGATTGACTGTGATCCAGAAATGTTCCTCTTTAGTCTTTCTACCTTTTTACAGTCAGTGTCCCTCCCCATTGTCCTCCTCCACTAACCCTGTGAGTCTGACTCAAGTCTGCCAGAGTCCAAACCAATGCAAACAATGGGTGTGATCTCCTTAAGGAGATAAGGTAAAACAAGCATTGGAAACTCAACGACAAGCAGCAGTTCTTCATTCCTCTCTTAGCTCCAGCACTCGGCAGCTTTGACTGTGAAATAGTGTAACTAAAGAGCAAACACAACTGGGAATCTCCTGAGGCTCTGAGGCTGCCTCAGCTCTACTGACTAGGAAAACACCTGAGGTGAGAATTATAGTATTCACACCTACACAGAACCTGCTGAATCTGATGTCCCTCGGCCTGAATATCTGATTTCACCTGTTTGTAATAGAAATATTATGCTGTTGAGCAGGACTTTGTCAGCTAAAATTGTGGAAGGTGTTAAAGAAGGTGGGCTGTGTGGTTGATTAACTCCTCAAAATGGCAGCGATGGAAATATTTATTTATACTTCACCATGAGATGCCCTAGAATTCAGTCCTCAGGGTAAAATAAACACATCCATATTTCACCCATAACCAGGACGCCCTGAACGGGCCTCGCCTCACCTCAGCTGCAGGTGCAACAGAAGCACTCAAAGGCTGCTCTACAGACAAACCACAATGTTTCACATGCAATGTTTTTGCTTCTGCTTCTTGCAAAACCATCCGGCTGTGTAAATGTAACATGCCACAATGGAGTCATCATCAACAGGGATGACTCGGAACAATGCATTATGCATGAAGTAAGAAGTGCATGAAACACCTTCAGCACACTTCAAAAGCCCCCCCAAAAATCAATTAGCCCTGGGACACAGTCACTTTTCTCTTTTATGAGGCTGCAGACCTGCTTAGAGACAGTTATTAAATGGTTAAATGGGGCTCTTGGGTATAATTACCCACACCATCCTCCAATGAAAAGTGAGCATCTACACTGTAATCATGAAAGACTAACAGATGATCATCTTCCTGTGACATCCAAAGAGTGTCTCACAGCAACGACTGGTCGAGTTTGACACAGCAATCACCTCACTTCCTCTATCACAGTCTGCTTCTACTGCGCCTCCACCCACACTAGAGACAACAGCAGTGTGCTGTCCTCTGCCAGCTGCCCTCCATCAGAGACTCATGCATATATGATGTGAAGAAATGGAGAAGAAGGATAGCTTTGGACCATCCACTCCATCTCCAACCTGTACAAAAACCTGTCCATCCCAGACCAGAACCACCCACAACCACTCTGGAGCATACTTACACAACGGGTGGCCCTGCTGTATATGCCATATTTCATTTGTGTGGTATTGTACATCATGTGTGTTTATTTTACGCCACACTGATTTAGCATCAAGTCAGAGCAACTGCAATGGACAGCTTTGAGTCGTGTCTATTTAGATCTAGACTCTTGTTTGTTGTTCTGGTTGGATGAAGTAGACGGTTAATTTACAGTGGGATATAAAAAAAGCCACAAGTACACAAATAGGCATGCATAATGGCTTACTCAGTCCTTCACCCTCAAATTAAAGCTTAGTTTGATCCGAGGTCATGAAAGTATTAACGTAAAACTGTAGGAAATAAAGAAATACAATACAATCGGAAAAAAATAGAATTCACAGTCTTGGTGGAAAGTTATTTAAAAACCCTAAATAGTTACTCACTTTTCATAATTATAGCTCTTCTGTATTAAGTACACACTTGCCTGTTTGTTTGAATCCATGTGCTGCACAACCATGCCAAATCTAATCAATTGTACCATCACACACCTTCGCCAAATCAGTGAAGATACTCACTACGGGAGCTTTTTTTGTGAGCTTACATGCTAGCAGCAGCCAATTTTTTTTTTGAATTCTTTTAACGGAAACCTTTGTGTTTGTAGTGTTACCACTGTGTTGAAAAGTATTGTCATTTTTTAAAGGCTTTAGTCTCCAATACATTAAATTGCTCTATTAAAGTCTGGTGAATACAGCACTGTCCGCTGGAGAGGAGGAGCAGAATTAGTTTGAATTGTGATGGGCTTGCATCGAAGCTCATACCCCGCATTGTGCACTTTCTCAGAGTGAAAAATTTCCTAGCACTTTTAGCAGAGTGAGAGTATTTATTTTTGGATCTGCCTCTGATGGATGCAACAAAGAGGCTTAGACCACCACTGAGAGGCTTGGCTTAGCATGGAACGAGCACAGTGGGGTACCAGTCTGGTCAGCCATGGTACCGCTTCCAGCCAAAAAGATAAAAACTGAGCCACCAGGTGCCAACAGGTAGAGCCTACTGGCACTCTTTCTCTATTGACCCAACTTAGAACTGTCTATAATACAAAACCGTTTTCATGAGTCAAAGTTTGTGGAGTCTTGTCAAACATAGCTTGGAAATAGGGTTGGACAATTTATTGACAAGCGACTGAAACCAACATCCAGAAAACTCTGAAAACTGCAGAAATAAATGGTCAATGATCAAAAGTAATACCACCAGTCTTTTTCTACACTTTGGTCATTTTCACACAAGATGGCCTGGAAGACTTTGTTGGTTTTGGGGGGTGAGATAGCAACATAGGTTCACTTTAATGTAGTCTGGTTTGTGGCTGTTTATTGGTGGCAGTAACATCCAAACAAACACTGACAAAGGAGAAGACAACAGCTCATCTATTGGCCAGAAAAAAAGCCATCACCTTTCGCCAGCTTGTTCAACATATAAATGATGGAACTAAACCAAATCTCTGCAGTCTTGACGTTTCTTCTTGTGCTCTAATGTGTGTTTCACAATGAGGCATCCCGTATGAGCAGCATCACATGAGACGAATGAACCAGTACCAAAGAAGTCAAGCACCTATAACATACACACAGATGTACTGTGCTTTCTGCCACTTCCTGCCTTTGGTTTATAAGAGTCCAAATTGCTAACACACATCAGACACATCATACCAGGGTTCACTTAGTGAAACCGAGACCCCAACATGAACAGTGCATGACTCAAAGACAGCGAGACTGACAACCACTTAGCTTCAAGTGCCTCCACAAAGCAGCTGTGAACAACACATACACTTAGGAATGCTACAAAATCTGAGATGGATTTAAGAAGATGAAAAGAAATAACAGACTTCATTAACATCATGAAGATTAGGGCTCACCTTAACACCATAAAACCTATAATAGGAGATGCAGTTAGCTTTGGTAGAGAAAAGTTGAGCATATTTACAGAACAAAAGCTTGCCAATGAGCCATTAGCGAGGAAAAAACCAACAAAGAAGGTGTTCATTAATGTTAATAAAGGTAAAAACAATCAATTAATCTTGATATTGATTTGAGGCCATGTTCCAAGGCACTACCGGAAATCGGTGACAAAAACCTGTAGACAGGTGATCTGCTACTTTCTTTATATTTGTTGGCCATGTAAATACTGTCAGAGGCTCACAAGAAAAAAAAAACAGGTATTCTGCAACACGAATGGCAACTCAGCTCAAATGGACAACAAAGAGCGTTGGGAAAGACTTCAGATTTGCTTCCAATAACCTCGGTAAATCAGCTTGGCTGCTTTAGTAACCTGAGAGCACAGAGTAATGAACAGATTACCATAATTACATGGTGTACACGCAGTAATAGGCCTTTCCTTTTTTTAAGCTTATCCAACTTTGAATTTAGTTGTAAAAAAGTAAGCACACATCTACATTCCAGTATAATGAGCTCTGAGGAATAGTGTGTTATGTCTTAGTCATATTGTGACCCCAGGTCTTTCAAGCTCTATTCAAACGTGGGAAAAAAAGTACTTCATTATAAGTACTATTCATGTCAGTATAGACAGTCTCCATCCAACTGGTTGACATATCAGTAAGAACCAGACCTTATTGAACTCAACGCTCACAGCAAAAGACTAATCAACCAATCACGTGATAGAAATCATAGAGAGCCCATTCTGATTGCTAGTCTGACCGCTTTGGATAGATATTTGGAGATGAACGCATAAAGGGGCAAGATTTCAGTCTGATGATCTCCAGAGCAAAAGAAGGGGAATATATTGATTAAAATGCAATCACAGCACTAGTTAGCGGTTATGTAACTGCTGTAATTTAGCAATAAGATGGAGCCCAGTAAGAATATGAAAACATCTAGTTCTTTGATCAAGACATGTTTGTGTGTTTGTGAGGTTTCGGGTCTCAAATCAGAGTGAGGTTTAGGAGATAACATCCACATCAGATTATCCATGAAGCATTGATAGCTCCTTTTAATCCATCTGGTCCACTGCAAACCTGAAAGATACTCAGTTGGCAAGAGGAAAGACTAATGGAGAAACATCTCATTGTTTGGATCTACAATATCTTTTTGTTGAATTAACCTAATGTGAAAGATCAGTTTCTCATTGTTGATTCATCAGCCAGTATGTTCAGTCCAAATGTTCTCATTTCTTCAATAGTAAAAGGATCAGTGAACCAAACAGAGATGTCTGCACGGGCAACAATACTCTCAAGCTGTGGCATAATCTCCACCATAGTGGAGCGATGAGGTAGTATGCCCTTGATTATTACACCATTTGAAGTTTTCCACACTTTCATCTTTGTCTCATTTGTCCAACACTTTGATCTGGAACTCACTCTGTTCCATTTTACTCAAAAAGAGTTGTCACTTTGGGGTTTACATCTTGTGTCGGCCCCTCTGTTGTAGTTCTGTCTTGAAGGTTATTCATGGTAGAAAAAAAAATATGCCCACATCCTAGAGGGTCATCTTAATCTGTTGGATCTGCAGCTGTGACAGATTTTTGCTTCAGACATCCAGATGTTCATCATCTGGTCTCTTTATACAGCAGGATTTTCACATTTGCTAAAGTCAGAAGTTATTTGCAGCTTCTTAAAGGTAACCTGTGCAGTTCAAGACCCAAAGTATCACAAGGGAAATGTTTTTGTGATAGCTGGTCTTTGTTTTGTTTGTCTAGTTTACACGCGGGTCCTGGGATGTTTAGTCACACCATATGCCACATAATTCTGCAGGTGGTTTTAAGTGTGCTGCAACACTCCACTGACGATGCAGAAGAAGACTACTAGCGATTGTTCTACACAGTGCAGGGTTTGAAGTACCCAGCACAAAAAGGGAATGGTAACTGGAGTAGTAGATACACTTGACAAATTTGCTGGTCTTAAACTGCACTTTTCATTTATTTTATTGAATTGCATGATCTGTGTTTATTTACAAGAAAAATTAAAAGGGGCAACTTTTAGCCGGGATTTTTTACTTTAAGTTTTGGCTGAAATACAGATAAATTCCTCCACTTCATTTGCTCTGACAGAGCAAAGAGACAATCCAGAAAACATGAAGTCTACTAGGATACAGAGATGTTTCCTACATGCATGATTAGACATGGATTCAAGTACAGTGAAGTTCAAGCAGAGAGTCAGAAATGTAACCTCAGTCTCATGTAGAAACTAATACAAGTTAAACTTCAGGCTGTAAAAACAAGGGTGTCATTTCATCAGAACAAACCAAGATTCCTACCTGCTAAAAACTAACTGCCAAAATAATTAATAATTGTGTTCACATGTGCAATGACAACTCTCGCCTCGCAAAGCTCTGTCACACACACACACACACACACACACACACACACACACACACACACTTACGCACAGTTCCTGGCTGTGAGACTGCATGAGCTGGCATCTTGGTGCCATTATACTCAACCAGTACAAGCCCATCGTGTTTACTAATCTAATTAATGCCAGAGGAGCTCTGGACTCTCTCGCTGTTTTCATGTTCACAAAATCACACATCTGCATTTGTGATCAACATAATAGGACCTCAGCAAGCCTGGGTAATGACAGAAACCCCTTATTGTACCCCCAACTCTGTTTTCTTCACATTTCTATCCTAAGCATTCTACCTTAAAAATATAATGACCTCTCTCTAAGTGACGTCTGTTATTTTTTTCTGCCAAATTGGAGCTGTGCTTGTGTCCTTACAAAGATAGAGATGCGAAAAAATATGAATAATTTTCAAATAAAAACACCATCTGTCAAGCCGTAGAAAAAAGCCATTGTGTACGTGAATCTATACTGCTTTAATCAACAAGTCTGTGAGAGTTGTACTCCTCCTGTGTGTCTAAACATGCTCACTTGCACATACACACCCACATGTGCCAGGCCACATTCATACGCAATACCCAAAGTGCACGATTCCACAGAGAGCATACGCACGAGGAGAGGTTAAAAAAAATCCTTGATTGTGATGACAGTGGAGAAGATTGCGCGCATGTTTTGATGCACACAGATGTAGATGCAGAGACCTCCCCTAAGACTGCCAGAGCGACTAGCAGACTTTGAGCTAACATGCAAAACAGAGGCAGCAACAGAGAGATGGAAGGAGAAGAAATGACACAAAACGCAGAAGTGGATTTACCTACCACACACGGGCAGAGGGAAGGGAGCTTAGTGCGGCCCTTCATGAGCGAGAGACAGAGGAAAAACAGCCTCCCAGACACCCGCAGTAGAAGAGAGGAGGGATGGGGAGAGAGAGAGAGAGATGGGAGGCTGGGGAAGGGTGAGGGGATATAAAAAAAGAGGGAGGAGGGGGAGAGAGGGAAGGGGAAAGGGGGGCGTCGTAGCAGACGAGGAGAGGGAGTTTTTCCTGGAAGCCAGAGTTGTTGGTGTTGGATATATGTTGATGTTAAAGGCAAGGGTCTGGATAAGAGAGGACTGGCAGCCTGCTCCAGCCGTGACTCATAAAATATGTTTGTCACTGCTGGTGAGTGAGGGAGGGGAGAGAAGGAGACGGAGAGACACAGAGTAAACCTCTTATATTATTTTTCATCTTTTTCTGTCACAAACACTCCAGCTCGCCTCCATCCACCCTGCTCCTTCTCTGCCTTTTCCCTCCTTGACATCAGCGTCTTATACGTATACCTTATGCCCATCAAGTTAATGCTAAATATTGTGATGATGGTTTCAAATGAGGAACATTTTGACACAGAAATCTCTGTTATGCAATCATTACATAATTACGTTTTTATTCCTTTGCAGCTACTTTTTTAACTGTAGCCTGTATGTTCATTCCTGAGGTGCAAATTCACGCCTTAGAGACTATAAAAATAAAATACCAAGATGACTTATGTAGGATGCTCCATTATGACCCTGTGGATGTGCACAAACATCCACCTCCATCAAAAACTGAAGCTCTTATTTGGTGGACTATCAAAAACAAATTTAATTTATAATAAAATATACATTATCATACATTTTTTTATTAGCCTGTCAAATGATAAGTCCCACTAAATGAAGTCAATAAATTCAAGAGTGTTTGCTATATTAATTGTGCAAGCTCACTAACTTGTGTGCTGTGTCTCTTAAGCCTTATAGTATAACAAATACAAACTAAGACCCAGTCTTTCAAATTTCAAAATGTATCCTTTTCCTTCAATCCCTTGAACTCCTATTTTTGAGATTCAGTTCATTTTCACTGGAAGGTAGAGACAAGATATCCAAGCTGAGTAGCACGTCGCTCCTGCTATCGACTACAACAGAGGAATATGCAAGTAGGTGGTCAGACGTACAACAGAATTTGCAAAACAACATATTAATGATTGAACAAAGGTATCGTTTGACAAACATGCTCCAACTGACAGTCAAAACCTTGTTCTGCTCAACAGTTAAATTGTGCGCCCCTAAACTGAAGCTCCTTTGAGCAGTCACTGCAGAAGTGGAAAGAACTCCAGTTCCACAAACGTCTGTTTGGGGCTAGTATCAAAAGCTAAGGAAGCTCCTTTGGCGCCCATGCTAAAAGGTCAATTTTCATGTTTACAATTTGCTAAAAAAAACAAAAGAGTTGGCCTAAATGGTGCGTCTACTCATGCACACTGATTCAGTGGGTGGGATCCTTTTTATTATAAATATTATTCATCCATTTTAACTATATTCAAAAGAATTAAAGCTGAGAGTTATATTTCAACTTGTTAATGAGTTGACTGGCAGGAAGACGCAATGTAGCTTTTTGCTAGGAGATCACAGCCCATCTCATTTCCACTATATTGCCATTTACCAAATTACTGAATCCGTGTTTTTAATACACCAACTAATTCTGCAGAAACTGAAGGGTTGTGTCACTGAGAGTACATCCATGTGTTATACAGTCTGTAATGGAGTGTAATGGTAAACATAAATCTCGGTTTGGTACATACCTCGGTTTTGTAGTCCTGGTTTGGTTCTTTTTGGTACAGTCCGGGTAAACATACGCAGAGGTGTGTAGTAACAAGTTACATTTACTCCGTTACATTTACTTGAGTATTTTTTTTCCGGATAACTTGTACTTTTATGAGTAACTTTAATGCACAATACTTTTTACTTTTACTTGATTATTTTTGTTAAGATGAAACGCAAATCTTACTCCGCTACATTGCACTTCTCTGCTCGTTACTTCTCTTTTTCTCTTTTTTAAATTTTGCTAGATTATACCACATGACTCCATATCACCAATCAGGGGTAGTCATTCAGTCACATGACAGGAAAAATTCGTAGTGGCAGGGCGCGAATCTGTGGCGCGTCCGAACGCTTATCGGAGAGTACACGAAAATGGCGGAGGCTACCGCGGTATGCGCTACAACGGTATGAATGCTGCTGCTGAGGAGGAGGAGGAGGAGGGGGAACAACTCCCGTGTCCTCACATACGAAGCATGTTTAGCTTACACGCGTCGCAAGAGAACAGCTACACTATGCGGTGTCCTCTCTGTCCGCCGAAGCAAACCAACGTCGCTGCGTCCGGGAACTCCAGGGCCGACTCGAGGTAAGTTTTACCTACATTAATTGTGGCTGTGGAATAAGGCAGGTTCGGCTTGCTATCGCTGCAGGATGCTAGTGCTGAAAATAATTCTTTGTTTGGTTATTTTCTGTCGATATTTTAGAATTGTCTGACAATTATGTGCACTTCAGGCACCTGTGGGATGTTCAAAGTATTAGGGGAGGGTGGGGTAAGATATGACATTTTTTGCTTTTGTTGTCACTGAGGCAAGGAAAAATGCAACAGAGGTAAAATTAGGGTTGCCAACTCCAAGGGACTGAAATAAGGGACAGTTAATCTGAAAAATTTTTGGTGTTCCTTATAAAATTTGGGTGTCCCTTATTTCAAGCCGGGCCGAAAAATGTAGGGATTTAGGGAGGGTCAACCTGTTGTTGTTGTTGTGGTTCGTTCCTTCTTCACCCACGCTGGCGAAACATGCTTATAGGCAACTGAGCCAATCACCATGAAGTATCCATAGCAACATAGGCTCAGGCAGCACTGGGGCAGCTCATTGGTCGGTAATCATGAGGGGACCAATGAGAAGCAGTTACAGTTGCTATGCATAACGCGCTCTTGTTAACAACCCATAGCTGGTAGTCTGCTGTATTTTGTAACTCGTCCTATAGCTCAGCTGCCAAGCTGCTGATGTGAGCCTGTGACAGTGTGTTAGGCAGAGAGACGCTGTTAGAAAATACGGGAAAAGGAGCGTCCCGTTTGAGTTGATTACGGGACATGTTTTTTGTTTTCAAATACGGTACAATCCCGTTTTTTACGGTACGGTTGGGAACCCTAGGTAAAATGAAAATCTAAAATTTCGATTAAGTTTACTTGCTTTTGTCCGTCTGATTGAATTCATGCACACAAGACAAATAACTCAGATATTGCAGTTATTCACTACTTGAGTAGTTTTTTCACCAAGTACTTTTATACTCTTACTCAAGTAATTTTTTAGATGACTACTTTTACTTCTACTTGAGTCATATTTTTTTAAAGTGACATTTCTCTTACTTGAGCACAAATTCTGGCTACTCTACTCACCTCTGAACATACACAACACTATGTCCAACTGTTGGTTGTCAGATTTACAGCAGATGCCGCGGACAAGTTTTGCTCAACAGTGGCTTTTATTTGTTCTGGGTTGTTCTGACTCTAGTGATGAAATGCGGATGAGTAGGATTGTATTTTGAAATGTTTAAGTCTGAGGTTCTGTTAAAATTGTGTTTCACTTTGCTTACGTTTGATTTGTACTTTTTCACTGGACTCATGCATTTAATGAGAGTTTTCATTTGACTTATCAGTTGTTTGCATTTATCAGAACAGTGTGACGTCTAGCTTGATAAGGAGGAACCTGATGAGCCATAAGGCTCTCTTTGTACTGCCGAACAGGTTCGCTACAGTAGACACACGCCTCAAGGTCAACAACAAACACACATATTTCATAGCATATTTTAGTGAGACCATGTGAACAGTGGTTGGCCTGTTCACATTGGAGATAACTGGCCAATGATACTCCGTTGCATATTAAGTCCAACCTCTGTCTAGGGGAATCCCTGCACAAGAAGATAAATGTGAATAACACTCGGAAATGGGCACTTCTTGTGATGGAGGTCCTAGGTGCTCTGTCACTGCAAGTCCAGCGCTGTACTACTTTACATGTGACCTAAATATATGTTATATCTGAGAACTGAAGATTTCTCTGGTTGTCTTTGAGCAGTCAGCTAAAGAACAGAGTCTTACAGTTCCCAACAACTAAATGCAGTCGTAGATTTGTCGCTAGCTTTTATTGCTTTAACTGGCTCAGAATTACTAGACAAAGGGTGTTTCACAACAGTCTGAACAACAGTGTCTTTTTTCCTGGTTGCAGTAATAATAACGCCTGCGTGACCCCGCTCCAAAGATGTACAAAAAGTTGGACGTATTGCTAGCAATGTATGAACAATGTCGATAAACTTTGGTCTTATCCGTATGTCTTTGTACATGGTTATATTTCACAGGATAGTTGTAGAGTTCCCACACGAGACCTTAACGTCAGTGGGGATCTTCTAGTTCTTGCTTGTCATGTGTTGTGCTGGCTGCCTTAACAGGAATAGCATGTTCGATGTGTGGTCTGCTCCCATAGTGCGGCAGTGTGCGGGAACTTAGATTTTTTTCTACTTTTCAATCCAAATGCATTTAGTTTGGTATGCAGGTGCACTATAACAGAAATCCTTAAATGGCTCAGTACAAAAACATGAACCTTTACACCCTTGTGTTGCATGATCATACCCACTATCTCATCCCGGTTTCTGACCCAACCCTGTGTCCTCTCAACCAATCAGGAAAAGCATGAAATTCCAAACAGCAATCCTTAAGTGTTGTACACAGGGAAAGATGAGCCCGGTTTTTATACATAACTGAACACTGATCTATAAATTGCCTTGAGTGATCGCATCTGCATTTCCATGTCTGAATCCAGGAGTTGTTAAAAAATAAACCCATCATTTTGCCTCTCAGGGAACAAAGCCACGATTCTATATAAAGCGGTACAGTTTGGAAACAAGTAAAAAGTCCTTGAATAGAGTCTGAACCTGATCTATTCGACATCTGTAAAAACGCACTTGTCTGTGAGTGGTTCCACATTAGAGTTGTTAACCAGCATTTTGTGTCATTGAGCTATTTTATTAACATAAAACACACTTTCAGAAAATGACCAATGGTTTTTCTTTATTCTGATGGCTGAATACATTGGTCTCTTTTTATTCTAAAGGATCTTTTTTTTCTGCTATGCTGTTTAAATCAGACCTCTTTGACTGCCTTCAGTGCGAATAATAAACTAACGTCACCTGTGACACTTTGCCATGCTCCCCACTCATATCAGTCTAACACCGCTAAATCACTGCATTGAACAAAGCAACAAGTGTTACTAAAGGTTTTTATATCCTAAAGCTAATCTTCTTGGTTTATTTGGACTAAGTTGTTCAGTTTTTACGAGACAGTCATTAAAATGAAAGAAATCCAGTATGAAGCAAATACTTCTCACAAGCCTATGGCAATAAACCAAATTTGTGTTTCCTCATCAGAAATTTCTGTCTACAGTAAGGGCAATGATTCCAGACTAGACATTTATGAGATATTTTACTGCAAGTCTTTTGCAAAAGGAGATGAATTTAAACACTGCTTTGTGGCTGTGTGACCCTGTGGCAAAATGAAGTAGTTCCTGAGTGGACTGTGAAATCCGATTTGGCCATGAAAAATTCATGCCAAACTTAAGTGTAAAATGTAGAAGTGATCAAATGAATACGGTGGCAGCTGGTTACTGTCAGGTGTTTGCAAAAAGAATGAATTGGCATCTCTTTTTGGACGGATACATTTTTCCACAAAAGCATAACTTTTGTTTTACCCATTCAAAGATGTTTAAATTACTGATCGTAGCCTGTAGGCAACACTAACTTGATTGTAATCTGTTATGTCTGGATCTACATGTATTTCACATCATAGTCAAGTACTATTTCTTGAAGGTACACAGACTGCTCTTGTAAGTGGGCTGTCTTGTTAGCTTAGAAACACATAATCAATCTCAACAATAATGTCATTTGTCATTAGTTTTGTCCTTCATTTGTCACAGCACTAATATAATCAAGTATTTCGACTCTAAATATAACTCTGCTCACACTCTGATCCATACAGTAGCTTCATCTGCACAATAACGGGTGTATTTGTCTCTCTGGTCACCGTCTCAGGCTCTGTGTCTCTCCTTCATGGCTGTATTAAGCGGGAGCTGAGCGAGGGAATAAACAGAGTAAATGCACTGTGACCCCATAGGGCTGTTTTTACAGTGGACTGCTGTCGGGTGATGGATGGGTTATGACACCTGCGGAGGTTAGGCCCAAAGCCCTCTGGACCTTGGCGACACAGTGAGCTGTGGCTTCTGCATCAGCCTCACTGTCTGTGACTAAAGACAACTGGAGCACGTCGTGACATTTCCATCTGGAATGGATGGAATGTTCAAAACAGTGTCAAACGGCATGGAACCCGCGGATTCAGCCGCATAAGACCCAACATTAATTTTCTATTCTCTGCATTCATGAGCATTCTCTGCCACCGCCTACACAGAGGTCATCCTCCTACCTGCACACTGTGGGCTCCACATTATCAGCACCCTTCAATGGCAGGGCTCTCTCTCTCTCTCTCTTTCTCTCTTTCTCTCTCTCTCTCACTAACTCACTCACTCACTCTCTTTTTCTTTCTCTCTCACCCTCTCTCATTTTCCCTCTAACTCACTCTCTCCCTCTCTTGGTTGCCCTCTCACTCCCTCACCCCCTCTATCCCTCTCTCTTCCTCTCATCCCCTCTATCCCTCTCTCTCCCCCTCTCACTCCCTATCTCTCTCTTTGCTCCTCTCTCTCCCTTCCTTCCTCCTTTCATCTCTATTCTCTCCATGATGATACCCCTGCCATGTTGTCATGGCAACAATCGGGCCCTGATTGCTTGGTTGCTAGGCAACTGACATCACCTATAAGAGGAACATGAAGATACAAAAGCCAGAGACAAACAAATCACAGAAAATATGTGCACTTGTGCATATTGTGGCGAGTGACAGTGTCTGTGTGCGTGTCCGAACTCTCAGACGTCACCGTCTTTTAATTTCTTTTTTTAGTGCTATTACCCCACATGCAGGCAGCAAAGTGGATCATGAAAGTTAGAAAGCATACTTTTCAAAAATGTCTGGAGGAGAGTTGAAGACTGTTCAGCCCCCCAAACAAAAAGTTCAATTTATGGCCCAAATTTGATCTCTAAGGTCTGACAAACTGACTCAGTATCCTGCAATTTACAATTAATGCTGAGGAAAATACTAAGTTTTCGTTTCAGTGAAAACCGACCCTATATGATCCCCAAACCTCATGCTGTTGTTGCATAACGCCGCATCGAACAGCTTGAATGGACCCGAGCAGCTCAAATATGTCAACATCCCTGAGCCAGACAGTCCTGGGCTCCTGTGCTGTAGTTTACCAAAGTGCCACAAGGTGTCATTGTGTGCTGTACTGAAAGGTACGGTCACGGCACTGTTAAAAAAAACCTGATGTCATTTGCAAGGCTAATGCATGTGCTATTCATATCCATGATATCAGCACTACCAGGCATGTCATTCTTGTTTTTCTGTTGTTTTTTCCTCTAGCTTCCTGCCAGTCTGTCCCTCTTTCACACACACAACCATTAGACACACTCTAATTACATAACAGATGCTTGTTAGCACACTTTTATTACTAAACTGGCTGTAGTGGGAGCATACAGTTTTATTACTGAGGCCCCGCTGAGATGTTGACCTTCCTTGACCCAGCGCTTTCCTAATGAGGCTCATGGGAGCTTTTCTGTTCAATCCTCCCATATCTTTAAATACACAGTGCGTCATCATTGCCATTGATTTAGCTGTTTCTCAGCCTTATCTACACATCATCAGCAGAATTCAATGTGTTCGATGTGCTCACTGCAATGTTAGAGCAGCGTTGTAGCAGCTGACAGCCACAGTCGTCCTCAGGGTCCACCACAGCGGGCTCATGTTTAGCCATTAGCCTTCTCGCTCAATGTGAGACGACAAAGTCTGCAGCCAAAACAACCCATGATGGATCTGATCTGTCACCTGTCATATGGACAATTTCAGAACAGACAGTGATGCTGACAGCCGAAACACTGAAATTAAACAGCAGAGCAAGTATGAAGGGCGGAGAGCAAGTAGTAGTAGTAGTTGTAGTTTTTTTAAACCAGTTGGACTGAAACAAGGGATTTCATAACTTCACTCATCTGTGTGATGAAGAAGCTTTAGGCTCTTTGGTCATGACAGTGTTCATTTATAAAAACCCTCTGTCATTGCAAACCTAGAAAAAAGAACGGACAGCGCCAGCACGGATGAGGGTTCAAAACCCTTCTCTTTAAAAGCCCACTGACTTGCACACTGGAGTCATCCAGTCTCAAAGAAGTAAATATAGCCTTTTGATTTCATTTAAAGGAAGATACATAAAGACATTTGACTGTGCGTGACCAATATGTGGCCTCACATATAGAAATGACCACCTTTCGTATCTCATCATTCAAGGTAAGCATAAAGAGATATTCTAAAGCATCTCTCAGCCTGCGTGTGGATGAGACCATCAAGCCGAGGGAAGCAAAAGATAGCGAAAAAAAGAAAAGAAAAAAAAGAGTGGAGCACAGATTGTGTTGTGTGCTTTTGACAAAGAGAAGCTCTTCAGAGCCTCCTCGCTGGCTGAGGCTTCTGGTGGGGGTGGAAAACTAGAGGTTAGCATTGCAACATGCTATGATAAAGAGGAACTGGTGAGATTACATGAATCACAGGCAAATATGCTGGAGAAAAGCTGATATGCAGAGATTGGATGCCCTGAGATAAGATCACTCCAATACAAGTTGCAAATTAGCCAATGTTTAATTCCAGCACCATAACACTTTTCACAATTGCAGCTGTTTGAATTTAGCACCTGCAGTAAAATTAGCACCATACAGCGAACCTCCACCTCCTCCCTGCTTAATTAATCCTGACAAGTTTTCCTAAGACCTGAACTCACACTTGAGCAAGACTGCAGTTCTGATATTCACACAGCCCAGGAGCCACTTGGTACTAAAGCAGGATTCGCTGCAGTTTTTGTGCGAGGTCTGTCTGATCATGTAGGTGTGTGGCTTTCTTTCAGGAAAGCGGTTGGATGTGTGGGTGAGTGGTGCAATGTGCGCTTAAGGACCGAACAGAAACGGTCGCTGATCACATACAGTCGAAATATTTCTTCATGAGTGCAAGATCAAGCAGTCATTTGGTGGGGGCAAACATCTTTCAGTGTTAAGTTACACCTCTGCTATCTCCTCCACTCTGCTGGGTTTCTGATTGGACAATAAGAAGCCTCATTGCTGTGCAGTCATGGCATCAGACTCGCTCCGGGGCAAGCCCTGCCTCTGCCTCTGTGCTCACTGTGCCCTGGGAGCGACTTGGCAGGATCAGTGTCTGTGGATGCATACAAAGGCCTCATGGAAGCTCGTGCCCTTGAGCGAAGATCATATTAGCCCTCCACTGGATCACTAATCCTAACACACAGCACACTGTACTGCTCGTCACACACACACATGTGGACGTATCACACTATGTGGTGAACAGATACTCGATATGAAGGGTGTAATTGTAGACAAGCTGAGGGAGCCCTGTTTGATTTGTGAGCGAGGAGGTTGAGCTGAACTCCATTTTGGAGACTCTTAGGACTTGAGAGGCAGCAGCCATAAGCTCCTCATCCTCACATAAACACATACAAAATCAAACACGCGCATACATATTCATATATATCGAACCGTAAGACACAGCTGGCAGCAAAAAATAACTACAACAGCGAGTGCTAAAACCCATTCCAGGCCAGGAGATGTTCATGTAGGAGCATGAAGCCATACATGAAGCCAATAATGTGCGCGCAGAGCTGCTGACTTTGGCTACATCTTGTCAAATGTATAATTTATAGGAAGAAGCACTAACTAGGGAAGCCTCGAAAGTGCTGAAGAGGAGGGCAGGAGGTAAGCTAGTCGAGAGTAGAGTGCAGGGAAGAGGAGGAGTAAGCAGAAGGTAGAATGAGATAAAAGGGGGAGGGAGAGGGATTAGAGAGGTGAAGGAGGTAGAGAGGGGACGAAAAATATGTGGAATTGGAAATGTGGGAGCAGAGGAGTGGAACAAGAGTGACAACAGGCAAAAGAGTGATAATCAAAGGAGTGTCAGACAAGAAAAGCAGAAAGAAGAGGCAGAAATATGCCATGTTTCTTTTTAACACAGGGGGTACATAAATGATTCTGTGTTGCAATCATTTTCTATCAGACAGCCTCATTGTAAGTAGGCTGCTTTTATGGCTTAAATCCTTTTTACTGTGTGCACCATCTCTGTTCTCGCCTCTCAAACATCAAACCATCCTCCTCTGACTCAGTGCCATACAGGGAGGGAGAGTCAAAGGTATTGTCAGGCTTGCAACCAAATATAAATCTTGTGACGTCTCTGGGAGCTGATATGCCCTAATATTCCAGTTCCAGAGTGTTATGTAATGGCACTTCTGTATGATGCGTTTCGATCATATGTTGCAGTTTTTTTTCTCCCTGGATTCTTGTGTAGGAAGGAGCAGAGAATTACATAAGCTGTTGAATTCAACACTCGGGAGGAAGAATAATCAATTTATTACCTGGTAGGAATGACATTTTTTGAGTGAACTTCAAGTGTTGTCAAATAAATCAGATTATCAGACAGATCTACTCAACAGTGCAGCATTTCAGAAGTGACTTTTAGGAATTGTTGCCATTGAAACACGTGTAAAGAAACATTATTCCCACATGTTTAAGCTTTTTGTTTCTAGAGAGCTTTTTAGCGTCTGATTTTGTGCACCCAAACACTTAGAGTTAGTCAGATGTCAAAATGTTACCAGCATTAAAGAAAACACTTGTCTAAATCCGCCAAAATCCTCAAGGACAAGGTAAGCTCCCATTAAAATATTAATAATTCCATTTTTAATTGAAAGTGCCCTTCATTTTCCTCTCATGACTGCACTTTTTTTACACTTTATTTCTATCTAAAAGCGCCGCTTATCACATCTCACTGTAAAGTCAAGGTTTAGGTTAATTTCTCACAAATACTGGAAACGGTGCTCTCACCGGGGATGCCGCTCAACAATAAAAAGCTGCCTGTGGAAGCCTGTATTGTACGGTATGCTATTGTTCGGGCTGCTTTCCTTCAAAATAAAAGCAGCATTGAGTCGAGTTGCGCGCAAGTTGTGCTCCTCTCGCTGAATGCAGTGCGAGCAGATATTTGTCACTAACTGGCCCTTACTGTGGCTTCACCCACACAGTAAAAACTTAGCGCGCAGACTTGAACGGGGAAGCAACATTGTTCACATAACCTATTCTACAGTATGTGGGTGTCAGGGAACAGCTCACCCAGGGAGCTGCTCACCCATCATCTGCTACATGATGGCAAGCCACACTCCCCACCTGCAATGCAGCCAGCCTCCATTAAACTTTAATCAGACTTTTAAAGGAACACACCAAGGTTTTTTTTGGTCAATCCCCCACCCACTCACCCACCCACTCACCATCAAGTTAAAATTTCATCATGGAAAGACACATTCACACTGGTGAATGTTGTGTTTAATCTCTTCATGCTGGCGGAGACCAAAGGTTGAGCTGAGTGCGTTTAAACACACTTGTGGTTGCAGCGTTGAAAATGCAACCAGCCGTTTCATTGGTTGATCAAAATTCTGATTCCTAAATACTTTGTGTGCTTTAACTTCCTCCTTTGATAAACTAACCATCTCTCTCTTGTCTACTTTTTTACCGGTTGCTCACTTTCTGCGCAGGATTGAGAAGCAACTTTGATGAAGCGGTCGGCGTTTTTCACATATATAGTGTTTCACTTGTCCTTGCTAACACAGTGACTCACTCAAGGCAAAGAAGACGCATCAGGGACTGATGTTTGGAGCGCACAGAGAAATACCCTGACATTTTCATCGTTTTTGTTTTTTCGCACAATGACTTTGTCATGCTGCATTGTGTTAGATCTCAAAACAAGGCCTGTAATCGGAGCAGACATGGAGCTTATGAGTTCACTCGCTAGAGGAGGCTTTGAAATCATATAGTTGCTCCTTTTAATGTGAAATGTTCTTTAAGTCACCCCCTCAGTGTTACATCTAGTGTCCCTGCTCATCTGACTGCATCTATGTTTAACTGACCAATAATCTGTGTTGCCAAGGAAACTGAGAGGTTGATAAGCAAATGAATGTAATGTGCCACAGTTAAGCGCAAATTTATGTAATACGTCTGAAACGGCCAGCTGCACTCGCTTCTGCTCTACTCACACTCTCAGCGCGAGTTAAATTTTCAAATGATCCCCACCTTCCCACAGCTGTACGAGTAGCTGTGTGACTTTGTGCGTACGTGTGTGTGTTTCCCACTTTTTTTTGTCATCACTTCCTGCCTGAAACTGCAATCAGGTGCAGCGGCTACAATCTATTGTTCACCTGTTTGAGTCCATGTGTGGATTTTTTTTGAATGTCCACCGGGATTTAGAGGGTCGAAGCCGACTTGAATGGACGGGTTCTGACCCCCCCCCAGAGCGTCACGCTGCATTAAAGCGTTTTTATTTTTCACATTATCTGCCACTTTCCCCTCACCAGCTCTGCCTCCATGGAGCCTGAGCGGTGGGCTGTGCGGTGACGCTGAGCACATGTGTGTATGATATAACACATTGCTCACATCCTGTGTGTGAGAGGCAGACGCGTTTCGAACGCACAGTGGGCAGTGTGAAACGTGGTGGTTAAGACTGAGCAGCTGGGAAAATGAAGGTATATTAACATGCAGGATGAGATGCCCTCCTGTGCTCTCTCTCCCCCCTGACATATTCTGCAGCCCCAGCATGACTCAAAGAGCCGCACACACAAGCAACCCCGAGCGCAGGTTCTCTCCCTGCATTTTACTACATCCATGCAGGTCAACCGGCCGGCTGTTTATCCGCTCACAAGGCATGACACAGAGTAGAAGATGCAGAGAGAGAGAGAGAGAGAGAGTGGGAGAAGGGGTCATCCAGAGAGAGGGGGGTATCAAAGAGGATTCTGTCCACACTCGAGCACCACTCAGGTAGCCCCCGTTGTTGCCCGAGAGTTCTCTGACATGAACACAAAAAAATATCACAACAATAGAGTCGAGTGGACGAAGAACTAGCACACATTTTTGATGACAAAGATGAGCACTAGCTTTTTCTCGGATACAGCGGTGGTCTCTCGGTCTCTCTCTCTCACACACACACAGGCGAAAGTAAGGAACAACAGATAGGCTTACCTTTGTAGTCACAATGCAGAGGCAGTCCATGGTACTTCGAACAAAATATTGGGGTGTATCTCAACCCCCCCAACCCCCCACGACAGAGGGCTGAGACCCCACACCCCTCTCCCCAGCCTGCCCCACTCCTGCGCTCTCACTCTCGTCCTGCCTTTCCCCCCTTTTCCTCTCCTTCCGTGAATCTGGTCTTTGACTAACTGAACCAGCGAGGGAAAGAGAGGATGGAGGGAGGGGGAAACATGAAAAGGGAGGGGGAGGGCCACAGGGAAATAGAGAGAGTGAGCAAAGAAAGAGAGAGGAGAGGATGAGAGAGAGGGTGGTCTTGGAATATAAGTATGAGAGGGAGAATGAGGGTATATCCTTTTTTTTTTTTTCTTTGTGTTGTGCCGAAGCGAGAGGGAAACAGCGGAAAAAGGAGGAGAAAAGATGGGGTGAATATGAAAATAGATGAAAGATGGGGAGGATGAAGATGGAAAGCAGAGGTGGCGGGGATTAAAATAAAAAGAGAGGGGGGAGGGAGGTTCACAGTGTGGAAAGAAGAGGGGGAGAGGAGAAACAGAGAGTAAGACAGCGAAACAGCAAGAGGATGGAGAGGAAGAACTGAGGGAGGGGACAGTGAAGGAGAGAGAGAGAGAGAAGGAGTGGGAGAGTGTGTGCGTGTGTGTGTGCGTGCGTATATGTGTATGTGTGTAGAGACAGAAGGAATTGGACCGAAAGAGAATGTGTTGAGGAGGAGAGTGTGAATTACATATGCATCACAGAAAGAGAAAACACGAAGCACCGCGAGAGCGACTTAAAGATGACCAAATCAGGAGAGAGGGGGAATAAAACAACAAGAGACGGAAGTTTGCATCAACTGGATGAAATGATGAGACAGAACATGCATGAGGATTTTTCTGCTTGTTGTAGCACTCTGCAGTTGTTGCCTTAGCAATGGTGCAGTTGTTGCCATGGCAATGGGGAGGCTTGTTGTTGTCATATGATCAGCATTGTAGTGCTGAGGACAGAGTCAGGAGGTCTGCACTGGGTTTACACACCTGTGCATCACAATCTGAGAGTGTGTGTCCATCACATTCATTAATACATTCATTAAAACCATGAAGGGCAGTCAGGATTAAGAGTAATCACCTGAAATTATCTTGATTATCAGCTGTCATTACATGGACACTTGATTAAACACGTGTCATTTTGAATTCAAGAAACCATGTCCTTCAAACAAGGATCCCTGTGATGCTTTATCATACAGACCATTTGAACAAGTTGTGTTAAAATGGTGTAAAAATGTATGCACTTTTTCATTTGTATACTCTGCCTTTAAGAAAGTGGACCAAACCACTCAGAATTGTGTAAAGGGGGAGCGTGTGCTTCACTGTCTTTACATCACCACTTCTGTAATTGTAAAAAAACAATCTCCCCTCACCCCACTTTTCAAGCTTCCCACAATGCTGGAGCAATGGTGCAGCAATAAAGCAATTCTAAATGATGAACACACATTGATCCCCCGCGGTGAGGAGTATAGAGGCTTTGACTGAGATGTACAGTGAAATGCAACCAACCAACAAACACTGGAGTATCCACAGATGGTTACATCCTGCAGATGAGAACAGATATGAATACGCTGTCAGTCAGGCTTTCACCAATCTGTAATTAAACGCAGAGACGGGCCACCTTAATTACTCCACTTCCTCTCAATTACATACCTGCTCATCTACACTCAGCGCTTCCAGTGTCTGATCATCATCCTGTGACTCACAGAGCTGGTTAACATGATAGTGAACTTGTTAGAGGCAAGAGTTAGTTTACTCTGACAGGAGTTTAATGCCAGATCCAGCAGAGGAACTTAAAGGAATATTTCACTGTCATCATATAATGTTTATAGCTCCCACTAGCCCTTGCTGCCCTTTAACAACTCCATCTATTTTACATTAACTGAGCAAAAAAGGCAAAAAAAAAAAAGTGTTTCACCTAAAAAAAACTATACTAGGGTTTGCCTTAGAAATCAGCCACGTTTACATGGGCAAAATTTCTTGATCTGAATAAAAATTTGAGGGATCGGATAATCTGAATCCACTGTTTATATGGGTGCAAAATCAATTAATGCGATCATGACGTGCACCAAGCTTTATTCATATTAGAAGCATTTGGACATGCGCAGAGTTGTCTGTCTTTGCTATAATAACTGCAGAAGAAGAGTTGTATTTACACTTAACAAACGTGGTCGTGGCTCACTCCATCCAGTTCAGTAGTTTTCTCCCTGTTAAATGTTGTCACTAGATGGCGCCCTTACGTACTTGCGTAATGCCAGAGTGTTAATAATGAAACCTCCTGTACTGACCTCAACAAATAAGTCAAAGGCTCAAGAGTGAAGGCCGAGTCAGGTCAGAGAGTCACGATCGTAATAAGTGTTTACATAGACCCTTTTTGGAATAAAGATTGGCATAAGCCACCCCTCTCGATTGGAATACAATTTCTTTACAATTGAGCCAAATTGGATCAAAATCTTACGATCGACATGTTTACATGACGCATTTTTATTCCAATTGGACATTTCTTCCGGTTATTTGTGCCCATGTAAACGCAGCTAGTGTCCATTCAGTCAGAGTTTACCTAGTATCCAGGCAGGGCATTTGTTAGTGGAACGAAAGGATGTTTGACAGGAATTGAGAGATGAAAAATATTCAAACAACTATCCAAGAAGCATCACATGCCACTTCTATTCTCAGGTATGCTAATCCATGGCAATGAAAAGGCACAAAGAACATTTAACAAGAGCACCATTCATTAAAATGACACAAAACCTTTTTAGTAATTGACTTAAGTCGAGAGTTTACCCTTAGAAACTCAAGTCTTATTTTCTAGAGTTAAGGTGAATTGAGTTAATATGAACAATATTCCTACACTACCTGTTTTGACCCTTAAACCAGTGATTTTATGTCCCTACTACTAGTATTGTCGTCAGAAGAACTCGTGGTATGTCAGATATTTATTTTGGGAAATTAGATCTGTAACAAATCGTCATTTCTGTTCCAGTGAAGACAAGTACCCATCAAATGATCAGCCAGACCATTTTTTCTTGGCTGATACCAGCTCATTGCAGATATATTTGGATTCATTGTGTGTGTTTGTTTGGGCCGCATAATTAACTGCAGTTTCATTGTTATCACAATGTGAGCTTTGTGATGAGTGCATCAGAAAAATCGTAATTTTTTGGCAATAAATGAAATTATTTCATTGATTTGAACCCAAAATGCTTTCTCACTCAGCGTGCGCACATTTAACATGTTGGATGGAGGCCCGAATATCATGGCCATGCTTTCACACCATTTTGATGCAGTCAGATAAAGTTCAAACTAGCTATCAGATACTGTCAGATCTGCCGCTGCCAATATAGTGGTGATAAAAAAAATGTTTTTTTGATTTCTCTTGGATTCAGGAGAGGCATGTTGCAAACAAAGGTGTTGGGTAAAACTTGAGGAACAGCATAATTAGAGAGGATGGGACAGTGGAAAGAGAAGGAAACAGGGCAGGAAATGACACAGGATAAAGCAGCGAACTGGAGTTGACCAATCTTGGCATAACCTCCGTCGACAGGGTGCGCAATTGGACCGCAAGGGCAGCAGCAGCAGCACCCCTAAAGGATGCTGTTTTTCTTGCATAGCCTGTGCTTTTACAGTCAAAAAATATCAATAATGGTGTCTGTTTCTCAGCATATGTCCATACAGCTGACATTTGGAAGCTCGACGTTGGCAAGATTTCATTGTTTGCACATAACTTTGGTCATCCTAGCAGCCAGAAATTTTCTGTAGATATTACGCCAATAATATCATGCATCTGTAGTGTGCAACCTTGCTATGTACTTGGATGTATGAACACTAACAAGTAATCCAGTTCCAGTCCATATCTACCACATCAGTCAATTATGACACTCTAAATACACCATTCAAAAACATATCCAAAGAATCACTAGTGATGCAACTATTTGACTCATAAATCCAGCTAAACTCACAATAAAGGATCATCAATCTTTCCCTCTGTCTTCTCTTTTTCTGACAGGAATACAGTGGAAATAAGAAACATTAGTCCAAAGTTGATAGTTATTTATAAGTACATTTATAATGCAAATATGTGTTTTCAGTGACAGTGCTCCAGTTCTTATCTGCAGTGGTGGGACAGTAGCACAAAAGAGGAAAACAACATTAAAAACAAACAATGACTGACTGAATTTGTTAGATATTCACCACTAAAACCAAATAAAACCCATCATACCCTTTTAATGCCTTTTGTATCTTATTTGATACGTACTTTTATGATACTTCTATCAAATCAATATGATCAACAAATTACTAAAAAAAACACCAGAAAACAGTCTGATAAATGATAAAAATGTCCTCTTGTGGTTTATCAGTTTCCAAAAACATCTAATGTATCAAACGAGATAAATATGTATTTGTTAAATTTTAAGGACATTTTGATATTTTTGGTTTTCAGTAGTAAGTGAAATAAACCTTTGGGCTCCAAAAAAACTTGAATTTTCTGGCCATAATTTATGGTTTAGGCATGAAAGGGATAAACTCTCAAATGTCTTTATTAGTTAATTTCAGTGTACAAATCTATAGACCCTTAATTCTGTCATATAACCCAACACAATCAATGAACTCAGCTATTACAGTACTTCACTCTGGAGTGTAGCTTTACAGTGAAGTATAACTGGCTCCTGTGCTCTGGTCTAGTACACCAGTTTTGACTAAGTGCCAGTAGAAATCACTTTACAAAGAATTACCTGTAAATGTCACAGATAATTAAGCCTGTCCACTTCTCACATCTGTGATGATGTTGTTCTGTTTTTTTTTTTCCTCCCCAGTTGTTTATTTGTGCAGCAGTACTCAATGTACCATTCCCCTTCAGAGCTGACAGGCTCCCGTCAACGTTAAACTTCACTGAAGTCTCTGTCATACCTATCGTTGAGCTCAAGTGTACATGAAACATTTTCTGTGTATTTGACAAACATTTTATGCCGTGTTAATATTTTAGCAGGACACTGGGAGCAAAATCATGTTCATATGAAAGCTTTAGTACTTAATGTAAGTGTGCTTTCCAGCATACATGTGAGGTAATCTGGTGACTATGACAGCTTTTTAAGATGGTAAGTTGTTAATATGAGAGTTTATACACACATAATGGGCTGTATACTCCACTCAGGACAGGTTTTCTTTGAGGAGATGATCCTAATATGGCTGACCTGTATACAAGATTATATAATTCTGCTTTTGAGTCAGCAAGGAGATCTGTGCTCAGGTTTCAAGTATCCTCACCTCCTCAAAGTTATAATTACAAAAATGAACCGAGCAGCTTTATCTGTCATAAACTGAGTGGCAGAAAAACAGCCTAATATTGATGTTAATTATGTAAATGAGGACCAAGTCTTAAACACACAAACCTTCCACCCACACAGGCACACACTTAAAAGCTCATGCAGTTAAAAATATATCATGCAGGAAGTAGCAAAGAGAAAAATCTCTCCCCGTGGACGAGCTTCAATACTGAGAGCAGTTCTATTGATGCACATTCACAAACCACTAGTTTAACAATTCTTTGTAAGATCTGAAGAACACTCACCCATAAATATGACGCCTCCATCCTCC